ATTTTAGAATCTTTTTGAAAAATTAACATATCTTCTTTGATAGATAAAATTATGTTTATGGTAAGTATTTAAGATTTTCTAATTAACATGGTGGTTAGAACACCATTAAATGAAGTGCTCCAAATTAAATTTGATATATTAAATATATTTAATTAAAATTATTTGATAAACTGTTTTCATGACCCAATAAAAAAATCAACAGTCACTAGACTCACATTCAACTATAAATAAATAAATTTATATATACTTTTCCGATCTTTAGCCCAGGTATAATTTGGGTCTATCTCAATAGCCTTATTGTAATTATAAATAGCTTCTTAATATTATTATAATGATTGTAAACAGGCTCCTACATTAATTGAGAAATAATTAACCTTTGCTCCCTAAGGATTAATGATGATTTGGATTATAATACAATGCTTGGTCCAAATACTTGATTGCTTAGTCATATATACTCAGCATTCTTAACGATTCACCTATATTTAACACTCATTATTAACCTTTTGTATAAAATGAACTGACATGTTTAGAATCAATAAACAAAGCTTTATCAACCCAAATAATTGCATCAATATAATTATCAAGCATTCTTAAACTATCAGCTAAAAAATTAAATGATTACTATACCTTTTAAATACAATGAATTTTGATGCTTTGGATCTATCTGCAATGCCTTATCTGCCCAAATGATTGCTTAATTGTATTAACCAAGCTATTTTAAAATTTTAGCTATAAATTTCTATAAAAGTCATACCTTTACACCATAATGATAATTTATGTTTTGAATTCAAAATTAATGCTTAATCAATTACTTTTATTGCCTCTTCATATTTATCATCATCCCAATATAGTTTATAGCCTAATTTTTATTGATAAGTTACCTTTTTTATATAATTCTTCTGATTTTTAAATATCTAGATTAGATATTTGATAATAATTTAATTCAGATAATTTTAAATCACTTAATAATTTTTCCATCTAATCTCGGAAATCTGTTATGGATTTTTCGATTAGTATTTAGACTTTTTATTCGTATTATTTGAATTTGATACTCTCTGAAAAGAAAGAATTCTTTTATTTGGAATCTAAATTAAGAAATTATTGTTTAGATTTCTGATATTTCGATCTGATTCCTCCAATTACAAAATAGAAGTATTGGTAAGCTAAATCCATTTATTGATTTAATTTGATAATTAAATCCTCACATTCTTTTTCAACACTTTCAATATGTTCAAATAAAATAGATAACTCTTGTTAATATTAAGAATGAGAAACATGGACTCCATTTCTCATGCATTGCATGCAATATAGTCTATCTGCTTTACAAAATTCATTAAAGCATACTAATTTTACATCGTCGTCATGTTCTGAATTTGGACATTTGATAGTATCATTAATTTAATCCATAAATTATATTACTCTTTTTCAATTTCTATTAATACTTATAATTACTATTTAATAGAATATTATTTATATAATTAATTTGATATATAATTCTTAATCCAAGAATTTATTTGCATATAATTTCTACATCTTAAGGTTTGTTAAAATAAAAATCGAGAAATCTTAAATACCCAATTGATTTCAACTCAGGATTTCATTGATTTTCTTTGATCGATTTCATTAATTTTCCAACTTCATTTTTATTGCAGAACTAAATAATGATAATACTGCATTTTGAAATAATTGTCATCTAATAATCTCAATAATTTTAATTGTGTGATTAATTAAATCTAATAAATAAATCTTCAGAATCTAAAAGGAATAACTTAAAATTCATAAATCGAAAATAAATCTTGTCTAAATCAAATAAAAGTGATTATCTACAAAAGACTAGACCCAGATACTTAAGAGAAATGAATTAATTTAATGATAATAAGGATAAATGTTAAATTTTTGATCACTCTTGGTTTTTGTTAATCCAATCTTGAAATTCTTTTTCTGAGTAAGTCCAAATAACTAAATAATCACAATCATCACTTACAGTTCCAAAAATGTGTCCATAACTTAATGTTCCACATTCAATAATTTGTTCTAGATTAAACTTTTTAACTTCTTAATCAATTTAACTTAAACTCAGAATATTTAAACAATAACATTCTTGCAAATTAGAGGATTTTTTTAGGATTGTAAAATGAAGGAAAAAAGGGTTTACATATTTATTTAGCTCCTCCCACTTCAATCTCCTTATTTTCTTAAATTCTTATTTTATTCCATTATTAATGTTTTCATAAATAAATAAAACAGATTTTTATAATGGCTAGAGTATGAAGAGATTATTATTAATAACTGTCATTCTATAACTCTCTTTTTCAACTGAGATTTTCTATTAAACCTACCATATTTTTTAATAATAAGATATTCAATAACTCATATTTAAAAATCATTTCCGCAAGAAATTATAACAGGATTAATTGATAATGTATTAATAGATGTAGAATGCTCTTTTATAGTTTATTTACAAACCCAAGAATTAGTGATTAACACCAGATATAATGAGATATAATTCAATATTATGAAATTAATACACTCCGAATGTTAATTCAACTTTTGAATAAATTTTTTTGATGAAGATAGCATGCTGAACCAAGAGAAGATGTATGAATCGTCGCACCCAGATAACAAGGAATTTTCAATGTGAAAAAAAATTAACACATTTATTGAGTTCAAATGTTTTCTAATTCTTCCAATTTCTTTAATAACCCCTTGTTTAAATTAATACATTGTAATTAAGCATTCCTATCCAATTATAAGAATTGAATTATCTTAGTTTATGGCTAATTAACTAGAATAGTCTTTTGATTTGATTGAGTATTTTAACTCATATTATTGTTGTTAATTTTATGCAATAAGCATATAAAATATAAGGTTTTTTTTAAATTCTAAAGAAGGTTTTAAAGCAAACAAATTCTTTTCAATATTGTTGGGATTAGAGAAAAGATTATCATATTGAGAAGTAAAATGGACATTGTTTGCTGATGTATAGGTAAAAATAGAAAAAATTACTCATTTCAGAATGACATTTGAACAATCTATTTCTAAATTAATTATTTATAATGAAATCAGTATAATCTAACTGGTTAAAATAATATCATCAATTACTAATCAACTAAAAGTAATAAAAACAGTATTATACAGTCATTTGTGATTAAATTAAATCAGAAAATAAAACCTTTAATTCATATATTATATTAAGTAACATTATCATTTAAAATCTAAGTATTAATTTTCTTCATTAAACACTATATATTTCTATCTTTTTTAAGTAAAGATTCAATAACTCTTTTGAATACACCTTAACTATCAAATTTTATACTAATCTATTAATAAAACGAATTCATAATTACATGGTAAGCAAAGGAGATATTGATGTGTTGATTTTTAGCTTGATTAGTTAGTAATTTTTATTTACCTAAAAGAGGCCTATAAGCTCTATAATGAAATTTTGAATACAATCTTTTTATTTATTTCTTTTTTGGGGCAGATCGAAATGTGCAACATTGACGTGTTAATCTGTAAAATCAAAAATTTTATGCTAATATCATTTATATTAAGTTATATTTTCAAGAAATGAATGATAATCATAGTTTAAATCCATTTAAATTTAACTATTGATTCTTATAGAGTTGTCTTGTTCACAAATAAAGATTTTCTTAATACATTACATTCACAATACGAGTATACTACTTGAAACTGAGGAAGGATTTATATTATATGCCTTACAATCTGACTAAATTATCATTAATGAAGAAAAGCTTAGATTAGGAAAAATTTACTTTATTGATGTTTTTGATAATTCAGTGTTGAATTTGTTGTAGGATTAGGTTAAACTATTATGACTTGGGACTATTATTAACGCTTAGTTATGAAAAAATTTTGTGCCCTTAAAGCTCTATAATAGATTTCGTTTTTTTATCCATTTATAGTCTTTGGAATTAAATAATAAATGAAAATGTTATTTTAGTATTAAATGTAAGAAATGATTAAGCCTATCGATATTTATATATATAAAATTGAAATTGATAGATAATTCATACAAATAATACTAACCAGTTTAATTGCTCGTTAACTTATTTATATTAATAAGTGAATTCTTGAATCATAGATTTTTTGCATTATCAAGCTTATAAGGACTCAATATAAAACAATGTCAGATGAACAAATCATTGAATATTAACATTCAATTGCTGCTAAAGTAATAAACGACTTCCTAATTTAGATTTAATTCTAGTGTTAGTTATATAGATATGCTTGTATTGCTAAATCAAGTAATAGTAACTTGCTCGTAGTTTCTCCATTAGATGAAATTTAAAAGTATATTTATTTTTAGTCCATCACCATCAGAGCAACCAAAGTTGAAGAATCAATTATAAGAGTTTAACAAGATTATATTTTAGAACTTAATCTAGTAAAATTGCTCATTAAAAATGAACTTGATTAAAGTTAGTTTTTACTAAAAAATTAAAACTTATAAGTCTTTTTGGGCAATCAATTAGATATGAGAAATATTAGCAATTAGATTCTATGTTTGACCAATAATTTAATAAAATTCTTCACAAAATTTTATTGTGAATTATAATTAAAAAATCTTCTGAATTTATATTATTTTTTTATTTAATACATATTAATGATGATTCTAACTGGTAAACGAAAATCGGAAAAAATAATCTCAAAATCATTAAGGCCTTCCTTATTTTTAAATGAATTCGATTTATCGTCCATGCTCTAAACAACTTCAGTGAAAACAGAATCTAGTATTAACCCAATTTCAAAAAGAGAAGCATAACAAATTCAAAATTCATTAAGTGTGTTTCCTTAAAATACTTACTGTTACCTTAAATTGAGGAGAAATTTGTTCTAAAATCAAAGGAAGTTAATTTTTCTAAAGAAAAAAGAGAATCATAATTATTAAAAATGTGGCATCAGAATAACTATTACAATAATCAAAGCCTGATCTTAAGTTACCACTTATNTAGTGAAATAAGAGCTCTGAATTGAAGCAAGGGCGCAAACTCCAGTATTAGGTTTGAACTAGTGACGCAAAACATCAGCACATAAATTATCAGCGATAGCAGTTCTATCCTAAAATTTACAAGTAGTGCTTTTGTTTTCACATTGCTGAGCCAGCGTTTCAGCTTATGCTGATGAACAACATTTTTTGCAATATTTAAAAATAAGCCTATGCCGCAATCTGTAGATTATTGCTTTGTGAGAATTTTGCATAATCTTTTGCGCGAGATTGCAAATAGAAAGCCAAACTGAACTATAAGAGAGCATGCACTCTAAGTTATACACTTTTAGAAAAGGAATATGTATTTAGTATCAATGTATGGCTTATAATCAACACAAGGATAAATCTAGTTATAGCGATCAGCATCTCCTTAAATATTTATCCCAAGGGTTTCATTCTCAAAAAGTTTTATGTTCATAAAGGACTTAATAATAGCAGCCTAAAAATAAGTAATGGTATCAAAATAGTCTCGAGAAATAACTTGGGAAGATTCCTCCATCCAAATCAGGATTGATTACAAGTTATGAACAGTCACTTCCAATCATGAGTTCATAATTTAAAATTAGTTGTATCCCAGACCTGCTTTCAACAGAATTTAAGTATGGAAGCAATATGGATAAAGGTATTAGATAATTCTCCTTTGCTCCAAATCACTGTTAGAGTTTTTGTGGCAAAATGCACTGCATCTATCTGAGGTGAATGAGATGTGCATCATAGAGCTAGTCTTTAATCTAGTATTGAAGTGCTGCACAAAAATTGCGAGCTTTAAGCTCTTCTATAGAAATGTAATCTAATGTAATTGTAAACATTCATTTTATAAAGTATAAGAAGAAGTGCAGGTATGACAAATAAGGATATCAAGCACATGCACTGGATCTATTAAAGCTTACTTTTTGGATCTCTAATTCAAGAGCATTCTTATGCAGTTTAATCTGGAGCTCAAAGGTTTTGTATTTCGGTTTTAATGACACAGTAAATCCACCACTTAATTTATATGAATAATTCAATAAGTCATCTACAGAGATAATAAGAGTTGATTAAGTGAATCTTCCAGATCATCCTGATAAATTATGAAATGATCTTGAGAAAAGCTTGGCAAGGCAATGTTTTCCTAAATAATAATAAGCCTTGAAGTTATGCATTAGTAAGAAAGGCATTCCAAGAGCCTTGATAAAACATATGGATGATCGAGCAGCATTTAAGAAGCCATCAACATTTCCAAAAATAATCAAACAATTTATTACCCACAGAACATTCAGATTTTTATCTTTGGTATAGTCTAGGGGAATAAAAAACACTAAGAACTTACAATTTAGCTTATGCCATATGTTAAAACAGCTTGACTTATATCCATTAACCATTGATAAGGTGCAAGATAGTTCAGCTACTATACATATTTGCTCTAATTTTTCAGAGTTAATAGCTATACTATCATCCATTATTATTACTGTGACTTTTGAGAGCGGTGTTGTTATCAAAACAAAATATAGCTAGTTATATATTGTTATGTTCACACCAGCGAAAAAGGCCATAACATTATTTCTGTAAAATAATATCTAAAAGGCAGCACTTTGCAGTATAAACATATGTTTCATAATATTTGCAACAAACAAAACATGGTTGGCTACACTTCTCTTTTCAAATAAAGGAATAATATATAAGGATTAGTAGAAATGATCTTACTGTCAAAGAAATAACAATTAATGGAAAGCATAAGGTTAGAGTCTATTTGGTATTGTTTTGAATTAAAGGAACAAGTAGGTACTTCCTCTCACGATATTAAGGACCTACTCCACTTTTGCTTACATCAGCAGGTATAGACACTCATGAATGTTATGTAATATGGTCCTTTAATCATGTTGAAACCATGATTATAGGCTATATAAAAAGTTCTTTGAGTTTGATAACATCATCAATGAGGAAACCATTAATTATCAACTAGCCTCTTACCAAGTGAACTTATTTAGCTATAGTGAGAAAGTCAATAGTTCCATGAATTTATTAAGAATCCAAGGGATCCAACAGTGCGTTTTCACTTAGATAGTTCAATATATGTAAATGCTCAAGAAATAGTCCGAAAACTGAGAAAACTCTTGAAAAAATCCAAATTTGACTAGTTGAAAAGAAAAACAAAGCATTTCTAATCCTAATTGTTTAAAGATCTCATTTAAATTTTGAAAATAATTTTGAGGAATCAAAAAATAAATTAATCTAAATTAGAGTCTCTAAATGATTACTCGTATTGAAAACAATTTATCTCTCGTATGGGAAAAGAAGCTCTGAAGGCAAGCATAATCAAATTAATCATTCTCTTATTTACTTCGATGTCCTGCCAATTTTTATAAATTGAACTGAGGGTCTATGATAAAGAGAATAAAGACTACTCTTGATATAAGTAAATCAGAGTAATAAACTGATAAAAGGAACATGAGGTCAATAAATTAAATGCCCATTAGGATAAAATGATGTTAGAAGATAATTATTCATATAACAATTAACCTACTTTTTCCTTTAAACTACTTTAGAGATTGAAAGAAAATAATAAGAAATAAGACTGTTTGAGAAGGATCGAACAGTTTTTACACATAAAATATTTAGCCAATATACGGAAAGAAATTTTAATTTGTTCTTCCGATTGATGTGTTTTTCAGGGATGTTCTCAACCTGAAACTGATGTATTCAATTGTAGAGCCATATTAAAGATTATCTCAGTTTAATTGCAATAAATTGCTCAATATTTGATAAGACTTTCAGGTAAAATTTAATTTCATTTAGGAGCAGAATGTATGCGGAGTTACAAATTTATGAGGGTGTTTATGGATTTTGCTCAATATACAGAAAAGAACCACTTCCATTCGAACCCTTAATTAGTTTTTTGAAATATCAATTATGGGCCTCTTGTGCAACCACGTTTGAGTATTCATTATGGAGTATTCATGAACATTGAACTTTTACTTTTCTTTATTTCAATTTCCATATTTGATTTTATTTCTAATTTCAACTATTTTTAAAGTAATGAGTTCTAATGAATAAATAGATATACTTTAGATATATTAAAAATGTTAAGCGAGGTGGAAATAAAAATACGGTTATCAATAAATAGAAGCAAATTTATACAGTAATTATAAACCAAGAAGCAAGAAGGCTTCTATATCTTTGATTATGTGTCCTCTTTCTTTTAGAAGACTGCTGCCATTCTATCTTAAATCAACTGTATATCCATTTTTAGCAAAAGAATTCTTTTTTTGGAAATCATCTTATAAAATATCCTATAAAGGCTACAAGTGCATAAGGGTTTTATATTATTTTTAGAGTCAAATTTATAAAGATTCGAGGGAAATAAATATGTCTGAAAATTATTCCATTTTTTATCTTATAACCAAATTCGTAGAATCAAATATTGACAGACTATTAGAAGGATATTGAAGCAGTATCAACAAAAGATCTCTTCTAAACATTATTGCAGGTCGTAATTGATACTTCATCAAGGGCAAGAAGCCTTCATTCAGTCAAACGAATATGCTTCATATGAACAAATTATTGCTTCTAGCATTTTTTTGATAACAGTTTTCTTTCCAAAACTGTAGTAATTACATTTTATTCAGATGGTATTCCATTTTCTAAACAATTTTTAAGACATATTTTGAAGTGTTTATTTTAATTTAAAATCTAAATCGCACACCAGTCAACAGATACAATATTTCAATTAAAATATTCTTGTAAATGTTGCTGATTCATTTATATGTTTCTAATTTAATTTTATTTCTGAGTTAGAACCAATTGGTATTAGGACTAAACAACTGAGAAATAATTACGATCTTTCAAATATCAAAATCAAATGATAATTAAATTGGTTTAATTCTTTATATAATGATCTAATAAAAATAAGGTTTTTCTTACCATTTTATTTTTAATATTCTGTCTTATAATCAAATCCATTTCCTAACTGCCAATTTTTAATTCATACTGTTTCTTTTAATATGGAGAGGTTTCTCTATTCTTTAATTCAGATATTATAGAGAATTTTTATTGTTATTTGTTTAAAAGGATATTTATCTTCTTTACAGAATTTGAGTTATATTGTATAATAAATTTCAACATTTAACAACATAATTGAAGGTTTCTAGAATTTAGTCACTTAGAACTTGGTTAATTTTTGTAGTGGTCAGAAAAATTAATGAAAAAGATGAGCACATGTTAACAAAATTGGTTGTCTAAAATTCTATTGTAAATTTGATTAAATCAAATCAGTTATCAGCAAACTCGCAACAATGACAGCTTGAAGAATTAGTTCCTAAATATATCTAATGTCTATGAATATAAAGAATAATTATGTGAGATGTTTAAATGTTTTAGTATCATTATAATGTTGAACACAGATTTATTTCTTTTGCTTTATTTGCTAACTTAATATTACTAGTACTTCAAACTAAACAGAATTTGCATTGATTAAATGTCTTGGTAATGATCGGTTGTAGCAAGCAGAAATCGAATTTAATATAGTTAAACTAAATTCTTCTTACTAAGAATTTTATAGTTTTAATTTTATTTATTAAATTTGCTTGTTATATTTAAAATGAAATGTGAGTTACTATTTATTATATATATTTTCTTATTAGAGATTACTTAATAGGAATGCCTGAAATAAAATAAGGAATTAGAATTAATATTGAAGAGAAATCACAAAAATGTGTTATAATGATAAGGTGGATCATTGATTCCACTAGCAAGATATCATTTCTTTAGGGATGGAAATTATGGGTCTTGCTTAAAGGATGATGCTTATACTCAGATGTCAAATGGGGTGCCCTATACTTAATGTTCTATTGGCCAAAAAATTTCCATATCAATAATGTAAAAATTTTTATTGAATACATTCAAAATTTGGCTTTGGGATGTTAGTTATTTATCAAATGAAGGCATCAGATTTTATACAATAATTGTTTATGCTGTGGTAAACGGAGTTCAAACCAAAATTTATGATAGTAATTTGGCAACATCAATAGTTAAGATAACATTTCCAGATTAATAGGTTGAAAGATTTGATGTAGGTGGTAATACATACAATCAAGGTATGTACATTATGAAAGCAGATGCATATTATAAATTTTCATGAATTTTAATTATAATTTCAAATTTAATTTATGCTCTCTAAAACTTCTTCCCTTTAATGAAATAAAATCAAGTTAGCATCTAAATTGAATTAGATAGGTTACTATAAATTAATAAGACTATCAAATAACTTTAAATATATAATTTAAAGTTTAAATATTACAAAAAATGAATGCTACCTGTTGGTAGATATCATAAATCTATAAATTTTAGCATCAATTACTAAGTTTTAAACAATAACTTATTTCAATTATTCAGGAGAGAGTAATCTTTTTTAAACAAACAAAAAACGAGATGACTCATGATTTTAATAGCACAAAACATTATAACTGAGAACAAATAATTTATCGTAGCATTTTTCATACCCAATTCATCTCAAGATTCATCATCTATCCAATCTTCCATTAAGAGAATCATGTATTACATTAGATTTTATTTGTTTCTCAAAGTATATTTCAACTTGTTTATTTCAATTTGCTTAACATTTAATATACCTAGATCACACTACTTAGTCTATAGGTTATACCGTTTTTGAAAATGTACATTTTTTTAAAATAAAAGGATTATTTCAAATTTATTATTAGTATCTATATTTAATATTTCAATTAAGTTAAATTGGAATAAAATAAATTCTACAATATTTTTTTAATGGATCAAATATTATTTTAGGTTTCTGAGATCAACTGAGAGAGAGTAAAAGCACACAAAGGTATCTAATAGTGATTTTTATTGAGATATTTTTGATTTTAATTTATTTTTCACCTGCACTTTTTTAGTTATTAAATGTTAATTGAGTTTATAAAATACATTAATTCTTAATTTTAAAGTAATTTAAATTCAAGAATTAGCTTAGTGGTTTATGCTAAGCATAAATTATTGTTTGGAAAATATTGATCCTGCACTCTTATATGACAAAATTTATAAGTAAAAAGGGAACTATTGTTATTTAGGATACTAAGGAAACATCTATTAAGCTTAATCTATAATGGTCAATCTATATTTCGATAATATTTTCTAAGAGTTGACCTTTAAATTGCTCAATAAATAATCCGAATAGCTCAAATAAAGATATGATCAGATCAATATGATGTTTCCAAATGTTTCTTTAAGAAATTTTTCTCCAATAGATTTGAAGGATTTTTTACATCAAGAAGACTATTACTCTGATCATGGTCCTTCTCGGAAGTCTTGGCAGTAAGGATAACTTTTATCCGTATTGATAATATTTATCAATATTTCTTATTTGTTCATCCATTTGCTCAAGTTTAATATTTGAGAAAAATTAATTATAGCGAAATTCCTTATTATTCTCAGGGGTCTCTTCTATTTTGTAGATCTCGTCCTTATTCATGCTCCATCCTTTAAACTATGAGAAGGGTAATATTCTACTAATTTCCTGTTAATTTGATATTTGAAATTTCAAAACTCCCTATTTTACCCTTTGAACCATCATTAAATCACTTCAAGTATATTAAATATCCCCCCTCCTAAGTTTGATAACAATAAAGGAATAGAACCTTTATTATTTCATAAAATTCAAACTACTCTGATATCATAATTAATAGTTAGAGCGCATAATTCTACTCCAATATTTTTCTATTTATTAGTAAGTTATAGAGCATTATTATATATTTGAAAATACTATTTTATAATTATCTTTTAATATAGTTCTAAAACATAAAATTGAATCTCCTCTTTCAATAAACGAAGTATACCATTTATTTTTTAACTTCGTAATCAATCATTCTTAGTTGCCCTTAAGTGGTATTACAAATGATCAAAAAATGGCTATGACTTTTAATTCTGAGAAAAACAATCATTTGTATGTCAACAGTATTGTTTTATACTTATCAAGTCTATTTAATAAATAATTATTACTATAATTCATTTGAAAATACATAATAATAATTTTTACAACATATAAAATCAATTCATACCAATGTAGATTTACCTGAGCTTAGTGTTTTAATTGTTGTTGGAAGTAATATTTTCAAATAGTTATGATATACAGCGATAAATTTTTTGTAACCTAGAAGGGGTGAGAGCTGAATTTATAAATTTTTAACAGTAGGATTGTAAAGCCAGTATGAATGTATAATAACTAAAACTATTAAGAAAGATTATTCTGATTTTTTGATAGACAAAGGATGGGTATCTATAATTAAAAATACATTAACTTAAAAATCAAGTAGACGGATTTAAAGAAGATGGAATTGGACAGATAATTTTAAAGGATGATGAATGCCTACGATACTATAGCAATGCAATTTCTTATCCCTTTTTTAATTATGGAAAGGAAATATAAAGATAACTAAGTGATTGATATGCTGTGTTTAACTTAGACCAATTTAAAAGAATATACTTTTTAATTACTCTGTCCTAACAAAAAATTGAATAATTATCACACAACTAGGATCAGTTGAATTTGATTGAGAACTGGAAGTATAAGTTCCCATTACCAAACTTAACCTAGTTTGAAAAGAAAAAGCAATAAAATAATATAGGTTTTTTTCAATCATATCAAATGTCTAGATACTAGAACACTTGAGATAAAATAAAATTATTGAATCATTTCTGGTTTAATGTGTAACGCCACTTGTGCATTTATAATCCTATTGCTTAAGAAAATATTATTTTCAAGAGACAAGTGTAAAAAGTATAATAGCTGATCCATTTTTACTTTGGTGACTTATTGAAAGAAAGAATTAAAAAATATGCTGCTACCAAGCCAATGCAAAAAAGATAGATTCTTAATAATGTAGAAACCTTAGGATGTGCTGTTGAGATAGTGAAATTATCATATGAAAAGGTAATTGGTGTACGTCAAAAATATCGTGAAAACGTTTTTACTTTGAACATCTTGCTACAAAAGAAAATCAAATTAATTTTAGAAATTTACAGAAAATTAATTACAATAGGTCAAGTGTTTAACATTAATGATAAAGAAAACATAATTTAAATTGATTTCTTACTCTCCTACACAGGATTACTATTAATAGCAACACAAAGTAGCTTAAAAATAGATTATTTCATCCCGCAAATAATCTCATTTATATTTTATTTACTCGTAATTATCTATCTTTAAAGTAATATACTCAAAAACTAAACATAAAATGATAGCTTTAAGGCACAAATAATCTAATACCTTCAATAAAGATGAATTGTAAATTCCTTAGATGAAAAATATTTATTAATTCATTGAAATCTATCTGCCTCGCCATCATAACCTTACTTTAAGGTATGGTTCTAATAAATACAATCTTATCCCTTAGGAATTAAAAATAAAGGTATTTGGGTCCAATATTTTGATTTCTTTCAAAATATACAAGAGTAAGTTCATAAACAACCCTGTATGAAATTCCTCTTAAACATTTAGATTAATTCCAATCATAATCCTCAATCCTTTATGTTCTCATTTTTTTTGCTAAACTTCTTCAGTGCTGAAGCTTAACTTCCACAATCTAGAAATAACTTATGTAACGTTTTTAACTTTTGTATAAAGGGGTAAACTCCATATAATTGATATTCATAAAACCAATTAATAGTTATATATTTCATAAAACTTAATTCGATGAAAAGTACAGGTAAAGAAAAATGATCCAAATATGTCAATAAGTCTTTATTAACTTAAATGGTTCTTTCTATGTTTTTAAAATATTTTGTTTATAAAAATCAAAGACATCAAAAAGGAAACCTTTTAAATTTAAAAATTCTGAAAAATACAATTATTATTATTATTATTGATTCCAACACATATTATACTCATTTATTCTCTTGCACTGTTAACTCCTTGATTCTTTCTCTATTCCTTTCTTAACTATTTCTAAACATTGGCTCCCTTTAGCATTACAAGTACTAATTCATTGTTGCATCACTATCACTCATAGATACTTTTTGATCACTACAAATTTCCTCTATAAACAGTACAGTACCGTTTTATTCTTGGAGACTAAATTATCATTCTTCACAGTCATAATTCTTGAAATCATTTCATTAGGAATTCACTTTTGCAAACCAATTATCTTCTTTAAACTTTCGCTTTCAATTTATTCCAGTAAAGCTTAATCAATTTTAACCAAATTTCCTTTTAGAATCCCATGCCAAGCTCAACTTGCATAATTTCATTACAAATTTTTGGGTCAATTTAAGTTCTATAAAGTAAAAAACATCATCAGCATAAGCTAAACTCTAGAAGACTATTCTAGTTTCTGTATAAACTACTAGTAGCAATTCATCAAGATATATATTAAATAGCAACGGAGATAGAGGAGATCCTTAACAAGACCATCTTGAACCAGATTTTACTCTATTTGTAAATTGGATGTTCAAAATATATTTCCTAATGATGGTATAATACGCATTAAATTAGCCAATAAAATAGCATCCGATTTCAATTCTCTACTTATCTCTTTCATATTATCAATTAATTAACTAATATTCACCTTGGTTCCTCTTGCGTGAATAAAGCCAGCTTGCTAGAACCTCAAATTACCTTCACAGACATTTGAAATTTACCAATAAATCTTAATTCCTGAATTTCAATAAAGGGCTTAATATCGTTATTGATCTGTTAAACGTCTTCTAATTCCAAAGATCCTATAAGATACTATAATTTTTAGATTTACAAATAAAATCATCTGAAATTCCATCAAACCCTAAGCCTTACCATTTGACATAACCTTTTCAATTCCATCACTTCATTCTTTTACAGAGGTTATAAACTTGATACATCCATTGGAGTAAATATTCCTCCGTAAGAAATAAAACTTAGTTACTCTAAGACTACCTTCCTACTATTGAACTATTTAGAGTTATCCATTCTAATCTTGGAAACATCTAAAAATTCCTCCCACTTTGCTTAGGGAGCGAAATTCTTATCTTTTTAATCACTTGTATCTTTCTCAGACTAAATCTTACATATTAATATCATCGGGCTTTTTTTTAAAATTAAAGTATTCTCCTAACTATATACAATTTTCTACTCTTTTATATTTTCAGGTTCCTTTCTCTTTAATTTACAATTAATTCTGCCATGATCTGAGAAACTACTAAAATCGATATCTTTCTCATACATCTATTTACATCCATTAATAAGTAAAGCATTTAATAATGATGGTCTGGTTCGACCATTTATTATTCTTTTAAAAGTTCTGTCCTTATGATCCACTATATTAAAGAGCCCCTCAAATTCAACGTTGCTACAATTAAATCCTTGCAGATAATAACTCTCTAAGAAGTATTTTTCTTTTAAATAAAGTCTCTAAACCATATTTTCAGCTTTTTAACTTTCATAAATATCTATTTTTATTTAAAATCGAAGTTTAGTACAACCAAATCTAGAATTTCATTTGGCTGAAAATTTGAAGATATATCTAAAATTTCCACACATTTATGAATGCCTATTGCAATACCTCCTTAATAAGCACTTTATCCTAACTAATAAAGATAATTATAGTAGGATAATTTTTCATTTCCTTTTCTCTGATTATTTAAGAACAAATAAGTTCAGGATTGCTCTCCTTTAGCAATTCCTGCATCCATTCATTAACTGAGCATATGATACAACAAATTAATCTCAGTATATGTATTGTTTTAACGTGTCGATTTTGCTTTTCCTGATAAGCTTCCTTTGGTTGATTCTCCATGATCGACAGTATATGGCTCGCTTCACCACCTCTGTCACTTGAATTTTGATTGCTTCCTTGCTATCTTCAACCAACTCTTTGGCTGAAACCAAAGTTCAATGGATAGATTCTTGGGTAATTTCCTCCTGCTCTTGTTCTTTCTCATATACTAATTATTATAGCTGTAAATTCTAGGTTAATAGTAACCAAATTATTCCCACCATTATATTCATGATGAAATCTCCTTTTATTTTAAAATTATTATTGAAATTATTGAACTATTAATATCCTTCAAACCTTCTTTTATTACCTATTTGGTTTTTCACTATCAAATCAACTCATACCATTTGTAATTTTATTGTTTCGTCTTAGGAATTTCTTCCATCATTATTGATAACTCTTATTGCTCATTCCTCTTTTTCGATTCACTATATAGCTGAGTGTTTCTGTATAAGTATATCTATTTTAATATTAGAGTGATTCAAAATTTAAGCATCTCCTCAGATTTGCATAAAATCACTACATATAATTTTGAACTTAGTGCGAACCATTTATTATATGCATTATTAATTTCTCCTTCTAGAACATAAAATAATATTCACTCTTTATATTTGTCCATAAATCTATCTAAGTTTTATTATATTTCTTGTCTGTTCATCTGTAATTTTTCTGTAATTTTTCTGCAATTATTTCTCTTTTTCTTTCAATTTCGCTTTAGATTTATTTGTCTGACTGGTAAGAGTGTCTGCTACAAAACTATAATTATTAAACAATATAAAACTTCCTTATTTACAATTTTAGTAAGCCCTAAGCATTTTTGATAGTTACACGTTATTCAAAATTGCATAGGCAGATATTTAATGGTAATGTAATAACTTAAAATAAATGATTTTGATAATTTAATTTTATTCAATTCTAATAGTTATTAATTTGTCAAAAATTGCTTCCATGATTGATTATAAGAATGAATTAATGTTTGAATCTCATTCATTCTCAATTAAATATATCTTTAATCCTTAAGTTTTTTATATTTCATTAATTATTTTGGAACCTCAAACAAAGCAAATATTTATTATTTGTTATTTCCATTGAAAAAAGAATCCAAAACTTGAACCAAAAATTAAACATTAGAATGAATTAATTTTATTTACAAAAGCCAGTAGTAATTGGTTAATTCTTAAACAACCGAAAACCGAAAGATAAATTATGATTGTATTAGGGTATTAGCTCTAACTTTATAATGCCCTATTAAAGTTTTTATTTAAATTGAAGAATATAGCTTTTTTTTTATTGTTTAATAGATTCTCAATCTCAAATTTGACTCTGGTTTGTTTCTTTAGCATGAATTCGATATGAATAATACTATATAGAAAGAGTTACTTTTAAAACTCATTTAATGTGTTTTATTAAATCATATATCAAAGCCTTCAAAATTCAAAAAGGAATGTATAAAAGTATGTATGTTATGAAATTTTTCATATATTTAATTTACGTTTAATTAGCCACATGCATAATTAATTTGGTGCTCGTAAGAATGCTGTCCCACCTAATCTTTAACTAACTGATGCCATTATATAATTTCTCAATTACATTATATATTGCTTCAAACATAAATTTTTCTAGAAATCAATTTTTATCTGTGAGGAATTAAGAATCTTTTAAAGTCATTTTCATTCAACTTCATGACATATCACAAAGTATTTCAAATGTTATGATGTTAGTGACATAAAATCATATAGACTCATAATCTTTTAACTAGCATATCCAGGCCTAATTCGAAAGCTTTACTATTAATTGAATTTTCTGATTCAGATAAATTTTGAAAGCCAAAACTATCAAAAACCAGCTTTTAACACAATTAACTTCAGTTGATTTAAAAATAAAGAGTACTGCTTCCAAAAAAGCTTAATTATTTATGGGAAAATCTTTCATATTTTGTCTTGTATTTAATAAAGTCTGTAGTACAACATTATATCCTTATTATGATTCTCTTTTATTTGTAATGCCCTTACGTTCTATTATTTCCAATAGAATTTCTTAATGATTTGTCTATTGATCTGTAATAGCATTGGTTTTTTGTCATAACTTTACATAAGCGATAAAAAAATAATTTGTTTCATAAACAGTGCAACAAGCTGGGATTTTTATTAGTATATGAATTAATTCTGATATTGGCAACACCTCCTTAAAGTGATTTGTTTAATTGATCAAAAAATTACTGTAAATTTAAAAATATGCTCCGCATCATGTATGATAATAATATTTTGAATTTTCTTGAGTTATACTTTATTGTAGATGTACTATAATTAACAAATGTAGTACAACCTACCAACTGAATTAATAAAATATTTCAATTTAAAAAAATCTAGTCAACGCTGCTTTTACAAAAAAAATGATATTTCAGACTAGAATAATTAAAATAGGATTAGCTACCATGCTGATAATGTCTCATAATTTTCAATTGTCTACTTATTTTAATGACATTATTTATAATAACTATTTAGTAAACTTAATTTTTTTTCTGTAAGAGCTATTAATGACCTGAAAAAACTATTTACAAGTGAAATCTGTAGAATGTTTCACCATATGTAATTGATAGATTGGCAGTTTTATGTTGATTTAAGATGCCAATAAGTAAATCTATAATAAAGGAAAACATAGAATTAATAGAATTACAATAAGAAATTTATTTTGATTCCCATTTTTCATTAAAAATCTAATAAAGGAGATGTAAAAAAGTGAAAAATATGCTAATGGAGATTCATACGATGGAGAGTTTTTAAATGGTGAGAAACATGGAAAGGGTGAATTTAAATGGGCTGATGGAGATTAATATAATGGAGATTGGAAAAATGATAAAAGAACTGGAAGGGGTAAATATAAATGGGCTAATGGAGATTCATACGATGGAGAGTTTTTAAATGGTGAGAAACATGGAAAGGGTGAATTTAAATGGGCTGATGGAGATTAATATAATGGAGATTGGAAAAATGATAAAAGAACTGGAAGGGGTAAATATAAATGGGCTAATGGAAATTCATACGATGGAGAGTTTTTAAATGGTGAGAAACATGGAAAGGGTAAATATAAATGGGCTAATGGAAATTCATATGATGGAGAGTTTTTAAATGATGAGAAACATGGAAAGGGTGAATTTAAATGGGCTGATGGAGATTAATATAATGGAGATTGGAAAAATGATAAAAGAACTGGAAGGGGTAAATATAAATGGGCTAATGGAGATTCATACGATGGAGAGTTTTTAAATGGTGAGAAACATGGAAAGGGTGAATTTAAATGGGCTGATGGAGATTAATATAATGGAGATTGGAAAAATGATAAAAGAACTGGAAGGGGTAAATATAAATGGGCTAATGGAGATTCATACGATGGAGAGTTTTTAAATGGTGAGAAACATGGAAAGGGTGAATTTAAATGGGCTGATGGAGATTAATATAATGGAGATTGGAAAAATGATAAAAGAACTGGAAGGGGTAAATATAAATGGGCTAATGGAGATTCATACGATGGAGAGTTTTTAAATGGTGAGAAACATGGAAAGGGTGAATTTAAATGGGCTGATGGAGATTAATATAATGGAGATTGGAAAAATGATAAAAGAACTGGAAGGGGTAAATATAAATGGGCTAATGGAGATTCATACGATGGAGAGTTTTTAAATGGTGAGAAACATGGAAAGGGTGAATTTAAATGGGCTGATGGAGATTAATATAATGGAGATTGGAAAAATGATAAAAGAACTGGAAGGGGTAAATATAAATGGGCTAATGGAAATTCATACGATGGAGAGTTTTTAAATGGTGAGAAACATGGAAAGGGTGAATTTAAATGGGCTGATGGAGATTAATATAATGGAGATTGGAAAAATGATAAAAGAACTGGAAGGGGTTAATAGAAATGGGCTGATGGAAATTCATATGATGGAGAGTTTTTAAATGATGAGAAACATGGAAAGGGTGAATATAAATGGGTTAGTGGAAGTATATATTATGGAGATTGGAAAAATGATAATAGAACTGGAAGGGGTTAATAAAAATGGGCTGATGGATCTAAATATGATGGAGATTGGGTAAATGGTAAAAGACATGGATAGGGGGAATTTTAATCTGCTAAAGGTGAAAAATATAATGGTAAATGGGTCTTCGATGAAAAAATGTGAACATTTGAATTTGATATTATCAATGCAATTTATCTGAAAACGAGTATGCTTTTTTTCATTAAAATAACATTATTCTTAACAACTATTTTTAGAGTTCATTTCAATAACTTTGTAGATTAAGAATTAAAAGAGTTACTTGCATAAAGGGACTTATGATCTAATAGGAATAAATTTATAGCCTCATGTAATTTAGATCTATCCCACTACAATAGCCATCTTTGATAAGGATATTAAAGCATTCGAAATAAAAAGAAATGACCACTATCCTAAATCGAAGCTTCTTATTTTACAAAATTAAATGAAAAGAGTAGTTAAAGATAATTAATTAGATTGAACTTAGATTAGTGATTTTTAAATGATTGACACTTATGAGTAGTAGACTTAGTTAAACAATTAGAAAGAGTAGCATTTACAATGTTTGAATCTGGAGATGTTGAAAATTATAATAACTTAGATTGATTTCTTACGTCTTAATATATATAAAGTGAAATCGTTTTGAGAGTGAAGTTTTTAAAGAATTAAGTAGATTATAAGAACAGCTATGGATAGTGAGGATATATGATTTGTTTAATTATTGCATATAACCTAATCAAGCTAATTTAAAAATACGATTTGTTTGAAATAAATAAGTTGATGAGAAGTTACGATCATTATTTAAAGTTGAGATTTCTAGAGTAGATAAATTCCTGCTGGTAATCAAAATAAAAAGAAAATATGGATGAGAGGATTCAAATTAAAAACTTAATGGTTCTAATCCAATGACTGTACAATTAGATAAAAACCATCTAATTTACCAATAGTCATTAACAGAATTTGAGGGTAATAAGAGAAACACATTCCTAACTAATATTAGAGAAGTTAGAGATGGATTAAGTGGAGGATAAAAGCATTTATTTTTGAATCTATATGTTTTCAAAATTGATTTGGGCCTGCTAAGACAACATTAAATAAGGGTTTTTATTCCAAGTAATTTTGAATATTACACAAAACTTTGAATTATTTATTGATGATACAAATATAAGCTTATATAGAAAATTATTTTTAAAGTGGTTATAATAGGAAATTAATAAAAGATGCCAAAGTTTTTATTATAACTTAAGTTATTTTATTTCGTAATTTTCTCAGGAACTTAATTTTTGAGATTCTATATTCCAATGTATTTTTCTGATACTAAAGATCCTAATTTGGCCTCAAGATTTCCTAACTTCAAATTACTTAGAATTTATAATTCTTCATCCTTCAATTTCCAACATCCCTAATACTCAAGAAAGCTTAAATTAAATTTTGAGCTCAAAAGATTTGATCGATTGTATATTGATTCCTGCAATCTTAATTATTCTCTGAGTTTGATTAAACTAGATTGATGAAATAGAATAGCCAGAGTGCATTTTACCTTGATATATAGACAATCAATAAATATTTAAAAAATAGTAGTTGTTTAAATTTCTTAGCTTCATTTAATATAAAATATTTTCAAAGAATTTATTTTAAGGATTTCTTACTATTACTAGGCTTAATAATAGTTAAATAATTAAACGCGTATTTTGTTGCAGAACCAATCATTAATGAGTCTTTTCTTGTGGTACTCGATACTTAAAACTAAAGACAATAACATCAGAATTTTTGAATTTGAAGGCAGTCTTTTGTAATGTATTTTACATTGTCAGCATTAACTATGCAAGAAGACTTTTTTAAAACCTTCTAATAATCCTTTAAAATGTGGATGCTACTGAACAATTAGGAATTTGCAAACTCCAGTAATCTCCTTCAACCTCGCCAGCAGCATTTCAAACTACTTGGTTAATCTATAAAATATTGCATACATAAGTTTAAGGATCCTAATAATATTTTTAGTAGTACACCATCTTAGTTTTGAACTTAACATGTTAATTGTTTAAATTCTTCAAATGATGCTAAAGAAAGATTAATACTTCCAACAGAATCGGTATTAATAACATCCTGTTTTAAAAATAATTAAATAATACATATTTTTAATCATCAGCTGAACAAGTAATTAATTAGAATGAGAAGTCATTGGCACCAATATTTATAGGATTAAACTTTTAATGTAGAAAGAATGAAACCGAACTATTTATTAATTTATTTTCAATATATTAGAATATATTCATGTTGTAAAATTATAGTCCATTTTCTCTGTTATATAAATTTATTATTTTTATTATCTTTGAAAAATCTTGAAGAGCTAATTAACTCAGATTGTTCATTTTCATGAGTTAAGTAAAATAAATTATTAATTAGTCATTAAAAGTTTCTCTCTAATTTTATCTAATTATATTTGAAATTCCCTGGGAACAAAATAATTTTGTATGTTCGCTTTGTAGAGGAATGACATAATCATAAATACAATATAAGTGAATTTGACTTAATTAGCTAATAAATAGAACTGTAAAAATCTATAAGACATTTAATTTATAACTATGCATGAGTTTAGAAATATAATTTTTATATGAAATTCCCATTTAATTTTTCAATTATTCAATTTGAAATATTATTAAACATTGTACCTTTTGATGAATACATATACACGAATGGATAATGTTCTTGTGATAAGGATATATCTATTTACAGCTACTAAAATTAGTATTCATGGTTTCAACAATTGCTCGTGGATTCTGCTATTAATTCCATTTACTATACTTATGCTTAATATTCACTTCTACTAAGATCACATCATAATTTTTATAAGTGATATATTCTGAGTTAATTTAATACCTCCTGCATTTATGTAATTATTTCTTATATAATATCTCTAAATCCTATCGCAATATAAAATTAAGTACCACTGATCTTTGGAATTTATTATTCATAAAAGCGACACTAAGTATGATTGCATCCACCTTACTTAATTAACAATTTTTATCCTTACATATGTTAGACAGTATAAAGCAAAGATATTGTTAATCTATTATTAATAGATAGAATTCTTTCTAACTCAAATTTTGATTCTATTCTTTTGGAAATTTCTTGATTAATTAAGAAACTATTTTAAGCTATTTGAAATGCTGATTCCTTTAATTTATACTTTACACTTTCTTAGATTTCTTTCTTTTTTGGATTCATAAATAATTTCTTTAATTTATCCTATTAATTTTGTATAAGATTTATCATTTTTGAACACTTTGATCATATAATTCTTTGAAATTTAAGTTTTTATTTTCCTTTTGTAAATTTATGCAACTCATCGATTTACATAATTTTAAAAATTAAATTAAAAATCCCATCTTTTATTCCTTTATTTAAAACTTATTATTTACTTTGTATTTTCATTTAAAAATTTTCCAATGTTAAATATTTCAATGTTTATCATTATATTCAAATAAAGAAAAATTTTAATCAAATAAACTCATATTCTCTTTAGCCGAATAAATAAATTCCTAGATATTCTTTATAGGCTATACTAATTTATTAATTTTCATCCTTTACTATTTGCATTTATGAGAGAACTGACAAAATAATCAGTGAAATTTTACATAGGTATAGAATAAAGCAGTTTTCCTTATTACTATTTTTTCCTCAACTAGCTCCTTATTTCTAGTTTTTATCCAAATTTTGCAATAGNTGAGTTAAGTAAAATAAATTATTAATTAGTCATTAAAAGTTTCTCTCTAATTTTATCTAATTATATTTGAAATTCCCTGGGAACAAAATAATTTTGTATGTTCGCTTTGTAGAGGAATGACATAATCATAAATACAATATAAGTGAATTTGACTTAATTAGCTAATAAATAGAACTGTAAAAATCTATAAGACATTTAATTTATAACTATGCATGAGTTTAGAAATATAATTTTTATATGAAATTCCCATTTAATTTTTCAATTATTCAATTTGAAATATTATTAAACATTGTACCTTTTGATGAATACATATACACGAATGGATAATGTTCTTGTGATAAGGATATATCTATTTACAGCTACTAAAATTAGTATTCATGGTTTCAACAATTGCTCGTGGATTCTGCTATTAATTCCATTTACTATACTTATGCTTAATATTCACTTCTACTAAGATCACATCATAATTTTTATAAGTGATATATTCTGAGTTAATTTAATACCTCCTGCATTTATGTAATTATTTCTTATATAATATCTCTAAATCCTATCGCAATATAAAATTAAGTACCACTGATCTTTGGAATTTATTATTCATAAAAGCGACACTAAGTATGATTGCATCCACCTTACTTAATTAACAATTTTTATCCTTACATATGTTAGACAGTATAAAGCAAAGATATTGTTAATCTATTATTAATAGATAGAATTCTTTCTAACTCAAATTTTGATTCTATTCTTTTGGAAATTTCTTGATTAATTAAGAAACTATTTTAAGCTATTTGAAATGCTGATTCCTTTAATTTATACTTTACACTTTCTTAGATTTCTTTCTTTTTTGGATTCATAAATAATTTCTTTAATTTATCCTATTAATTTTGTATAAGATTTATCATTTTTGAACACTTTGATCATATAATTCTTTGAAATTTAAGTTTTTATTTTCCTTTTGTAAATTTATGCAACTCATCGATTTACATAATTTTAAAAATTAAATTAAAAATCCCATCTTTTATTCCTTTATTTAAAACTTATTATTTACTTTGTATTTTCATTTAAAAATTTTCCAATGTTAAATATTTCAATGTTTATCATTATATTCAAATAAAGAAAAATTTTAATCAAATAAACTCATATTCTCTTTAGCCGAATAAATAAATTCCTAGATATTCTTTATAGGCTATACTAATTTATTAATTTTCATCCTTTACTATTTGCATTTATGAGAGAACTGACAAAATAATCAGTGAAATTTTACATAGGTATAGAATAAAGCAGTTTTCCTTATTACTATTTTTTCCTCAACTAGCTCCTTATTTCTAGTTTTTATCCAAATTTTGCAATAGTATTATTAATTCAAAGTTTGGCCCCATACACACTAATTGAATAGCGAGTAGCTAACCTAAAAGAGGCCATTATCATATTTCATAGGCTTGTTTATAGGAATGTAAGCTTTTGGTTTTGCAGCATAAAATTATCTGTTTTAGTATGCAGAATATCAAATTTTATGAATCGCAACTCTCTACAATTTTATTCAGAGTCACTAGCCTTTATATTTTTAGAGAAAAGTGATCTTATTAAGCAATCTGTTCTTAGTATGTTGGATACACAGCATTAAAAAGCATTAGGTAGTGTATATTCTGGAAATTTAAGGAGAGGGTAGAGTTTTTGAAAAGAAGTTCAATACAGTTGGTGGGTTATTGAGATTCACTATGACTCTTGTCTGGAAAACTCAAGTAGTTAGAAGAAAAATAAAACTTATCAGTTATTCTAACTAGTTTACAATACCCTATTACTATTGCTGTTGTGTAGAGCACCTTACTCTTTGATTACTTGCCCTCAATCAACTATAGTAGAAAGCATCTTATGAAATAATTCTTTTTAAATATTTATTATTATGCTTACATGATGTGTTTATTCTAGCGAAAAATAAAGAGACTTCAGAAATGGTTTCAGGAGACATAGCGGTTAACTTTTTGAGTATTTCAAATTTCTAGAAGAAAAAGCTAATCTTTAGAAGTGTCAAATAATAAAGTTACTTTTAAAATGATAGAAGTCATTGTTATGTGTAGAGCATATTAAGATTATTAATTCTAAACAAATATATCACCTTAAGAATGGTTAATAAATTATCCAGGAAATCCAAATGTACTATACTAATTATTACAACAGATTTAGATGCTCGGTAAAAGTAGTTATTTTATACCTTTTACAAATGCTACTATACTGATCTTCCTTCAGAAAATGAATAAATTTCATATAAGTTTATAAAAAGGTTTAATATACAGTGGATTCATAAGGGAAAGTTTTAAATATTGGCTGACAGCATTAAGTGAAAGAAAAGGCAGGAGAAATAGAAAAAAGATAAGACATGAAGGTGATTATGGCATATAGAATGAGATGTAATTATTTTAAGTTAAATTAATTAGAAATTTGTTGCCGTTATGTACAATCAAAGGATTTAGCAGAGGAAAGTAATGCACTCAAATAACTTAAGGGAAGATTAAATCATTATTTTTTTAAAAAGAAGTGCTTTATCAAAATTGTCTGAAAGCATAACCTACAACTGCTATATTCATTTATTATACGTGTGTGGCTTGGTGTTCATAATCTGATCGAATGAATCTAGACCTACTACATCCTTTTATAGAGATACCTTGAGCAATTCTAAAGTATGTTAGGAGTGGGAGAATAGAAAGAGAATGGAATAAAAAGTACTAATTTAAGGAGTTCTGAATCTATAGGACGACCATTCAAGGTAGCGAATCAATTGGAAATAATCTGAAGGATAAATACTTATTTCCATTCCTAAAAAACTCTATTTCAAGAGGAATCATGAATAAGTACTATCTGCATAACTAAAAGATTAAATGTTTGATAGTAGGTAGCTAAACTTACAGACCTTCCATTAACCTTAGCATTATCATACTTGCTTCCTACTTTTCGTGAATTAGAAATCATAGTCAACCTTAAGAGAAACAAAGGCACTTTTTACTGAGGATTAACAAAATCTTCAATTTACTTATGAATCAAAGAATCATGGAAGGTGAAGGATATAATACTCGATTGGAAAGAGGATAGAAGTCTGGCAAATTAGAAAGAATCAATACAAAGATTACTAACGGAAATAGGATAGGATGCTCCTCAATCAAGACTAATTGAAATATAAAAAAAAACCAATCTGCAACTGAAATTGAGAAGAAGTATATCATTCTCAGATAGGGTGAAATAGAATAATTAAAGATATTTGAATATTTGAATTATATGATGAAATGGAGGATTATTAAATATGAAGCTATGGAATTCTATTTGAAGGTTTTCTCCTCTATCTAGGAAATAAAATATATGGAAAAAATCTATCTGTACTTATAAATAAGTTATGTTAGCGCAGCAATGTTTAAATCAATAATTATTGAAGGAAATCTGCCTATTAGAAATATTATATAGAAGATTTAAAGAATCAAAGTTAAATTTGACTAATAGAGTGGATAAAAATTAATCAAGGGTGAAACACGACAATTTATGAAAAGAAAACCAATCAGATGCATTTGTGATTTAGAGGACAAGCTACAGAAGGAAAAACATTCTGTAAATGTGGTGAATATGAGGAACTAATTGCCTCGCAGGAAATAAACACAACTTAGACATGAGCAAATTTTAATTTGTCTTCATATGATATTTGCTCTAATAAATTATGCTTACTGCGATTTATGCTTTTTGTGTCCATTTAGTTTAATTTCTTAGATATTTGTATCTCAATTAAGCAAGCAAAATTAAATTCTCATTCTCGAGCATTGGTGTATAAAGCACAAATATCATTTCATTAAAATCATTCTTCCGTGTATTTTTGGTTCAAGGTATTTGTTATTGATAAATCAATTATCTTTCAACCCCTTGATTCATAACATTTTCCTTTTTTAATCACTCCTTTATGTGATAATCAGACAATATGAGTATCAACAGCTTAATTCAATTAATTCAGAGGAAAGATTCTTTTGAACTATGAATTTATTACAATATCATAAAATTCTAAAAGTTACTAAATTAAGTTAAATTTTGATAAGAAATTAATATCTATTGATAGCTTTATACTTACTGTTCCAGTTCCTATAAGTAAAATGAAATTATTTAGCATTCTAAAAACAATATTGTTATATTGATGTGAATCTTAATATAATACTTAGAGCTTAAGTCCAAATTCATCAGTGTACGTTGTACATTTTCTTGAGATGAGTTACATTAAATTTAATTGCAAACATTTATGGGGCGAATGCTCTATTTAAAGAATTATAAGAGATACAAAAAAAATTAAATATGAAATCCTTAAGACTGATCATCTTAAAGTATGAAAAACTAACTAGTATTTGAATTATGATATAATTTATGATTGGAGCTGCACTGTTAGATAAGTGCATCGCATATACTGAAACTTGTATGGGAAAGATTGAACGACTAATAATCGTTAAATAGTAGCAGAGTCAAATGATATTTTAATATTCTCTCTTTCATCATAAGTGGATCCAGTTTTTGAAATTTAGGAAATTTAAGAATATTAGACACACTCTTGCCATAAACCTAAAAAAAGAAACTATTAAACAATATTTTTAATTTTCCCTATTAGGGATTAATGATGAAGGTATTTTAAATCTCTTTAGAGGATCATTAACATCCTTAGTTAGACCAACCGTTATCAAATTAAGAATTCTTAAGTCATTTTAGTTTGTGTTTTTCTCAATCTTCTTCAAATCTACCTTTTGAGTTGTAATTATATTCTTTTTAAAAGTGCAAAAATAACATAATTTATCTCAAAATAAATATGAATTAGATTTAATATATATTTAAATAATTATCCTAATCATATAATTTATTGTAATATTTATAATTTATTACCACCGACCCACGCACAAGGTTAGTAATCATAATTTGTTTCTATTTTTGCAGTCTAAAATAATTTATTTTTAATCAAAATTACAAAGGATTGGTTTGAATCCAAATTTGTCCATTTGATATTTTTATTTTTCATATCTACTTCTATTGTAATAACATCATTTGTTTTGAATTCAAATGATGATTATTACCCATTTTTATCTTGTTCATGGTTTGAAAAAAACAATTTATCTGGCCTTATTAAATAAGATCTAAATAAAAGAATAAGCCATTACCCAGTTCCACAACCTACACCACTACAAAACTAATTCTTTTATATTATCTCTAAATTCCCAATACCAATATAACAATAAACAGTATTTAGCTAAATAATTTTGAATGCAAACTATGTGACTTCATTTTTAGGAATTGTCTAATTGCACAAACAGAAGTTACCATTTTCAACTATCTTCCCATTTTATGTAACTTAACAATGAGTCTCCTTATGTGTTGGTGAAAAAGTTAACTGCTGTTAAAATTATGATAACTATTATAATAATAATATCAAAGAATTACTAAGATTTTATTTAAAACTCTATAATTTGGGTTAAAGTTATACAAACTCTTCTCAAGATAAATATTCATTTAATTGATAGATTCAATCTGTCCTTTTAAGTTGCCAATATCCTCATCTTTTACTTTAATTAAATTTTCTAGTTTTTATATATCTTTCTCAAATTAAGTGTTTTATTTATATATTTCTTTTTAAACTGAATCTATTTCTTCTCTAAATCTTTTATTGTCTCCATCTTTGGCTTCAATTTATTGTTAGATATCTTTCTTCAATTAAAAGTCTAAATATTATTAAAAAATACTCTAAGATTATAAATCTTAAAAATCATTTTAGAGTTAATTTTCTTTCTCTCTCATTTCTACTAATAATTACGTTTTTTCTGTATTCTCCTTATTAATAATGATTTATTAATTGTTTGACTATTAAATTTATTCATTTTCTTAAACAGATATATTTTGATTGGTAATCATTATTTAATCACTCATTAATAAGTCATATTATTCAGAATTTATAGATGACTATAAATGTTTTTGGATTTCTTTTATAACCTTATTATCCTATGAGTTTAATTTTATTATTTTTTCTTTTTGTAATGAATATTTTTCTCTGATTCCTCTTTTTAATACAGAAAATGATTGATTGAGACTTTCTACAAATTAATTAAGATCTTCAATCAAATCATCACATTCTTTAATAAATTAAAAACTATTTAATCTATATTCACTACAAAATTAATTGTAACATATCGTCTCTATCCCATCCTAATGATCACCTTCTTAACATTTTAATCTCATATCTAATTTCTAAATCATTTTTTATATTTAATATCTAAGATATGTTTTTATAAGTAATGATTTCAATTTTTTATTCTATTAAAATTCAATTTATAGAAAATTTTTTTATTGAAGATTCAAGCGAAAATTAACTACAATGTGGTTTTCAGATAAAATGATTATATAAATATCTCTAACAATTGGATTAGCATATCTAAGATAATAAGGAACCACAAAATAAGAAGTTTTGGAATAACTAATTAATTAAAGTTAAAAAATTTAGTTGCCATACGATTAATTTGCTGGGAATCTGATTATATTTAAAAAATCAAATGCAATCTTGAAAAAGTTTAGATTCATTCAAATTATTTTAAGAGTATTTGATTCAAGATTAAATTGATGCTTAATTATTATCCAACTACATCAATTTTAATTTTAATGAAAAAAAGGTTAGCAATTAACTGACGAGAACCTTTTAATCCAACAATTAACTAATTAATCTAACTTAGAATTATTACAAGCTTTAATAGCTTAATTAAACTCTACAAAAGAGTAGATAATATGTAATTTGGAAGATCTTAAATTATAAATAAGTTCATATAATAAAATATATCAAATATTAAAGTTCGAAATCGTCCTATAACCTAAATCGATAGTTTTTAGTAAATAATAAACTACCTTTTTGGCATTACAGTAACAAAACATTAATGTAAGTTTTATATTGTTTATTTTTTTATTCATCTAGTCTCTCGATCTTTTTCTGTTGACAACACATATTATTAAATGAAATTGTCAATGAATATTGATTTATTTTATGATTGCTATTTTAAAATTTAATTCAAATAACACATACTATAAATTCAGATTTCCTATTTGTATGATTATATTAAGAGTTTTTTTTTCATATAACTTTTATTTTTAAAACAATATTTGGATCGAATAGATATTGGATACTTATTACTAGGTTTGTGTATGTGTATGGATTCTATCTTAACAGTTGATTTGAAGAATCAGATCGATATAATTAAAAAGTTATTAAGTGAAGTAAAATTATTTTTCTGCATTTTCAATATTTAATCGAATAAATTAACAATTTCGAACTTGATTTCCAAATTTCTCACAAGTCCTCAGAATTAGTCTTATTAATTACATTAAAAATTCTCAATAGTATTAAACAGTTTCTTATTCATTAAGTAGTAAAAGATTTAATAAATGTATTGAATATTTTTACAAATAAATAATTTCTTCCATTATGATATTTCCAAAAAAGGAAATTACAGCAGATGTATTTTCAGATGAAAGGACAGAAGAAATGGAGTGTTCAATTTGGAATGCAAACTTTCGTTAATTTGTAAAAACCAATTTTCTAATCATATTTAATAAATACTTGGAATTAATATGCAAAACAATAAATGGATAGATACTTGGCATGTAAGGACCCCCTAATCTTAAATAATTAGTGATTAAATATAAGATTTTTAAGAGAATCCTAAAACTATTATTAATCTAGAAAAAATACAACATCTAAGATGGTTCGGATAATATGGTTAAAATAATAAGAAAATTGGGAACTGGTCAGCAAGATGGAAAGGTCTAATTTTAGAAGAAGTAGGGGGAAACTACTCAGAATTAGGATTGAAATAAGGCTTATGGAAAGAACCAATACCATGTTATTGCAGGTAATTGATATAATAATGATAATATAGTCATGGTCAAGTGTATGAAGTAGGAGAATATTTAGATGATTAGAAAATAGGATTATGGAGGAGTATATTTGAGGATGAAGTAATGTAATCAATTTTATGAAAATTAATTTAGCGGATATGGATAGTACGATAAACAATCAAACAAGATTGGAAAATGGACTGAGATAACCAATAATTTTTGGGAGTATTATTCCATGCAAATAATTAGATTAAATTAAGTTACTTTCTGTGGAGAGTATCAAAATGGTAAAAAAATTGGTAAATGGGATACTTATTTAAGAATTAAAGGACAAGATTAACTATTTGAGCATCTGTATTTTTCATTTTTATGCTGTTAAGTGGTGGTGGAAGCTATGATGAAAATGGAGATGGTCAAAAAATTGGAATGTGGATTGAGCTTAGTGATGAGTTTTATGAGTAGAAATATTATAATGATTCATAATTCATATAGAGATAATTAAGTTAGTTTTAAAGGAGAATATCAAAAGGATGCAAAAATTGGTAGATGGAATACATATTTAAAGTTTGATGGAAATAATGAAGTGATGTAATTGAGAATATAATAATTTATCTAGAGGAGGAGGGGTATATGATTAGCAAGAAAGAAATCAAAAGGTTGGAAAATGGATTGAGTTATGTGAAGGATTTAACGAGTAGAAAAAATTATTATTAAATATTGCTTTAGAAAGAGTTAAATTATTATTGAAGGAGAATATCGAAAAGGAGTTAAAGTTGGTAGATGGAATACTTATTTTAAGTTTAATGGAAAGAATGAGCAGATGTAATATATCAAATATAGTCATTATTTTAGTGGTGGAGGTATATATGATTGGAGAGAAAACGGTTAAAAAATTGGAAAATGGATAGAATTGAGCTATGAAACTTTTAGGAGTAGGTATTATTAATTTTTTATGCTAGATATATTTAAGTCATCTATTCTGGTGAATATATAAATGGGTTAAAAGTAGGTTAATGGAATGCCCATTTTAGGGATAGAGTATTAAATAAAGAATTCAAGCTCATGTAAGAGGATGATATACATTAGCCTAATTTAGAGGTGGCGGATAGTATGACGAAGAATCGCCGGATGTAAAAGTTGGTAAATGGGTCGAGTTGAGTAAGAATTTTGGAGACGGATTAGGATAGTCATAAATAATTTATATTGGTGAATATAAAAGTGGTTAAAAGTTTGGCCTATGGGATATATTTTGGGAAGTTGATCTAAAGAGGAAAAAAAGAGAATGGCTGTAGAAATATTTTTTGAGTTTATTTAGAGGTGGTGGATTATATGATGGATTTGGTAGAAAAGTGGGGATTTGGGTAGAAGTATGTGATTGGTTTTATGAGTATCAATAACTTAATTACTTTAGTTGGAAATAAGTGAAGTATTAAGGTGAATATAAGGATGGTAAGAAAATTAAATTTTGGTATAATTATTGGAGGGAAAGAGGAGAAAATAAAGTATTTGAGAAAATGTATAAACAAATATATGTTAAAGAGGTGGTGGATCTTATGATGAGAATGTGGAAGGCCAAAAAAATGGATAATGGATCGATCTCAGCGAGGATTTTTATGAGTAAATCAAAAATTTAATTTCAATTTAGTCGAAATTAATACATCTATGATGGTTCATATAACAATGGCAGAAAGGTTGGTATTTGGTATGAAATGAAGAGATTTTGGAAATCAGGATTTCTTAAAACGTATAATATTATAAATAATAGTCTTAAGGCAAGCATAGCTATGGGAGTGAGAAAGACTTAAAATTTTAAAAGTTATAAATATATTAACTATATTTCTAAATTTTAATTATTAACTCTTGGCTACTATGTTTTAGTATTAAGTTAAGGAACAGTATTGGCATTTTTTTCTTTAGTGCATTCCAATTTGTTAATTTTTTTTACAGATTCATTTCTCAAACAATGCTCTAACTAAAAATTTAGTTATATCTAAATGAAATGGAAATTTGAAATTTTGATTTATATGTGGATCTACAATATTGATTAAATAGCTCAATATAATTCTTGTTATAAATATTTTTTTACTAATCATACTGATGCTTAACTTTATAAAAAATTTAACATCATAAGACATTAAAAGATATTTTCAAATTCATCTCGATTAAATTTCATAAAATCTTAGAATTAAAAAAAAATTAGACTTATATTTTCGATCTATAGGAGTTGTGCCATATATCTTAACTTCAGGAATTTAGAATTTAGTGTTAATCTGATTTAGATCAGTAAAAATAGATAAAATTTATTAAAAGTTATTTTAATCATACTGTTGCATAATTAAAAAAGCTAACTTTTATCTTCAACAAATAATATATTTTATATCCAAATATTATTTTTTTTTTAATTATAAGCTGTTTTAACCAAGACCATTAGTGAAATGAAGATGTTGAGTAGGTAACAAAAGAAATCATTGTACAGGTTGGGAAATGTAATAATAAACAAAGTAATTTGGTCTAATGTAAAGAATCTCAAACAAGTTTGACTAGAAATTGTTAATTTTGAGATAAAGTGAAAATTCATAACTTTGTAAATAGATATATTAAACCTTCAAACTTACGAAGCAGTTATAATAAACTATAGAAACAAAAATATACATACTGATCACATATTAAAGAAAAATGGATTATTTTAAATCATGTAAGCAAATAAATTATCTAATCTTCTTAAAAAGCCCAAATGTCATAAACCAATAAAATTGAATTAATCAAGTATTAGCATAGAAAATCCAAATTAGAATTGCTAATTTTAGAAACTCAAGAATCTAGAATAATTTCTTTTTCAATAACATTATTGATTTTATAAAAAGAAGTCTAAAATGATTATAAAAAGAATAAATTAATGGATCCAAATTCCATTTAACATCTATCATTTCTTCAAATTCTTTAAATTGATATTTTAATTATTAATAGAGACAAATAATTTACAATAATTCCTTAATCCAACTTTTATTCAAAAATTCTTTAATAGCTTAAACCTTTAAACAATTCATCAACTAAAAGACCAAATTCAAATCTAATTATAATCAGATTAGTATTATTCAAATTAATTATAATAATCATAAATAAAATCAATGAAATCTCCAAGTTCTTAATTTGATTCAAAACTATTTACTTATTAAATAATTAAAGATAATTCAATTAAGAAAGACTAGTATTGCTTTGTAATTGCAATTAAAGAGGATTGTTCAATTGTAGCAGTTGGTTGTTATAACCAAATAAAAATATATGAATTCAAATTGGGCATGATAAAATAAATTCAAACCTTATATTAACACAATAACGAAGTATTCACTTTGAATTTCATGAAAAAATCAAATTAATTAATCTCTGGAGATAGTGGTGGATCTATTTTAATTTGGTCAAGCCATGATAATTGTTAATGGAATTGCTCATAAATAATTAAAGAACATAGTCATTATATCAATTGTTTAATTTTGAATAACAATGAAGATCTTTTTATTTCTAGCAGTTCAGATAATACAATTAAGTTTTGGATTAAACAAAATGAATGGACTTGTTAATAAACAATCACTGATCACACTAGTTATGTTTTTTAACTATGTTTAAACGAGCAACAAGATAAAGTTATTTCTTGTGGATAAGATAATAGAATATTAGTAATTGAGTATTCTGAATAAAGTAAAATGTGGATTGTTATATAAAATATAAAAGTTGATTAACAAGGATATCGATTATGTTTTATCAACGATGATTTATTCACATTTCAGCCAAGATATGGCAACATGATGCATGTTTATGAGATGAATAGTGTCAGCAAATAGTTCACTAAAACAAAAAATATTACTATAAATTAAGGTACTGATTATTGGCAATTATTTTCATAATAGTTTATTAAAGAAAAATAGATATTAGTGAATAAGCATAAATAATGTGTCAATTTAATAAGAAAGACAGAAAATAATGGGTTTAACGTTGAGTAATCCATTCAATTTAATACTCTTTCTATATTTGGATAATTGAGCAATGATGGTCAGTATTTAATAACTTGGGATGATTAATCTAAAGAAATTTAAATTCGAGAATATCAACCACTATGAGAATTATTCAAATAAATATCAATATATATAGAATTTTATTTGTAAATTAATGCTTAATAAAATATCAAGCAGATATATTGAATTATTGTAATTATTTCTTAAATAAAGACCTTTCTACAATCCTTTTAATCTTCTTTTTAGTTTTAATTAATCAGTGAAAATTGTTGTAAAATTACAGTAATTCTATTTTTGAATTTTAATATTAACAGCCGATTTGATAATGAATTGTTTGTTTAATTTATTATTATTGTTACAGCATTTGACTTAGATGGCAGTTGCATTAATTCTATTAATTCTAACTCTGAACCATCTAGTGATTATATACCTATAAAAAACTTTAGGAGTTAAACATAGAATGAGGCAAATATTCTAAGATTAAATATCGCAATTCCCGTTATTAACAATTTTTCATTGGTTGCGATTTCAATCACCCAATTAAAAAACTTACATCACTGTGTAGAAATTGTCAAACAATTAAAAGAATTAGGAAGAAATTAGTCCTTAAAAGTATTCCATCCTTTATTCATATTCAATAAACTGCCAAATAGTAGAAATGTCATTGTGACTGATCTTTTATAGAATATTTTGAGTGAGAATTTAATTACTTTGATAAATAAGAAATCAGATGCAACGGTTTTGAAAAAATTAAAAAATATCCTAATAAGATTTGAATCTGAGAAAAAACATATATCATCTCAGCATTCTACTAGTACGTCAAGAAAAGATAAAGATAAACGGAGTTATATCAAATATTGAATAATTTCTGTGACAAGAGATGGCGGTAAGGTACTTTAGAATATCCTCTTTAACAATTTGAAAACAATTTACAATTTAAAATACTTAATGAAATGGATACTAAAAATTATTATTTAGTATTAAACAGATGGTTCCTGAGATTATACTTTATTGATAAAGTCAACTGCAAGAATCTACAGACTTACAGTCGATCCTCATAATCAATACTCATGAAGTTAGACATTATTCTTCATTAAAGCTATTTCATTGTGAAGTATAAGTTGAATGGGATAGCGTTGTTCTCGATCACATATGGGCTTGACGATTACAATGTTTAAAATTGAAACCATATTGTAGAGTCTACATTTTCAAAGTTGAATCATAAAGACCATAGGCGTTATATGATTTAGGAGATGTTATTAACTTTTGAAGTCTAAATTAGTCTAACTAAAGTAAGACTCAAATAATTTGATGCAATTTAAAACATAAATTGGAAAACATAATTGAGTGGATTAGGCAATTACCCTCAACGACCAAATCCTTTGGACATGATTACACATAGAAGAATATATTAAAAAAAAAACTACCGTAACCCAAACCCAAACCCAAACCCATGAGGTGAGCTCGAAAATGTTACCGAAATTCCTCAATAATATTTATATTGATTCCTTTATATAAAGAATCGACCTTTTTGGTTTCTTTCTTAGGAACCTAAGGTATCTATGAATAATGATACATTCATGATTTATTCTCCAAGAACTTTATGCCTTTAAAGGTGCTATACAGAATATTCGAATAATATTAGAACCTTCTTTTTCAAAATTTTGGATACCTTCAAATATAAGAATAATGTTTTCTAATTCATTTATTTAATTTTTAGAAAAAGATTTAACTTATTTCCTTGATATAAAAATATTGAATAAATTTGAAAATTATCCTTCAAATAATCATCTTTTTATTTCTTCCTCATTTGTTATATTTTATATTTTCTTTTTGATTCCTACGTCATAAAATGCCTTTTAATCTGACATCATAATAACAAAAGATATATATTGAGGAAATAAACTAGAAAAATAAATTACAAAAAAAAATACAATTGATATTGGTAAAATAAAAGATTTTTAACTTAAATTTATTTACAATTATTTTGTAGGAAGAAAAATATTTCCTTTAATCTATAACTTATTTTATCAGCTACTTACAGAATTAAAAAAGCATCTAATTCAGCGTGCTTTGCTCTTGAAATTGGTAATAATTGAACCAAAAAAAAGAAGACTTAACAATTGGTTGATTTTGTGATTGGACAATTAAATTTTTGATATAACCATCGTATTGTTAAATAATCGTGCGCATGATGATTAAACCCTAGTAGGCTGTGTATGAAGACGATTTAATATAAACTAAATTAATAAGTTAGATTAAATTTAATCTTTAGGGTATATTGAAATAAAAGAAAAAAATTTGGTCTATAAGCTTTGTTTATATATTAAAAAATTGATCTCATCCTTTTTTAGTCAAAGTTGATATGTTTAAAAAAATTATAGAGTTAATTATTTTGGTTTTAATTTCTACTTCATATTTGATTTTACAAAGGAAATTATAGTATTAATGAGCTACTTAAAAAATTTAATAATAGGGCCAAATAATCCAACAAGAAGCAATCCAATTTATATAAATCCTATTAATATTTTTGTATTTGAGGTAAAATAGTTTGAGAAGTCAGAGCAAAATGTAATGTTAACAAAAGTAAATGCCATTATTGGTGCTTCATTCATTAATATCATCAACAATTCAAATTTTGACCTAATAAATTAAAAACAACTTATAACACAAACAAAAAATAATTGGCAAAAGAACAATAGTAGACTTTATATCAATGGTTAAGCTTGCATGTAAATCAAACAAAGCAAAAATACTAATTTTTTCAATAACATAATGGATTCAAGTTATTATTTTTTGACATTTTTTATTGTTTTACTCCTTCGAAAAGGTTATATGAGTAATATAACAAGTGAAGTTAAAAAAGTAATACAGATGCTAGTTGAAATCACTTATCGGTTATCTTTTAAGGTATTTGAATGTAGATAAAGAAGAACTTTGAAGATCAAGTCCCAACTATTTGTGCGAAATAAAATGATCGCTTCCGAGCTTAATTTCTTTGATTATACCTAACTTAACTATCTGTGAAAATTATACAATTTAATTGCTAGATAATTAAGGATTTTTGATTTAGCCTACTTAACTTTTTGATGAAAAAAGGGAGAAAAACAATTTTTTTTAAATATTAATTTATAAGCATAAATGAAAAAACACCCAATAAAGCATAATATAATTTAGAGTATGCAACCATAAATATTGGTGAGTATATCTGCATTAATCTCATATTCTTAAAATTTACCCTTACTGTCAAGATTTTATTAGCTAATCACCAAATCAAAAGTCTCAACCACTTTAAACTTCACCAACATAGGAGTTAATGTTACAAATTCTGATGATTAAAAATAGATGTATAAATTTTAAGGATAATCTACGTTTATATACTTAAGGTTCGCTTGGTATTACAAAACATCCAGAATGTCTAAAAACTGTAAAAACTATCCCGTTAATAAAAGAAATGCTCCAAAACTACCCATTCCAATCATCATACTCTGTCCAAATACTTACAATTTAGCTGTTGCCTCCATTTATTAAAAATTCATAACTTGAGGAATCATTAGTTAGATATCAGAACTACCAGGAGGAACTAGAATTTAGTTTTCATCCAAAAATGATGCATCTATAGAAACAGTTAATTTTGGCCTATCTTGTATCTTTTCAAGAAAAGTAATTGTTATGATATAATTAATATCTCGTACAGATTCAAGAATTATTGGAATTACTGGTTCAATCTTGATATTGTACTGATTTTTCTATATATTTTCAATATCAATAGACATTAAATCTAAGAAAGATTAATTAAATTCATTAAGTTTGACTTTCTTTGTATAGGTTAAACTGGTGTGTTAAGAATCAAATGATTGATTCAAGAACTTAAGAGAAAGCTCGGTAAATTAATAACATTGACTAAATTGAAGAATTGAAAGATTGCAATCCCAACCTTATTCAATTATGCATTCATTTGAGCATCCATCATTATTGAAAGTGTTTCCATCATCACAAAACTCATCATCTGATTTATACCCATTCCCACATTTAATGCACTAACCATCTTCAAGAGTCTAGTATTTCTCACATTCCTAACAAATATCTTCCTAACAAAGTAAACACCCTTAATTACAATTATTATCAATCTATTCTGTAGAAGGTGTAGGATCATTTGAAGTAGGTTCTTCTTATGGATTGCTATTATCTATGCATATTCTATCAACACAAGATTTGCAATCAAATTCACATTGGAACTAACAATAATCACAACCGTCATATGATATTTGATTTCCATCATCGCATTCCTCCAACCCTTAAACTATATATAAATCTCCACAAATCGGTTTGCATTGGTTCTCTATCAATTCAAAATGTTCTTCACAACTTAAGCACTCCTTTTGACTAATGCAATATTAACAATACGGCACACATTAAAAAAAACATTGAGAACATCCATCTCCATCTATTGAATTAGTATCATCACATTGCTCTTATGATATTGCAGCAATTAATCCATCTCCACATACTTATTAGCAGGTGCCATTAACTAATTACCATCCTTGAAGACAAACTTAACATATTCCATTTAAACAGCTCAAACACTCCATTTAACAGCTGAGTTGGCATTTAAAACATCCATTTAATTATTAATAGTTCTAATTCTAACAAATTTCTTAATTCACAACCATTCCATCATCACATAAAGGAATACATGCTCTACCATTCACGTTAAGTTTATATCCAATTTCACATTCGAAACAAACACTAAAAACTTTATTCTTACATTTTTCAATGTAATCTAAATTAGGATAGTTATTTTCGTAATTTTAATAATATTTAAAGTTGAATTAAATTTGATTAAATCTCTACTTTTTGAGGTAATCTGAGGCTTCTTAAATACTCTTTAAGTAAAATATTTCCACAAAATATTGATATTATTCATCATCATTCTTTTCCAAAACATTAATACATAATTAATCCTGTAAAATATAGTTTTGTTTACACTTTAAGCATGTTTCAAAATCACAAACATAACAATTATGTGAGCAAGAATGTTTGTACTCTTTTTCAAGATAGAACGGAATCCCAATTGAGTAATATTACGAAAAACTTTACGTTTGACATATTGGAAGTTTATATTATTCTCTTTTTTAAGGATTAGAAACTAAGTTTAATGGTAGACACTCGTTTTACGAATTTTATAATGAGTAATAATTCATCCTTTAAAGACATTTACCAAATTTGCATGACTCACAATTTAAAGGACAAGAAAATTTGCAGTTATGGCATCCATCATATGGATTTTAGTTTCCATCATCACATTCCTCTTAAGAAGTTAAAATATTATCACCACAAATAGGAATACAGCTCTTGTTGATTTCTATGTATTGCCATCCATCTAAACAGAGCATGCAAATCCCTCTTACGCAACTCTTACAACCCTAAACACAATCATAATTGAAAGAAAAACATCCATCAAAAGGGTTTAAATTATGATCGATACAAACATAATTTGGATGAATAAAAAGTTAAAAATCTCTAATTCCAAACCATGGTGCCCAAGATGTGTAAACACTAGCCATTGTAGTTAATACCGTAATTTTAATAACAGACTTAGTGTGGATATACTAAACAATATTGACATGCTTTATTGTCATGTAATACCAAAACCCATCATAGTTCAAATCGCTATTACTATAACTTATCCATCCCTAAGTGTAGATTTCTTGTTGTACAACAATATCATCTATTTTAATAGATATAGTTGTTGAGCCTGAATTAAAAATCATCACTTTTAAATTTAAACTAACGGCCCAATGATCTTTTAATTAAATTTCTTTTTCAAGATTATATCCCGAAGATTTATGATAAAAGAGGTCTATTGTTTTTATTTATTCATTTACCATGACAATTATCAATAGTTATTTAAATTGTACCACTAAACATCCATCCTTCAGAATTAATAGCAGAAATCATTTTTGAGTTGAAAGATTGCATTAATAGTACTGAAGTATGGCATTTCACAATATCACACGAGTGGCATCCACTAGGGCATTCCTCTATGAACAATTAAAACTCAGAAATTCCCATTTTACCAGATTAAGCAAAAATTACGATTTATATTGAAGATCGATTATGTAGGACATTTATTGACATTGTAGTTACCTCATCGTTTTGGGCACCCTTACAAATGTTTGTTGCACTGGGTGAACAAGAGTATTAATCATTGATTATGATTTCATTATCAAAATATATTAGCAGAGGATTATTTATCCAATTATCAAGCCTAAAATAAATCATCAATATATTACATCCATAATTAAAATTATACTGTGACTTGATAATGAACCTCAAGATTAAATGATTTATGAAGTAACAGATTATACTAAGTGCTCTAGTTGTCTAAAAATAAAATGTTTTTAGATCCACAAAGTACTACAGCCTTTTGATGATTTACATCTTTAGATAATATCGACCAATCTATATAACTCAATTTAGTATTACCATTATTTACATAAGTAAAACTATCAAAAAAGTTTTTATAAATGAGTCTTGTTGGACTTACACACTTCAAAAGAATAAATATTATCATTAATTGAAAATTCAGCACTCCCCTTGTGTAACTTATTTTAAATGCTTGGCCATTTTCCTAAATATAAATACAATTTTTCATTCCAGAATGATTTATACACCAATTTCTATTAATTAAATAACAATAGTTTAGTAGAATGTTTAGATTTATATCTTTATTAGAACTTTGTTGTACCACTCTCGATTGCATCTTTGGATTTCAGTTACTTGAGAATATCTCATGGCAAAAGTCAAAGAAAAATGATATTGTAAATGTGAAATACTCATTCTTATTTATTTTGAAATGATCTATCAGCAGATATAGACGAGTTGCTCTGGTATTTTGTTTTTATACTCAATGAAAATGCAGAGTAAGACACGGATAATATAAATCATTAAAAACTCTTGGAATTGTTTTCACTTCAACAATTCACATACTTTGGTTATGAAGAATATATAATATATTTGGAAATTGGGAGATTATTTAAAAAATTTAGAATAGCACAACATAAAACTAAAATCAAATGATCTATTCAATTTTTATAATTCTCTTCATTAGTCCATTTCTAAAATTCTCATAAGCCCAATTTAAATCCAACAATATTTTAACTGAGAATCTCTTCTAACTCAAAATTCAATTCTCTGAAAACGATAGAATAAATTTTTCTACCTCTTTANGATATAGTTGTTGAGCCTGAATTAAAAATCATCACTTTTAAATTTAAACTAACGGCCCAATGATCTTTTAATTAAATTTCTTTTTCAAGATTATATCCCGAAGATTTATGATAAAAGAGGTCTATTGTTTTTATTTATTCATTTACCATGACAATTATCAATAGTTATTTAAATTGTACCACTAAACATCCATCCTTCAGAATTAATAGCAGAAATCATTTTTGAGTTGAAAGATTGCATTAATAGTACTGAAGTATGGCATTTCACAATATCACACGAGTGGCATCCACTAGGGCATTCCTCTATGAACAATTAAAACTCAGAAATTCCCATTTTACCAGATTAAGCAAAAATTACGATTTATATTGAAGATCGATTATGTAGGACATTTATTGACATTGTAGTTACCTCATCGTTTTGGGCACCCTTACAAATGTTTGTTGCACTGGGTGAACAAGAGTATTAATCATTGATTATGATTTCATTATCAAAATATATTAGCAGAGGATTATTTATCCAATTATCAAGCCTAAAATAAATCATCAATATATTACATCCATAATTAAAATTATACTGTGACTTGATAATGAACCTCAAGATTAAATGATTTATGAAGTAACAGATTATACTAAGTGCTCTAGTTGTCTAAAAATAAAATGTTTTTAGATCCACAAAGTACTACAGCCTTTTGATGATTTACATCTTTAGATAATATCGACCAATCTATATAACTCAATTTAGTATTACCATTATTTACATAAGTAAAACTATCAAAAAAGTTTTTATAAATGAGTCTTGTTGGACTTACACACTTCAAAAGAATAAATATTATCATTAATTGAAAATTCAGCACTCCCCTTGTGTAACTTATTTTAAATGCTTGGCCATTTTCCTAAATATAAATACAATTTTTCATTCCAGAATGATTTATACACCAATTTCTATTAATTAAATAACAATAGTTTAGTAGAATGTTTAGATTTATATCTTTATTAGAACTTTGTTGTACCACTCTCGATTGCATCTTTGGATTTCAGTTACTTGAGAATATCTCATGGCAAAAGTCAAAGAAAAATGATATTGTAAATGTGAAATACTCATTCTTATTTATTTTGAAATGATCTATCAGCAGATATAGACGAGTTGCTCTGGTATTTTGTTTTTATACTCAATGAAAATGCAGAGTAAGACACGGATAATATAAATCATTAAAAACTCTTGGAATTGTTTTCACTTCAACAATTCACATACTTTGGTTATGAAGAATATATAATATATTTGGAAATTGGGAGATTATTTAAAAAATTTAGAATAGCACAACATAAAACTAAAATCAAATGATCTATTCAATTTTTATAATTCTCTTCATTAGTCCATTTCTAAAATTCTCATAAGCCCAATTTAAATCCAACAATATTTTAACTGAGAATCTCTTCTAACTCAAAATTCAATTCTCTGAAAACGATAGAATAAATTTTTCTACCTCTTTACACAATTTGTAACTTAAAAATTAACTATTAAAATATATATAGACTCAAAATTATTATATCAAATACTCATTACAAAATATTTCTACAATCAAAATATCAATTATCATAATGCATTACATATTAAAATTTTCTGCAAGGAAATGCAAAGTTGCATATATTCAGGAATTTAAAATATGTGTTATTTTGTAATCAAGTGAGCTTATCTACTTTAGATAAAAAGAGAATACATGTTATGATAATGATAATGAACTTTCTAAATCAGAAAAGTTGTAATATTTTATTGGATGGTTGTAGAGCAACAACAGCTTAAGTATCTATTTAATTAAAAGGACTGCAGAAAGTTCTTCCTCTTGCAATACTTACCAGGGTAAAAAAATTTTTTCCAATCAAAAATTCAAAATAATTTCAAGCTCATAAGTTTTTATTCTAATTGAATATATCTTATGGTGATAGTTTCTATAAAAATTTATATTCTTCAATTCTATTTAACATTTTTTTTTGAAATTAATCAGTTCACTTGAAAATGGTTTTGGAACTTATGATTTTCAGTTAAGATTGGGTATATTATCTTTATTTATTTAGTACTTTGATAATTAAAAATATTGATAAGTTATAATATTATTTATAAACTTAAGTAAATATAAACTTATACTTATCAATATATACCTGATTTGCTTTTTTTTATACTGTAGCTAAATATACAAACAAAATGAAAATAATATTTATCAATTTTCTTGCAAGGTCTTTCAATTTCATAGTGAGTTTATATATCTCATATTTGGATAAGAATATTTTTAAGAGGCTTGATTTGTTTCAATCTTTTCATATTGATTTAAATTTAATTATTCAAGTTGAAAAAATATTAGTTATTAAAAATCCAAACACTAAATCAAAATTATTTAAAACGCAATACAGTTTTCAAAGAGTCTTAGTGTGTTAGAGGAGTAGAATAATAATTATTTCAAAAGAGAATTAATTATATTTGAAATACAAAATTGAGAGGAATTTAGATTTGATCTCCTATTTCCCACAAAATTTTCAGATTTGTTAACATAAAAAAAATATTCAATTTCTCTATTTATATTCACTCATAAATTCAAAAGTTTGAATTTCAATTCACCACTTTTATTATGTGACAAGGTTGGAACACATATTTATTATAGCCTTCAATAACAAAATATAATACTCTTTATTGTCTTAACGTTTCNAATTTAAATCCAACAATATTTTAACTGAGAATCTCTTCTAACTCAAAATTCAATTCTCTGAAAACGATAGAATAAATTTTTCTACCTCTTTACACAATTTGTAACTTAAAAATTAACTATTAAAATATATATAGACTCAAAATTATTATATCAAATACTCATTACAAAATATTTCTACAATCAAAATATCAATTATCATAATGCATTACATATTAAAATTTTCTGCAAGGAAATGCAAAGTTGCATATATTCAGGAATTTAAAATATGTGTTATTTTGTAATCAAGTGAGCTTATCTACTTTAGATAAAAAGAGAATACATGTTATGATAATGATAATGAACTTTCTAAATCAGAAAAGTTGTAATATTTTATTGGATGGTTGTAGAGCAACAACAGCTTAAGTATCTATTTAATTAAAAGGACTGCAGAAAGTTCTTCCTCTTGCAATACTTACCAGGGTAAAAAAATTTTTTCCAATCAAAAATTCAAAATAATTTCAAGCTCATAAGTTTTTATTCTAATTGAATATATCTTATGGTGATAGTTTCTATAAAAATTTATATTCTTCAATTCTATTTAACATTTTTTTTTGAAATTAATCAGTTCACTTGAAAATGGTTTTGGAACTTATGATTTTCAGTTAAGATTGGGTATATTATCTTTATTTATTTAGTACTTTGATAATTAAAAATATTGATAAGTTATAATATTATTTATAAACTTAAGTAAATATAAACTTATACTTATCAATATATACCTGATTTGCTTTTTTTTATACTGTAGCTAAATATACAAACAAAATGAAAATAATATTTATCAATTTTCTTGCAAGGTCTTTCAATTTCATAGTGAGTTTATATATCTCATATTTGGATAAGAATATTTTTAAGAGGCTTGATTTGTTTCAATCTTTTCATATTGATTTAAATTTAATTATTCAAGTTGAAAAAATATTAGTTATTAAAAATCCAAACACTAAATCAAAATTATTTAAAACGCAATACAGTTTTCAAAGAGTCTTAGTGTGTTAGAGGAGTAGAATAATAATTATTTCAAAAGAGAATTAATTATATTTGAAATACAAAATTGAGAGGAATTTAGATTTGATCTCCTATTTCCCACAAAATTTTCAGATTTGTTAACATAAAAAAAATATTCAATTTCTCTATTTATATTCACTCATAAATTCAAAAGTTTGAATTTCAATTCACCACTTTTATTATGTGACAAGGTTGGAACACATATTTATTATAGCCTTCAATAACAAAATATAATACTCTTTATTGTCTTAACGTTTCTTTACAATTATAAGTTATCGCAACTTCTTGAAATTTCTTTCTATCCTATGCTTCTTTTACCTCCATGAATCTAATTTATCACTTAATTTCCATATTAATCCTGAGTTTGGTTTTACTGTTTTTAGGACTAAAATAATGAATGTCAAGATTTTTTCTTTGTATTTTTCATAATAAGCAAAGGCAATATCATTAAGGTAGGGAAAACAAAATTTAAAGAATATAAAGAGTATCAAAATCTACAAAATTCTAGCTTACACATATTCATTTTATTATTCACAAAAATATTATACTGCAGCTAAGAAAATAGCCATCGAACATAACTACCCTGAACTTAGATCCAATTTGTTTAATTTTGGATAAATGTAGGGCAGATATGATGAAGTGATCATTTAATAAATCATTAAGCACATTCCAATAAAGAATCCTTTTAAAAAAATATTTGTTTCAAAGTAAATCAAGATAACAATAATGATTGTCTTCTTCCATAACTTTACCCATTCCCAAAAAGAGCGATTTATGTTATATTCATTGAATAAATAACCAATGTGTCTTCTTAATGAAATTTTGTCAAATTAATCTCTTTTCTGATACAAAAACAACAATAAAAATAATGGTAAAATTAACCCTATGAGTAATGATACTGGTATTGCAAATTTATACATCCATGCCTAATGATTAGATGATTCAAAGAGAAGAGACACATCTCCTTAAACATAACTGATTGATGAAATTTCCCTATTAGCCAAAATGGAGAAAAGCCTTAAATAATTATAATGTCATACTGAGTTATTATTGCAGCTTAATTTTGAATATACAAGTAAATAAATGTAATTGACATTAAGTGATTGCGCAATTTTACTTTTGCTACTATAGAAAAAATGCTGACTGCTAATTAAATGATGAAGATTTATATAGCAATTAAAATAAAAATCACCAACACTCTCATATATATTAATTCTATTTCAAATGATTAGGAAAGTTTGCAATCTAAATTTCTGGTTAGAAAATAAGATGTATCACTTACCTAGTTAACAAAAAGAAATGAAAAAGAGAATTAAATGTTAAAAGTAAATATGACAGAATATATCCAAATATAGTTAAGAAATAATTTTAACATGATGCTTTCTTTATCTAAAAAGAATATTATAATAGATACTTAAATTCAGCTTAAACAAGATATAAGAGAATTTTTGGGTAAGCTTGAATAATGTAAACAATTAATTGGTGTTCTCTACACTAGTCAATGTTATAAGAGTAGAAAGAAATACCCTAGAGTAAGATTAATTCATTACCAAGCAGTTATAAGAAATAAGGACAACATGTTAATAGAAAAGTCGCTACAATTCCAACAAGTTAAATTATCATTTTTAAAATAAAATCCATCCCCTCTTTAATTATATTTATCACACTCCTCACATAATCCTCCAATATACCCAGTTTTACAAATTTCATCACCAACAACCCAACCACCTTTGCATGAATTGATATTTTTGAAGCATTCATTAACTAAATCTGACTCAAAATGAGGTCTCCAATATCCAGGTTTCAAGTTGATATTGTTAGATGTGATTGCTTCAAATTTAATCTTATCAAATATTGAACACTTTGTTGCATTGTATGTCACAGAGTAAAACCCCTATTTAGATTAACAAGTGACACAGCCATTTAAAACATAAAATTCTCCTAACTAACAAACTAGGCTTTTCACCTTTATAATATATGACATTTCTTCAATCTAATTTTTGGCTTTACAATAGATTTAAATTTGATACTCTTTTCCTGTTCGATTATAAGGATCCAAAGTCAAAATTAACATTCCTAGATCAAAATTATTTTTGGTTTGATTAAATTAAATTAGTGAAATATTGTTTGATTCTAATGTAGTTTGTTATTTAATATCTAAGATTTATTCAATAATTTGACAAGATGAACCAGTAAAATTAAGTAATTATTCATTAAATCTATTTTTAAATTAAATAGATAGCTCATTTATATATGATGTAAATTTCTTTTATTTTGGATTGTATAATTCGTATTTAGCTATCTCTTAATTGCTAGGAAGCATCAATGCATCTTCCTTTATTATTTGACCTTATTAAATAATTCGGTAAGGGTGTAATTTTAATATCTTTTATGAAATTTAATTATGTATCTAATCTGAATGCATAATTTGATTATTAATTGATAAATCTAAATGAGAAGGCTATTCTTGTAGATTATCTGTAGTTAATTCAGCTTTATTAAAATTTAAAAGTGATTCTACAAAGTTTATTTCATTTAAAACTTAGTCTCCATTTAAATACATTCCTCCTCCCTCCCTTGCTTTATTTTGTTAAATGTATGATGATTTTACTAAGAACTCTTAGTTATTTAGATCAAGATATAGCCCACCCCCCAACAAAGTTGCAGTATTATTAAAAATCTTGATGTTCAACAAATAAGCTTTCACATTACTTGAAGATAAAGCAATTCCTTAGCTACCAGTATTATTAATAAAAACAGAATTGATAATGGTAAACTTACCCTAAAGGTTTCTGTCTGAAAAAGAATTGATGCATCCAAATTGTTCTATCTTATTTCCTATACATGAAACATCTTGAATCTTGATATAAAGGAAATTAGTTAGTGAAAAGTAGATCAGACCATTTTTACAAGTCTTGCAATAATTATTTTAAAGAACTACAGATTTGAGGAATATTTTGGTTTGGTTATTTTAGCATTCTATGGATAAAATCGATCCAGAATTTGAGGAAACTGATTAAATCTATTCAAAATTATTTAATTTCTGCGATTATTGTGATTCGCTTGATGGAAGATATACAGCCTTTGATGTTTAGCATTATGAATATTCTATAAAGAAATTTGGATAAATGTAAGGGACTAGGTTCTAATTTGTAATATTAAAATAGGTTATTTTTTATATGTTCAGGTTTGAAATTTATATATTTGATTTAGATTATGCAACCTACTCAATATGCAGCAAATTTAAATCGTAAAACAAAGTAATTTAATCGAATAAAATATTAACTAAAGAAATCATTTTGCAATTAACTAAATTTATGATACCAGATAGTACAAATCCTTAAAATGTTAAATCTATTATCTTTAATTAGCAACCTTAAATATTAAAAATGGCATTGTCTTATGTTATTTTTTATGCAATTACTGGTTCAAATAGGTTAAGCTATCTAGTGAACTGCAATGATGCTTCTTGACTTTATTATAAAAAAATATTTTCAATAGTCACTTTATTTTAATCTGCATATTAATATGGAAATTATAATGCTAAAAATAAATTTATTAATGAGAAAGAATCTGAAACTAAGACGTTTCTTATGATAATATTGTTTAATGTATCAAATGGCTCAATAGATATGATTGCAGATGCCAACTTATTGTAAACGTTTGTAAAGTTAAAATTTTATAGTGTCAAAGTTAAGTAACTATTTTATGAGTTAATACTGATCGCTCCTTGTTATTCCTAATTTGATAGCAAATTGGTTTAAGTATAAGCAATAGAGCAATCACTCAGAATAACAATTCCGTTTCCTTTCGTGATAATATCCATAACTGAACTGCTTTTGGCAATGATGTATTGAAATAATCCATTTTTTAATATCAATTTATCAACTATCAATTACATTACTCCACCTTTATTTTTAATTGAAAGAATTTGTTCAATCATAAAATTAACATCAATTTGATTAAGATTGTCTTATAACTCAATTTCATAATACCTATTCCAGAACTCCTTTCTAAGATAATTATGATTTAAAACTTTAATTTATTCAACTTTAGCTTCTCTAGTACTAATAGTAATAAAGGAGTTAGACGAATTTGTTAGCGAGTTTTCAAAACACTAAATGTTATTAAGTAGAACAGAGCTATTAACAGAGTTAATGAACAACAAACTAGCAGATGTATATGATGGATCTATAATGTATTAATAATAAGAATTCTGCTGATACTATATATTCTCAAAATGAATTTACTAGACTTTATTAGAATATATGGATATGAGTGAAAAAATATTGCCTGAACTTATTTTCATCAAAATATTTTTAATAAAGGTGACATTTTATATAGTAATAGTTTCAGAATCTTCATTTAGGAAAGGATCATTTGATTGAATTTCAATAAGAGATTAATCTAAAGTGATCTGATTAATAAATTTTGATCAAATCCAAATAAAGACTCTAAAACCCTTTCACAAATAATAATTTTGAATATTAATTGGTACTAGATGCGCAATCATAATGAAGGGGAATCCTATATTCTAAAATTTCATTGTTCATAAGAACATTCTTAAACTGAATTTGAGAAATGTTGAACAAATAAAAGAATCTATAATGGAATGCATTAATTATAGATACATTCTAAATTAATATATTGGAGCTAGTGAGTTTAAATATATAATCTTCAATTTCAATTTAAAGATGATTATTATCCTAAAAAACTATGTTTGTTAATTCGGTTGAGTAGGTGATATTTTATTTTAATCAATAACGATTACTTAAAAATTTTGGTAGCTATTAGTGGATATCTCAATATCTTTTATTTTGATTTCATACTAATAATTATTTGAGTATTATTTTTCAAATAAAATACATTTTTTAAACACATTCTAAATAAGCGTAAAGTTAAAGATAAAAAGATCTTTACTAAATCTTATTAGCTGTGAATTGATAATCTAGTTTTCAATCATTTAAAAAGTGTAGATAAATAACATATTATTTTCGTAACCATCTATCAAAGTTGAATTCGAAAATGTTGAATTCTTAATTTTAATAGATCTCATAATTATTTTTGACGGGTAAATTTATTGTTAAATATTAAGAAGTGTAAAATTGTGAAATTCACAACGCTCAATTAGAAGGTTTTCAATTACAATTTTTTTTGAGTTAATATTAAAATAGAATAAAATAGTGTTGTTCATTATACAATCCAGCAAGAAAATGAAGTCTATGAAAATATTTTCATGATATGTAGCTGAATTTATCTAATATATCATTGAATTATTAATATTGACATTAAAGATTGATACATTGTGTAGAAAAAAGTTCTGATCGATAATCATAGGGATTGTAAATATAATGAATTTTTATTGATTTCCGAAAAAGCTACAATTTTAAAAGCTATAATCTATGGCTTTTCCATAATTATTAAATTGAAATGAAAGGTTATTCTCAAGATTTATTATAAGGTTTTTGAATTCTACTGAATTAAAGTTTTCTATTGTATATAATGATCCCATTTGTACACTTCCTGTTAATATGAGTTTTAATAGTTGAATTGAAAATATTTTAGCTTTAAAAACGCTTTTACTTTTATTTTAGTAATAGAGACATGGTTAAAACTAAAATGATAAAATGAATTATTTGAGACCAAATTCATTAAAATAGGAGAAGTTAAACTCGTTTTCATAGTAATTCGACGTTTAAGGATCGAAAAAATTAATTTCTTGTTCGCAAGCATAGTTTACCTTGATTTATCATTAAGTTTTACATTATATTCGAAGGCTGTATTGTTTTGATCATATATATACTGAGCAATTTAAAGATATGGATTAATCTGAACATTTAAGTTTGAAATGCTTTTTAGGCACTATGTTGTATATTAAGTGTTTGTTTTGTTAATTATGTAATTAGGATTTAGATTCTAAAATATCAAATTCAAAATACCATAATGCTGTCATCAGATCGAATTTGGCATACCTAACATAATGAAGGGCAAATTAAACACATTCCATTTTCTTAAACTCTATAGGGTTAATTGTAATTATCTAAGAGGCATAAGGAACAGGTATAAATTTCTGATATTTTGTCCTATTCGCATATTTAGCAATTTTAATCACAATATTTTATACATTTTCCTTTAAATAATGAATATCCATCCTTACACTCAATATTATATTGAAATAATTAAGTTAAAGCATAGGGAAAATTTTTTTAAGAAAATTGCAAAGAAAAACTTTGAACCAGATGCCTCCAAATATTTGCATCAGGAAACCTAATAAAAGTAACACCATTAGTATTCTAAGGAATTAAATTATAATTATATTAAATGGTGTAGCAAAATCCTGTGAGATCAGTGTAATATCCTTCCTCACAAATAAGACATCTTAAAATGGTTTAAATGTTCCTAAAACATTACTTACAATTTTAAATAATATTTTAACAATTAATAATTTAAGGAGCAACTGTAAAATCTTATACAGATGATAAGATACAGAGCTCTTTACCTTGCTGATTCACAAATGAACTAAGACAATTTTAGATTTATGGTTATCGAAGAATACATTTTCCTAAGGTGAAATCATAAAGAAATCCTTCATAACATTATGCGCAACCTACTTATACTTCTTAATCATTAGCATCAATTCTAACGTTTAAAAATTTGTAAAGTATGGTATTCTTTTAAATATCATCCTTTATAAAATCAAAGCAATAAAGACAATTCTAAATGGGACATAAAATACAGGTATAATAATAAGTTTGATAATAAGGAGTTTAGCATATTATAACATTTGAGGTCTGTATCAGGTTTAAAATTGAACAAACTCCATCTGATAATTTAAAGTTCATTACGCATTTGGTGCATTTAGGTCTAGAAATTTCAATTTAGCATTAAACACAGTTTGTAAAAAAGAAACATTTTTCCTTATCTAAATCTATGAGGCAGTAAGAACAAAATTTTGATAAATGATCAAAAGTTTATAAGTAATCTTAATAAATACCTTAATCCAATTCTTAATTCTCTCTATGTTTTAAATCAACTCCATCAAAAAAGTACTTTCCTATCCCATCATCTTGTTTTGTAAAAGGCCTATCATCGCTATCAGTTACATAATTATATTAACAATATGGGTTGTTTATCCAAGTTTTTGGGTTTGTAATACACTCTATACAAGTTATTAACCTATTTCGTATTTTAGAAGGACTAAAATTATTTAGATATAAATACCATTTACAGCATTTATCTTCACATTCAAAATATCCATAGGAACACTTGAATCCATCATTATTTTCTTTGGAAATAGTTAATTAAAATGCTGAGTAATCTTTGCATTCTCCATCTAATTCAATTTTTCCATAAGGACAAATGCAAGTGTTCTATTTTTGATTATATATCCTTTTTGTTGAGGGATCACAAGACAAACAATCATATTTAGTTGGGCCAATACATTCAAAACAGGATAAATGACAAATTTCTAAATTAATATCAGTTTCACAGTTATAAAAAACCATGCTTACAATTTAGGTTGATAAATAGTTGGAACTCTACAACAAATTACCTCGTCCTATTTTAAATATTACCAAATTAAAATGATTAACAAAACTCTCAAAAGAATACTCTTTAATTTTTTTTCCTTAGTAAAAGTTTATTTACACTTGTATAGATTTGGGGCTTTTCTTAACTCTTAAATAATGCCATAATTTTATATCTATATCTATATCGAATACTTTGGTAATTAAAAAAGGATTATCCAATTCATTGATATTTACAGTGGGGAAAGTGTAGCTATATGTAGTTATAATAATCTGATTTCTGGTTTCAGTTAATTTATATAGAGTTAAAAAGCAGATAAATCATCACCAGATAATTTTGAATTTAGAAATTATCCAGATATTTTTATTAATTTATAATACATTTCTGTAAAAAAGTTATTTATTTCTTTAATTCTAATCCATGTCTAAAAATTAAATTAATCGCAATTCAAATTTTCAGATATTATCTATTCCTAGCTCAGTTTTGAAATTGTAGAATCAGGATATGAAACTGGTTTCAAAGTGCATTTGCAAGCGAATTTAAAATTTTTAAATAGTGATTTAAATGTTGTTATCGAACAGTATTCTACTTTATTTATCTAATATGGATTATAGTATGTTAAGATCCCTGGAAAATAGGAAAGCTTAGATATTTATGCATTAAAAAGAGGTTGATAGGGATATAATTCTAAATCTCCTCCACAAAATAATATTAAATTTGCATTATAAAATGGATATTTAAGATTATATTCTTAAGTATTTTACTCCTTATCATTTTTGAATAAAATTATAACAACTTTTTATTCAATAAATTTAATTATTATGCCCAAAAAGTACCATTATGATTCATATTCAAATATGTTTATTTAATATGAATGTTTGTAAATTTGACCATCATCTCCTATAAATATATATGACTTTTCAATTTATTTCTTGTCATAATCAATACAATCATATTGTATAAAGTTTATATTATTTGATTTTAAATCTTTGATACTATGTATATGATAGCAATTGCTATCTAAAATTCCAATGTTTCCTAATTACATAATATTGCTTAATGGATTATATTTAGAAAAGAATCCATAAATTATGCATTAAGTATTATAATTAATATCATTATCCATATTAAAGGTGATATTAGTAATTTGATTATATGGTTGTAATTTTTGTATATCTTATGTTTCTATCAGTTAAAAGATGGAGGAATATAGCAAAATGAATTAATTTAGTAATTGCATTCTATTAAATAATTAATTAAGATATTAGCATTTAGAATTTAATATACCATTTATAAAATAATTGAAAAATTATTGTTTAATTAGATTTAATTAATTATTGTAAAAGCTCCATGCCAACAAGTCGAAATTGAATATATTCCTTTCAATTATCTTATATCAAGAAAATTCATTCAAATTAATTATATAGAAGTGATCTAATAGTATACGATCAAAGAAATAAATTTAAGTAAACGTTATGTATAGATAGAAGGATTTTAATTCTTAATTTTGATTTTCAACTGATCATTAAGGTTTCTTAATTAAAGTCTGATTCTTGTCTAAAAATATTTAAATATTTTATTCTCTTATAAACAAATAATTTGAAAAGAATCACTTGATAATTTACACACTTCAAAGGAAAATGGCATCTACATAATAGCTTTTTATTACCTTAAAAATTGGAATCAAACAAATAAATGTGTTAAAAGGAAATTGAGTTGAAATAGCAAAAAGTTTAATTTTCATGACTTAAGGACATTGAAGATAGAGAAATCTTTTAACTTAATACGTTGATCCCAAATTTGGCGAGAAATTTAATGTATAATGTTTACAAGAAGATATTATAAAAAAAAATGCTGTTAACTACTTTTGCTTATCACACCTCAAAGACTATTAAAAACATTAATATTAATAATTAAAAAATAAATAAATATCATCTTTTATTTGAATCTATCTGTAATTTCTGGACATTTTTAAAATTATTTTATTTTTAGGAATTTATTAAATATGTATAAAATATAATTATAAAACAATTAGACTCTAGAAAAATAAAAAAATACAATCATTAGAACCCATTATGAATTATTTGTATAAAACGATGAGTAATATATCAATATCGTTTCTCCACCAAAAGAAGTGTGTGACAATCATAAATTTCAATTTATATTTAATATTTTATTATACGATAAGCTCAATCTCTTTATTTTCCTAATTACATATATGCAACTGGTTTATGAACATTGAAACATTCTGAGAATCTTTCTAACATTTATTTGCACAATTTCATATCAACTTAAGTATTCGATATATCCATGCATTCCTAGATTTTGGGGTGGTAAGTATTATTACTTCAATTTTAGGATACTTTTCTTTACATTTAGCTTCTGCAGCCTCATACGCTAGCAAATGATTATTAGGCTTAAGTTTAGATGAATTGCTCATAAATATAATTATTAAAAACTATAATCAATAAAATAGGTTATCAAAAATTTAAAGTTAAATAAATTTGTCATAACATAAATTATAGAACTTATTGGAATAGCAACAAAGGGATTTGTAATGGGAACATCATTTAGGAAATAATCCAATTAGGATGGCTTCAATTGTGTATAGTTTTGGGATGAATTTTATTTCAAAGCTAAAATTATCATGATTGACATATTAAATTAAATAATATAAAAATAGAGAGGGACATTAAGCTCATTGATTATATTAGTGTTATTTAGCTGAATCTAAATCAATAATGAGTGTTATAACCAAGATTAAGGTTGATCAAGTGAGAGTGTAAATACTTATTAATCATCCTTCTTTTTTCGTTAATTGTTATCCTCATTAAAGTATAAATTATTAATAAAAACTGTAATTATTTTCTCACTTATAACTTATTGATATTTTCTGATAATTCAAAGTAATTGTTGCAATGATTTAATTTCATTAAAGATATCACTTATATTTGATTAGAATCTTCTATAAATCATATTCCTATCACTAATTCCTAAATCAATTTTAATCTTCTATCTTAAAGTGCATATTCTTGATTATTACATATTTGTAGTATTGTATTACAAAATTATTTGAAGTAACATTATAATTTATTATAAAATTGAAACAATTAAAATTTCATGTTAATTATCGATTTCAAATTCTTTTTTTTAATTATGTCCTTTTTTATTAAATTCACAGGCAAATATGAATAATGTGTAGATTAAACAGGTCACATTTGGATAATTGATATATGGTGGAAATCAATTAGAATCTAAATTCAAATCGACGTTATTCATAAATTTAGGATTTGAAAAAAGAAGACATCAAATGCCTACAAAATAGAAATTAAAGCTTATCGATTTACTCTAAACAATTTAATTCAATAATTAGAGTATACAATTATATTTTTAATTTTTCAATAAAATTAATGGTAATTCTGGATAGTAATTGATTTTTGCGTTGACTCTAGAAATGATATTAGAGATTGATTCCCTATATTTTTCATGTTATCATATCGAATTCTCTCCATGTTTGTTGTCTAGTATTGTTATTCAATATTCCTTTTCAGCCAATCATAATTGAGTATATCAGATTAAAACCCCCCCATAATACAAATTCAAAATTAAATAAAAATATAAATAATAATGGCAAGAACAAAGCAAACCGCAAGAAAGAGCACTGCTGGTAACAAGAAACCAACCAAGCATTTGGCTACCAAGGCTGCAAGAAAAACAGCCCCAGCTGTTGGAGCAACTGGAGGTTTAAAGAAACCCCACAAATTCAGACCAGGAACTGTTGCCTTGAGAGAAATCAGAAAATATCAAAAATCAACTGAGCTCTTGATCAGAAAGCTTCCATTCCAAAGATTAGTCAGAGAAATTGCACACGAATTCTAAAAGGAACTCAGATTCTAAAGCTCAGCTGTTTTGGCACTCTAAGAAGCTGCTGAAGCATACCTTGTTGGATTATTTGAAGACACCAACTTATGCGCTATTCACGCTAGAAGAGTTACAATCATGTCAAGAGATATCTAATTAGCCAGAAGAATTAGAGGTGAAAGATTCTGATTAATGAATCCTTATGAATTCAATTAAATTAGTAATTTTGGCAAAAAATTGTTAATCTTCAATTTGCATATACCGAATCTCTTATTTTTAATAAGATTAGAGGTATCTCTCCCTTTTCCCATTAAATTCATAATATTAGAACTGGCCTACCTATTATTTATTTCACTAATGAAATCATAATTTGAGAAAATAATGTAAACTTTTTAACGTCTAGTTCGATATATATAGCAAATATTGATAATTTAAGATTAATATACATATAATTACTGAATCTTATATTATCATATTAGATTTGAAACTATTTATTCAATATAATGGGTTCTACTCAAAATCGTTTCTTATTTCAAAAGTAATTTTATCTATGATAATGATTATCTATACATTTTGAAATTTCTAAAGATGACAATTAGCATTAAGGACAGTCCAAAGGAAAGATTGAACAACAAACTCCTATTGTATGTAAATGATTTTGGCAATGGGACAATTATTATTAAGTGTTATATTCTGTAAAAGGGCTATTACAAAAGGTACAATATTTTGAGTTATTTGATTGTAAGAGCATGTACTCAATATCAGAATCATTTTATCTTTGAGAATTTTTCTGTATTTCTTTTTCATAAATATGAAGCTATATATTTTCAAAAAAGAGATCAATATCATTCTCTTGTAAACTATAATAGCAAATAGGGCATTTGCATTTCCTCAAGTTCCTTACAAGGCCTTCTAAACATTAGACACAAAATGAATGACCACAAAAATTTGTAAACAATTAAGTAGGTTCCTTAACATCATCACATTGATTACATTTAGATTCAAATTTATTTTATTTTTTTTTTTAACATTTAGGATGAAGGCATGTATATTATTAATTTTTAGATTTTAAGATTTGAGCACACTTTGGGCAATAGCAATGGCCACAACTTGCCTCAAATATTTAATCCATGCAATCTTTTAAGCAATTGCTACATTGCTTGCTCTGTATTTATTTAGGCGTATTAACCTCCTCCTATTTCTAATTTTAAGGATAATTATCACGCTTTCCAGTGCTTAAATTAGAATTTTAACTATTTTTTAATGGATATTCAACAGTATTAGGATTTTCAAGCCTAATAGGCTATTCTGTTTATTCAATTTGATTCTTTTACTATTTCTCTAATTCCTACTGAGTTTTAATTGATTGCTGTAACTTCCCATTTTCCTAATTTGTATTTTTCTCCCCTTTGTTTTACTCAAGTTTACTTGAGGATTAAAGTTGCTTATTATTAATGTTGTCTATTTCATTCTTCTCTTCCAAACTAGCACTATATAATTCCTACTTCTTTTCGACTTTATTGACACTTTATTTAATGGAAAGATCACTTTGTTTAACTTATTACTGTTTTAAATCTTGAGTTTTTGGCAATTTCATTTGGAGGTATTAAGTTTTCTCTATTTTTAATAAACAACCTTTTGTGAAGCAAGAAACACTAGTAGCATTTTTCCCCTCAAAAGAATTCTATATACAGGAAAAGCAAGCAAAATGATTACATTTAAGTTTCTGTAAATTTTATTATCCATTGCATTTACTACATGAAATTGAATTTTCCTAAGCATTAATCAGAATATAATAATTAGGCTCAGATCTATAAATGTAAATAGTTGTAGCTCCTACCTCTTAGAGTTTAGAGTTGGTTTTTGTATCATAGATCACTAGTCTTATGTTAAAATCCTGCTCTAACAATTTAACTTTGTTCTTTAAATCTTTAATTTTGTCTTTTTCATTAGAAATACCTTTATTTTGAAAATAATCCCTCATCAATAATTCCAAATTTTTAATTTATTCCTTTGTCTCTCTCAAAATATATTCTAATCGCTATTGCTAATTTTCAGAATTTGAAATAATTGTTTTAATTTTTCCAATACTATTCGGTTATGCTTTCTCATATATTTTTTTAATATCTTCTACTTTATTGACTTTAATATGATACTCTATTAATCCTATGAACAAAGCACAATCTAGACTTGAGCCAACATTTATGCAATTTTTAAAGTTGCTGCATTAAACTTATATGTTTTTTTGTATCGGACTAATTTAAAACAACGAAGCACTCATTAAATTATTAATAATATATAGATAATATTTTGACTCATTTATCAATTAATCAATAATACAACTAGCATTATAAAACTAATCTATTTTACATTGATAATCTTTTACAGATTCAGTATTGAAGACTACTTTAACAGAATTGGATAACTAAAAATTATTTAGATCGTTAAATAGAAAGTTGTAAATTAAAATTTTATCTATTTATTTAGTTTTGCTTCGGTTCTTTCTATGTACCTAACTATATCACAGATTTTATTGGAATTTTGATAGTACTGCTTGATTTGTTATTTCATTTCCTTCATTATTATAATGCAATCTATGTGTTTACTTTTTTCATAATTCCTTTAGGAATCTATATTTATTTGAAGTCTTAAAGATCACGATGTTATTTTATAAAAAGTATTAATTAAAAAAATAATTGGATCATGTCTTAGTTTAGTCTACATTATATTTCTTAAGAAATTCTTTAGGAATTCTATCGCTTGTAGTCTAATAATTATTAAATGGGATACCAATGTAGAGACTTAGTCTAAAACTCTTTCAATCGGAGAGAAGACAACATTTGCTATTTTGAATCCAATTCCTTCTGTCATTGTGCTACAAACTTCAAAAGGCTTTTTGGCCAAATAGACAATTTCATCTCCCAGTGCTTTTGCCAATGGAATAGATCCTGAACACACTCCAGTTATTAATCCTTATCTAATTATGGTTGTGAACATAGTTTATATTCTAAAAAATGATAATATTGATACCCCGATACTATGTTTGTGAGATTTTGAAAGGCTTTGAAAGAAACGATCAAATTTGAAATCAATTAGGAATCATTTCTTAACAAATGTTAGTATTAGTCAAACAAAAACTTGATGAAATCTCCATCCTTCTCAAATATTAGATTATTGATTTGAGCTCTCTTTAAAAATATTAAGAGGTTATCATACGAAGCCAGTCTGACCAATCCTTTCAATTTTCCATCCAGTTTGACACCACTTCCATCGAATGTAATGTAACAATAGATTCGTTCAATATTCAAGAAGTTCACCTTCATTGATTTTTCTAATTTAATATATTATATTACTTAATTCACTATTTCTTGAAAATGTAACTTAATAGCCTTCCTGCACACAAAACTCAATTATGGACTCTTTATCGTTTCCTACGTTCAATTTACTCAACATATCCACCTTCGGATTCAATTGTTATGGACTATTAACTGTATCCAGCATGAATTCCAATGCTTCTCCAGAGACGCAGACTCTAAATGGAGCAAATTTGGCGTCTAAATCGATCGAATTATTGGGTTTATCAATTGAGTAAAAGACTTCTGCAAAGTTCATCTCTTCAAGCAAAGGTTCCTTGCCAATCAATTTGGTAAACTTGGAATTGTGGATTTTATCATTCAATTGAAAATTCAATAATGTTAAGTAAAATTGATTGATTTCTCTTTAGGATGGTCCACAACATACTAATTTTAATTCTTTCATGCTAAAAAGAATAAAATCGCATGATTAGTCATTTGTTTGAGGAAACTCTTCTAGATGCAATAAATTTGAGTGTTCAAGATAATACTATTCTTAATTTTCTTATGAGCATTCAACATTAATAGGGTTGGTATCACTAAAGACTTCAGGTGGAAAATGCTAGCCCACTTGTAATTTGATTTCAAGGTTCTTGAGAACAATTTCTAACTATTTTTTATCAGGAGTGTTTTCTGTTGCAGGTAGTTCAGTATCATCATCATCAAAAATATTCATATTCTCATTCGGAGTGTACAGATGACCATCTTATAAGACATAGATCTAATTCTCATTTTGTTATTCAGGAATGATCTTTTTTATCTTCTCCATTGTCATTGATGCGATATCCCATAGACTGATGATGGAATCTTTTTTCAGATTCCCACCTATTTACCCAATATTAATTAAGTTTCCTGAAAATGTTACTCCTTTGATTTTAAATAACTTTTAAAAACATAGTAGTCTCAAGAGTCCTTGTTCATCCTTGTCGATTTGGAATCCATCTGAGAATTTCCGATTTTCATCAAAAAGTCCAATCTTAGGAGGAACCAATAGGATGGGATTTAAGAAACTTAGATTGGCATGTTTAATATCTTTGGATGTACTTTTAACATAGATTTATGCAGAACTCAAATGAGCTTATAAATCACTTGAGACAGTTGCACTCTTAATTCTGATTAGTATCCTGATCCAAGAATAATACAACTGTTCAGGTTGGATCGCAATTATAGATTTAATAGGTGCTTTTTTCATTAAATATTGTCTTAATAGGGTTGATCTCCTATACGTTGGTAAATAGTTGAGCCAGATATTTGAGACGGTGAATGTAAAATTGGGAATAGAATTTTTTTAGGGCAGTTTGTTCTTTTGAGGAACCAGTGTTTATTCCCACTTCTGAGCCAATTCTTTGAGGTTTGTAATGGTTTCAATCCATTATTCATCCACTTATATGATTCCATGTTGATATTGAATATCAATTTTCTTGTTCTTAATAATGTTAACAATAAGTAAATTGGTGCTTCCTTTCAAAATATCCAAGCAATCTGGATTTAGGTATTGACTAATCTTCAACTTAATAGCTGTATATTGGAAAGCCATATCAGATTCTGATTTGATTGTTTCGTTTTGCACAAGAGTTTTGAAGCCTTCTCTGTTGAAACGTTCTTATTTATAGAATAGGACTTGATTTGCTTAGTACTTTTCATTTCTGAAATGGAGTACTTAGAGTGGCTGATCTGTTTTAGTATCATTAGAACTGCCATAAATGGGGATGTCTTGTTTAGGTCCTTTGCAATTCCAATTTGTATCAATGATCAAACAGTTATACAATGTAAGCATAATTTCATCTTGGCCTTTAATTTCTGATGCAAATTTGGATGCATGTAAAATAAACCTTGCTTATTGAGGATTAGTTGATTAATCTAAATTAATTTTAACAATAATTTCATCAAAGAGTAATCGAACAATTTAATTGTTCCCCTATTAATTTGTGTTCGATTATCGCAATCTCCTTTGAAAATCTTTAATTACAGTAAATAGAGTCTTTACATATTCCATGTAGGACAGATTAATAAACATTTAAAGCTTTGGTATAGCCACACGCACTTCTTTCGTATCCATCAGTTTGATGATAGGCCTTATCAAAATTTAGCCATGTTCTTATGCTCCTATTTCAGCGATTGTTTCATCATGAAATACGTACTTTATTCTATCATACTCCTTCATTAAGCATTTAATTGAATCAAAGGTAATGAAACCAGAAGAGGACTATTGTATTTAGAGATCACTGATGTCGAATGTGAAATATGACATTTTCTATTATTAATGGATGACACTGCTGCTATTTGGATCATTCTTGATGATTTATTATAGGTAATAGAACTCTGCATAGTCCGATTGTTATATTTGAACATCAAATTAAATACGATGGATTGTAATTAGATTCAGATTGGGAATACTCTTGATTTGCTTCTTTTCGTGGTTGATTTTAAAGATCTCTTTGAATTCAAGGATCTCATCGATATTTACATTAATATCTATCTGCTTGATTGAGATCGAGTGAGAATGATTGAGATGATGCATTTAAATTTGCAAACCATTCCCTAAAGATATAATTTTATCATTTTGATATATGAACTAATTGCCTACTTTTGTGATTAATTGTTGTTACTCCTTGCTGTCTACAGAGGATGATGATTCCTTAAAGCCATCATATAATTGGAGCATGCATTTCCTCTTATAATAGTAATTCCCTTCTTCCTTGATGAATTCGTGCTTCTTCTTCGTAATCTATTCCTCGACGTCATTCTAACTCAAATTATAACAAGAATGGAATATTTGACTATCCATAGTTTAAGTGTTGTTGAAACTCCCATCAATTACACTTTAAAAGATGTCTTGACCACTTTCATCCTAAAAACTCTGATCATCAACTATGTTCCCAGAGAAGATATTGCAATATTCATAATGAAAGAGTTGAATGATGGGAATCTCAATTCTGGTTTATTTGATTGTTGTGACCTGCTATTGAGTAACTTCTTTGTTCATCAACCAATTGAGTTAATCTACTTCTAATTCGTAATAGTTAGTCTTCTTCAAGTTATCCACATTCCATTTATCTATTATGTTGTGTCTTGATAATCTGACTCTTATTTTCTGAATCTTCAACTTAAAGATTAATTGATCCTCATCCAATTCCTCCAATCCTTGCTTGTCATCTTCATCATTAATTAATTCTTTGAAAACAGACACTGAGAACATGGATTGTTTCAATGTGCTCTGATTTAAATCACCGAGGTTGGATTAATATAGAATTGATTAATTTAATCCCTCAATCTGAGACTCCTCCAATTGCTCATTGTCTTCTTCCTCATTGAACTGACTCTTATCTAAGGCTTGCTCCAATTCATCATTAAATTCAACGGTTACTTGGTCACTCAATGACTTTTCATCTACATCACCCACTTTCTCTTATCCTTTCTCATCGCAATACGAATAATCCACTTTGGATTCACACCAAGTAAATTAAAATTCCGGAGTCGCCTACTTAACGGATTCAATGATTATTTTATCTTGAGACTAGATCAATTTATTATGCTCCAAAATGCTCATAATCACTCTTGTTGCGACCTAGAACTACTTGTAATTGAAGTTCATTTGCATCAATCTTATCGATAGTGTACTATTGAATTTCAACCTCTCCTTTAATTCAGTCTTCAAATGGATTACCACATGTTAATCGTACTTGTTCGTGTATTGCTATTGTAAACTAAATATGCAGGATTCCTTCTGAAAATTATTGGGATCAAACAATTAGTTCGATTCATTAATATGCACAGAACACCCTCCAATAATCACAGTACTGACCATTTAATCCTTTTCTTCCTGCAGTTTCCTCACTCTCATACTAATTTGATTGATAGCCAATGACAGTTTATCCGAGTGGATTGGCTCAACAATATGCAAAACCAATTTATTCACCGTAAATGTTATTTTCTATAAAAACTATCTAATGATGTTCCAGGCATTCTAATTCCCTTTATTGGAGGTCTCACTCTTCACTTTATAGGTTTTAATTAAGTCATCTTTCATCTCCTGCAGCTTATCTGCAGTCATCTTTTCCTTCGTGTAAGTCTGTACAAACAATCGATATTATTCGATAGTCTTGAAGTTCAAAGTGATTTCCACTTCCTAGATTAAACAAGTTAGTTTCTGCAAATCCAATTTCAATAGTGATATCGATCCGGATTCCAAAACAAAAGGTACATTGGGAGCCATATGTTAATTCAGAGAACTCACATTTAGTGTCAAGTTCTTCAATCCCATTTGAGTGAATTACTCCTTCTTAATCTCTTCATTGAAGAAATTTCCCATATATTTTTTAAAAATTGCATTCAACCATGGAATGAGCAAATTCAAGGGATTGGTGCAATCTCTCATTTTATTATACTAAAAATGCAAATCTACACCATTACCACGCTTTCTTTGAATTTTTTTATCATCTTGTTCTGGTCTTTGAAAATCCGTCTAAATAATAAATAATTAATAATGCAATTCCAATTTCCCTTATAAAAAGCTCTTTAAACAAACTAGAACGGAATTAATGTAATAAGTGCCTCGAATAGCCGAAGAAACTGCTATCTAGACGAAGTAATAGATAGGATGGGCGAGGCATCAGCCATCGTAAAAAATCTCCCAGATATATTATTAGGCCCAATAATTAAAATAGATCATTACGACTGCAAGCAAATTCTACGGGAGTGATCAAAGAATTTACTTGAAAGCAGATGGCAAAGTACATTATTTCAGTAACATCGTAGGATTGTTTAGGCTTGTTAAAAGTCGGCAAAAAGAATCTATTTTATAGGGATTACAGTGGATCAATTAAAGAATTGTAACCGCTTTGTGTATTGGATTTTTATGTTCATGAAAGTGTTTAAAGGATGGGAGTGGGCAAGGAATTATTCGAGGAAATGCTGAAGAGTGAGCAGATCAAACCTGAGAAATTGGCATATGATCGACCAAGTCAGAAACTCATTGGGTTTCTTAATAAACATTACAATCTGAACTAATATGTGCCTCAGAATAATAATTTCGTTATTTTCAATTAATATTTTGGGCAAGGGACTCAACCAATTGTGCAAGGAAGGAGTCAAAAATATTCCAGGAATTCTCAAATCGATCAATTGGATATTATGGTGCAACAGATTTCTCAGAACAAGATGAATTAATAACAATAACCCTAATAAAAGTTAGGTTATTAAATGAGTCCTCCTTGGGCAATCGATAACAACACTAATATTTATAATAATATCAATACACAACGAACTAATGTTTATAAAATTAATTGATTATTAATATAAACAAACTAGAGTATAAATAAGTCAAACTTATTTCCATTGATTCTAGATTTAATTTTTGTTAAATCTTAGTATCTATCTAATTATAGACTCCAATACTAAATTGAAAATTCAGTTATATTGTTATTATTTTTGATGTCCCTCAATTCCCAAAATGAGTGTCATTTCTCTCTGGACATGTCTTATCTGATCCATTCAAGGAATGCTATCACAAAACTAATATTTCTCCTATATAAATGAACCAGTTCAAGACAAAACCAATTATGTCCAAGAAGAATTCGACCCCAATTTCTTGGACTCAATTAAATTCTCAGCTCCTTTCAATCTAAAATATAGATGAAAATAACCACCAGAAAATGATTACATTTTACACAACTAACCATCATGGCTGTAATGAGCTTTTATGGCTACTTTCAAGAATTTGTTGTTGAAAATTGAAATGAAAACTATAGAATCAGAAAGTGATCATCTAAAATTATCTATCCGATGGGACAATCCATGTTGCAGAATACTTACAACTATTTTATAGCCTCGTAATCAACTTTTTTTAAGAGTGATAACATGACTACTCCTTTTTAGATGTTTAGATTATAAAATTGTGATTCTTACACTAGGGAAAGCCTCTGGGTCTACCAGAATAACTGCCGAAAATTAAAGTTCTTAATATCTATCCAACTGATACCAAAAAATATAAAGAACGTTTAGAAGTCAAATTAGAGGGTGGGCATCTTAATGGAGGACTCAGCAAGAATTTTCAATTATAGAAAAGTGTTTTTGTTTGATATAATTTGTGATGACTCTTCAATTGAAGGATAATTAAATTATAATATTCTTAATTAATACTAAGCTTATGTTAAGTGAAAGAATTTAGAAAGAAAATTCTGGATGTTAAGGAGATAGACAATTTCCAAGTAGCCAATCCTATCTCACTATCCAGGAAAAACCTTGAAGATCGAAGAATTTTATAATCCTCATGATTTGATTAGTGGGAACACTGTCAAAATATGTGGAAGACCTCGAGAAATAGTTGAAAGGATTGTATTGATTTCAATGAACTGTCTTAAGGGTAATACGAGATCGATATGGGAAGGACTAGGGGGAGAGAAAAAGCGAATCGCAGTAATTTAATGTAATTTCAATATAATTATATATATTTTAATTGTGCTTTGAATGTCACTAACTTAATATATATTTTTAACATATTGATTTTTCACCTATATGAATCTGACTAGATATAATTATTTGCATAATTTGGCTTTCATCTAATAAAGAATCAAAGAGGCGAATTATGTTGCTTTAGATTTTGAATTCACAGGTGTGCTTGCTTCGTCTTTACTAAGAAATTCTCTCCTTGATTCTGTACACCACAATAAATTATCAAGTTTCAAATGAGATATTGGAAAGTCAAGGAAAATGTGAGACGTTTCCTGCCAATTCAAATGGGTCTATGCACTTTTAGAGAGGATGCCAATTCTAATAATGTCATTGCACATCCATTTAATTTTTATATCTTTCCCTACGGCGTTGATGGGTATTTAGACAAGCAATTCCAATTGAGTGTAAGATTCATGAACAAAATTAATAGAGCAACTCGATTTCATTTCTCACAAACAATAATTTTGATTTTAATCGGACTTTTAATGAGGGGATTCTGTATTTGTCACACCAAGATGAGAAAATTCTGAGAGACACCAAAAGAATCCAAGACTTGAGAAATGAAATTAGATATTTGGATAAAATTGTAACATTCGAAATGATTAATTTTGTAAAACAATACAAAGTTTAAGTGGAGCAATTCCTAAAAGTCAGCAACGATCCTTAGTTTGAAATACCCGTCAAAAGACTCAAGGTCAAAGTTTATAGACATTTCATTGAGAGTGTAACTCCAAATCAATTAATTATTTATAGATTAAGAAAGAGTTTGGCACGAGTTTTGAATTCTATTGCAAATTTGATTCAGATATCCTGGTAAAGAGAGAAATACTGTATATTGTGAAGGGGCCAGAACCACCTGAAGCCAAAAAATAAAATGTGGAAGAAGCCAATGAATTTGCAGGTGTTAGAATTTTATTGGATCAAATAAGTTAGTAGAAGACTCCCCTTGTTGTGCACAATGGTTTGATGGACATTATGCATGTAAGAAATAGGTGTTATATGAAAAGATTTATGATAAATTTTTTGAGACCCTCCCAGATTCAAGAGGTGAATTCATATAGAAGGTGAATTCATTATTTCCAGAGATTTATGATACGAAATTTCTAATCAACTAAAGTTACAGTGTATACAATAAGGTGGGATAGTTTTCTGAACTCAAGAACAGCTTCATTAATTTATAAAATTTGGAACCTAGTGTTGTTTTTGGTGATGAATGTTAGGAATACAATAATCCTGAAGAGAATTAAGCATTTGAACATGAGGCTGGATTTGATTCATACATGGCTGGAAGTGTCTTTTATAAGGCCAAAAAATTGATGAATCTTGATTAAAAGAAATTAGATCTATACAAGAACAAAGTTCCTTAAAGTTCGATCAAAATACCCTTTGATTTTGGTGATAAGAGTGGAGAAGATAAATATCATAATAAATAGATTTTTATTTTTCATGTTGAGATTTTGGAAAAAAGCTTAGTTCCTGATTCCTTGATCAAAGGCTATTTTAAAGAGAAATATAATACAGACATAGATCTCTTCTTGTCTTATGGTTAAAACTTTGAGTACTTCATGGTTTTTTCGACTCTTGAGGGATCATAAGAGTTTAGAAAAACTATGAAAAATGGAGTCACAATAAGTATTTTTCATCAATAAATCTATAGTTGAAATCGGAGATCACGAATTCATTATTACAGAATACGAAAACTATGTTTAAAAACTTTAGAGAAGAGCTAAAGATGAATTGTCAATTAAAGAAATGCCTACAATATTAGAATGATATATCAATATTTTTTTATCTAAAATTAACAATGTCATAAAACTAAGGTGGATAAAATATTAATAGCCAGCGATCATAGCCGTCAGGAAATCAAGATTAATAACAACAAGGAGCTTAGAATGATAATTAAGAGTAAGTTCAATAAGAAGCCTCTAAGATGTTAGATCATATAACAAAGGAAAAAGAGGATCAACTGTCACCAATAGATTTTGTAAGTCATTATATAAATATGAGTTATTATACAAAGTCAAAGAAGATTTTAAAGATACTCTTAGAGAATCAATATAAGACTTTCTGGAAAAATACTAAAATGACCACTAATCTAATCTCATAAATATGAGGACACATTATTGTTTCTGCATGTGCAAAGCTCCTTTCGAAATAAATGATTTTAAAAAGTCTACAGGTATAGATTAATCCGGTGTAATAAAAAGGTTTTATGGAAATATTTACTTTAATGATTAAGCTTCAAATTTTATTATATACTAAGTGGTTAATATTGAAAATATTAAACAATATTTTAATGAAGATTAGTATTAGCTAAAGTTAATTGAAAAATATAATAAAAATTATAACACCAGTCACTATGAAAAGAATTACTAAGATTTTAATAGTGGGTATTTTTATGGTAAGAGATGTGGGCTTGGTTGTGAGGTTACATCTGAAAAACAAAATTTAAATCGCAAGTTATATATAGGTGAATTCTTTAATAATAAATATCATGGTAAAGGAACTTTGAAGGACCTTCCTATGGACAATTAAGAAGATTAAACTGATTAATTTTTTGCAGGAGAAAAAGAAAAAGAAATATTTAAGTTTTTATATAATCCTGAAATAGAAAAAAATAAAGATATAAAACCTAAAGTTATAAAAGAAGATCAAGATCTTGGAGGTAAAAATGGAAAAGGTACTTATCATGGGGAAGTGAACGAATAGAATTAGAAAAATGGATGGGGTGTATTTGAATTCAAAAATAGAAATAAATACAAAGGATAGTGGAAAGACGATAAAATGCATGGAACTGGACATTTTACTTGGGCAAATGGAGAAGAATACTTAGGAGAATACTACAATGATAAGAAACATGGATTTGGTCGATATACATATTAAAATAAAAAAGAATATCTTGGATAATTTTATTAAGGTAGATAACATGGGCTGGCGTTAATGAAAAATAGTCAAAGTTTCAATTTATAAACTGAATGGAATTATGGATAATTTTTGGTCTGAATTCATATTTTTAATAATTTAGTAAAGGATGTAAAGGAAAATCACAAATAGGTTTTTTCTTTCATTTCAACTTTGATCCCATCAAAAATTATGATTGATGTAGTTCTCGTGCCTCTCTTTTATCCTATTTTAGTCGTATACTCTGGGATAAAAAATTAAGACTCTTCAGGAAAAGCCTTGAAAAAGAGTTCATTACTAACAAACCTTTCTTAAGCCAATTAAAATAGCTTTTCAAATAGGAGATCTATGTCTTGTTCACTTTCTATTATCTATTCAAATTTATTTTAAGCAATTTTTTCCTTTTCTATTTAATTCTCTCCGATGTTACTAAAACTGCAGGCTGTTCCACTTTTATTTACCTATTTAAATGAATCTGATGTAGATGATAATACATAGTACTCTTGGTTAATCACATTCCCCACGAATAAATTAAATCCCATATATTATTCCTTCTTTAATTATGCTTGCATTAATTTACTCTTGGTTAAATCGCTATCGTCATGAATTCTATTATCGATGTGATAAGTGCATTTGAGATGTTAATCTTAAAGTTGGAAATCATATTGCTGAGGTTGTTCAATGCTAAATTTCTTCAATAAATCCACTATTAATTGTCCCCTTGATTTAAGTGTAGGATATAAGAATTTCATGAGGTTTGGATAGGACATCCTGATTTGGTTTCTAATTTGCGATATTTTCTAAGAAAAGGAAACAGAAAATAGGTGGTTTTTGTTGGTTAGAAATACAATCATTCCATTGGTAATATTGAATCCAAGCCATGTTCCTTATTGTAGTTTGTCTTGTCCTGCAACTATGATGTTATTTCCATCATTGAGGATGACTTTCAATTGATCTGTTGGTCTTTTTGAGTATTCTTCTCTATTGAAAAGCAATATAAATCTGAATTTTCCTTTTGGATTAATATAATAAAGTGCAATACACATTAAATATTTTTTAAACAAACATCAAGATAATAATTGTGCCTGATAAATGAACAATTCTTAATAGATCTTATAAATTCTTTTAGAAATTGTTTTATTCCTAATAATCATATTTTTTATTTTTCAATTTTTTGCAATATTTTACATCCCTATTCAGAAATTATTAAAGAATTTATCTCTACATAGGTCTGCGAGACTTCCCAGGTCCTTATAGTAATTATATGGACATCCGATGGTAAAAAAGGATGATAACATATTTATTTGATTTCATAAATCATATTATTCGGTCAGGGATGGGAAATGCTAGTTTCTTTGGCAAAATGAATCCAAATAATCTTCAATAATGAACATCTCTGTATCAACACGGCATGAAAGATTTGGTAGTAAGTCTATAACTTCGTTTGTATACTCACGGTCATTTTGGGTTCGGTAGGACAATATAATCTTGTGGGATTCTGCAATGAAGAATTAAAAAAGAGTTCTCAATTACTGTCATTAGCTAGCAATGTTATTTAATGTAAGCCGAGTTCGTTTTTGTCGATCTTCATCTTGTATCCGCATTTCACTATGAATCCCTTATAATCATTCAAAAAATACAGCCTCTTTACTATTTCAGAGCCATTCATCAGATGCAATAAGTCTTGATATCAAAAATAGCATTACTTAATTTATTTTTATTGCAGAGCCAAATGACTATATTTTCTGTATGTGGTACAATAGTGATGACTCCATTGAATGATATTTTTTTATCAGAGACTAGAGTTACTTCTACCTCTTCAAGTCCGAAATAACAATTCGCTGAAATCACACTCAGAGCTACAATTAAAAGGAATTGATTCATAAAGATTTTAATTATATGTAAATAAATTTGATATAGGAATTCACTTCCATCATTGTTTAATTAATGGCAATTGAAGTTTTTGTGTTTCTAAAGACGTGTTGATGATAGATTGTTCTAGGCCTGCTAATTGGGTTTCCTCTTGAGACGAATTGAATGGGTATTTTAGAATCTAAGGTAGGATGGATGAAGATTCATCATTTCTTAAAAATTGCTATACTTAATCCTAATGATATAGATATTATTACTCTGAGTTCTTGGTCAGTCAAATTATAAGTCTTAATTTCTTTGATCAATTATTAAAGATCCAATTATCCTTTATCCCTTTTCAGAACTGTATCAGATTTTCTGATTTTTTAAATTTCCTTTTCTTAGTGATATTATTAAAACGGAGTCAATTTTGGAGCTGAAATCTACTTCTGTATCTTATTCTTCTCTATGTACAGAGGAACTTCGTCATCCGATGGTTAGAACTCAATAGACTCACCATTATTCAAAGAAGCAATTTCCTTCTGCAAAATATCTAAGGCTTTTTGCATATTAGACAGATGAGAGATGAGATTGGCTCTTTATTCTCTGAGTTCGTTACAAGACTTCACTAGATTGGTGTTCTCCTTTTAAACTCTAATAATGAGACTGGTTTTATCCTCATCTGCAGCTTTGCTAGTTCTGGTGATTGTGTTGATCTTTTTACTAAGGAAATCTCTTTGTCTAAGCATCTCTTCTCTGATGGCAGTTTCTGTGTTCTTTTCGATCTCAGCGTAAATGGAATCCTCATTAACATCCCCTTTGTTAATCTTCCCATTTATGAAATGCTATTTATGAACATTCTTTAGCATATCTTTAAAATCAGTTATTTCAGGATCAGCCAATACTTTGAAGATATCATTTTCTATTTCTTGCACTTCCCCTCTTTTAGAGAATAAGGAATCTCTTTTAATTAGATATTGATTTTTTAATTCTCTGATTTTATTAGAAGTATCTTCTATTAAATTCTCTAAATTCTTTTCAGCTTCTGCCTCATCAGTCAATTCCTAGTACATAATCTTCACATTCTAATCTAAATCCGATAGATGTTCTTAAAGAGGTGCTTTTTGTTCTTACAAGGATTGCAAACGATACGAATTGACATTCTTAAAATTTTATAGATGCCCATTTTTATTTCTATAATTTTTGATTTCCTTCTCCTTCTAAAAGATTTGTCTTTCTCTTTCCTTTAATTAGTTTTTCTTCTCTTAATTTATTAATTTAAAATTATCTTTTTCCTTATTAATTAAATCCTTTTAAGTTCTTGTTTCTCTTATCATATTTTCTAATTCTTATTTTCTCAATTGATATCTATCGCACTCTTTTTTAAATTTGGTATTACTGGATCTTATTTTTTCACTTTTGTCTAACAATTCCTTTAATTTAATTAGTTTCTTCTCCTTCTATTCATTTATCAATTATTCAAATTCTTTTTCAGTCTCTTTGAACACTTCCAAGTACTTCTTTTCATCCAATTCAAAAGATTCCTTGGATGATTAAAATCTTGAAAATAAATCATTAAACTTAGTATCCTAATCATTCTTGATATTGGTTCTAATAGATTCTAAATGAGCCTTCTTCTACTCGTATTCCCTTTGATTCTCCTCATTGGTGAATTGCAACCTCTATTTAACTTCATCATTCTTCTAGTACAATTACAAGAGATCCTTCTCTGTCTTTTCTTAAATTTAGTGTGACTCAATTTGATACTTTTTTCTCAAATCAATCAAATCAATATCTAGATTTTTGTTTCTCGTATCCTTCGATTCCATTATTTATGATAACTCTTCCTTGTACCTTGCAATCTAGTGCTAATATTGCTATTCTAATTCCTTCTCTTACTTTTGGTACTTCTAAGTAATATCCTACTTTTAATCCTCTTGATCACTCTTTTGATTAGAGATCCTAAAGTCTAACTCCTTGATTAGATCCTTCTTCATCTCAATGCTATTCTTACTCACAAAGGCTAAGATACTAAAGCTGTATAGATTGGAAACGATCAGCCCTTTGGAATTAACTCTCTATCCTTTCTATGTTTCCTGAGGTGTCATGTCCTTTCCATCGTACCACTCTTTGACCTTGCAAATCTAAATTGACCCATCTTCGGCTCCACTGATGAGGAACTGTTGATCCGAAGACATTCTAATTTATGTTATTGGTCCCTGATGCAGTTGGAATTCAAACATCTCCTGATCATCCTTGAATTGAGTAAAAGGCCATAGATACAATCTCACCTTACCGCAATTAGTTCCAAATGCAATCATGTCCAGGAATCTGAGAATCTAAACACAAACATATTGACAGGGATAGATATCCATTTCATAATATAAGTTCTGTCCCTTCTCGTTAAAGATTCTCACTTTGCTATCAGAATAGCTTCCAACAAGGAAATCATACTCAGTGTCATAAGTCTAGCAAAACCCTTTGTGTAATTTGAATGAATGATCAACCAGCCTAGTCTGATTGAACACCATGACCAATCCCTAACTACAAGTGGAGATGAGAGTGTTGTCACACCATTCCAATGATGCAATCGAGCCCATGTGACCAGATATTGTTTGTATCAATCGATACGTGTATGGATCATAAATTAGAATTTGATTCTGAGATCCAACAGCCAGTTGATTGCCTCCAGGAGTATACTTAACAACACTGCATTGCTTTAAGGATTCATAATAAACTTATTTGAGTTCGTCATGGAGGACAAAATAAAATTTGAGTCCTTCTCGATATCCGATGGCACATTGAAAAGCCATGGGATGCAAAGCCATGCATTAAGGAACTTCGTGTAGAGTGGATGAGTAGAGACACTTGAATTTACCTTCTTCGTAAGTGAATTCCCACACTTTGAACACTCTCTCTTCAGACAACACACAAATGATGGGTTTTGAAGGAGAGGAGTCGATGTTCAATATTTTACTTTTGTGAACTCCTTAAGGGAAGAGTTATTCAAAAGGATCTCTAAAAGCCGAATTGATATAATCAACAAACCCGAGATTGAAGAGGTAGATTTCACAATTGATTTCTTCATTTTCAGTCTATCTGGTCTTGTGTTATGCAGTAATGGAAATATAGGAGTCATCCTTTCCAACATGAATATAAACTAGTTTTTAGAGATTAGTAATATTTAAAGCATATTGTTTTCTGTATTCGATTATGCCCTTATGTGCTTCGTACATTGCTATTATGGGTTTGTTTTCGAATCCCACAACAACTCCTTCTGAGTAGGCAGCAATCACAGTGGGGATCTCATTCATGTCAGCAGGGATGTTGGCTGAGTTGATTATTTTGTTTTTGCGATAAAAGTACAAGACTCCTTTTTTATTCATGAGGAATATTTTTCTTAAGTTATAAGGAGTATTGATTACTTGTTGGATTGGACTACATGAGTGATCACACCCTCGTAATCTAAGAAGACGTCATCTAATTGTTTTTCAGTTGGATTGAATTTCCACAATTTCAATACGTTGGGTCCGAATGTGCCAAACTATTCGAAATCCTTGTAGGTTCCAAATAGTCCAGCGTAATTTTCACCCACATCGCTGTAAGTAATGAGTTATTCAGTGTTGGTTTTGAAAACACTGATGTAGGAGGTGTCATGAGAATTGATATTGCAGCAAAGAGTGATAGTATATTTGGCAGTGTGGAGAAAGGCGATATCCTTGACTTGAGTTCCAAAAGGAAGATGCTAATGGAGGAGAGTGAAGGATTTGTGATTGGTTTTATAGATTCTAACAGTTGCATAATTTTTGATAGTACTCTTCAGTCCCAGTCCAACAGAGAGTATCATCTTATCATTCACACAATGATTCATCACTACCACCTGAAATTAAGTTGCATATATTTACATCCTCCTCATCCTTCGGTCGCAATAAGAATTATTGTTTCTTCTTGTTTATATCGTAGAGCACCAGATGATGACCATTCAGATACACCAAGGAGTCTTCTTGGTAAATGAACGATTGGATTCTTTGCTTCAAACTAAACGATATCTCTCATGCATTAATACCCTATGGAGTAATGTAAGTTCAATGTGATGCCATTGTAGATCTTATTGCCTTGATACATCTTTCGGGGAATCTATAGTTAGGATTGAGCAATTTACAGTTTTTCTGCCATTCACCATAACATATTCTTCTTCCATCATTTATTTATAATAATTATATATAAATTGCAAGCAAAATTACAGATTACTTCAATAATCAATATTGCAACATGTATACCAGTAGGAACTGACATAAATAGATTTAGAGTATTTCTATTTGAGCCATAAACAATTGCTATTTAAATAAATAAGGGAGAATTCAAAACTATTATGTTTAGAGAATCTTATTTTACAAGTCAGAACTAAAAGGCTACATATAATGTAATTACAAATTCATAATAATTTTTGGCATACTCTTATTTTTATAATAGTATATTGAAATATTTACAACAAAAATATAAAAAAATAAAAATATATTCTCCATCAAGTAATGTAATAAGTCTATTCTGACACTGAATTATAAAATTCTAAATCTACTTTATACAAAATGAGTGTAATTATATATAATTTAAAATAGAATCTACAATTATTAAAAATATATTAATATACTTTTTATAATTTCAACAACAAACATCACAAATTCTTACTCAACTCTTAAATGCTCTTCTCAAGACTTGCATTCATCTAAGCCAATTAATTAATGAAGTCTCTCTATAAAGAATTAAACTTAAATATACCTAGTTAACTTGAACTTCCTTGACATGGATTATTTTGTTCTTAATCTCAATTTCCAACAATTTAGATTTCTACCAAAATTTGCTAAGAATAGTAGACTCAAAGGAATTTTCATTTAATGCGACGCTGTTCCTGTCGATGTACAATTAGACATACTTCTCTGGTAGCAACTATATTGACATTTAATTTTATCTTACCTTATTGAAATGCTCAAAGGTTATTTGATTGTAGAGACTCAATACTTGTTCAACATCATTGATTCTCTTGGCCTCCAATACTTCTTTTAGCAATTTATCCTTCACCTCTATGATTGTTTCATTGGGATTAAGTTCCTATTCTGTTTGGAACTCTTTCATATTCTTGATTGTGTTGATAATCTTTGGACATGATTGCAAAAAGACTTCCCCAATGAGTTATTGATCATACTTCAATATTTTTTCGTATTTTTCAAATAATTTGTTCCTGCTCTCCTTCAAGAGTGTGATTATGTTGTCTTCAATTTCAGGGTAAAATATAGATGTAACAGCTAACAATGCCAATATTTTCTCGTGTTGTTTGATTAAACTATCATATTGATAGGATTTTGTATATAACTATTTATATTTATTGAAGTAATTAACAATCAAGGTTAAGGTAAGATTGGCTTTCTTGTATTCCTTATTCAATAAGAAACAGAATCCTGCATAGCTGAATAATGATTAGTAGGCTCCACCTGATTTGCTGTAAATAATCAATTCCGAGTGTTGAATTTATGATAACATAGTGTAGGCTGCATTAAAATTACCAGACATCACATGCAATTTCGCTGTGGCTAAGTAGGAATAATAGGCCAGGTATTGGAAGGTGTTTTAGACTGCGCTATTTCGTTGAGAGGAGAATGCCTCTAAAGTTTTGAGTATCTCTTCCAGATTCCAATAGTCCTGTATGTTTTTCAATTGAGTTATTTCATCGTTCTTCAATAGCTTTCTCCATCTGGAGGACACATAAAATTGATATACGTATTCATCCAAGATATCCCAAATCCAACTTGGAGGGAGGGGGAGATCAATGTTTTGCCTAATTCAGCATGTTGTATACTTTTATTGCAGTGCTGCAAAGAGCAATTAGTAATTTTGCCATGATTCTATTGAGGTTTGCAAATTGAATTGTTATTGCACACTTTAGAATGCATGTCTGTAGCAACTCTCATTGAAGAGCAATTTGGTTATGGAGTCAAATTCGTCATTGAAAGCCTCTTCCAAACTTTCCGCCAAGGGGAATAAGGTGTCCTGTTTGATTTGAGATGAATATGATACCTTATAAAGAGTATTGCAATAAATTTTATTGAAAATTGTATCATACAATTCAAGAGACACGGCTAGTGTTTGCACTCGTTGTTGAGGACTGCTGATCTTGGTTCTGAGATTCTTTTCCAAAGATTGCATGAATTGATAGGCAGCTTTTTTCTTTTGATCATCATCTACAACGACTTTCTCTGATTCAGTTGATTGCTTAAGATTGTAATTGGGAAAGTCATCTAAATTGGATGGAAGTTCTTGTTCGTACATTAAAAATTAATTATAATTATTTGTTAAATATATATGTTGTTCATTCACTTTTGAACAAATTAAGTAGCAAAAGCAATGCTACTAATACTTTATCTAGCCACTCTAAATTTTTGTTAAACCTATTCATTTTTAGTTTCAGGAAATAACTTTAATTCCCCACTAATTTTCCTAGGTTCTGCAGGCTGTTATTACTTCATCATATAAACAGCCTATTTATAGAATCCATCATAGCCTTGTTCACTCAATCGAGGCATGTATCTATTCATTGTTACAGATCTGCCTCGACCATTGTCTTACTCAATCGATTTAATGCTCTCATAGTTCTCTATAGTCTCCTCCTCCTCCTCCTCTTCATCCTCATTACTTTGTATTTCTGAGTTTAAGTCTTGATGCACCAACAAAGTAGAGCGATATAAATATTTATCATTCTCATCTAAGTCGTTGTTCTAACAAATATGGAACTGCCTTCCAAGGAGCACTTAAGGTCCCTACTCCTTCTATTTCTTCTTCTTGGGACTAGATGCTGTACTGCTACAAACACTACTGGAATCATCATATCTATCCCAATAGTCATTGATCACTCTGCAAGGTTCCTTCTGGGAATAGACAAAGAAGGAGAATGATCTTTTTAGAGTTTTATTCAAATGCATGACTTGATTGCAAACAGTCCATTGGGGATTGCATGTCACTCTTCCCAAACTAGGAGATTCATTCCCAAGACTCTACTCATGTTCTTTCTCCAGAATCTTTCTGAACATATCTCTGGCTTCAAAGAGAGGCTTTTTCTTTATTTAGATTTGATTCACAATAAATCTGAATTCCTGTATGTTGTTGTATTCTTTGAGATTCTTCTTAAAGAATTCCAACAGATCTCCGAAATCTGAGAACTTCATTAATTCTTTTTCAAAAATAAACAAGATGGCAATCGCTGAGGCTATCAAGGCTCTATTTCCTTGTACCATCACTCTCAACCAGATTTCTTTAACTATGTCAAAATGCAGATTTGGAGTAAACAAACACACAAACCATTGTATGGCATAAAAGTTGGCTTCCAAATAGATCTCTTTGAAATGCTAGAGTAATTCAGGCACATAGATTTTACTGAAATACTCAAGGATTTTGGTGTCTACCATGACACTTATCATATTTGTGTAATAATCCAATGGCATTATCTCTTCGATCAATGAACTCAATGCCCAAAAGGTCTATTTATTTAGGTATGATTATTTACGTCCTCTTCCGAAAATTTTAATTTATTTACCAAAAAGTGCGTAATGAAATTTAAACCTTGACAATAGGAGACAAATGGATTTCTAATAGAATATGCAACCAAAATCCTTTCTATTTTGGCTTCGTATTCGTGATTCCTCTCGTAAACTCTCTCGTTATTCTGAATTCTCAAAGAGGGTGACACAGTTCTTACAACATCCTCTAATTTTAATTTGGCAAGAATACCAATTAAATTGTTTAAAAATAAGACTGTGGATAGTCATTTCTCAGTTTGATGACCTAATCATACACATCAGGATTTTAAACTCTCTTTGTTCTTGCCCCAGACAACTCCAATAACACCCTAAAGCAATGAAAACAAAGAATTACCAGTTGTAGTTCATTTCATGCAATTCCCCCTAGAGGATTATCTTCTTGAGAGTCTTTCGCAATTCTGTCGAGTAACAAAGTGTCTTGAAATGCTGTTTAAGATACTTGTTTTTAGATTTATCATTTAATCATACCTGATTGATTTACTCCTTGATCAAAGTGATGTCCTTTTCGGGAGTTCTTGCATGATGATTGTATCTCCTCAGCTCCAGAGTTGTAAGGCATTAACATAATTTCTCGTACACTTGCACTCTTCCATTATTCTTCATATTTATATTAATCAATATTTATTGTAAACATAAATTTATTACATAAAATATAAACATCGAAAATCATCAAAAATTATAATAAATATGAGAAAAATAAATATTTTTAATGCTTAAATTGCACAAAAGGGAAGAACTCAAAGAGATCCTCCAAAGGAGATCCTCCCTAAACCATGAACTCTCGAAGCTTTAGAGAAGTGCCCTTATGCAACTCAATAATCACACTACCCAAGAACTCTAATCTAACCAAAAAGCCCCTGGAGGAAGTCCTGCCCATATTAGAATCAACCTCCAGCAATTCGCTCTTCCTAAAATTCTACACACCTCCAAAGTTATCACCAACAAATACATAGGAGAGTACAATAATATGTTAGGCATAATTACAAGCAAACACAAAATTCCTTCAAGAGATTGCACATACAGAAGTGCATCTTCTTCATATCACAACCCTGAACAATTTATTGAAAAATAGAATTATGTCATCAATTCATTCATTCGTCCTAGAAAATTGGGGAGCTTTCGATGAATTCTATATTTATTGTTTATTCTAGTTTAGTTTGTTATAAAAATAAAAATTGTTGTTAAATTCATTTTATTCATTTAATTATATTTAAAATACAGTGCATTATTCACATCACATGAATTTGAGTTTTTTAATTTAATTATTGCATATTCAGTCTGTGTAATATACATTAATAATAATTAAATTATAATAATTCTCACAAAACCCTATGATTTCATAAACATAAACAATTAATCAAACTAGCCAAACTATATTGCATCTCAATAATAGTCAGCCACAAGAAACATAGTAGCAACAACAGAAGAAAGAAACAAAGAAGAGATCTGTTCAATGGACTGAAGATACCGTTGACAACGAGGACCTTGGAAGACTCAAATCCAATAGTATGTTTATAAATGCATTTAGTTTGTTGTATTTATCATAAGCCACATGCTGAAGAATCAGAGAGTTCAGATACTTGCACAAGTGACGATGAGATTAATGCCATAGAAAGAGATAAACAATCTAAATTGAGACATAAAATGAAATGTTCCAAACTAAATAAGAAGTGTTGCTGATATTTCTTATTCAAATTTATTCGATATATATATATATAATTTAATTTATGCTTAAGTCCATTACAGAATTGTATGATCAAAATTTGTCCAAATTTATGCAATCTAATCAAAATTTAGAAAGCAAATCAAATATTACTTACAATGTAGTTCTGTTGATGACCAATAAAAGGGTTTTGTCAGAAGTGATGCCAAGCAGAGTTGCCAACCTTCTCAAAAACATATGAAAATTACTCGAAGTCATAACATCAGCCCTAGCATTGGATAATACAATGTATCCTACAAATGTCTAGACACTCATCGATATGAAGTCAATTTCGGCAGTCCCAGATGTGTTCGTAAACCTATTGAAGAGATGCCGATGACCATGAGGGCGAGTCCTGTTAACAATCATATGAAGTAGCATTCGATAAAGGGAGGAACTGACTTTGAAAAACAAGTGAGCAGAGAATAGATGTATTTAACTAGAGGTTGGCTTAAGTTCGATAAGAGCATGCGTACACCCAAGAGAACATTGGAGGAAAAATTGCATTAACTTGAAGTTGGACAAGAAGCTTTATTGAAATTTCCATCAATTGAAGTCAAGGAGAATCCGTAATTATAAATGAAAGTTACTCATTTACCTTATGATTATGAAAAGATCAGATAAATAAGCAGATAATATCTGTATGTATATTAATTCTTATTCAAGACAAAAATACCACATCAAAGAATCAGCTCTTCGATTTTATAGTCCTTGATTTTTATTCTTATTTACATCAAAGTACTTTATGTATTTAAATTTATTGGATTATTAAATTTTCAAGTTTATCAATGTTTCTTAACATATTTAAATTGTAGGAATCCATATATTGATCTAAACGATAATTTAATTATTTCATGAGACAAGGAATGCCTTAGTTCTTAGATTGATGGAATTTTAAGTACTCAGAATAGTTTAGTATTTTGATTATCATGATTACGAATATATATGGATTAATAAGTTATATAAGAAGTATGATGAAAATTAAGAAGGGGAAAACAACTTAAAAGAGGAAATGGAACATTAAATTCAATTAATTTATGTAATAAGCAATAAAGTAAGAATAACTACTGATATAATATTTTAATTAATACTTCATTAAAAATACAAAGAAAATAAAATAGTAATATGCAACTTTAAACCATTTTAAAAGTCATACACTTGTCCATAAATTCAAAAATTTTGATAGAAGAATAAAAATAATATATTTAAAATAAAATCACTCCTTTTGATTTAATTGCTTTCCTTACTCATTGCTTTCAGTTTGATTGTCAGATGATTAACTTTGATTGTCCTCGGTACTTTAATCTTTCTCTTTTGCCTCTTCATTTTTAATCTCAGCTTATTCAACTTTCTTTAAATCCAAATATGCCTTATAATTTGATTTTGGTGGAAAAGGTCTTTCCCCCAACAAATTGATTATTTATTATAAGTCTAAGGATTCCTTTTCTAATAGTAATTCAGCAAGAGCCTTAATTTTATCTTCATATTTTTTCACTATTTCTTCAGTTCTTTAAGTGCATTGTTTTATAAGCTTTTACATTTCTTCATCTATTATCTATGAAATAGAACAAGTAAATTACTTCATTGGTTTTATCACTATAATCTTTAGAATATTGATCCTCTTAATATCCGATATATCCAACAGTTTCATTCATTCCAAACTTAGTAATAATGGCATTAGCATAGTCATAAGCCCTTTTGAGATCATCACTAGCACCAGTAGTGATGGATTAAAAGAAATATTTCTCAGATACTCTACCACCCAAAACACAACAAATCTTGTCTTACAACTCTTCCATAGTTTGGAGATTGCTCTCATTTGGTAGGTATTAAGCATAACCTAGAGATCCCTTAGATCTTGGAATAATGGTAAGCTTGATATTAAAGAAATCATACTTTTAATAATGGATCTCCACCAGCTAAGAACCAACTCACCACAGCATGACCACTCTCATGAAAAGCAACTACTTTTCTTTCTTCCTCGCTCATGAATTTCTTCTTCTCTAATCCAGCCATCACTCTTTCAGATGCTTACTCAAAATGAGATGATGTAACATAAGTACTATTCTACCTAGCAGCTAATATGGCAGCTTCATTACAAAGATTTGCTATTTCTGCACCTGAAAACCCAGGAGTCAATGTTGCTAATCTATAAATTGTTGCTTAAGATAAATACCGTTTTGCATACTCTTCTATTGTTTTAGAGGGATCCAATTTAATCGGTTTCAAATGCACTAAAAATATCTCCTTTCTTCCATTGATATCAGGCAATGTGATTTCAATACTTCTATCGAATCTTCCAGGTCTAGTCAATGCTGGATCCAAAGAATCTCTCATATTGGTGGCAGCCAATACAACCACAGTGCTATCAGTTCCAAAACCATCCATTTCTACTAAAAGTTAATTTAAAGTATTGTCCCTTTCCTCATTCTTAGCTCCCTTCGAATTTCTCTTCTTTCCCACAGCATCAATTTCGTCAATAAATACAATACTTGGAGCTTTAGATTTAGCTTATTTGAAAAGTTCACGTACTCTTGCTGCTCCCAAACCAACATACATTTCAACAAATTCTGATCCACTCACATAGAAAAATGGTACTCCTGCCTCACCTGCACAAGCTTTGGCTAATAAGGTTTTTCCAGTTCCAGGAGGTCCTGTTAATAGAGCTCCTCTTGGAATTCTGGCTCCTAATTTCTTATATTTCTTTGGGGCTTTTAAGAAATCTACAAATTCTTTTATTTCTCCTTTTGCTTCTTCTTAACCTGCGACATCCTTGAATTTTATTTTAATCTTCTATTCAAATTATTTTGATTTCATTTTAGTCATACCCCCCATCATATCACCAGCCATTCCTGAAAGACTTTTTGTCATTTTCTTATAAAATTGGAACATTATAAAGAATAATCCACCGTAAAATAATAATTGGGCATATTTAGTAATATTTGCTGTAGTTTCTTGAGCCTCATCTTAATTCTAAAAGGATATGGGTATGGATTATTCATATTGCTTTTCATTTTTCAAATCATCAATCCTTTGTAAGAAGAAGTCCAAGTCTGTAATTTTTAACTTCTTCTTTCCTTCTATTGTGTATATTATGGCAATGGTCTCCCCATTTATTTTTTGAACCTGTATCGAATTCACTAATTGCTTTTCCAAATAATCCCTTTGAAATTCATTAAATGATATGTGGTTTTCTCCTTCTTCATAGACTTTATATAACAAGTAAGCTAGAGGGGCAGAGGCCAAAAACATGAACAAATATTGCTTAAATGGATCATTAGGCTATTTTACTATTTATTTTATACATCTTATATTGGTCCTGTGGGTTTTGGCTTCTATCCAAAATTATTTGTGTTGTCTCGCTTAGTAAATTAGAATTATTCCTATGAAAATCGCTCATTTGTTTTTTATTGCTAATCTTATTTTGGTTGTTCAAATTGTGGCTCTTCAGGTCTTTCCCTTTGAATTTTCTCCTCCTACTTTTTTGTTTACTAATTTTCTTGAGTCTACTCTTCCTTTTTTTCTTCCTATGAATTTTCTATTTTCTATTCTTTAGGCGCTGGCTATTGTCTGGATTTTCTCTGAAATTTTTCAAAGCCTTTCTTCACAATTATGATTACCTTAGGGAGGCTTTTAATTGCAAAATGCAAAAAAAGGTCTAAAACGAGAAATTCTTGTTAATTTGCTTAACATTTCAGCCTTAATTAATTATAAATTATATATATATAAATAATGCAATCCTTATAATACTTAATTCCCTACAAATTCCAATGAGCTACATGTATATTTTCAACACTAATAGTGCAGAGCGTTTTAATTAATAGTTGAATTTAATTATATATCAGATATAAATATATTTTACTAAATACTCTTCAATACACATTGTACATTTTCAAAATATTTTCAAAGGAATGCCCTTTGCATACAATGGAGCATATTCATCATAAAGATCTTTAACAGCTTGAATGTAAATTTAATGATATTTTTCGACATCTTCACGGGAAGGCTTCTCAACTTAAGGCAACACAATACCCCTGCCGCAAACAGTGTGAATTTCTCTATTTGGTTCCTATGGACAATATTAGTTTGATATATACAGGTATTGTTAGAAATCTGCTCCAAAAGACGGTTCCTGCTAATTTGAATTTGTTCAGCCAAAGTCTAAGAGGGAGGAACCAATCAATCGTATTGAAAAGAGTGTTTTCTCCAAATACAAATACAGGGTATATTATTGTGCCATACTTCATCGCATAATAGATAAATCCTTTTCGTTATTTTATAAATATTCTGTTTTCTTTTGGAGAGGTTATCGTTGCCTCTTCAAATCCTCCAGGCAACAATCCTACCTAAGCTCCAGATGTTAACAATTTCTTAAAATTTTAAGGATTTGCTCCTTGAATTCCATAGAGTTTCAAAAATAATCCAGCTATGGGGAACAATAATGCCATATTTGATCCCAATAACACCATATTTTCAAAGAATGTTCCAGTTGTATGAGTATTTGATATGGTTGAATAACTGTAGATTCCATGAGGATGAAAAGCAAACTAAGATTAAAATGTATTCTTACTATCACATTTTTATCTCTAACTTTTTCAAGCGTTTAGATTGTATTTTTATTGAAGAATTTCATTATCTCCAGTGATTTTAAAAATCGAACAAACATATCACTTTTCTATACTTTGGATTAGAATCCAATAAATCCCAATAAGATAGGTATCAACCAATAATCCTGTGTTAAAGCTCTGTAAATTAAATAGAGCGAAATTCCCATCGTTACTATCCACAATTAATAAAGCAAAGTTCCAATAATAGATTTGAATGGAATTGCCATAAATTTGCTAATTTTGATAAATATAAATAAACTAAATTTATAATTATTATGAACTTTGTAAATATAGCATTCCAAAGTTCTAATTCTAGAAATTCTGTAATTAATCAATACATCTTTTCATATCTCTTTGTTTTTAAAGTATTGTCTTGCATCCAATAATTATTGAACATATTTTTAAACTCAAACTTTACACTCATTTTTCTTCGAATTTTGAACATAAGCACTTCGTTTGATTTTTCCAATTTTAAATTGAATTACCCTACAATAAATTAAACAACAACAAAAAAATAACAAACAAGTATTTTATGGATGAATGAGATAAGAAAATATTATAAATCATAAGCATTGATGTTTACCCATCATTTTCCATTAATTTGTAGAGACTTTGAAAATATGATAATTTAATTAATATTGATAATAAAATATTTAGATTTCAGAATTTTATTATTATGACAAAATATCAAACGAACATAAAGTACGGAATTTATAATCTATTTTGTTTCATCTATCCCTGTTATTCTAATTGATAGATCATCCAAGCATAATAAATTTTGATTTTCTTAATTTTTTCTCATTATATTATTTAAATGTTAAGTTTCAATAATTGCAAAAATCTAAAATTATAGGGATTTCAAATCCCAAAATAATGATGTGGTTATCAAAGAGTCTATTGAATCCGATTTTCATCTTATTTTCCATAAAACAAACGAGAATTTTAATGTTTTCATGTAACCAACCAATACTTTATAACACCAAACGATAAGGGTATTAATAGGCCTCGCATAATTTTGATTATTATAATTAAATAATAAAATAGAGCATGAGTGTTACACAATCATTGGAAGATAATCTTGCTATTCTTAACAAAAATAACGATAGTTGTGATACACCTTTAACAAGTTAAAGGAGAATCAATTGGAAAGTCGAGATGAGGAAGATGGTTTTGACAAAACTCCCCATCAAAAAGTCTGCTCCTAGGCTAAGCCAATCTATTAAGTCCAAAAACATACCAAAAAATATTTCAAAGGTCATTACCTAACAAATTCTTAAAGGATACTACAATGATCTCATCTAATGTAACCTTAAATCATTCCTTTCTTTCATTAAGAAAAATAAAAATATTCTGAACCTCCCTTCACTCATGAGACTTGTCAAACCACATAAAAACCCAGAAGTCAACTCTCTTCATCAATGTTTTAGGCAAATATGGTATTTAATATATATTAAAATTATAGCTGGTATTTTATTAAGAAACAGTATATCGCCTACGTGTTTAATTCTAAGATCAAGGATCCTCAATGGCACCTAGAATACAGAAATGCAATCTTAAAATTATTTAGGGATAGTTGAACAATTTTTCATTTTTTATTATTTAAATAATATAAGTATACATCCTTAACATTCTCCCCTACACTAGAATTAAGAGTCTTTTCAACCAATCTCGAATATGAGGAGACAATCTTTAATTTGTTCGAAGTTTAAATGATTTTATTTTGATTAATGAATAATATTAACAGCTTGTTTTCAAATCCTAAAATCCTAAATAAATAGAAAGGGTAGGGTTAGAATAGATGAAACCTACAAGAGTTTAAATGATTTTAGGAAATATATTGTTAATGAAAATTGCTTATTTCTAAACTTTTTTCCCACAGAAAACCTTTGTATTCCTATGCCTTTGTAGAAAAGCAAATTTGAATTTATATTGTAACTAATCGACTTGAGTGTAATTTAAAAGATATTATAAATGTCCTTTATAATTTTTTCTTCATCACAGTATAATTTTAAATATACTATATATTGAAATATTCTATATTTCAAATGATATTCTTCCTTCTTGCATACGTTCAAAAAGTTGTCTAGCGTAAGTATGACTGATTTTTTGTAGGACATTTTAATAAAATTGATCGTGTGTGTTGGATGTTAAATGTAATGCAATTATATGTATTAGAGGAAACTTGAAGAATGAGTGCATAAAAAGTTAATAGTCTCTTGGGATTAGAGAAATGGGAAAGTCTAGATTAAGATTTTAATCTATAATTTTAATTTATTTTATATATNCGAGAATTTTAATGTTTTCATGTAACCAACCAATACTTTATAACACCAAACGATAAGGGTATTAATAGGCCTCGCATAATTTTGATTATTATAATTAAATAATAAAATAGAGCATGAGTGTTACACAATCATTGGAAGATAATCTTGCTATTCTTAACAAAAATAACGATAGTTGTGATACACCTTTAACAAGTTAAAGGAGAATCAATTGGAAAGTCGAGATGAGGAAGATGGTTTTGACAAAACTCCCCATCAAAAAGTCTGCTCCTAGGCTAAGCCAATCTATTAAGTCCAAAAACATACCAAAAAATATTTCAAAGGTCATTACCTAACAAATTCTTAAAGGATACTACAATGATCTCATCTAATGTAACCTTAAATCATTCCTTTCTTTCATTAAGAAAAATAAAAATATTCTGAACCTCCCTTCACTCATGAGACTTGTCAAACCACATAAAAACCCAGAAGTCAACTCTCTTCATCAATGTTTTAGGCAAATATGGTATTTAATATATATTAAAATTATAGCTGGTATTTTATTAAGAAACAGTATATCGCCTACGTGTTTAATTCTAAGATCAAGGATCCTCAATGGCACCTAGAATACAGAAATGCAATCTTAAAATTATTTAGGGATAGTTGAACAATTTTTCATTTTTTATTATTTAAATAATATAAGTATACATCCTTAACATTCTCCCCTACACTAGAATTAAGAGTCTTTTCAACCAATCTCGAATATGAGGAGACAATCTTTAATTTGTTCGAAGTTTAAATGATTTTATTTTGATTAATGAATAATATTAACAGCTTGTTTTCAAATCCTAAAATCCTAAATAAATAGAAAGGGTAGGGTTAGAATAGATGAAACCTACAAGAGTTTAAATGATTTTAGGAAATATATTGTTAATGAAAATTGCTTATTTCTAAACTTTTTTCCCACAGAAAACCTTTGTATTCCTATGCCTTTGTAGAAAAGCAAATTTGAATTTATATTGTAACTAATCGACTTGAGTGTAATTTAAAAGATATTATAAATGTCCTTTATAATTTTTTCTTCATCACAGTATAATTTTAAATATACTATATATTGAAATATTCTATATTTCAAATGATATTCTTCCTTCTTGCATACGTTCAAAAAGTTGTCTAGCGTAAGTATGACTGATTTTTTGTAGGACATTTTAATAAAATTGATCGTGTGTGTTGGATGTTAAATGTAATGCAATTATATGTATTAGAGGAAACTTGAAGAATGAGTGCATAAAAAGTTAATAGTCTCTTGGGATTAGAGAAATGGGAAAGTCTAGATTAAGATTTTAATCTATAATTTTAATTTATTTTATATATATAATTAACTATTATATGAGATGTGAAAATTTTCAATGAAAAAAATAAGTAAATACTAAAAATGCTAATTTGTTGAATAATAGATAAAATTTTGGATGCTTTTATCAAATAGAACCATCAATTAATAAGGAGCAATTTATATGAAATTAGGCAAATTTGCAATTATGATGTATTTAATTTATGTTACAATTAAATCATGTGTTCAAAATAAAATTATAACAAAACGAGGGAATGTTTAACATAATTTCAAATAAATAATCTCCCGATATATTGAATTGCTAATTAAATTTGATTCCCTATTTTAAGCTGGGTAAATAGGAGAGTTGAAATTAAAAAAAAAATATATTTCTCATTGAATATGAGTCTGATTATTCTGATATGAGATTCTTGTGGTTTATTTCCATAATTAATGATGTACAAATGAGTTAGGCTAGAAATAATTAAAAAGTGTATGAGATTTTAATTTGAGTATTTAGTTATATAAATTAATTAATGAGTTCTGATTTCTTTCTTGAGTATGAATATAGTTACAATCAGGAGCACAATCATGGTAGCAGAATAATCAGTAATTTAGAGGATTCAAATAATAAATAATTTAGAGGTCCATCTCGATTTACATGCAAAATAGATCCCCTAGATGAGGGGGATCATACTGTAAAACCACCAACGGTCGGAAGTTAATTTATTGATAATGCTCTCCCATAATAACCTGATGTTAATAAAGTTCCGAGAATACTGTAGTTATCACCACCTGATTCAATAATTGAAGAAAACCCTTTGTTTTCCACATAGAAGCCGGAATTGTAGAAGGACACCAAGGATTTCAAGGATCTCTCTCAAACAAATTCAACATAGAAGGACATAATGAAAAATTTTTTAAAAGCTGTGATTGCAAAAAGTTATACAAACCGATTTATTGAAAACATGTTGCAAAAGTCTTATATTAAGAAGCCATCCCATTTTTCTCAATTTCAAAACACCCTAATGGATGATCTTCGGTACATTTATTAGCACAACAGATCTTCAAAACATTGGTTAAGTACGATCTGCAAACGTTTAAGATTCTTTCCAATTCTGGATTAAAGCAGTTATTTAGTAATAGGATGGCAAATCATTCACATTTTGACTATAATAACAGTGTTTTTTTGGACTCCATTCAACATTTCTTTTGGGATCACATATCAACAAGTAGTTTTTGCAGGAGTAACAGTTAAGAATGTAGAGAACTATTTTCTAATCACAATAATAATAGATGCCTTAATAGTGATAAATACGTCATATATAGAGAAGGGAGTGATCATAAAATCAAGACGGAAAATATTTATGAACTATTTGGAAGGACAAGCAGTTTATGATTTGGTATAGATACTAAATGTAATTAATGTAGTTCTCTTTCGGTGCCCTTTTGATTGCAATAGAATTCGAGATAGACACGTCAAGTGAGAAATTGGGTTGGCAATTGTGTCCCTACTGCATATACTATTGTTGCCGATTATTTAAATTGTAAGGTAGAGTGCATAAATTAGAAGAGTAAATTACACCTTAATTATTTTAGGTTTTTCAATTTCACCAATTCTTACTAAGATTTTATTGAATTAATTAAACTGCTTTTTATGGTTTTGTATGTAGGACATTTGTTCGCTTGTTTATGGCATGGAGTTGCATTTTATCAATAGGGTTATCGATAAACTTGGATAGATGAATATGTGAAAGAGCCTGATATGTTTTCTGTGTACAATTATGCATTCTATTGGGCAGTACAAACTATGATTACTGTGGGATATGGCGATTTGACTCCTTAAAACAATGCAGAAAGAATCTGTGCGAATCTTAGTATGTTTTTAGCGTGTGGAGTCTTTGCCTTCTCCTTCAACTCTATTGGGTTAATGCTAAGTAATCTAAATTCCAGATAAGTGTTATACAAAAAAAGCATCAACTTATTGAACTAATATTTGGTTAAGAATCAAATTAAGATTGAATTGCAATCGCGTATTCGGAACTACTACGATTATATATTTCAAGAGGAACAAGAAATCAACGATGAAGAGGTTTCGCAGATTACCACAAAATTGTCAAGTAGTCTTTAGGAAGAACTCAATTTCGAAATACGTTACAATGTGATGAAAACTAATAAAGTCTTGACCAAGTTCTCTCAAAAGGTCTTGAAACAGTTGTCTCTTCAAATCGAAGAGGTTAGGTTTTCACCTGAAGATTAAATATTACAATAAGGTATTTGTGATGATGCTGCATTATATATAATAACCAAAGGCACAGTATGTATATAATTTTAAGATGATAACTAAGGAAGCAACACAAGAGCTCTATCATATCTCACAAAGGGATAATCCTTTGGTGAGTATTCATTTTTTACAGGTATGAATAGAACTGCATCAGCAAAAAGCATTGGATTTTCAAGAGCCTACAAAATATCCAGACAATAATTACTGATTGTATTGGCATAAACCCCCCTTGATTTGGTAAATAGCATAATATTATCTAACAGGAAAGATTTTGTGAAGTAAGAGATAGCATTCTACTCTCCAGTAATTACCAACCATCCAAACTAAGTTGCTATTCTTGTTAAAAGTTCACACATCTCATTAAAGATTGTCCAGTCTTGCATTATGTGGCAGATCAAGAACGAGTCCTAAAAAAAGAATACTTCCCAATTTTGCAGGAGAGGAATCAAAATTACCAGAGGAAAATGGAACGCAAAAAGTTTGAAACTCTCAAAGAATGCAAAAAAACAATGGTATTAATCAGGGATTTCCAAACCAAATAAGTCTTAGACAATGTAACAGTCATGGAAGATGAGTTAGATGTGTCGTATGATGATAATGAATAAGATATATCTCCTTAAGAATATTGTACTTTATCTTAGTATTTTTAGCCTCTCTTACTAAAAGCTTGTCCAAAATCTCTAGATAGCAATCCCAAAACAGAAGCTATTCATAAGACAATCATCTATAACCAATTTAAGAAAGCGATAGCTCAAAAGATAGTGTCAGTCCCAACAAACCAAGAGTTAAGTAAGTTAAATAAACCATTTAAACTGCTGGATTTGGCGTCAGTGAATCTCTTCACAATAGACTTGTATCCATTTAAGAGGAGTAGATTTCAGAATCTTAATCCAATCTTTAAAAATTAGAAGATTATAAATTTTCAATGAAAAATGATTCCCTTGGATTGCCTAATCCAGCTGAAACGGCTAGAACTCCGGGTAAGAAGATTACTCTAGTTCGCAAATAGAAAAAGGAGGACTCTTACAAACCATTCTCTTCCTAAACTCAGGTTGACGTGAGAGATAGAGGACAATCGGTTTAGAATCAGAATCCCATTAGAAAACCTAAATTAAAAGAAATTAGGGAAATGTCTTAAGAAATTCCCTTATATCCTTCCACTTAGTCTGTCGATAAAAGAGATTAATTAAGAAGAAGAACCACAAAAACAAACAGAAGTAAAACTGCCAAAACCCTTAAAACTAAAGTCTAAGATAACCATACTCATACGTAAAACTAAGAATTGTCTATTCCTCTCTACGATGAGTAATATGTATCAATGGAATTAGAAGAATTTGAAGCTTTAAAGAATTTCTAATACTATTTTAGTTGGAATAATCCTAAAGTTGTAGTAGCCAGAGCTATAAGGACTCTAAAATTAAATATGGATAAGAGGAAAAATTTCGGAAACATTTTTTCATTATATACATTCAATAATTTGGCTATGAATAAAGCTTTAAGAATCAAAAGAAAACTGAAACTTATGTAATAATATATTCCCATTCATTTTAGAGATGAGCCACTATTGTAGACTACAGATATAAAAAAAGGACATTCTTCAAAATCTCCTAAATAGACAAGAATTCCCAGTAAACGGAATACAGCAACATAAGATATTATAGGTTTTCATCCCAAAAGACCTACTTTTGGAACATAAATTTAAGTGCAAGGACATTCATTTAATAAAATTCATTAAAATGAGTTTCTGCTTTAATGATAGATACTATTTCTACAATAACATATATTAATTGCAAGTAATTCAGTTTTATATAAGCAGAATTTCTATAATATTCTACTAAACATCTTTAATCAAACTTATTATTTTAATTAAATTTACAATTCTAAATGATAATTAAATATCATAATAAATAATAAATTTTATAATTTATTTTGTTGCTTCTAATAACTATTCATAATTTTATTTTCCTTAATGAGATGTGAATTCATTTAGGCATAATCGTAACAAATCTACTAGAAAATCCCACCTATACTCAAACCTACTTCTGATGTTTATAATTATACTAAGGCTTTACTTTATTTAGGAACCAATTAAATTGAAGATGATTGGTCTGCTGCCAAATTGAATTTTTAACAAGCAATCAATAGAATTCTCTAAGGAAACACAGATAAGAAAAATTATCTCTTTTGTGAAAAAATGTTATTAAAGTCCTACAATAAACAAACTTAATTAGGTAAAGATTTGTATTAATTGCTTAAAAATTGTTTGAACTTTTGCAAAGAAGAAACTAGAATCAAAAGGAGCAAAAGTGGTTAAACAACGTCAAAAAGATATGATCATAATTTAATTAATAACTAAACTAAAATTGGGGCACTTGTAAAATCATTCAAAGAAGAATATTAAAAGATGATAGAAACTAGGCCTTCACTTAAAACTAAAATGGCAGAGGAAAGAGTTAATAAACATATTGAATAAATAAAAGAAAAAATAAAAAGAACCAATAAAACATGCTACTTTATTTCTCCTAAAAAAGAACTGTAAGAAAAAGCCTAAAGTTTGAATAAATGAATAATTTTGTTGATATTCATATCATTTTCAACGCACTCAAATAATTAACTTTATTCTAATCTAAACTGTATATTGATTTTTCAAAGCATATCCCTCCATCATGTCTTGTTTCCACAATCATTTATCCATCAATATCTTTTGAGAATCCAGATTGATTAGGTAATAAACTTGTCACACTTATTGAATGCTTTATGATAAAATTGATGAGAGACACGCTTTCTTAACTTAATGGTTATTTAGAACCAAAAATATGCAATTAATCACATTTTGATAATAATTCTTCTATAATTTTTAAAGGTTTAAGTTTTCTTTCATTGCACATTATTTCAAAGAAGGACAGGTTTTCCAAAATGACAACTCTCTACTTAACTTAGCTCAATAAATAATTCGCCAGATCCTTTTAATAAGGTTATGGGTCTGACCATAATTTAGGAGCTGTCTCAGTTAGAGGTAATTCTTCTTCCTGCCACAAAGAGTTTTATGTGAATAGATCTATGATTCTGTATAAAAATTAATCTTACTGTAGTTTTTATTGCTTAATTAAATCATCCATCTTTATTCCTTATTTCAATAAACAAGACTAAAAATGGGAAGGACATTCGCTAGTTAAAATAAGAGTGGTGTTCTATTTTAAAGCTACTTCAAGCACCAGGTGGTGGTAATTCATATTGTTGGGAGAACTATAGTAAAACATTCTTCAAATATTATTTTTAATGTAAATTAAATATATAAAAGTTTATGTAATGAACAATTATCAAAATAGTATTATACTCTCTATTATTTCGATAATAATTAAAAATATATAGAGAATGATAGATAGAAATTACATTAATAAAATAATTCTTTTATTAAAATCAAAATTAATTTATGAAACTATAAACATTCAATTTATTCTTATCTAAGAAAAGGTTCTGATTTACCTATCAATTGTATCTAACTAAATTTATTATAATTTATTACTATGACTATATCAACCAAAGCCTCAATGATCACAAATTTGGATTGCTTGATTTATGTAGTTTTCAAATATAAAATTTATTATTCTTAACTCATCACTCTATTTTTTCTAAAGGTGTTGGACACATAATCTTAGAGTTTCTTCTCCAGAATTAGTAAAAATGTCTCAAATTCCTTTTAGTTGTTCTCTAATTTTGTATATTCCACTAATAATGCATTTTTAGATTTGTTTATCTTCTCATACTCTAATTTCAAGGATGCTATCTTTTATTCCAATTACCTTTGACTTTAGCTTTTTTCATTTTATTCTATTTATTTTTGCACTTCGCTAGTTCTATGAGTTTTCTGTAAATCTTATAATTCATTTTGTAAATCTGATATGGTCTAATCTCTAATTTGTAATTTTTAGATGTACAATTATTATTCGGACTTCAATTACGATATTTCTTATCTTAATTTCTATTCATTTCTGTAAAGTTAATTGGTTTTGTTGTTCAATTCATTAATTATATTTTCACAATTTTCTATTTTAAATGATTTTTAGATGTTTAAGAATATTTCTTATTTCTAATCAAGCTACTCTTATAATTCAAGGATGGTATTTCTATATAATTGATTTTCCTACTTCAAATTATCCTCGAATAATTCAAAAGATTTAATTGACATCTCCAAATTCTCAATAACACTTAAGTTATACTAATTCTCAGTTTACAATGATTTCAGCTCTTATTCTAAATGTGATTACTACGTTTTCAGATTAGAATATTGTTATGTCAATTAATCATATTCTCTTTTGAAATCATTATTGGATTTAATGTTCATATTTTCAGCCTCTAATTTCTAGACCCATTCCATCAATCTATTAATTTCTAGTTGTTATTATTCAATTTAAGCATTCAATAGATTTGTTTCTGCTTAAAATTACTAATTGTTTTAGTAGATTTCTACATGAATTTATTCTAGTTATAATCTCAATTAAGAATTATACTCGATCTACTTTTATAAATCTTAATCTAGTTTTTATATGTTTTGATTCTTCTCCTCATAAATAGTAGATTGATGCTATTCATTTTGAAATAATTGAATCTACATTTGTTCGATTTTATCAATATATTGTTGAACTTCTTCCTTTAATTTATCATGTTGATGTTACAATGATAATTTAGAGACCTCCATTTAATCTAAATCCTCTTTGATTTAATCATAGAGATAATCCTTCATTTTAATCTGATCCTCAAAACCCTTTTAAGTAGAAGCAAGAATAGTCTTATGAGCCTATTATTGATCAACGATGCTTTGTTCCAATTCCTTTTTCTTTTTTTGTAATTTATAAATTACATCTTCTTATTATAACAATTGGATCTTCAATTTATTCTAATATTCGATGTTTTCGTTCATTGTCTGATAATTATTAGTTTCCTCTTCTTTAAATGATAAATTTAATGACTTCAAAATCTACACGATATAACTCTTCTTTTCAGCATACTCCTACAATAGTCCCTCAACAGTTTCAAATTCCATCTGCATAGCACTTTGGTGAATCTGTTGAAGTAATTTCTAAATTTCATCAAATTACATGTGTAATTAAGATTGCAAGGCATCGCTAGGCTAAACGTTTTCTAGTTCTCTAGTCTTCTTAACCAATTCTTCCTTCAGTTATTGTATTTGAAGATTCAGCTTAGTGATCTCCTCTCCTGAATACTCTTTATTGACATGAGCCTTAACTTTTATTTATTTAACTCTCTCTGCAAATTTCAAAGTTGAAATACTTTCCTCTTCGTGCAATGGATTAACAGCTGCCACCATGAATGTCTTAGAATTGCCTCCGAGTGAATCTTTCAAAAGAGTGGTGAGTTTAGAATCTCTAAATGGAATATGTATTTTATTATTCCCTTTTTCTCTCTCTACAATTGCATAAATGACCAATCCAAGTTGAGTTAAACTTTTATTTATTGCTTGTGTTTCCTTCAATCTTTGTCCTTCTGTTTACGCCGTTTTCTAACGCTCAGACCCAGCCAAATCAACAAAGTACATTTTTGAATATAAATGCACTTCACATTTTTCTTATTAAATCGAAGTAGAATATTGAATCAAAAAGACAGCATGACTTCTTGAACTTTCACTATTCATCTTGGTAGCTGCGATGTGTCTATTAGAATTGCCCTTTCTCAACAAGGCTATCGCTTCATCATAATTAGAAATGACAGCTGCATTCAAATTTTCGACATAAATCCCCTTCTTTGGATCCTCTCTTATTTGCAAAGAAGTTGAAGATGATGAAAGCAAATCAAATATCTACTCGTTGTAGATCTCTAGATAAGAACCTTTGATGATGACATTGTGATCCTCAATAGAACAAGCAAAAATGTATTGTAGACATTGTGGAAGCAATCCATCATTGTTACCAATTAAGGTGTGAGTTTTACCACTTCCAGTCTAACCATAAGCGAAGACACACCCATTATAACCTTATAAAGCATTGTTAATCAGTGGTTGACCTATCAATGTAAATACATCCTATTATGAAGCCCTTGGAGGAATCACATGATCGTAATGATACTGCTTGTTCGATATTGATAATGCGGTCGAATCGCACTCATCCACCTAAATACAACCTGATTCAGGCTTTACTCTTACTATAACTTAGATGTTATTTTGACGACACTCTAACATGTATATTTTATAATTTGAATTAAAATCAATTATAATGCTAAATAATTAGATTAATTTCACTTCTAACACTCATCTGCTTTTTTTATCAACTTCAGCTTACAATTACTTAGAATGTTCCAATCCTTTCAATCAGAATTCTCATTGAATCGTCCCAATAGAGCCACAGTATTGATCAGGTTCCTGTCAATTTATTTATTGAAAATCATCTACAAATTATTATTATTTATTATTTATTTAAAATAGATGCAAATATTCATAAAAACTTTGGCAGGCAAGAAGGTTTCATACAACATAGAAGCTGATAATACCATTCAATAACTTAAAATGCAATTATAAGAGAAAGAGGGAATTAGCTCAGAATAATTTAAGGTATTTCTCCATACATTAAATAATTTAGCTAATATTTAAGGGAAGACATTTATAAGAAGAATGCAAAATTTCTGATGCTTAAATGTAAGCTGGAGACACTGTCCATATGGTCATTTAATTGAGAGGAGGTTTTTGACATATCAGAAATATCATTTAAAATATCTGTATATTTATATTTTTATTTCCTTGAATCATTTTTTCAAAAGATTACATAATTAATCCTTAAATAAGCTTCGAAAACTCCTCCAACAATATCATTTTTAAAGGTCTAATTGCATTAAAGCTCTCCTACTGAATAGAATGAAAGGATTAAAATCCTATTTTGTTTGATAAAGTGTTTATCCATAAATTTACCTTTTTTGAAACAATTAAACATTATATCTTAGAACAAATAAAATAATTATTTAAGTTTTAATAAAATAATTTAAATTAATTTCAACTAACTTTGAATAACTATACTTTCAAAAATACTATGATAGATTATTCAAATTTGGAGAAATTTAATTTAATAGATTATGAAATTAAAATAAATATTTATAATGAGTAATGGCGAGTTTTGTTTAGATTATTGAATAAAAAGATCAAAATATATTAAAAATCCATCATTATCTTAAAGTCACCAGATGATATTAGACATTTTTTCAATTCTACATACATAAAGGTTTGTGATTAACGGTGCATTTAAAATTTTTTTCTCATTTTCCATTACTTTATGGAATAGCAAATAATTTACAATCTGTTCATAATTCTCAGAGGCTTAAATGATCATGAAAGGATCTTTATTATTAGGATCAGTTATTTGCGAAACGGCTTTCACTTAGAAATTTTATAATTAGAGTTCTAATAAAAAAGATTCCTGCTAGAATTAACTTATGTAATCTCTAGAACTAAGTGATATAAATATAACAAGGAAAGCCTATTATTATTTTTAGAATCATCGAAATATGATCTACATCAAATTTAATGGTTTTTGGATTCTATTCAAGCTCTCTGATAACCAGGCATTGTTCGTTTGTAATATTTAAAGAATAACTAACTAATTTGGTTTAAGTCCAAAGAATTCTTCAAGATCATAATATTATTATTCAGTATTAATTCAACCAGAAGCTACCAAATATTATATTGATTATGTTTATTTTATGGTTGCAAAGAACTGAATGCATGAATATTATGAGATTGGATAATCTTGATTTTTAACAATTATCTTAAAAAGTTAGGTCATTCTTTCCAGATTTATTTATTTCCTAATAAGTCTTTGTAATAGCTTTCATGTTGAGAAAAATACATCTCAAAAGATTATTGAATTAATCTAGATATAAGTTTTTTTCATCATCATAACAGAAAATCTTAAAATAGTGAAGTCGTTAATCAATAAATTATCTAGCCATTATTGTGTGAATAAATTTAGAATCAAAACAACATTGGTTGCAGATTCCTTAAAAATTTAGAATATTTAATATAACTTTCTTACTTATTAGACTTTTAATAGTTTTACCTTTAAAGTTCTTCAAATGGTTTAATCAAACTCTAAAAGCTTTTTTTATGTATTTGATTTATCAAATGGCAGAGATGTATAATTTTATCTCTTAAAGTAATTATAAAAAAGCCCTAGTTTACAACATGCCTGTATTGCTTTCGATCAGTCAATTATTCCTAACTATTAAGATTTATTGAAATGAAAAATGATTGCTTTCTTTTTAGATTTTAGATCACTTATTTAATCTTTAATTATTTAAGCTGATTTTCTGATCAGAAATCTTTTAGATGTTGTTTCCTCTTATTAAATTTACTCTTTATATTATTTATAAAAAAATTAGAACATTAAATCTAAAATTACTTAATTATGATTCAAGGAGCTTAGACCGACTTCATCCATGTATTTTATTGATATAATATTGGTTATAATAGATCTTAAAGAAATATAAAAAAAGTAAAAGGTACTCTCAATTACAAGAATTGCATATCCAATGTAAGATTAACATTCAACTTAATCTAGGTATTGTTGATGAATTAAAAGGAGAAAACAAAGAGGAGAATTTTAACAAATTTTTTGACATCCTGCAGAGTTCATTAAGCACTATAGGGTCTTTTAAGTTTTTAGTACTTTGTCACAAACTGATCTATTAACTCCAGCAAGAATTCACTAGCAGATTTATTTAAAATAAACTAATTCCTGGAGATGACACAGATAAGTCCAGGTTGGCTATTTACTATTATAATTTTTTATTCAAATTGTGCGAAAACTTTGATTACTACAAAGAAGTCATAGAGTTTATTGAAACTGATAATATTGTCAAGTTCTTGAAATATGAATTATTTGTTCAAATCCAAATATTATATCCCTTGGCCTAGATGCTGTAGGAATTGTCTTAAGTAATATATTCAATTTATCAGGTTGTAAAATTATTAGATTACTTGCTTTGCAGAGAATCGCCACTCCTTCTCTAATTGGGGACTTGCATTCTGAAAGACTTTTGTGTCATTTATAATTTCTTATCCACAGCAATGCAGGAATTGCAAAGTAGAAGTTGTTTATAAATGTCTTAGTATGTATTTTGAAGGTTCCTATTAAAGAGGCAAAAGTGCTTTATCAAGTATATCAAATCACAATTCAAATGACCAAATGCATGAAGAGACTGTAATAGCTTAAACTGTACTCTAATTTTAAATAACCACATTACTTCATTATCACTATTGAATTGAACAAGAAAATCGAACTCCACATGTTAAACTCCATAAAACTCTCTAACATTGAAATTAGTATATGACATATATACATTTTTTATATTCAAAGATTCACCTTCTTCTTCACTGAGTCCATATCTATAATTGAGCTTTCACTAATTATATCACATCGTACTTGGCTCTGGATAATCAGATCTTTGTGCTAGATTATCACTTGCAATTTCTAAATCTCCTTTTAGCATTAATCAAGCTCGGCCTTCGTCCTATTGTTTTTGCGTCTTTATTTATTAGGCACTTTTATGTTACTCTTTAATAATTCATTCTCCTCCCTCAACAACTTCAATTGTGTCGCAACTATTTCCAACTCATTCTGAAGTCTGGCCAATTACTCCTCCAATAAAAGTCTCTCATTCAACACTGTCCTGCAGGAATCACAATACTCCATTTATTTTAAATTAAATTAAAATATCTATAATTATGAGCATCTCAAAAATCTGTTACTCTTCCCCTTCCAATCCAATCTCCATATCTAGTTGGTTCTGGACCCTTGACTTTGAATCCTACTTCAGGAGGCATCCCATTTTTATCCAATTCATATGGCTTGCCTTGACTTCCACTTTATGGATTCGAGCTTATCTTGTATTTCGCAATCAACTCCTTCAATTCCTTGGCCTTCTCGATTTGTTCTTGCACTTCCCCTTTTTCATTTTCTTTTAAGAATCCTAAAGGATTCATCAATTCATCCATTTACTTTTGGGAAAGTTGAGCACCCATAATACTCGAAGGCTTTGGAGGAGCCTTCTTTGATGTACTAAACAGCTATTTACACACTAGCCTCAATCTCATATAATTTTTATAAAAAATATTAATTATATAAAAATACAGGTGTCCTAACATCTTTCATACTTGATCCTCTTACTCTGCACTCCACTATCCTTAGATGAAATAAATTAGATATATATTAGTAAAAATATTTAACTTAATTTAACTCTCCCAGAAATTCTGCTAATTTTATTAGTGTAATTGTTAAATTAAAATTATGTAGCTTCGAAGTGGAAAATTAAATCAACCTCCAAAAAGATAATACATCTCTCCATATCAAATATTTTATAAAGAGCAACTAAAAATATTGTTGAGTTAAGGAGTCGGGATAAATATGGTTGGCGCTCAAATCTAAAAGGCATGGTCGGAAATGTCATCCGAAATGCATGAATATTACGAAGATTAATTTGAATAATGTGAAGACAAATATTAAGAGCAGCTCATCTACTTTTATGGAGGGGATCAAAAACAAATCAACCAATTGAATGAACTCAAAAATATACCATCAAAACCAAAAAGGCCTCTCACTCCTTAATTTGAGTACGTGATTAAAAATAGACACAAATTTTCATCTAAAAATTATAATTGGAAATAGTCCTTCTCAATTTTGGTTGATGAATATTGTAAATAATCACAACGAGTCAGAGAGCAATTAGAGGTTGACTTCGAAAGAAAAATGAAAGATTACAAAGAGGCAATTGAAAAATGGAATGAGTAAAGAATATTATGTCATTTTTAGAAAGTATGCAGAAAAATATAAAACCTTAAAAAAAAATACTATCGAAATATATAAAAAGCAGAAGAGTGACGCTGAATTCGAATACCAAGAATTACAATTTGTCAGGACTGTCAGAAAACTCAGTTCAAATAAAAAAGACGAATTGACTTAAAATTATAGTGGTTGTAAGGATGACAAGAATACTCATATGAGAAATGAGGATTTTGGTCTGAGAGAAGTGGATACAAATATCGAATAATTTGCAGAAGAGAGTTAACTAGTAGGATCGAAAAAATCAAAGAAGGCAAGATGAAAATAACGAAAATATTTTTTTTATCTAAATTGTGCTACACAGTTTCTTTTATCTTGATGTTAGTTTGAATTAATAAAGCTGTAAAGATGAATCTTGCAGTATATGATAAAAACCACATCAATCACTATCATTGTCTAGAGTTTTATTTTAAGCAAAATATTGTCTAGCATACTGTTTGGATCTCATAATACCCGATTCTGAAAGGCACTTAGTCTTTTACGGATTGAATTTTTGATGATGCGATCTTATAGTGTTCTTATATACCTACATTAACTTGGAGTTCTTGTCCCTACAATTTAACTCATTTTCTTAAATAATCTTTAACCCTTAGTGTGATTGTTATTTTCTTAAAGAAATCTAAGATAAGTATTGTGTTCTATTTCATTCCAGTGTCCTTGTTTTTTCAGTATTTTCATGGATCCCGGCAGGAGTTCATTAGATTGTTTCGTTGCTTCAGAATCATTTTATGCCATTAATTTAGAATTAAATATACAAAATATACGAACAGAATCAATAATCAATAATCAATTGCTCCGAACTCTTTAATAATATTTATTTAATTATTTTTAACTGCTAAAAAAATAAATGGGTGTAACATGCTCTTAACCCAAAAAATCGAATTTGACAATCACAATAAGTTCAGAAAATGAAGATCCAAATTTCGAGATTAAAAAGCTTCTGAGTGAGGAGAGAATAACGAAACTTCGAAAAACATTTCCATCTCCAACAAAAACTTATGAATCCTATTTCCTTAGTTAAATTAACAATGATAAAACAATAAATATTAATAGATGCTGTGATGAAGAAAAATTTCATAAATCAAGTAAATTGGGCGTTCCACTTATTTGTTGAGGTTATTGTATTTCTTGCATTAAATCAATTAAATTTTCTTATTATTTATTTTACTAACTATAGATTGGAGTTTCATAAATTATCACTGAAGAGGGACCATCAGTGAAATAATCAGAATAATCCATAATATTCATTTATTATTATTAATTTTAAATTGCGGGAGAAGGCTTTTAATTAATATTATTTTCAAAAGAAAATAAATCCTGAGAATTGTTATTTTAATTTACTGTTGTTTATTTTTAATTTAACCCATTTGTTTAAAACTGATAAAACTATTATTGATTACCTACAAAGGTATTAGTTTATTATTATTATTATTATTATTATTATTATTATTATTACTATTATTGCCATTATTATTACTATTATTGCCATTATTATTATTACTATTATTACCATTATTATTACTATTACTACTATTATTATTATTATTGCTATTATGGTTATTATTATTATTGTTGTTATGGTTATTATTATTATTATTATGATTATGATTATTATTCTTATTTTTCTTTTCCAATAACTTAATCAGCCTTAGATTTTATAAAACCAAAAGCCTCATTAAATCCGCTTTTTAAACTCTTATATGCTTTATCTGCAATTTATGTTGATTTTTCCTATAGATTAAAATATAGATATACTCCAAATTGTTTAGTTTTAGCTGAAATTTGTTATCCCAATTAAACTGCCTCTTCTTTAATTTGAACTTTAGATATCTTCTCATCGATTATTGCGAATGCTTCCTTTGTTGATTTAGATGCTTATTCCCAAAACTATTATAGGCAACGATGTAGTACATTTTATTCAGGAGAGATATCTTGTTAAATTTGAGTTTATTATTATTATTATTATATTTATGGTTTTGGGATCTCTTGTATTGCTGTCCAATCAACTGGTTCTTCGGGCATCTCTGTTTCGTTAACTATTGCTTTCATCTAAATGATATACAATTTTAAGCTTACTTTTTCTCTATAATAATGAGCAGCATTGGTTTTCCATTTGTTCGAATCTTAAATTTAAATTCCATGTGATTAGAAGAAGACCCTTAATTCTTGATTTCCCCCTAATTGCATCATAGCTAATTATTTATCAGTCCAGGAATCCATTTCAATTGATCTAACAAATGTAAGATGCACACCCATCCCTCTATGAAATCCTGAACAATTGTAACAGAGATAAATTCCATAAGGCAAACTAGCCCAAGTTGGACTTCCAGTTTGACACTCAAAACATTATTTATTTTCTCCAGTTTGCAATTTTCTGATATAAGCAAGTGCATTATTATTCATTTTAATTAATATTTAAATAGTAAGTACACGTTCATGTATAAAACTATTTTAAGTAGAATACACAATATAATTTAAATATATGATGATTCTTAACTAATAGAAAGTGAGACAATAATTTTATACTCATTATGATATTGTAGTCAAATTAATATCTATTATAATTAAACAGTTTATTCTATTGTAAATGAATTCTCTTAGAAGCAATAATAGGTATGTAAGATTTACATGAAGATTACGAAAAATGATTTGATGAGATGAATTTGACATTATAAACTAATCATAAAGGATACTAGGTAAGCAAACCAAGATTCTTATAGTTATTTATATAGAAACTTGAGTATTTTTATGAATGAACACTTAATTTTAGGAGTTCTTATGTAAAATTTAGAAAATAGGAATACACATATCATACTCACTCGTTTTTTGGAGGGTGTAATAATTCAGTAGATAAGGAATGAATGAATTTTGAACATTCATATAAAGTTTAAGCAATAAGACTTACTAATCACAATATTTATCAATTCAGAATAAACAATCGATTCTGATGTTGGAATTACTTAATATAAATGAAGGAGGTGAAGTTGGTTATGACAAGAATTAGAATTTGAATTTAATAGGGGATTTAATTGGTTTTAGAATCAGTTTATTAGGCTTCTTTTGATGGAGTTGGTAATAATATTATGTAGTTCTGTGGAGTGGATCCATAATAATTAATACATTGTTCGCACCGGGGTATTGTAAGACGTTGTTTGATTGCAAATTTTTAAGAATTATTTAAAACATGATTAATATTGAAGAGTGTCCGACTTTAAGACCTACTCAGTAAGAGTTTGAAAACTTCTATGAATACATCGAGAAAATTGATAAATAGTATTCTGCAGAATTTGGCATGGTGAAAGTAATTTCTGACATTTGAATAAATCTCAGGTCATTCCCCCTAAGAACTTCAAGGTTCGTATGCAAGATTATAATAAAACGCTTGACAATCTCATCATCAATGGTCCCATTGAGCAGAACGTTTATGGAAAAGGAGGTAACTATGAATGTCTTCACATTCTGAAGAAATCTATGCCTTTAAAAGATTACAGAAATAAATAAATCGAGATTGATAAATAACTAGAAAAACTCACTTCTGATCAATTTGAGAGATTGTTCTGGAGAAGTCTAGCCTTTAGTCCTCCATTGTACGGAGCTGATATTAAATTATCATTAATGGATGTTAACAATCCATGGAACCTGAATAATGTTACAAGTCTTTTAAATTATGGACTCAAAAACAAAATACCTGGAGTGAATGAGCCATACATTTACGTTGGTTCTTGGAAAACCTTTTTTGCTTGGCATAAAGAGGACCTTGATTTATGCAGCATCAATTATCTCCATGTTGGAAAGGATAAGTATTAAATACTAATTATTTCTATAGGTTTTGGTATTCGATTCCTGAAGCTGACAGCCACTTGATAGAAAAATACGCAAAGTAAACATATGGAGATCATTTCAATAAATGTTCGGAATTCTTAAGACATAAAACAACAGTAATTAATCCATACTTGTTGAAAGAAAAGGTCCCAGGAATTCGAATTTCAAAGACGTCTCATCATGAAGGTGAATATATATTCATTTTTGCTGGAGCCTATCATCAAGGCTTTAATTGTGGATTCAATATTGCAGAGGCTGTCAATTTAGCGACTCTAAATTGGTTGCCTTTACTATTAAAGGCCAAAGCATGCAAATGTGTAAAGGACAATGTGAAAATTGATATGACATCATTTGCTGAGAATCTATAAAGGTCAGCCCTATATAAGGAGAACGAAAAAGTTTTAGATTTCGTCGAAAAAGCAAAAAACGTATCGAAAATACTACACAAACCAATCAAAAAAGTGAAGATGTGATTTAATTAACCATTCAATTTAAATAAATTTTTTAAATAACTACTTTTTGAATATAAAAGAATGAATAACAATTTTGAAATTAAATTAAAAGATTGATCAATATCTATATTTTTTATACCATAAAATAGACTCAATAATAAAACCTCTAAAAATATGGTTATTATCTATTTACATGATAAGATTAAATATTCAAACTGCTGTCTTTTAATTTTTCTTAGTTCCAACAGCCTACTTTTAAGCCATCTTAATATTATCCTATATGAAGTATTGTGTTACACCTACGCAAATATTCATGTCATTACTCTGAAAAGTCATCATCTTGTTCGATCCACATGCCATTTTTCAAATTTGCTTAATTGAAGGATCCACCACATCCGCTTAATATTTTGATTATATATTACATANTAATTTCTGACATTTGAATAAATCTCAGGTCATTCCCCCTAAGAACTTCAAGGTTCGTATGCAAGATTATAATAAAACGCTTGACAATCTCATCATCAATGGTCCCATTGAGCAGAACGTTTATGGAAAAGGAGGTAACTATGAATGTCTTCACATTCTGAAGAAATCTATGCCTTTAAAAGATTACAGAAATAAATAAATCGAGATTGATAAATAACTAGAAAAACTCACTTCTGATCAATTTGAGAGATTGTTCTGGAGAAGTCTAGCCTTTAGTCCTCCATTGTACGGAGCTGATATTAAATTATCATTAATGGATGTTAACAATCCATGGAACCTGAATAATGTTACAAGTCTTTTAAATTATGGACTCAAAAACAAAATACCTGGAGTGAATGAGCCATACATTTACGTTGGTTCTTGGAAAACCTTTTTTGCTTGGCATAAAGAGGACCTTGATTTATGCAGCATCAATTATCTCCATGTTGGAAAGGATAAGTATTAAATACTAATTATTTCTATAGGTTTTGGTATTCGATTCCTGAAGCTGACAGCCACTTGATAGAAAAATACGCAAAGTAAACATATGGAGATCATTTCAATAAATGTTCGGAATTCTTAAGACATAAAACAACAGTAATTAATCCATACTTGTTGAAAGAAAAGGTCCCAGGAATTCGAATTTCAAAGACGTCTCATCATGAAGGTGAATATATATTCATTTTTGCTGGAGCCTATCATCAAGGCTTTAATTGTGGATTCAATATTGCAGAGGCTGTCAATTTAGCGACTCTAAATTGGTTGCCTTTACTATTAAAGGCCAAAGCATGCAAATGTGTAAAGGACAATGTGAAAATTGATATGACATCATTTGCTGAGAATCTATAAAGGTCAGCCCTATATAAGGAGAACGAAAAAGTTTTAGATTTCGTCGAAAAAGCAAAAAACGTATCGAAAATACTACACAAACCAATCAAAAAAGTGAAGATGTGATTTAATTAACCATTCAATTTAAATAAATTTTTTAAATAACTACTTTTTGAATATAAAAGAATGAATAACAATTTTGAAATTAAATTAAAAGATTGATCAATATCTATATTTTTTATACCATAAAATAGACTCAATAATAAAACCTCTAAAAATATGGTTATTATCTATTTACATGATAAGATTAAATATTCAAACTGCTGTCTTTTAATTTTTCTTAGTTCCAACAGCCTACTTTTAAGCCATCTTAATATTATCCTATATGAAGTATTGTGTTACACCTACGCAAATATTCATGTCATTACTCTGAAAAGTCATCATCTTGTTCGATCCACATGCCATTTTTCAAATTTGCTTAATTGAAGGATCCACCACATCCGCTTAATATTTTGATTATATATTACATATTATCAAATGAATTTCTAAAAGAGGATCTGAACAGGATTTCCCATTGACCTATTTTTACCCCTCTGTCATATTGGCCTTAGTAAATCAGCTCATTTAAACTAATTGGGTGTCACATTTTCATACCTCGAAAATCTTTCAGTCAACTCTCTCCAAACACCAATTTTCTAGCCTTGCTCATCAAAAGATCCTCCAGCACTTTTTAGAATTTATATATTGTTAGATTTACATTGGTTCAAATAAACTATAAGGTTTTCGTTTGTATTTTATTTCCCATTTCCCAATTTTATGATTTTTCCAATAATCTCCCTGATAAATAACCTCTCTATAAGAACTAATGAATAAGAACAAACATAACCTGCAAAAACTATCATCCAATTCTAACCAAACACCTTCTTTAAGCCCCTAATCATCATATAATCCATAACCACTAAATCATTCTATTAAACTCAAAATTTTACATTTTTTCTGTTTCTGTGTCTGTTTTCTCTTCCTTCTGACAGGATATTTCCCATTTTCCTACTTTTATTCCATTCCTATATTATCCTTCAAAGAAAAGCCAGCAGTTACTAATAATAAATTAATGCTTAAAACCTTGTAAACTATTCACATGGTTCTACCCATTTGCCGGTTTTACAACCTTGTTCATCATACACTCCACCTCCTCTATAGTATAATCATATATCTACATCAATTTAGATGGCCGATTGCAAAATGTCTAATAATAAAAATCCCAAACGCCAAATTTCTTATCTCCTCTATATTCCCCACAATAACTAATTTGAGCTGATCTAATATCAACATTATCATATAAACTTTCTAAAATGATCAATTGTTTGCACCCATTTACCATTCTTTTTCCCTTAATTGTCATAGTAATATTAACCTCTATTTCGAAGATTTATTGTTTATGATTTACAAAATTTCAAATGGCTAATTCTATTTCTTTTTGCAGCCATTTAGGTTAAGGAATATTGGTAATCTTTTTTTAAGGCTTTCCCAACTGTTGATCTTTTAGCCATTCAAATATTCCCCAAAGTAAAGTAGTTAATTATCACTACATGTTAATGAATCGAGAATTGATTAAGTAAAATTTACCATAAGAATGTGTTGCTCAACTCCAACCATAGACCAGTCTTCTACCCTTGCTCGTTGTAACACCCTCCACCACTAACATTGATTGAATTTCTAAAGATAATACATACGATTGTTTTCATAGAATATATTCCAAATAGCAACTCTTAAATCATCTTTATATAGTCCTTCTTCATAGACTTAGGATTTTCTAAAGTAGATAATGATAATGCTGCTTTACTCAGAGTAATTCTTGAAAATTTCTTTCCATAGTCCTTATTTCTTGCCTTTATTGCAATACTAACCTCCGACACCTAGCAAGGCTTGATTGTTCCACTTAGCTGACCATGTCCCAACCTTTTTTTTCTCCTCATAGTTTCCAACCCATTAAAAAGAATGTATCTGTCTCAAAATAAAGTTAATTGGAATATCATCTTATTGATAAAAGAGCATCTCGCTAATTTTGATATAACTAACAGTGAACCTCCTAATTATTATCCCACTCTCTTTGACTATTAACAGATCACTTGTGTTGGTTTTTATTATTTTGAATTTCTCCTTAATAGGGAATTTCCCCATTATGTCAAAACATTCGAAATCTATTACATTATTTTGTTAAGTAAATCGCTAATCTTCTAAATTAATATCTTAAGTGTTCATTAATTGAAATTAATTTTAATAACTATTATCTATTTATAATTTCCTGACCTGATCAATCAACTAGCAATATTAGCCATTAATGAGCTTTTGTTAGATTATGAAGATTAATTAGTCAATTCCATTCTAATTTTTAATTTAGTGGTCCTTAAAGTCCAAAACTATCTGAATCCCAGGGGCTCTCCACAAATAGAATCTAATATTTTATAGAATTCTATTTAAAATAAATGGAAAAATCTAAAACTATAGGTGAATAACCAAAAATATATTTACTTTTATTTAGTAATTATTAATTGAACAATTTATTTCTGTAAATTATTTTTTGTCCATAATAATCCATAAAATTTCCTTATGTTTCTTCTAATCTAGAGCTTAGAAAAATTAATATAGATCATATATTAGTTTAAATGCTTGATGGAAGAATGAAGAAGTAACTAAATCTGCGTTTGATTATCAATTTTGACCATATTCTGCATCAAGGAAACCTTATATCACAATCAACGAAGAGTTGCTTGTGAAATTGAAATTTATGCGAAGAAATGTAATGAAAGATTTAACAAATTTAAATTCTATAAATTTTCCTTTATAATAGATAAATAGATAATTTGCAATCAATTTTCATCATCATATGATTAATCTTCTTTCTTTTGATTTTGAAATGGATCAATTTTATAATTTTTATCATAGTTAATTTTGGGGAGCAAATCAGAATCTTAACTATCTCCGATAATATCTTGTTATTTAAATTACTAAAATTATAGGGTTCAATATTACCTAAAGCATATCTTTAACATTTTTCTTCAACAATGGTTTGCTAGATAGTTTAATTTGTTCAGTGTTAAGTTTGTCAAAGATATTTTAATCTAGCACATTACCGTTGAGAGGAATTGTGTAAATTGAATGTTTAGACAAGATTTAGAACTCATCAGAAAATTGGCCTAACTTATCAGCTGATACCTGAATGAAGACTTCCCTCACTAATCCCAAAGAAATCTAAAAACAAGATATTAAAGATATTTACCGGTCCCATTACTTTCATCAGTACTTTGATGTTGCTGTTCTAAGGTTATTTTAAGACAATCCTTTGGGTCATGATGTCCTCATTTTTTACGTTGATTTTAAATTCATAAATTCCATTTTATCTAAGCTCTCCAAATTAAACAGAAATCGGATAGATTAGGAGGTCTTTCTTGAGTCTATCATTTATGTCTCCAGTGACCATCAGATTCTTTTTATCAATGAGTTCATCCAAATTGTTCTTCTTATCAAGAGTTCTAATTATGGTTTAATGCATGCCTTCATTTCTTATTTGATTGACAGGAGCAGCCTATTGATATACTCTAGTAGCCATGGAACTAATCTTGACACGATTATCTGTGGTAGCATCTGTTAAAATATATTTTTGATTGAGTTCTAACTTTGGATTGGTCTTTAATAGACAGGGAACAAGCTTTTTATCCTTTCTTTCTTTTCCATAAACATCAATATCTTTTCTTTTCTACATTCTATATTTCACAGATTCATCATTTAATCTCTTTTATCTAATTTCATCATCTATTTCTGCCTATGTAAATACTGAAGGTTTTATGATGACTTTTGTGAGAAGATTATTATACTGCGGTTGTGGGGGCTATTCTAAAGGAACAATGCCTTCAGGTTGTTGGTCAAATTACTCTATTATCTATAATTGTTAGGGTTCTTCGTTTATTTAAACCACCTTTTATCTTTGTTTTTTAATGGGAGGATCTTCGGGAGCAGATTTTAAATAATCTAGACCCTCATTGGTTTCAAAATAGTGAATTGCAAATCCTTTAACTTCTGTGAAAGGTTTGAACTACTTTTAGATTTAAACAGTCTATGCTTTTCTTGATAAATCAACAAACGCCTGTTAAACAGTTTGTTGGACTCTGGCACTTTTGAGTAGAGTCTGTTCTAAAGGCTCAACTGAAGTAATCTATTGCTCTGGGATCTAGATTTTGCTCTTCGCTTAATCATATGATTCAGTTGAATAGTCGGTTCTTCTGCTTTCTAATATTTTCATTTAAATTGCAAATTCAATTTCTTTTTCCTCCTCTGATTTTTAGAGTATTCCAAATTCATTCTAGGTTTTTAAAATGTTCTTCTGCCAAATTTCAAATCTCTGGAGAGAAAGTTCATGATGAATTCTTTCTTCCTTTTCAAAAGGTGGATATTCAAGAAAATTACGAAAAGTAAACACCCTATGTGCAATAATGGTGGTCTTTTGTATGATTTTTGGCACTATATCCAAAGTCTATGGAATTTTTACATCAATGAATTTCTTATTCTATTATTTCAACTCAGTAATGAAGGATATCGATTTAACATTATTAGGCATGTCTTCGATTATTTTGGTGGTAAAAGCGTTTTCTGATTTTAATCTAAAGTAATCCTGCAATTGGTATTAATTATAAAGTTCAATGCCTGTGTTGTCATTTCTGACCAAGAACAATCTGGGAGGTATCCATTGCTTAGGAGTAGGCAAGACTTTATTCTCTTCATCCACAAATATGCCATCTGGAATTTGATCTGGAGTATAGGGTTCCTAATTCTATGCTGAAGCTGTAGATAATTTAGTAACGACATGACCATCCTCATCAATTTCGAAATAGTTAGCTTCCTCATCCCTAGTGAAAATGCATTTTCTCTCCAAATCAATAGTATAGACTCCCGACCTTCTTTCATCAGGCAAAGAAAATAATTATACCCAATAATCAATGTCTTAACCTAACTGTCTTTTCTCACCTTTGTTATTCAACCTAACTCTCTCTTCAGCAGTGATAATAACTACCTCTCCATCAGCAACGCATTTGCTAACACCTCCATCTTATGTATACAGAAGATGAATTCGATTAGTTTTGTATTATTTTGAATCTGGTATCTCATATTTCTCAAGATATGAAACCACCTTGCATCCTTGATAAAATGTCTCAACAATTCTGCCATCATGACTTCTGTCTATGATGTTATCAAAACCAACAGTTGTATTGTTTTTTCTCATGATAGTTCCAGAACGTTGTTTGGCTTTATCAATGGTGACAACTACGCTTGCAAAATTTGGATGTTCCACTATGATTTTATCTCCTTTTATTAACATTACTGTTCCGTCTTAATGTTAGGTGTATTAGTAACCCTCCTTATAGTATATTATTAATGTTTGATCATCTCTAATGTAAACCTTTGATCCACTTTCAGGATCTGTTCTAATGGCACAAGGTATTTTATCTACTCCCTTTGGCGACTATCTGTAACCTTTGTTGTTCGTTGTAATCCACATATTATTTTTATAATGTGAGACATTACCATTTGAATACAATATTATTATGGAACCATCCTTCTTATATATAATCACTGATCCCTAACCAGTGATGACTCTTTTGATTTCCTACTCTGAATTGATATCTGTATTGTCATATAGATTAAATGAGTGTTAGGATGATTCTTAGGCTTTCTGATTATGATATTATTGTACTACTTCTCCCATCTGTGTAAATCGTAAACATAAACCATTTTTAAAAGTCAAATTCATGATTTGATCTTGCACACTCATTCTTGATTCCTTGAATTATGCATAAAATCCACATTAAATACCAAAGACTATATTCTCTTTGATCACCCTATATCGAAGTCGCTCTTATTCCCCAACTGTGAACTTAGTAGCCAAAATTAATGAGTTATCTGTGGGATACATAATTTTGCATCTCTCTGTAATTGCTCCAATCTTCTGATAGTCTATATCATAAAAGTAATCACTATTGAAATTCCTCACTTAAATGTAATATTCAAGATTAGGCAGCACTCTCCATTCTGCTGACCATTTTTTCCTTAAAGTCCTTCCAGGAGGATTCTTATAATAGCAACATATCATAAGAGCATCGTCATCTGGCAAATATTTCATAATCACTTATGGATCATTCAACAGAGCTTCGTAGAACTTCTACCTCAAGGTATTTCTATTGTGTCTCTCCATATAGATTCTATCACCAAAATGCCATTCTTTTTCAGGTTCATTTTCCTTAAGCAACTCTTCAAATTGCAATAGTAATTATCTTCTCTCAAATTCATTGACATCAACATTAACAAATGGATGCAATTTAGCCTTAATAGCTTTTCTCATTTTTTCAGATTTCTCCGGTATCTCTGGCATTCCCTACCTATCTATTCCTGGGTAACAAAGATTATCAAATATCTTATGTTCTCTCTCCACAACCAATTATTGATCATGCAATTGAGCAAAGTAGGCTCTCATTTCAATCCAATCGCATTCATCCAATATCAGTTGTTTGGGGGATTCTGTGACTTACTCCTACTTCCTATTTTTTACTGATTCATTTCCCTAACCTTTCAACCCAGTTAAAATCCTGTTAACTTAATCTGAGTCATCTTAATCTTCGAGACTGGGAGGAACTTAGGAGTTAGTCAAGTAAGTGGATTCGGCTTGCAATTAATCCAACAAACATTCTAATAGAGTTCCTGGTCCCACTTTCTGTAATTGGACATCTGATAGTTATCTCTTATAATATTAGAGATGCAATTTAGTTTTCATCTTTAATTGCTAATCAATGGCATCCTGGATTTACTATTTTCTAAGTTCATTTAATCTGTGTTTTTCCGCTTCCGCCTGTCGTTCAGCTTCTAATTCAGCTTCATTCTTTTTGGGTTCCTTCTTGGCTCCCTTTTTATTTTTCTCAGCCAAGATAGCTTCTTCTGCTGCCTTCTACTGTTCTTCAGCCAATTACGCTTCGTGCTTGATTCGTTCAACTTCAAGGTCGAAAGGATCCTTTGGAGCTTCTTTGTTTATTAATGGGATGGGTTTCTTATTGGCTATCCATTCGGCATATTGTTGTTGGTCAATACTGAATTAGCAAATTTCTTCGAAGATGGTTTCATAGAATTGTTTAATGGTTTCTTCTTCAGCATCTAGATCCATGTCCAAAATAAGTTCTTTGATAGTCAATTGCCTCAATGGGTCTGATGGTAGGGATGAGGCTCTGACCGATTTGAATTCTTCAATAACACTTCTTTCGCTGGCAGCATAATTAAGTGACTCTTCTGAGTATTGACGTTTGATAGGAGGAGGGGGAACAAATTCTTCCATTCTTTTTTCGAAATCATCTTGGAATTCTTCAGGTTGTTCAATTTGATTCATATCCACACCACCCCAATTTATGACTCTCTCCTTCACATGTATAATTAATTCTATCTGCTCTTGAGGCACTTGGGGAAAACCTTGGACAATGAAAACCAAATCGAAATTCTTGGGATAGTCTTTCTCGGGAACAACCTTTTCGGGCTCTACAATTGGTGCAACTGCTGGAGGTTCTTTGGCTCCTTTTTTGGTATCTTTCTTATCGTCTTTCTTGGGAGGAGCAGCTTTTTCGGCAGCTTAAGCTTGGGCAGCCAAATATCTAGCTTTTCGAACAGCAAGGACTTGATCTTGAATGAACAACTGAAATGCTTTATTCATAACTTCAGATGTAAGTTCGGTTGCAACTTCAGCCATGAATTTGGGATCCTAAATATTGGACTTGTATACCTTCTTCTACTTGTCAGTCAAGGTGGCAGGATCGACATACAATTATTTTTCTTTGCAAAACGCTAGAATTTCATCTCTTTGAATATTCTTTTAAAATGATTTGCAAGTTTTAAGCAAGTTGAGTAGTTTGGTTGCTCGTGATTTGGCTGCTTCAATCCTAATACTGACACACAGATGTTTGAGAGGAGGCAGGGCATTCAAATCGATTTCCTCTTTTTTGGGTGGCATAATTTAATTATTTTTATATATGTTCACTTCTTTTTTTTAATCTCTTGTTCCTCATTGTCATGATAGAATACAATAACCCATTTGTCCTCGGCAGTATTGCATATGGCCAATCTAACAATTCTAGTGTTTTCTTGCACCTGCACTTCAGCCACTTGACCCACTCCACTGAATTAAGCAGCCAAAATGTTTTGAGGATCCAGAATCTTAGCAGCAGTATTGGATCGAGGTATGTTCAAAGAGCCTGCTGATAAGAATTTGATCCCAGCTTCCCATTTTTCAGGAAGACGATCAGCAAATTGGGGATAGGGTTCCTTTACATATAATTTGATATCCTCAGTTGTTGCAAAGAATGGAGCCATATTATCCTTCATAGTTTTCTTATCTGAACGTGCATATGCATCTGCAAAACGAGCGAAGAAATGAGTTGCATTTTCCCTGACTTCTGCTTCCTTCTTGTTAAGCATCTTCTCCATCTTTAGTTATTTCTGCATTTTTGATTGATAAATTCCTTCCACAAATTCTCCTTCCCATCTATTGCCTTCCTTATCAATGAACACTCCTTCTCCATGCATTTTATGATTTACCCATTCTCCTTCATATGTACAACCTTCGGGAAATTGATAAAATCCAATGCCATTATGCCTATTATCTCGAAACTGTCCTCTATAAATTGCACCTGATTTGTAAATGTACACACCTTCTCCACACATTTAATCATTCTCGAATTCTCCATTGTATTCTTCCTTCAAATCGTTGTCTGTAGACAATGAACCTTTTTATCATTCCTATATTTCATACTTGCTATCACTATCCGTCCCTTACCATGTTTCACTTTTTTACCTTCTATCAATTTCCATTGCCCTTCATACACCGTGCCATCTTGATATTCGAATCTCCCCACTCCTTCTGTCTGAATAGCCGCTTCCACTACAGCCATTTTATATATGTATACTTATATTACAAATTAAAACCAGACATTTGAGAGTGTCTTAACTCCCCCTATGGCACACTCCCTCATTTTAATTTATATATAACATGTCCACTTCTCCTTTGTCTGCATCCTCATAGGAAGAATATATGGTCGAGGCTATCACCAATAAAAGATTCAAGAATGGCCGAGCGGAATATGAAATCAAATGGCAAGGTTACTCTGACAACGAAAAAACATGGGAACCCATTGAGAATCTCCAATCTGTTATGACCTATGTGTTAGAATTTGAATAATCTCTCAAAGCCAGCGGAGAGGGTTCTTATGATGATGGAGATTCAGCAGATGAAATTATCTCAATTAAGAAAGACAACGATGGTCAAAATTTGTTATTCCAAGTGTCCTGGAAACAAAAGAATCGTCGAGCCCCCTAAGTTTCCTGGATCAATTAGAGTTCTCTAAAAATGCACAACCCAGAAATTCTAATTGATTATTTATTGAAGAAGATCAAATGGCCAAACAGTAAATGATTATTTACATATATATATCCACACTTGTAGTTATATACAAATGTAAACAAACGAGATTAATAATAAGAATTTCCTTACTGAATCCTAAATTAAGAATAACGATCAAGATGTGAGCCTGAATAATTTCACCCACACTCCATATTTTAGATCACAGATTGTAATCTTATTGATGCACCACTTCGCTTCCAATTATGCTTATGATTTTCAATCTTGAACTCCTTTGTCCATACCTTCTAGTGTATCCACACATTCTCTCACCGCATTCCCTTTTCGCCTTCCTCTTCTATCTCTGATGAAATATTATGGTCTTCGCTGTTGCGTATTTAATACCTAATTTTAGAGCAGCCTAAACAACTCATTAACTTCGATTATGTACATCCTTTATTTTCATCCCCTGCTTCTACACCATACAATACAGCTATTGTTTGGTGTCTTACTTGATCTTCATGTACTTCTTGCCCCTTCCTTGAAAGATTTTGTGACATTGAGCATTTCTTATAGCATTCTGAGATCCCTTCATATCATTCTCGAACTCTGAAACTAATCTACTGTCCATCTTCTACAATTATGTCATCTATTCTTAAATTGCTTAAAATTAATTATTGACATCCTTTCGATCTCATAAATCGAATTTAAATTAGCAGATAAATTTAGAATTATCATACTTTCTCGGCTTACTCCCCAGTCCCAAAACTATGAGTCATGCACAAAAACATCTATTTATCAAACACTTTTCCCTTCTAAATCCTATCTTAGAAACGCTAGTAAATTAGATAAAAGTTGTTAAATTTCTGATTTCTCTACTGGCTCCATTTGATTTTAGAAGCCAAATAGAACTCAAATGCAGTTCTTTCAACTTGCAATATATATCATTTTAGTAAGGGTTGAATTTAGAATAATACTAAAGAAACAGATGGATGTCAAAAACCTACTTTAGAATTTATTTAGCCAAATATTCTTAACAATGTTATTAAAATAACACACATATATTTTATATAAACATTTAATTATTTAATTAATATATTAAAATTATTTAATTAGGCTTCAAATTATTAATTTCACTTTCCTCAAGATCATCTCCCAACTCGTATCTCATTGCATCCTACTTTGAACTCAATAAGATTGAATTTGAAACCTACCTGATTCAGGTATTCGAACATCCCTCAAATACTTATGGATCATGTATGAATTTGATATTTTAATTACCTAACCATCTCATTGAAATCAATAAAATATCAACTTTAAAAATGTCATTCAAATAATAGACCCTCGTTTTTATAATAATCACATTATAAATAATATATATAAAATGAAGATGAAATAATTCCTTGAGTGCGAATATGCACTCTCAAATCGCATTAAATGTGCAACTTGCCATGTGGTCATTTTTAAGAATGAATTAAAAATTGGACATGTTTACTTAAAAAAAGATGAAGGTATTAGTTGAAATTCAATTGAAATTAGGACAATAATTTGATAAGAAGGTTTGGTATCATCTGCATTGCATTAAAAAATGGCCCACTGGAGAAAAAGGCTAGGAATTGCCTCTCTTTAGATTGCAAACATTAAAATTGGAAGATCAATTGAAGATAAAGGATTTATACAAGTCCTTACAAGACAAGCCAAAAAGTAATCATGTTCTACTAATTTAAAGATAAAAAGGAGATCAAGGTCTTATCAAAGTAAGAATAATATGAGAAGTATGTAACTGTAAAGAATTTAAATGATCCAGGCTAAATTGATGAAGACGATGATTGTATAATGCTTTGATACAAATATTTTCAGGATATTATTATTGTTATAAATTTTATAATGAAAATTAATTCAATAACATCTCTTACTTTTTTAAATGGTTCTACACACCAAAGAACTTTTAATCATAATTGAACCATTTATTAACCTATATAATATAAAAAAAAATTAATAGCCTTTTGTAAATATTTGGATGATTTTGAAATCCAATACATATTCTGTATAGGAGTCCAAGAACTAATATTAATAACTTCATAGGATGGATTTCAAAATTATAGGAAGTATATTAAGTTTTTTGTTTAAAAATTAAATTTGAAAGCTTGGAAAATGAGGTTTGTTTATAATATTCATTATTTCTTATAAAATTATTATGTAATTTATTATAATATTAATTATAAAAGTGTGATATACAAAAAATGTCTAACTCTTTTGAATATTTTAGGAAATAGAAAATCGATAAATAGGAAAATAAACATAATACATCAAATTACAAAGAATAAGTTAATTTTCTTCATTAGTTGTTTATCCCATTTCTCCAATAATTTTAAAAATTCTCTGCATTTTTCTTAAACCAAAATATCTGAGCACATGGTTCCTATTCCTAATGTATTCAGATCATAATTGGATTCAGTAAATAACTTAGAAATTCAGAAGACATTAGTACTTTAAAAAATTCTTTAAATTAATGTTCTGTCTTTAGGCAATCAAGAAGGGTCTCATACATTTACAATAACTCTATGTCTTCCATGCTTTTTTGTAATTTCATCATTGCTAAAATGTTAAGCAATTATGCGTATTGCTATTCATTAAACAACTCCTTAATTTTCATTCTCCTGTACCCCTTGAATTACAAGGTTTGAGGCTACATGATAATGCAATTAGTTACTAAATTTCCAATGATCGAAGAGGTGTACTTCTAGAGTATGGATCTAACTTATAGTTCATTGATGTGAGAGACTTGGATGAGGTTGATGAGATTTTAAAAGAAATCTATATCGTTTTCGTTGTTGATAAACAATGATTGTTCTGTTTTGGATTCGATAATCTTGCCAGCATTTACATCGCATAAGATATCCCACCATTCTTTGCGATATTCAAAAATTGGATTCGAAACTATGGATATCCAAGAATTCTATTATTCCCAGCCTTTATCGAGTAAGGACTTGTAGCCCTGGATGTTCTGAATGATATTCAAAGGTGAGACAAGGAAACATAAGCTCAAAACGAGGTTGCAGACATTAGAGTACTTTTGATATAAAGTCACTTTTTTACCATATTATCTCCAATCTGTTTTTCTTAGTTGCTGCATTCATGACAAAGGAAGATGATTCTCTTCTATTGTAGAAGAGCCCTATAGAGAATTCGGACCTTCATATTGAACTTTTCAAATAAATCTAGCAAGGAGGCATTGATTGTTAGTCCATCTGCTCTTTTAGGATATAAGTTGCCTAATTCTTTGGAAGAGTAATCCAAAAGGGAATGGGAAAACTTGTAATAGGCCAATTCCCCTGAGAGGTCATTGAATCCCTTCTCTAGTATTTTTTCAATGGCTTATGGATTACTATCAGCATCATTGACCCAATGATCAAGACCAACTTGTTCAAAGTAATTTTCCAAGCATTTCTAAATCTTTTGATCGCAGATTCCTAAGAAAAGTAGATCGGATGAACAAACAGCAACGGATCTAATCAAAGAGCCTCTTTTGATGGTAGCATCCTTCTTATTTCTTAGACAAGCTAGATAATAATCCTAAGTAAATTTCCCTTTGATGCCGTATATAAGATCGGGATTCAAGGTAATCGACACGAAGTCGTGAGAAATAACATGGACTTGAGCATTAAACAAATTGATGTCCAGCCATTCAGATTCTTTCTCTCCTCTAATTTTGAGCACATTATCATCGGAATAACTGAGTGTTTGATTTGAACTCTGCAATAATGGTTTCCATTGATAATCAAAATGATATGTCTGCACCTATCCAGGAATGAATCGAACATTCCCAATTCTAAAAAAGAATTTATCCTATTTGATTTTGTGGACTCCATCAGGGATCATGTACGATGCCAACTCATGAAATCCAGAATCACCCGTATCTGGGTATGATGCAGTAATTACACATCCTAATAGAAATCAATGGATGTGTTTATACCTTTGACCAAGTCGAATTCAGCAGCAAATAAAGCTTTAATCATAAAGGTAATTAATTATAAAATACAATTCTAATTGCAAATGTCAAAATCAACAGCACTGCTTCTTTGCATGATGATTGTCTTAAGTGTGATTGGATTACAAATAAATTGCTTTTGAAGGCAATTGCGACACCTCTGAAATCGGCTAATCACTTCTGCTTGTATTCTATTTCGAACTCGCCGGAGTCTTCTTTGTAGTTTTTATAGAATTTTTGAAGGATTCACTCGTAAACATCCTCATTATCACTAATTTCACTGCCTCCACAAAAGCCTTTTAGACATATATTGAAATGGTTACTTTTTCTACATTCTCCCCAGTCTTCGCAGATGTCTCAAAAAACAAACTAAAATTGTGAGCATTCATGAATTTCTCAGCCTCCTCCTTTTGAACACTGCGTTCCATATCTGATTTGTTCCCCACAAGAATTTTGACAATCTCCTCGTGAGCACTCTCATGCAACTCTGTTAACCATTCTTGCAACTTCTCAAATGAGTCTCTTTAATTGATACTATATAACACAAAAACAGCCGCAGCTCCCCGATAAAAACTCTTGATCATGCTTCTAAATTATTCCTATCCTGCCTAATCAATCGCTCAAAACTTATACAGTATCCCATATTTGCAGCTCCACTCTACGCTTATCAACTATGACCAACTTCTTAACAAATTCCACACCAATTGTTGCTCTATTCATCCCTTCATGAAATTGGCCTTCCGAATATTATTTAACAAAACTACTCTTGCCAACAGCTAAGTCTGACATATCCAATTACATTGATCACCAACAACAATAAACTTGAACATAGGCAAACCATCCTTACTCATCCCTAAATTCAATAAATAATTATATTTATATTCTAATTCTAATTCAACTTAATCTTCACAATTCTGCTTTCGCCTATACGCAAACATCCATCAGCTCCATTACCTTATATTCGAAATCTAAATTGTTCTGTAAAAACGCCCTTCACGATGCACATATCAGAAATTGTAATTTGTTTGCCCAAAATTATTCCAACACCCTTGTGTCTTTTTCAAATTATTCAAGCTCTCCATTCCTAATAACCCTTATTTAAGGGGATTGTGAATATCAATGAATAAATTTTATAATTCTGATGTGATATTTTAAAATTCAAAATAATCAGCTTTGGCTGCTGCAATGTTTTTCAAGACATTTGCAATTAAATTATTCTGATAAGATTTCGAAGCAATTCTCGAAATCCGCTAAATTCACACCTGCAATTTCTATGAGTTTCATTACCTAATAAAATAGAAATAATGTTTTACGTCTTGAGACGAAGAATCCTTACCTTGCAGATCTTGATAATAACCATGAACCTGTTTGAAAACATGGATCGCATAACCTAATATAGTGGTCGCCAAGAGGAGCCAATTGTATTGCATCATTGTGTAACTTCTATAGCAATATCTAAGAATATTATTGGCCTCTTCTTAAACATACATGGATTAATAACTAGAATAACATTACATATAATTACTCTTAGGATTGGCCAAACATGAATTAGGAGAGGTTTTGCAAGTAACTGTAAGAAGTTGGAAAATTAGTATTATATTCCAGAGTTTCTAATGTTTTCTAATAGAATTCATTGATTTCATCGATTGTGAATTTTTTATGACAGATTGTATCATACATAGTCTCCAATTCTATAGGAGATGCGTCTTCAATTTATGAGGCCATTTAGATGCAGGTGCAACCTATCAGATGAACATCCTTATCAGAGTATACTACTGTAGTCTTTTTGAGGAACACATCCATCAAATGCACAGCCCTGGAAAACAATGAATCATTATTTTATTCCCCATATATAGTATCAAATACATAAATTATCCATTTAACCATTAAAGATCTTCTTTCTTTTGATAGGGTGTGATTGATTAAGAAATTATCTATGCTTATTAATTCTTATTGGGAATTTTGAGCAACCAGATCAAGAGGTTCTGTTAAAAATTCCTCATAATAGAACTAGTTATTGGATTCGTAATTAAATTCTTCAGAGTCCATTTAATGATATTATTGATAAAGAAACATGGATTGGCTTTGAACCCCTCTTACTCCAACTGAATATTTAACTACAAATTTAAAAGAGATTACAAAAATAATTTTATTTTAGTTTATTTGCCTTTTATAACAACAATTATAATAACAATTATAATGCAATAGTTAAATCGATTCCATAAAATGATTGTATTAATAAAATAAATGAACTCGATTATTCCAAATATAAATTCTAAGGCTAATGCATTGTTGCAGCTAATATTACTGACAACTGCAGGCCTGTTATTGTGTATATTGTTATTTTCAACATATAGGGAATAGGAAATTCCCTATAATGGAGAAGTACTAAAGTGCAAGTTGAAGTACGATGCTAAGATGAAATGCTAATTAAATAATAGAACATTGAATAACGATAAAATTACATAGGATGATTGCCAATTACAATACATATGTAATTCGATATTAGCAACCTACCCAATCACAATTATCGATGGAGTATTGATTCTAGTGACGATAGTGATGAGTTTGATGAAACATTCGAATTTGCCAAGGAACATCACCACCTTTAATGTGGTTTCGTTGATCTCCATACTATTGAGTGCATCCACTTTATTCATCATGTCCATAATCTTGATGACTGGAGCCAAGAATGAAAACCTGAGTGTCTGGATACTGGTGATCTAATTGCTCATTTCTCTAATTCTATTTGCAAGTCTCATTTTCATAAAAAAGGAGGAAGAATTTTCGAATTTCATAAAAAGACAGGAGGAAATGAATGGGACTGAAATAAACCAATATGTGATTAACTGATTTAATTATTGATTCTATATTATGTAATTGATTTTTAATGCTTCATTTCCTGGTTGAATATAAATATTTGGACAACCAAAATACAAGCAAGGCTCCGAATGATAAACAGAGGCAGAACATGTTTTACCAAATAGTCAATTAAGCAGTCTTGAAGTACTTACCTCCTGCATAAATGATGACCTACTGAATTATCAGTAGACCCACGATCATAATTGTGAATGGCTTGTTTTTGTGAATTCCATCAAAAACATTGTATTCGTGTTGTCCAATTCTTCGACTGCACACCAAATTCACAATTTAGAACATCGCAGTCAAATGATACACCAAAGTATAATGGATAGCAAACTCAGGTACGAATTCAGCTCCAAGGGCATGCAAATCATGTTTGTATGATGGTCTATTACATATAGCACAAATTAGTACTCAATTCCAAAAATGGATGGAGTCAAAAACAACACAATTAGGGTTGCCAAATATTGAAAGACTGCTTGAGTGCAAGTCATCTACAGCAAGAATTTATCAATGATGTTCTCTCCTCTTTTGGCTGGCTTAGTCCTCTTTAAGACATCGTCTTAAGGTACTTCTGTACTCAAAGCAACTGCAGAGAAGATGTCTTGCACTCTAAATGATAAAGAATATAATCATACAAACTCAACCAAATGACTTCCAAAACTGTGTATGGTTATTGCTTCAATACGATGGAAGAAGTCAACATGATAGCAATTGAATTTAAAAAGAAACTCAATTGGAAGTAGATGAATCTTTTGATATTCAAAAAGATGTTTCTACCGTATTTCATACATAGTTCAATGCCATCCAACTTGTCATTCATTAAGATAATTCCACTGCATTCCCTTGCTATGTTGGTAGCTGTTTTGCCCAAAGTGATACCCACTGAAGCAGTTTACAATGCAATGGCATCATTATTACCATCTCCAATGTACCCAATGGTAGATTAGTTGATGTTTGAATAGACCTCCAAGAATTGGTGCTTCTGATGTTGATTTAAATCTGCCAAGATCTGCAATTAGTTATTCATCTTTGATACTTTCTACATATTATAAACATTAGATTACATCGCATGCCAAAGTGTCATCTTAGATTTCTGGTATTTTAGATACTATATTTCTTTCATTTACTTCTTAATGAGTGTAGTAGATGTTTGATTCCTTCAATATCTTTCTGATTCTAATCACGTACTCCTAAAAGTTCAAAATCAATAGATTGCTGAATGATTGTTGTTTCATGTACTAACTCTCGTAATCATTCTACAACAAAGGTTGAATTTCATCTTTTGGACACTCAATTATTTATGAAATGATTTGAGCACTCTTCTGTTCCTCTCCTGTTGAAGGATCAATTACAATCTCTTGTTGATTAACCAATTAAGATGATTTAGGTAAATGTTCACTAGTTCTTTGAATTTCAGCATCTGCCTAATCACAACTCACCCAACCCAATTACTTCGCTACATTAACAGTGTTAACTCTTGTGTCTCCTGTTAAGATCATCACACTCATATTTCCCATCTTTAAGGCACTATCCAATCTTTTTGCTTCCTATCTTATATCATCCCTCATTGCAATAGTACCAATGTATGTGAAATTGTTTTATGTAAGCAATTATTACCAATCCTATTCAATAAGGTTTGATATTTAGACATCTTTGTAAGCGAATGAAATGGTCTTTAAGGATTATGAATTGTAATTTAATACAGCATTTTTCTCTAATTCTGCACATTCAGTAGTCATGTTAGAATAAGCACAATATTAAATTGTGAAGTTTCCTGGTTCATAGATCTAGAAGTTTTAATTGTCAGGAATGGATATATTGAGTTGATTGCATTTCTCAATAATATCTTTTGCTTTCCCCTTCAAAATGATTCTGTATTTGTCGCCTCTTACATGGAGAATTTCAGCATGAAAACCATAGTTATTAAGAGGAATAGTCTTTCGAATTTGATTCTTAAGGTCTTGCAAATATTCAACCACAAACTCCCTTCTCAACTTAACTTCCAAGTAATCAATTAATGCAACATCCAATCTATTTCCACTCCAATCACTCTTTTTGCTGGCATCGTTAACAGATTACAGCATCTTGGCTTGCTCTTGTGTCTTCTTATTAGGATTTGAATTCAGATCTAATTGCTCATTGTATCTCAATTATTTTGCAATTTCATCTGGTAGAAAGGCTGAATTGGTAGACAGTATGGCTTCTGATAAAATTCTAAATAGTGGATCATGAGGGGGAATATTGTGGACTCTTTCTTCATTAGCAACGTGGAGATTGCTGACTTTGAGATTGTTATAGGTTAAAGTGCCTGTCTTGTCAAAACATAAAGTGTCGACTCCACCTAAGACTTAGCAAACATGTAGATTTCTAATGACAATATCATGTTATCTGAGTTTAGCGATTGAAAAAGCCAAGGACAAAGTAACAATCAGAGGTAAACCTTCAGGAATGGATAGGACAATGATTAAGAAGGCATCAATGAAATCGGATAACACTTTCTTAAGAGCAAATTAGGAGAATATTTTCTCTTGTAATTCATTCAATTCTCTAACCATGTACAATTCTAGGACTATAAACATGGCTAAAGCACTCATGCAACCTATGAACACCAAAAATTTGGCCAAGGTTTCAAGAGCCTTAGCCAATGGTGATCTTTCATCGTGTATCAATTCTTCTTCTCCTTCTTCCTTTTATTGATTATCGTGTTTCATTCTGTTGGAGTATGTAGATGTACCTACAGCTAGAACGACAACTTTTGCTGTGCCCTCAAAGATGTTGCTGCCTCCTCGGATAAAACAGTTTAAGCCTTTAGATATTGGTTGTTTGGAGATTGTATCAGTTAATCCTGAAATCATACTTTCATCTACCTCTACTGTTTCAGTGCCTTCGAGTAGTATTCCATCGACAGTGATATTATCTCCTGGTTTGATTGTGATAATGTCGCCCACCAACAAGTCAAGATGATTCATTTGATTCACATTGCCATTTCGAACAACTTGAAACAGCTTTTTTTGTTGTTCTTCTTATTCCAAATATAATTATCTAAATTATTTTTCCTTTCTATAATCGGTCATGGCTCCTATGATTACGACGGCACAGATGGCAATGAGTATGGAAAATGCTTGTACTATTTGTTCAAATGGTTCTTCGGAGAAGAAAGCCATCATGAACATGATTACTGTAGCGAATGCCAGAATTCGGATGCAGAAGTCTTTTGTTTATTTGTACATGCACATGTAGAAGGGGGACAATTTGGGAGGCTCTAAGCGGTTGCTTCCAAACTGTTCTTGTCTTCCTTCGACATCTGCTATGCCATTTTTGGAATCGGTTTCTAATTTCACCATTATTGATTCAACATCCCTAAAGTAGATTAAGTCGTATACCCAAGTTGATGTAAAATTTCAGCTGATTACCCAGATGATAAATTGGCTGTGTCAAACATACTTTACATTTGGGGATACGAAATCTAAAATCTCTGTTCTTCCATGAATGTATTCGTTTTTTAATTTTATACAAAAATAATTCAAAATCGAAAAAGTGAGTAATTTAAATGAAAAACTATTGTACGCAAAAAAACGAGAATTAATAATAATTCAATGAGAAGCACAGAGGAATTGAAGGTTGGAGATTTGATAGTTTTTGATTTTGCATGAAATAAAATTAAATATATATATATATTGTAATGCAATTACGAAAAGTACGGTCTCATGAAAATTCATACACCAATTTGGATTAGCAAAGGAAGATAGACTCTGCTCAATTTAAAACGCAGCCTTGCACTCAATAGCATCCGAGTGCGCATAAAAAGTTTTGCCCATATTACCATGATGAGTCTGATCGCAGACGTGATCCTCATCAATTCAAATATAAGTGAGCATTACTGATAATGATTGCAAGGTGTCAAATGTGTCCTCAGTTTGAACAATGTCCCAATGGAGATTTGTGTGCATTCTCACACAATAAAGTAGAATAAGTGTACCATCCAAATAGATATAAGAGCAAATATTGCGTATAGAACAAAGATTGCGAGTATGGGATGTACTGTTCATTCGCACACAACGATCACGAATTGCGAGTGCCCCAAAAACTAGAATAATTGGTGCAAGACAAAAAATTCTGGATGTTTCATTATAAAACAATATGGTGTCCATACATCGTAGGGTATGCATTACATTTCTATAGAAACACCAAAGACATGATCGAGCCACTTGTGTTTATGCTCATAATGCACAAGATTTCAGAAGGGATCCTCAATTGCTTCAACCGAAGGAATGTGCCAATTGGAATAAGACTGATTAGATTTCACGGTACGACCAAGGAGGTTGTCCTGATCAAGAAAACTGCCCCAATTGTCACGGATGGAAAGAATACGAATACCATCCCTTGATTTACAAAACTAAACCTTGCGCACAACCGAATTGCATCAAAAAAGAGTGTCCATTCTTCCACCATGATTAAGAACGTAGGTACTTACTCAATCTGATTTCTAAGAATACCCAAAGTACAGAATGAAAAGCAATGGATTATTGAGGAACCCAATACTCAGAATTAATTAAGAGTCCCTTACAAGTCCAACTCAAACTATCAAGGACCCATTATTCCAAATTACATTCCTCAGGATCTCAACAGGGAGAAGATGGAGGTGGGACAGCCTCTTGAGTTGTTCAGCTCGACTACCACTTCCTCGAATCCAATATCGAGAAGAGGGTCGGATTTCTCAGATAGGTAGAAGAAGAAATGGAATACTTAACGGAAACATCATCGCACTGCTCCTACTACGCCTGATCAAAAACAGCAGCAATAATCGAAGATGCCATTGATTAAATATTCGAGGAGATTGTAGGATGAGTTGTGGAAAATATCTGGGGTAAAGTGATTTCAGTATATATCCTAGTCTGATTTCATATTACACACTCTTGAAGGAATGAAAATCACTGAGATGAGTTTGATGCATATGAATGAGTTGAATCTGCTGTCTTTGAATATTAGTGATTAGTAAAAGCAATATTTGATATAAGCCTTATTCAATATTAAGTAGGAAAAGAACTACGATGAACAACACGATGACGAATTATTAAAAGAGAGTGCTGGGCAATTTTGAAGTTTTGAAATTTTGGTTCTTGTATTTCAATATCATTTATTTTTCCAATCTTAAATTCAATCAATCAATTCTAGTTTATCTAAACTGTGAACAATCATCTATTATTATTATTTCAATACAACGTTTTTTGTATATCTCTTTTTGAATTTCGATATTTGACTTCACCCACTCATCTAAAACATAGACCATTCTCATCTAATCCCCACATCCAATTTGTTAAATTAGTAGTGATTTATAAACTCAATAATAATTTTATGTTGTTCGAGAAACTCAAGATCTACAACACCCCAGCCAAATTATTGGAAAAGTTGCGTGAAGTTCGTAAAATTTAGGAAACAGAACAGAAAGCAGAACCAAATCAGGTTTCAAAAGTCTAAAAAACAGAGCCTTCCGCTGAGAGATACCTTGTCAGACAATTAAGCTTTTAACACACTTGGAATACTCTAACTCATAAATCACCCAATTTGAAATCACCTACTGTTAAATCACAAGTGGACATTTTTAAAATACCAGTAGCATCTCCCAAATAGTGTTCGTAAGCCTGTTTAACAGATATTTCAACTTATAAAAAAAGTTAAGCAAGAACAAATTTAGATGATGATAGTTTAGAGTTAAAGGATATTTAAAAGAATTTCGAAAAAGAAACATTACAAGAACTTTACAATGCAGATTAAAAACTGATTGATTAGCTAAATGATGAAGCACAAGTTTTATCAGAGAGACTGGCTTTTAAAGAGGAGAAAAGTCCCATTCGTCCCTTTTAACGCAAACATCATCAGCCTCATCAAACCCAGAAGCCTTAAAGACGTGGTGGAACTGTGATTGCCGCATCCAAATTAGAGGATTTAAAAAAGCAATCGCCATTTCTCTATAATGAATAAAAAGATGCCCCATTTGATGATCTATCCGACAGAGGAAAGTTCTTGAAGCATTATCGATTGGGAAAGTATGTGTTTTGTTTCAATCAACTCTTAGCAAGAATCTTCAAAAGATCAATCAGAAGGAGTTTAGAAGTGTGACCAAGAATTATGAGAAACTCGAAGATTATGCAGAATTCTACAAACAATAACCCAACATCTACCTCCAATTAAACAAGAGTTCATAAAGTAAATATACTCTCAATAATGTAGAACACAACATCTTCTAAACAGGTCTTGGTTTGATTAATTCAAACTATACCATATAGACTGCTGAGTCATCAGGAATGTTGAGGAACGAATAAAAAATTAAAGTGTTCACAGAAGCTCTCAAGTCACCTCAATGCAAGACTTTGACTGAGTTGAAATTGAGTCATAATCAATTGACATCCCCTAGGATTAAGACTTTGGTTTCCAATTTCCCATCCCAAGTCCAAGATTTGGATCTGAACAACAATGGCATTGATTCTAAAGGTTGCGAGATTTTGGCTAAGTACTTGTAAAAGTCAAGAGTTAAGAAGTTGTCTCTTGAAAATAACAAGATAGGCGACCAAGGAGCCAATCATTTATTTTTGGCATTGCAAGAGAATGACTATTTAACTCTCTTGAATTTGAGTCGAAACAATTTGAATGGTATTGAATTTATCTGATTTAGAGGCTTGCACTATTGAATTATCAAATTACTTGAAAAGATCAAATATGCTTTATGAATTGTACTTGCATTTTAACACAATAAACAGCAAAGGAGGCTTGAATATCTGGAAGGCCTTATACAAAAACTCAAGTGTTAAGGTCTTCGATATATCGTATAATCGAACAAGTTCTTTTGAATGTGCCCAATAAATGGCCAAAGTCATAGCAAAGCCTTATCCCGAATTAATGCATATTGACATATCACATAACGGATTCGATGAGCCATCTGGCAATGAAATAATGAAGGCTTTGAACATAAATCAAAACATCTATGGATTTCATTTTGAAGGTAATTGCCCTAAATTTATGGTGGATGCTACTGGTCATCTCAGAAATTAAGAAGTTGAAGAATAGGTTCGTTAAAAGAAGATTGAAGAATGCAGAAGAAATCCTTAAACTTCTTTGCGTCTTCTGGATGAGGATGTGAAGTAATTCCCAAAAGCAGCACCAGACAAAAAATAAGAGAATATTTAACAGGTCCACAGATTCAGGAGAATTTGGGGAATGAAACCTGTAAAATAGAATTAGTAATTTGAAAAAAATAGGGATTCTTGTTGGATTTGTGAAGGTTGGGAGGAAGTCAAATTTACTTGGAGTCCTGGCAAATCAGGAGGTATGAATAATGATCCCATCTTCTTACATGTCAATTTCGATGGGTATCGTCCTGTTTTGATGTCGCCACATTAAGGTGAATATCATCTATATAGAATGTGTCCACCCAATTAGAAGATTTTATATTTCTTTAGTAATCCTATATTGGGAATACAGACGACTGCAAAGAATCAAATGATTATGCCGACTCCTGCCAATGATCCTATTGCGTAAGGGACTTAAGAATTCTTATATAATGGGGATATTTTGATTGAAGGAAATAAGATGTCCTTTGTGAATGAAGTGTTCACAGAGGGTAAACACACTGTAGTTGAAAAATATGTTCCCAAGATATTCAGTAAGCCTCGAGAAGAGGAGAGAACCTACGATTTAACCTAATACATGAACAAGAAGTAAGCCTTTTGGAGCTATGAAATATCGATATTTAAAAACTATTAGCCCGATAATGAAGAATTAATTGATGAATGCTTTGAATACGACTTTCAATCATCCAAAATCAATAGGATAGTCCGTGATCCAAATGAGTTAATGGAGGTAAAAGAACTTCTCAGAGAATATTATCCCCATATATTTGCTAGTTATAAGTTTTATGCTTCTACACTAATTGGATCAAGTGTAATTATTATGTATCAACCTTTAGATTCCTTGTATCTCATCCAACGCCTTCTTCGATTTCATTGGATAGACCACTGTGATGACAGACAAATTCAGACCTGGAGATATAGATTTGAATTTCATCTCTACCTCCAATGTCAAGGACATTTTGTATCCTAATGTTTACGAGAAGGCCTTGATCAGATATCAATTTATGGAAGTTTTAGTTAGAATTGCGTTGGATAAGTACACCAGAACTGGAATCTGTAAATCAATGAAACTAAGTGTTTTGAAGTTGTTTGAAGATGATTTAGTTAAAATAAGATTGCAAGAAATTGATAAGGCTCAAGATTGGAGAGATATGAGATTGTGGAATGAACAATGTGATCTATTGATAAGTAATGTCTTATTCATATATCATAGAGGATAGATTGCCTATGCTCAAATTGTTGTTTAAGTTTACGTCCAAGTTGAATTCAAAGTTAAAGTTTTACAAATAAACATGGGTTCAATTCAAGGATTTCAGAGATTTACTGTTGAAATGTGATCTATATTGCGATACATTCGTGGAGAGAGATGCATATATTGCATACTTATTGTCCATGCAAACCTAAATTGATGAGTTGTATAGTTTAAGACATTTCTAAATGGAATTTTATGAATTCATGGAAGCCTTGTGTAGATGTGCTGAAAAACTCTCATTGATCAGAACTAAGGAAATAATGAGCATAGATGAAAGAAGATCAGAACCATTGCATAAAAAAATAGATGCTCTGTTTTTGATAATTTATTTAAGAGCAGGTGATGCAATCAAATAATAACTAAAAGAATCTGAAGACTTTTCAGATTTCGATAAATGCATGACAAAAAAACAAAAGAATCTCAAATAATAAATTGAAGAAATGGGCAGTGATGATGATGATAAACCTTACAATCCATTAGTAGAATTGAAATATTTAGAAGATCAACTTAAATAAACTTCAGTTCAACCTGTTCAATCTGTACCCAAATTAAAAAAGGCTCTGTCCTTATTTACTGTCTTGAGGTAAATGCAACAGCAAAAATAACTTAAATCAAATTTCCTATTGACTAATGTTGTCTAATACTTTAAATAAAGAGATGAAGAATATCTGTAAAACTAGATTGATTAAAATTGAACTTTGATTATATTTTTATTTAATATGGATAATCAATAGATGTTAAAGCGAATTATATATATCAATTTTTTAATAAAATTATATTCATTTTTTTTACATTAAAAATGGAAGAATAACTTTTTGACAAAATAAAATATTAAAAAGACAAATATGAAATAAATCAAATAGCTAATGATAAAAGAAATCAGAAAATAGAATTTTAAGAATGTTGGAAATTGGTTCATTGTTAAAATAAAAGAATCTATCCATAATTAATTATTTTGATATCAAATGGAATAACTAAATTACAGAACTTTGCTTAGTTATATGACATTTAAATATAGTTTAATACATAAAAACTATAATGAAGTTAAAATTTTAATATAGAATTGATTACTTTAGGATAGAAATACTGTTTGACAATAAGTTTCCAATTTATATTTTCAGACAATAAGAATTTGATTAGAAATTTTGAGAGCAAAAATAAGGAGGTGTTTAATTGAATCTGTTTTTATGAAGAGTAAGAACTTAATCAATGATAATAAATTATCACCTAAAAATGGGAGATTTGCTTTGAAAAAATTAAATATTAGCTGATTTAATTTTTTATAGATATATGTAAAATTCAAGATTAGGTTGATAAGGTTTTTTTGTGTGTTTAAAACGATTTGAGAGCATCACTAAATTTTATTGGTTTTAAATTGATCAATTCAATCCTTCTATAACTAAGATAAGGGATGAATTCTTTATCCCGTGGAGACTTATAATGATTAGGAGAACTTATAGGTGTCTTATTACCTAAATAGCGAAAATTTCGAGCTTTATTTTGAATTTCTTTTTTTTGAGTTTCTTATTTTTCAAAATATTATTTTAATTTATGTATTGATTCTTGGAGACAAGTAGATTCTTTTGGAGTTGCTTCTACTGATTCAGTTTGTTATTATTCAACTCTACATTTTCTAACTTGATCAAATATAATGGTACGATATTTGGAGAATGTACTGTTTTTGGCTAATTGATTATAATATTAATATAATACTTTATCTCCTCTTCTTCTCAACTCTTAATGAAATTTCAATTTTCCTTTTCATACTTGTTACATGTTTAAGATTCATGTATTTGTACTAGAATTTACTGAGACATCCACATTCATTACAATGACAACTTTTTCTTCTTAATGAATCCTTTTAAAATATCAATCCTTTCATGTTGAATATATTTAATTGATTGCGAGGTTCATAACTAATGGATCGGCCTTTTATTTTTATTTTCTTTTTTGCAAAAAGCGACAATGATCTGTATTATGGTGATATAAATAATTTATAGTCCAAAATGTTCATTTTAATATTAAATTTTGAAAGGCAAAGGTATAATGACATAAAGACTTTCATTAAATTAATTAAATAAATCTTAAATTAAATGGATATTGATTGAAATTCTAGATATGTTCTGGGGATGCAAATATAATAATATTATGAATAAGTTGTAAGTGAATTTCTAAGGGATAAGTAAATATATAATTTATAAACATATATAGTACAACTACTAATTGATTCAAAATCATTAGTCCATAATGTTAGTAGTTCTGAGAGATTTTATTGTTTTAGCATCTAAACTTTGATTACTTTTTTTCAATGGTTAATATTGTTGTTATTAATTAATTAGTAATTGCTGTTATAATATTTGATGTTCAGAAGATTAGAGTTTCTCATTAACTGATTCAAAACCTTTGAAATATGGATGTTGGAGTGCTTATTAAGCTGTAATTCGCAAAGCTGGGTCCACTTCCAACATTTATTTCAATAAATCAGCGGCTTCTTCATCCTCCACATATTGTTGAGCATTGTACATTTTTGATTTAAGCATGGGCTAATTTGTGATTCTAATTTAGTTAAAACTTAGTACAAATTGAATAATACAACTCCAACACTGAACATATCAGAATTAAAACTTGATTCTTTTGATCTAAGTACTTCTGGCGCATAATAGCCTGGTGTTCCGCACACGCTGCTGACAGAGCCAAATTTCAGATTCGCTGCAAATCCAAAATCAATCACCTTAATTTAACCATTTTTTTCCACTATTATGTTTTCTGGCTTTATATCTCGGTGCACAATTCTTAGTGATTGCAAATAACTTATAGTATCTAACAGACTCTATTGATATATGATGGTTATATACTCTCATTATCTTCTTTATCTATTCAGTTGGTAGTTTTTATTTTAATATATCGCTCAAAGGAGTTCCTTAGACATACTCTTAAACAATCCAAAATGTCTGGTCATTTTCATAAACCTCAAGCACTTTTATAATGTTGGGATGATTTAGCGACTGCAAAATTTGTACTTCTGTTTTGACTATGTTCTAAATGCGATACATTTAATCACTTACTAAGGCTTGTTCCTCTTTGCCAAATTCTTGTTTAATCATTTTTACCGCAACTGCCTTCTAGGTTTGTTTCTCTATGCTTCGATACACCTAAATTAGTTTAATAAATTAGGCAATACCTTTGCAGACAATCCTTCACCAATGAATAATGTTGGTTCATAGAATGAAGCCATGTTTCTATAGATTACTCTTCCTCCTACCAATTATTTGAACTATTCCAAATTGGCATGTGTAGCTTCAAAATATTTGATTTTATTCTGGTAAAATATTCCAAATGCTTTTAAATGTGACTTTCCCATTTTCCAAAGAATTTAGGTTGATAAATTGAGTTCTAGTCTATATTTAGGATTCTTGAAATTGTTGAACTTAAAAAATAACAAGGTTAGGTTACTGCAGATATTATAACTTCATCATCTAATACTTTTAAATAATATCTTTTAGAAAAGATCGTATGTGGTCGTACACAAGAAAAGGAGAGCAAATCCATTCTTCTAAAGAATTGTTCCTCTAACTAAATTGATTTATATTATTTAATAATTTTATATTTTGGATAGATAAATATGTAACCAATACTTTCAAATAGATACTCTAAAATATGGGAAATTCTCCTTTATTCCTTTCATATTCTTTCAAAATTTCAATTCAATGTGAATTAAACGACCTGAACCTATACAAATTAAAATAAAAAAAACCATTAATAAATTAAATCAAAATGTGTCAACATATTTATATCATTATTTCTAATTTTTCTATAACTTTCAATCCTTCATAAAGACTGAGATCAATGATTGATAAATATAATTTATAATTTATAATAATATTAATTTTTGTCTTTCAATGTCACTAAAACACTACAGAAAAAATTAGAGTTCGATTACGTATTTTTAAATAAGCTACAATTGTTAGAATCAGTATTAGTTAATAAATATTTAATAGAATCACATTTACACTGTTTTTATCAAAAGCTAATTTTTCCAAAATAATAATTTTTTTCCACCTAGTTTGTAATGATAAGCAATTTTGTTTTTTAAATCAATACTAAATGTACATTATGCTACTTTAAAATTGAGTAAAATTTATAGGCAATAAAAGAAAGAGGAAGAGGGAGGAGGACAAGAAGGCAATTTCGAATTCTGAAATGGAAATGAGGGTAATTATCCATTTAATTTTTTAAAGGCTAAAATTTTGCTCATTTAGCATATTTGATTTGAATAAAGGATTTTCAAGTGCATTACAATTTATACATTGATTGTGACTTTTTATTATTAGAGATGGCTAAAATTCAAAACTATATTGATGTCACAGACTAATTTTTTGAGGATATTTGAATATACGTTATCTATCTAAGATTGGCAAACTTAACTATTAGAATAGAAATTTAATAATTTGTTTAGATTATCATATAATGTAATTATTTATAAGAAAAAAACGAATTGAAACTAGTAATTAGATTTTACGAAAAATGAATTTGATTTTGATATTTTTTATTTTAATATGGGTAATCTTGTTCTTCTTTAAGTATGCAAGTTTTATGTCTTAATGAAATTACGGTCTTTATCCTAAAGTTAAATATTGTTTTAGTTTAAGAGACTATGACTTTGGTAAGAATTAGTCACTAATGCATAGAAGATAATGGCATATATGTTATATCCTATAATCCAGACCCTTGAGTTGTATAAAATTCTTATTAATGTAAACTAGAAGGAAATTTTATGGAAAGGTACAGATTAATAATGAATCGTTTAAACAATAGACAAAATATACCAACTAATCAAAAAATATGTTTCATAACCCATAAGGTAGCCAAAAGCCTAATATTAAAGAGGTAGCAAAGATTCCTTATTGGAAGGTCGTCTTTACTTTTTTATCTAGGTTATAAGTTGCTAATTAATTTACCATATTTTTAATTAAATTATCTCTGAGACAATTAATAATAAGAATAAATGTGAATGATATATAAGACTCGATACGGTAATGTAACTCAAAAGTGAAAGATCTTAACTAGCTAAGTTAATGATTAACTGACAAAGATATGAAAATATGAGTTTTGTGGACAAGTTTTATTTATGACGCATCAATCAAGTATTTATATATGATAGTAATGATTGAAGAGATCTTACATTTATAATTAATGAGTATTTTTGAAAGTATTCATGAAGAAAATCTTTCAATCAAGGTGTAATCTGAAATCTTGTTATCTCCAGAAAAAAAGGACCTCAGACCTCGTAATAATCTATTTCCTGGGATGTTTTAGGAATAAAAAAGGGCATACATCAAAGTATCCAAAGAATCCAAGGACTAATTACATGAACTTGTGTTCAAGGAAGGGTTTAAAATTAAAGATGTATGATACTGGATTAAGTTTTAAATAGGCTGCTGAGAAACTCTTTATCAAATATGCTACTGCTAAAACTATTGTGTTTCATTGGCGAAAAAAGTGTCAGAAACAAAAGAAATAAGAAAGCAAATTTAGCAGATATATTTAATTACAAGGGAAGATCTCCATAAAATTGAAAATTATCTCAATTATATAATAAAAGCTCATGTCTTCTGTTGAATACATTGTGCAGCATCCATCAAATGGTTAATGCTATTAACGATTACAAGACTGAATATATTATACAATAATTTATGTTATTTTTTTCCATACTTGACTAGAAAATTAAAGGGTTTACTAACATTAAGAAGTGAAAGTTTCAGTGATTCATTGAGAGTATTTGTCTTGCTTATTATACTTTTGAAAAGATCTTTTATTTTAGCCAAGAATATATAATAAGGAACTAATTTTCAAGATATTTATTAAAGTTGATTATAATTAATATTTACTCTCTTCCAAATATATTGTTTAATACATAGGTCTCTAAAATATTACCAGAGATAACACTTATTAGAGAATGGAATGATTAAGCATAAAATTTGAAATTCGAAAATTTATGAAAAATATAATGAAAAAAATTGAACCTCAAAAGTTTTTAAAAACAGACATTTTCAAGATTTTCACAATTCTCTCATGTCCATATGGGCTATATACTAAAAAAAGAAATAGTCATTTATTAAAAATTATTTTTATTACAAATTCTTTTTTGAAATTATTTAATGTAATAATTAAAAGTCTTTAAATTATTTGATACATATTATCATTTATTTTATTATGAATTTATACATAGAATAAGCAGCAGAAGAAATTGAATAAGCTATTTTTGATTCCGATTAGTTGTTGGCCTTAACCAAAGCTACCATTTAGAAATTTACGAATTATCTCAAGAGAAAATAATAGGAAAAGATGGAACGAAGATTCCACCTTAATTCTACCCTAGATGATTCAAATAATATTAAGCAACGAGACAAATAATAATTAAACCAACTCAAAATTCTGGAATTCTTCAATAAGGCTCATAAGGAAATAGATAGATAGCTAAGAGAATTAAAGGAAATGATTCCCTCCAATCCACAAACTTTCATAATAGAGGATATTAATGACCAGGAACATATCAAAAAATTGGCAGATTCACAATAAGTATCAAAGACTAACACTTTAGATTAGAATTTTTCTTCATTTTTTAAACATGCATAAAATGGAGGGCAAAATAATTATAGCCTTACTAAACTCGGTTAGCATAACTAAATGACGAATCAACTTAATAATCAATAATAACAATAAAATTTATTGTAATCTCAAAACTAACAATAAGGAAACTAAAAAGAAAATAATTAATTCAAAATTCAAAGTGCTCCTCAATTAGAATTATAATCAGAAAGTCTAAAGTCTAAAATGAAACCAAACTTTGAAAGTAAGGATTAGGTCATCAACTTTGGAAGATTATAAAAGTTTTCTTATTAGGGATTATCATATCCAAAAAAAAATAATGGAAATTGTGTATTTTGTGGTTTAGAAGCCAATGACTCTAATTTAGGACCTCTATTGTAAATTCCCTCTAATCGAAATCCAAATGAAAAATTCGATTTACATGAAATGTGTGGATTATGGAGTTAAAATTTGGTCTTCTTCAACAACCAAGGATAATGTAATCCAAATAATCTAGATGAAGAAATTACGAAATCGAAATAAACTGTAATTAATTTTATTTAAATTAGAAATGTTTCTTATGTAGCAGACCTGGAGCTACTGTTTGTTGTGCTGTATGTCCAGTAGCCTTTCATTTCACTTGTCTAATGAATAGTGCTTAAACAGGTATTTACTGTTATTAAATAAAAAGGAAAATTAGTGGAAAGCCAATTCAAATTCTTTTGTGAAACTCATAAAAAGAAAGCTAACAAATATGAACTAGCCTCAAGCGAGGAAAAGATCAAAATTAAAAGACCAAAAAAAACTAATTATAAACTAAATCAATCCAAAGCCCTTATTAAAACAAGTCCTAAAAGAAGTCCAAGAAGAAGTCCTAAGAAATTCAAATCTCCATCTTAAAAATAAATCAAAATATCAAAATGTATCATACCAACTGAAGATAAAGATGTACACTAGAACAATCATAGTGATTTGATGCCCAATGTGCACAAATAATATGAGACTACACAACAATAGATTTCATCATAAATTTAAGAATCCGACATGAAATTAGAACAATGATTGCGATGAAATGATTATAATTTATAGTTTCAAGTCTTTTTTTCTTAAATAGAAATATAAAAACCTACAATTTCAAATCAATTTTTAAATGAATTCTTTGTTGTTATTTTAAATTTAAAACACTAGTATTAATTTACTATTTAATTTAAATACATAAATACATGTTTTCAAACCTAAATTCAGGGAATATGCTGGGAAAATCAAATTAACAGAATTCACTTTAATTTGGACCTCCACCTTCCTTATAAACTAATCAAAGCAATATTTTTGGGACTATGCAATCATAACCAATTTCATAAATGCCTTTACTTTTTGGCTAATAATAGTAAATAGCGCCACAAAATTAATCATCTTTTGGTATCAAACAACGTTTAATTAGGATATGGATAAGTATAATAACAGGGATAGCAAAACATAGCGCCGATTTTATTTGGTCTATCTTAAAATGCAACCCCAAATTATTATAATTAATAATAATAAAATACGTTTGCTCAGAATCCAATCTAGATCGGAAATTCATTCCAATAAGTTTAAGAACCTTTGATAAATCCTTATCAGTAATAATAAAATTCACTGTTGTTTCAACTGAACGATGTGAATGTATTCAGAGACAAATTTAGTATGTTGATTCAAAAATTGACGGATATCGAAAAATAAAAGGGTTCTTTCAAGTAGATCTATTAACAACAATAATGGCAACAAATGCTTTAACCATTGGGTTAAACAATATTCAGTATAGATACAACGAATGTACTTGAAACATCAGAATAACTTTTGGCAGGATAAAAGGAGTTATCAAGGAAATTGGATAATTACGTAGCTACATTGGGATTGGTTCAAAAAATATCAGAGGATGGATTGGAGATTTTGAAAAAAGAAGAGGCGTAATTAGCTAATTATTAAAAGGTATAATAATCAATGAAAGACTTTCAAGAATAATTACAGGGAATGAATACTGGAAAGCATCACTTTACGACTCCTTAATAGTATTAGGAATAAATAATTCGTGAATAAGTGGAGCATTTAGATTTATTGTAAACTGCGGCAGACAAAGTTATTCAAAGTTATGAAAAGGAACCAAATATGAATCAGGAGGAACTGTTGTAGTGTAAGTATCTACATTTGCAAGCATTAACACGTTATCTTTATATGCTTTCTGTGAAAATCAGAAATATAAATGAACGGAGTATTTAGAGTATATTTAATAATAAGGTACTGCTTTTGAAGCCAAGGTGTTGTCTCAATTTTAGAGCGAGAAAAAATCTGAGGAGTTTAGTACAATAGAGACACAGAAGGAGATTTTGGATAGAATTTTAAGAGAGGAAATATGAATATGTTAATAATTTTATAATATTAATATGAAAGTATTTACAGTTGCTAGATTAAAACCAGGAGAAACAAAAATAACAATTGATAAAAATTAGTTAAGAATTCTAGACAAGTCTTATGAATTTGATGTAATTTTAGATGAATAAACTCAATAAGATGAATTATATGTTGGATTGAATATTGGCCAATTACTCGAATAATTTAAAAATGGAATTAGTTAAGTGATTTTCTGTTATGGACAAACCGGGTCAGGCAAGACGTATACAGTGAATTAATTAATACCTATGATTTTGCCATAGATTCTGGAGAGTAAATTTGAAATTTCCTTTTCTGTTCTCCAAATTTATAATGAAAAAATATTGGACATGCTTTATAAATAGCAGTTAAAATTAAGATATAAGAATAACGAATTTGTGCCAGAAAATCTCACGAAATTTATATGTCGCTCATAAGAGGAGTTAGTAAAATTATATAATAAAGCCAATAAAAACAGAATAATTAATTCTCATTAACTAAATGATTTTTCAAGTAGGTCTCATTGTATATACACATTTCATGGTCAAACTACTGATTTGTAATGTGAATTTAATATAGTGGATTTGGCTGGTTCTGAAAGATTGAATTAAACAAAGGTATAACAAATTCAAGAGAGTGTTGAAATAAATAAGTCTCTATTTTATTTGAGATAAGTAATCTAAAATTTAGCTGATAAAGTTTAATAAATACCTTATAGACAGTCAAAGTTAACAAGTCTTTTGAAGAAAAGTTTAAATGGCAAATCAAATGTTGTAATGGTGATATGTTTGAATCCTTCTGATGACAATTTATTGTAATGTTAACAGTCTGCCTAATATGGAGTCAAGGCTAGATAGATTATTTTATAACCTGAATAATAGTAAGATGATTAATAAAGATAAATAAGGGAATTAAAATAACAGATAATAAATTTAGAATAATAGTTAAAGATAGCTCAAAATACTATTAAGTCATTGAAATAGAACTAATAGAATCAATAAGTTCAATAGTAATAGAATAATATTTAAATGGAGCAGATTAATTAAATTAACAATCTATTGGGGTAAAATAAAAAATTAAGGGATTAAATGCAACATATCAATGACTAGAATTTTGTATTGTCATAATTGAACCATTAGATGTAAAATGAAAATTAGGATTTGAGAGATAAGATTAACATATTTGAGGAAATAATTTCTGAGGATTTAAAGAAAAACAAGGATCCTTTTAAAAAGGACTGGGTAGAATTATTCTAAGGGGAAGGTTCAAATTATTTGGAAATAATTATTAATAAATTATAATATTACAAGCAATGGCAAGCTAAGTATAACAATGAAAAAATATTGTTGAATCCAATACATTAAACAGTAAAAAATGGTAGGAATTAGAGATCCTTTTCAATTGGTAAAAGAGAATTTAAATTTTGATTTCTTGTTTTATTTTATTGTTTAATTATAAAACAATATTCATCTCGTCTATCTACAATTAGGACAGAACCATTTCGTCTTTTCATCTGGAACATCAGATAATCCCACGCATACCAAATGAAACCATTCTAATTGACAATTTTTTGAATCGCAAGCAACCATAGTGCCATAACTGGGTTATTAGCAAACGCAATATAAGTGCTATTGAGCATCTTCGACTTATTCATCTTGTAATGGTCTTTTGGTCTTTTTTATTTTGTCACTCTTTTGAACCATCACTGGTGGTTCTACCTTAACATCCCTTTGAGATTTACGAGATATGTCTTCTTATTCTCTTGGCAATTGTTTGAGTTCTTCCAAGAACTTTTCTCCCTCAATATCAAGTGTTGCTATATATTTTTAATAATTTTATTAAATTATTTCTAAAGCCGCAATTCTTTCTCTATGCAAAGCCAACAATGATAAGTGATTTCTTTGGATTTACTCTTTCAATTATAAGATGAATTTTTCCTTTTCTGCCGTTGACTCCACCGATTTCAATTGAAACACTAGTTTTTATGTTGACTCCAAAGTTTCTTCGTATTTTTTTTCTAAATTTGCCAATTCTCGGACTTTGCTGAAGGCCCTTCTCACATCTATAGGGGCATAACTAATTAAATCTATGAATTCTTCAATATTTGACATTTTCTAAATTTGTATATGTATTTTATTATTATATATATATTATAATGATTAATCAATTTTTACGAAATATCAAATTGCTTCAGAATGTAAAGCAATTGGTGTTGGGCAATCCCACAGCTGACATGGATTCGTGCATTGGATCCATTCTTTTGGCCTATCACATGACTTAATTTCATACTCCAACTGCCCCAATCATCAATTACAATAGAGAATCGTTTAGATCTCATTTCGAGACGGCTGAATTATTTGATGCCAACGATTTGATATTCATTAATGAAGTGGATTTGAATAAATACGATTTGATTCTCTATGATCACAACGACATCAAATATACAAATAACCAAATTGGATGCATCGATCATCATGAGGATAAGGGACAGTAATTTACTCAGTTTAAGAAGATAGAGAAAGTAGGTTCTGCAGTGACTTTGGTGGCAGAACATATGCAGTTGGAATAGAATTACAAATGCAAATAGGAAATTGCAGAAATAGCCTAATTGATAATGAAGACCATATTGATAGACACATTCAACTTCCAACAAAATCAATATCAAATCAGATGGGTAGACAAAGACAAACAAATTTTTGATTTGTGTCATTCCTTCTGTCCTTAATTTGATGCTAAACAAGAGTACTAACATCTTACAGATTTAAAGTATGATGTTAAATTGAATTTGCAACTCTCACTCAATTAGTAATTGCTCAAGGATTACAAAAAGTTTTTTACTGTTGGATACAGTGTGATATTTATCAAGTTATAAGACTTAATGTAAAAATATAATGAAAATCAATTAATCAATGAATTCAATGAATTTATGATCAAAGAAGAATGCAAGACTTTGATTGTTTTTTTTGTCCATCTAGAGAATAATACAATTTAGAGAAGTATGATTATCTATGGGGAAAATCAATAAAAGATAATTTAGTAATTCAGTGAATTAAAATTTGAATAATTACAAAGCCCAATTCCCAATTCATTATTGCTCAAAGACATAGATAACATTTATAGTAGGAAAATTATTGAGCCATTAGTATCAAAATTGTGAAGATATATATATTATTGATATTATATGGCTTGACACTCTACTGCACTCTAAATATCCCTTTAATCATCAATTTATTATAAATGGAGCATAATTATATAAATATTATATCCTCTTTTATTAATAAAGTTCAAATTAACTTTTAATTTATATTTTATGTATTTTTTCCTAATACATTATTGTGGAAATTTTAAAAATCTAACTAAGAATTTAATAATCCATTCTTATTATTACATCACATCATCTCATCTCATTTTTTCAATATATTTTATGGCCTGAAATTTCTATTCTTTCTGCAATTAAAATTAATTAATATTTCCATTATGAAAATTATTTTATACATTAAAATCGTCGAAAATAGATTGGAATCCAAAAGTATTAAAATCTGTTGAAATAAAGAATGAGTCATTCCTTAACATCAATTTTATCTTCCAAAAATAAGTTGAAATTCTATAGTAATATATTATATATTGTAATTCCATTATTCCTACACAATCCGATTTAATTCCTACCATAATTAAAATGATTAATGACTACATTTATGCTTATATTAGCTTCTAATTACAATATTTTTCACAGCCAAGTTATCAAAAGTCAAAAATAATAAATAATATTTTCATTTTCATTTTAACATATGGAAAGAGGGAGAGTCTGATGAAGAAGATAATTTGAAATTGATGATGTAAATTATCTCTCTTCAATTTCAATCCTACCATTTTGTTAAATAAATCCAAGAAAAAAAAGAAGTAATTATAGATCACCAAATCTAGAGTAATATATTTGTTTAGATGCAAAAGATATTTAATATAAGAATCAGTTTAGCTTCTCATTCTTTACAAGTTTAGGCAAAATCAAAGCTCTTGATTTGTGAATTTACGAAAATTGAGTTGTTTTTAGCGAGCGTGCTGATTAAGAGAAATAGGTATTCATCATTAATAGTTTTTTAGAGCTTTTAAGTGTTCTACTACTAGTAGCCGTTTCTATTAAAGGTGATCTAGTTGATGTTGGACTTGAATCATTAAAAGTTTTAATATTGAGAGATTTTACCGAATGATTTTCTGATGTTGAGGTATTCACAAAACCACTTCTGTTGATACTTCCTTTTCTGGATCTTTCTTGACTTTCAGCTATAAACTACTGTACAGTGTTTTGCCTCTAGTAATTTTTGCTAAATCCGTGAATCTCCAAGGACAGTCTGGCTTAATTGTTTTCTGATGATTTTAGTGATTGTAATCTATAAAAAATGCTTCTTCGCTCTATAATTTTAGAGTTTAAAATACGTGTAGTTTAGCTGGGAGTTTCTTAAATTTATGGATCTACTTTTTCAACTGGCTTCTTTTATTTTCTATAGGGGATATTCATGGTATCAAATTAAAAGGAACTCAAATCGCCACATAATTAACAATGACAGCTTTTTCTCCTAATTTTGACACTCTGCTCGATGACTTTAGTTTTATTAATTTAAAAGTTTGTGTTGCGACGAGTTCTCTTCCTCTCATTTAAAACTAGGTTGTAAGTGTCCATTAGAGTTAGAGCCTAGATGTTTTAGGAGGAGGAAGATGACGAATTTTTCATTTTATTTAATTATGATTAATAAAGGCAAAAAAGTGAAATAAATAATTCAATCACGTTTTCGCATTAAAGATTTTCTCTAATACATTTGTTCATCTTTTATTTTCTAAGTAATAGAAGGTAATTTTGGAGCAAAATTTCGAGGAGGGGAAAGAAACTTTTTAGGAGTACCCAAATAAGGATTGAGGTAAACAGCATTTAGGGTGTAATCAAAGGAGTTCATTTTGGGCTATTATGGCGAGGATTGTTCACTCAAAGGTGAATTTATTAATTTAGGAGTTAAAGATAGTCTGGATTCAAAATTTGGTAATTTCAGTTTGGATTGTTTGAGTAATCTGGTAGTTGTTTTAGATGTTTAATTACTAAGCTAATACATTAATGCATGATTTTATTATTTAAAATTCCTAAAAAATTGACTCTTTGTTTCTAAAATTTAAAATATTTATTACACATGTTAATGTTCGATATTAATTAATGGACTTTTCGTGAATTTTTGCAATTTTTAATAGAGATTGGTTTGAATAGTGGTATATTTTCGTTTCTGATTTCATATTGTGTCAAATTCCCACATTCAGAACAATGACAGCTTTTTCTTCTTTTTTTGGATATCAAATGAAATTTTTCAAAATCTTCTTGACAGGTTTTTAATCTGCTTTCTAAATGTTCAAGTCTTTTAATTTCCTGTTGTGTAGAATTATCTGATTAATTGTTATTGGAATTGGATGTCCATTATAAAATCTGAACATCATGAAACCTTATTTAATATTCACTTTCTTTTCCACATTAACTGCATGTACAGCTTTTTCTTCTGCTTTTGAGATTAACATGAAATAAGAGATCTGGTTCATTGTACTATATGCTTCCTGCTCTTCGCTTATGTGGATTAAATTCTCTCATTTTTATTTTTAATTTGTAATAAGGATAAAAACTCAATAAATTACGTGAAATCAAAAACAGATAAATACAATAAAAAATCATAAAGCTAGAAATGATGTTCAATTTTAGGCCTTAGAGTGGAGAAATATCTTCTTGTTGGTTTTCCTAGCTGAAGAATTGCTTTTCAATTTTAAAGGGACTAATAGATTGAAATTAATTTATCTGAAACTAAGATAAGGAGATAACTTAGGTATGTTCCTGGGTGATGTTAGATTGTTCTCACAATCGAACCCTGGTACGGTCCTTATCCTAGCACCAGGACTATCTATGTAAGACTTTTGATATAAAGTACGTATACTGGTTGGCACATGGATGGTCTATTGGCTTTTGGGATTGAGTGAATCCTCACCCAGAATCTTTTTATTAGATTATAAGTAGGAGTTTTTGGAGTGCGAGTTCTCCATCAATTTTTGAACATTTATTATTGATTTTCTCATTACCATTTGTCTGATGAACCATCTTGGACTTTTGGAATCCCCGAAATCACAGGTAGGAGATTTTTGGTTTTCAACTTTTTCTGAATTTTTTTAAGTGTTCCTACGATAAAATACACTACGATCTTTAAATACTTAATTCATTGTACTTATACTCTAAATATTGAGTGTGCATCTCCTATCGATACTGCATTGTGCTCTTTTGTTAAGTGCTTTAGGTTATTTGGATAATTTTAGATCCATGAATTACAATTATTTCTTTCCCATACTACCACATTCGTTGCAGTAACAACTTTTTCTTCTGGAGGGACCGTGAACAAGACTCATATTTTATTAATCAGAGTCAGTAGCCTCTTAACTTTTGGGTCTGGTTTTCCTTTTTTTAACGAGCGATTTGATATAAAACATGGGTTTACAAATTAGTTTCTACTAAAATTTGAACTAAACACCACTATCTAATGAATAGGATGGAGTATCTCTTATCATCTTATTTATTAATAATTAATTTAATTATTCAGTAATCCTATTTTCGATTTCATGATGTTTAATTAATTCTCGGTATAAAATGTAATAATAAGCAAATTCATCGGAACAGAACCTCTTAATAAAAATATTCAATTACAAAATACATATTTCGTATATACAATATAGCTCATTGTGAATTCTGAACTGTTTGCTGGACAATGTCTTGATCCCACAGCATTGCCAACTACACTTTCAAGCTCTTTAGTAATTAATTTAATTAATCATCACTCTTGATCTGGGGATTCAACAAAATGTTGCCGTACAATTTTGTGATCAATTGGAAGAAGACCTCCACTGGATATTGATAGTTGTCCTTCCAATTCACACCCAACATGGTCTTGGCTCTGCCGATCAAATCAAAATATTGTGGTTGTACTCCTGCATTTGCTAGAATCCAAATGGATAACAGGTTGTTGTACATTAGACTGGATGGCTACATGATTCTGACCTTAACCGATTGATTTTATATATAGAATCTACCCAGCACATCTTGATTCAATTCTATGATATTGACAATGAAGGACTTTGCTACCTAACAATTCTTGTAAGAGTTCTCCATAAATTACATCACATACAGATAGGCATTCTCTATTTGATCAATGGGCAGAGACTCTTCAGTAAGTTTCGAGATTTGTTTCCAAGTGGGCTAATTGTATTGAATCTATTGGTTCAATTCTTGAGTTCGCGTCTGTTCGTCCTTCTTGAAATAGTTTATGATCTTTTCACTAACGAGTACGAGCGGTTTTAAGATGTTTGAAATCGGTCTGAGGTCTTCTTGTTTGATCTGTTCGATTTGCTTGAAGGATTCTTGAGAGGGAGGCCTACTTAATTTCATTTTGGACCACAATTATTGGGCTGAGTAGAAGAATCCATCGAAAACTGCTCGAAAGTACGCATTCTCTAATTTAATGACGCTACATGATACCAATTTTGTATGGTTGTATTCTGAGGATGGCCTTCTCGTAAAATTCCTAATATTAACAATCCTCATTCTCAAGCCAAGTAAATAAGAGATGCTCAAAACAAAATTACCAAGCCAGATGGTTGATAGAGCCATCCAATTCAATTGAAATCGAATACCCTGCATATATTCTCCATTCTTCCCCCAAAGTTAACAGGAGGGCCTTAATAAACTTCTCCTTCTTTATCAATTAAGAGGTGTTTTCAAATAAGTTGAAGTTACTATAATAACAATATTAAGTATCCCTGGATTACATATTTTATTATTACATCTCTCAAATACTTTAAAATATATAATGGATTAACCAAATCATGAAATGCTTGAATTAAAAATGCCATTTCTACACTTTTATGGAAAATAGTAAATATCATGAGGCTCATCTAATAAATTCAGGAAAGTAAAAGTAATTATCATGATTAAGTTTTGAATATTGATCCTAACAATCTCTAAATTGAGAAATACAACATGTTTTTTCACTGAATACAAGGCTAAATTTGAGGAAAAAGAATTGAATGAAGATGAAGAAGTAGAAGAAAATGACGAAGAATAACAATAAGTAGAGGATGATGAAAACTGATGCAGTTGATCCAAGTGATGTGCCTGATCTAGAAGAAGAATTAGGCATTCAACACAACGGAGCCTAAATTCAAGAAAAGAAAAAGCTATTGTTTCAACTATTTTTAAATGTTGATACTGATGACAAACAGGCTGTCATAGCCGCAATTAGAAAATCTAATTAATAAATATGATTATATAATAATTTAAATGGGTAAATCGACATCATGGATTGGAGCAGTTGTTGCATCTGCTTTTTGTTGGGCTAGTGCTGATATTACTTTTGATGTCATTTTGGATAGCAAAGAATCGGATCTCCCTCAAAAGAAAAAGTTATTGCCACAAACTACTACTCACCTTACTCACTCTTAAACTATGTTACTCTGTGCATTGACGACTTATATTATTGTAATAAAATAATATATATACATTTAGATTTTTGTATACTTTATATATATAGAATCGATTGGGCCTCACTATTCAGAATTAGTAGGTAAGTATTCACTCTTTGCATCAGTTTAATCATTGCCGTTTTTGATTCTGAGTGGAACTTTTTCCTATTACCATTATCATTTTATTATCAAAGCCTTTGAGAACTCATCGAGTACAGTCATACTACCGTTTTTATAAGTATTCATACCTTGCTAATTAGTTTTCTTCAATTTTTGCTTTTCTATTTTTAATTCTCCAAAACTATATCTCCAATAGGCCTTGCTTATCTAGTTACTTGCATTTATTGGCTTACTTTTTGATTCTTCTTGGAGGTTTAGCCCCAGCCACTGATGGCAATTTGATTCGGATATTCCAATTTAAATTTTGGTCTCAACCATTTGTTAAATTTGCTATCATTTCCGATATGTCTCATGCTTTATATACAAATATCATCAGTTATGTTGGCAGAGGAGATAATGACGGTCAATAGTTTAACATATATGTAAACATGGAATTCTTCATTCTCACTCGAGTAATGTTTGTAATCATCCAAACATCTAAACTATACTCCAATCCAGAAATGTAGATTGAGTTGGTTTCGTTGTTTAACAAGCCCATCGCCTTAATTTTAGGTACTATGATTGGAGAATTTATGACGTTGTTTGGTTACTTCAGTTCTGTTTATGCTTATTAAACATATTATTAAGTAAATAAATTAAATAATATTTCAGGCTGCTGTTATAAGTGCCAGTGAATCTTCATTGAATTTAATTATGAATTTGTTTTTAGCCTATTTAGTTAAGAAACACTTGAATATTGGGAAATAAGCTTCATTGTACCATTTGTAATTGAAGGTTGTATCTTGTTTAGCAATAAGCATTGGATTAGCCATAGCTACAATATGATTTATTAAATTGATTAAAGAAAAATGATATAAATCACGATGACTAAATTTATTGAAAAAGCTTTTTCCCTTAAACAGAATTTTCTCCTTGAAATTTTTAAATATTGTTAATCCTATCGCAGATTAGAAATTCTTTTAGAATAATTCGACACCAGTGTTCAACTGCATCAAATTATAAATTTAACTAATTTTATACGTGAAATTCGTTTCTTTGTAGACTTTATAATTAAGATACTAAATTATTCAATTTTATTTGTAGTTTTTTTATTTCTCCTCTTCTATTGTTCAATCGATTATCCTTTTGATTTAGCCATATTTATACATATCTTGATTACTCCTCTTTACACTCATCTTGTTGTATTTTAATTAAAAATAGTGCTATTTTAAGTTTAATAAGATTTATTATTTTTATTTGGAAAACTGAGATTACTAATTTAAAGTTCTTTGTTTTCAGGAAGCTGAGACTGTCTTCTCTGTTAATTTGTTTAATTTAAATGCATTTTTTAAAGTACTTCTCTCATATTGATAATCTAATTTTGTAAATTGTTTCTGTTATTACTTTGAAGGATCTAGTGATTTATTTAATTCTTGTATATTTCCTTATTAGTTTGTTTATGCTTAAGCATGACTTTTGAACCTCTTCATAGCTATCTATTAGAGAAATTTTATTAAAATGATTATCATAATTGGATTTCCTTCACTTTTTGATTTATTTTTACAATTCTTTTTAATAGCATAATGCTTTTTCCGATAGCAGACGCAGAGTATCGAACAAGATTACCATTTTCCTTTCTTAATTCGATGATCTCGGTTTGACTTGCTAATATAGTTTGCAAATGGTTATCATTATAGAATGGTAGTGTTGTTTGAAATAGAATTAGGAGTGTCTCCACTAAATGGATGTATTAAATTAACGTATATATATTATAATAATGTGATGAGCTTAATTTTAAGAAAAATTTAATGCCCAATTAAATTGAATATGATTTATTTTCAGGAATTTTTATATTACATTTTTTGTATAATCACGAGTAATTTAAGAGTTATTAGTTTATTTAAAATTAAGGATGATTAGTTAGGACAGCATTAACAATAATGCTGAATTTTAATTTCCATCGGAATTGAAAATTAAGGAAGAGAATCGATAAGATGCAAATTCGAAGAGTGGAGATGAAAAACTGTAATTATTGTAGCCGCATACCCTCAGTTCTCTGCCTTCTGTAGAATAAATCGATTAAGTACAAGCGCCTTTATTGCAATAATACTTGTATTTAGTATTATGATTTGAATAGCTCCCAAATGTCAATCGATGATAATTGGAATTAGAAGGGAAAATTAGGAAAATAGATGTCAATTGAATTGACGAGTCCTTCTCCTCTGAAAAAGCAAAAAGAGAAGAGTGAGCAACCCTTCATGGGAATGAAGAATGTTGAAAATACAGAAGAAGTATCTCACATCTAAACTCGAAGAAAAGTGATTAAAACAAATTATAATGTTGATGATTCTCCAACTGAAGAAGATGATTTCAGACCATGTCATTGTGCTAAAACACATTGTTTATAATTATATTGTTCCTGCTTTCATAATCGGAGACCCTGTACAAATGAGTGTAAATGCAACGATTGTTTTAATGATGGTAAACACGAAGATGAAGTCTTAAAGGCAGTTGAATAAATTAAGTTAAAAGAACAAAGAGCATCTCATCATGACCTCGACTCGTTTGATACCAAATAAGTGTGGGGGTGTAAGTGTAAGAAGACTAAATGTGTGAAAGGTTATTGTGAATGTTTCATAAGAGGAAAGAAATGTACATCTCATTGTTAATGCACAGAATGTGAAAATAAAAGATAACCTAAATAATAATAGTAAAAAGCATAGGGCGAAATCACAAAAAAAATAAAGAAAAAAAAATAGTCATGATTATTTTTTTGAAATTTTCAATTTACCATGCAATTCATTCAAGATCTTGTGAAAATCATGGTGTTACCTTCTTGCTTAAAATCGAGATTAAGATATCTTACTCCTAGTTGCTAACATCTCCTTCTTTTCAGCATAATCAAAAAAATCCAAGCTTTATCTAGTGAAAGTCCTTTTTGTATCATTAGTTGTTTTAGTTATTTTGCTCTGATGAGTCCTTGTGTCTATCTTCAATCGAGAACTCAATGCTTAAATTGAAAGATCCTCAAAGAATTTCCCATTATTGCTAGGTTCAGGAGTTAGATAATCAATGATCTCCTTTTTTTATTGTCTTTGAAACTCAATTTGAATTCCTTACTATCGTTTTTATTAATTTTGTTGATTGATCAATTCTTATTGATGAATCTCTTGATGATACTTACTCTATTTGATTTTTTCATCATAATATCGTAGAGAAGGTGGCAATTTAGGCGATAATTAAGGCATCTTAACATTGTTGCATAAACTCACCTTTCGTTTATTTAAGAAAGAATCTTTTAATTTTTATTGATTTACAATAGGTTCCTTCTTAGTCAGAACATCAGGCGATCTATAATTGTTGCTCAAATGTTTTATGGAGTTTTATCTTAACATATTCTCTATATCATAAGCCCTTCGTTTCTCAGAACTCAATTGCGGTAAAATCTGTTGAAGTAATTCTAAAGAAAACAATATTGTCGTCTTTAATTTATTCCTCTCATTCAACAATGATACCCATTAATAGGGAGTGGGATTATGAATTGAAAATTGGCAAATTTGAATAAAGTTAGTTGTAAATACTTTTACAGTATCATCTACGCATCCAGAGATCAAGAGTTCAGTTTTTTTATGAAATAATATTTCGTATGGATCAACATAAAGGAAATTTAATTAAATGATCATGTCATTGTGAATTTAATCTGCAGTCTCCAGTTACTCATCAAATGAAAAAATGGAGTCCTTCAAAGTATGAGTGATATCCAATTCTGGATTGTCTTTCAATCCCTTTAGAATACTGAATCTGATTAAGGAATTCCTGAACTTCTATTTAATTTTGCTACTCTACTCGAATTTGGATTCTCTCTTCTTCACTTGATCCTTAATCAAACGGTTCTAGACTATTTAATAATTATCAATGAAATTTCCTTGCAAATCATTATAAACCACTCTGTAAGGATTGTAATTAGGTCTTTGACTGATTTGTTCAAGTTTCTTTGTCACACTCTAAATATATAAAAGATAATGTTTACTTTCTTCTCAAGCAATTGTGTAATGTTGAACACCAAGGCTGACCCTCTGTTTGTTGCAATGTATAATCTCAGTTCCTCCTCGTGCAATTAGATTAATAAGCGAGAGGCAAAGGACCCATGAGTCATTAGCTTATACTTATTGTTGAAAAGATGCTTGACTTCGATTTGTTCATCCCCCTCATCATATAATTCATTCAATTCAGTCGAAGTCTTCGAGAACAAGTTGCTCATGATGCTTATACGGTCTGGATATACACTCTTCAATTTTTAAATCAGAACAGCCTTCACGATATTTAGATGTCCTTCCAGAGAGCATTACAATTTATCATTCTTCTAAACTAATTAAAATATAAAGATATCAGCTTAATTAGTGCCTATAATTAAGAGAGGCAGCGAATCACAAAATACCATTGAGGTAACTGTAGCACTGTCTTCTAATTATATTTATATTGATACACAATAGTATTCCAAGTTCCAAATTTAAATAAAATCCTCATAACTTATGGCTAACAAGCCTTGCACAATTGAGAGTTGGCAAATATTGATACAAATATTTACTGATAGTTGACGTATTGCCCACTTGTCCTTCAAGATATTATCCTTACAAACATTTAATTGAGTAAGAGGCAAACATTTCAATATTCCTTAAATGGACGCAATATGTAAAATTTTGTAGGCCTCATCATATTAAATTGAAATGATTTCCTCCTAAAAAAATGATTCCCATTATTACAGGATTTAACCATGTTTTAGTGAAACCTTATACAAATCACCTTCAACTGTTCCAATGATAATCGAATACCCATGCTCAATTAGACATGATGCAGAGATCTCATTTTAAAAGTCACTCAAAATATACTAAATCTTCCCTGTTATTATGTCCTAAATACGGATATCAGCCTTGGTTATTATAATATTTCTTTTATTCCATTGATCATAGATCACTTGCAACAATTTGATTTATTTATTCAAATGCAATTCCTTTTCAAAACTCAGAGTTTGTAACATATTTGCCACCAAGCATAGTTTATTTGAATAAAACATTAACTGTCTAGTAAGAATTCTCGTTTACAAATTTACTGTTTAAGTCTATTATTATGATCTTATGTCCCACAATATAATCACATTTTTAGTATCTATGGATATTAACAAGGCAGTCTATTCTATATGCTCAATGCACTGAACAGTTGAAGAATGACCTACTAATTAGCATTTTAGATTATAATCGTTATATTAAGCATGTAATTCATAACAAGATATGTAATTGTTGAATCCAATAGTAAAAATCAATTGGAATTGTCTACTACATACAACTTGGTAGAGTATTTAATGGGATACTTGAAATTTAAATAGAAATTTCTATTCAAACATATCCCAACAACTAATAATATTAGGATTAGAGGCTACCAGCAACATCTATAGATGTATGACCTCCAATAATTGGATTATGCCTCCAGAAAATACTTGATTTTATAAGTTTTGATATTTCGCTTGTTCCAAATTCCAAATCTAAAGACTTTTATTAGTAGAGGTTATCCATTAATCTTGCATTTCAATATAGCCAATGTGCGATAATTCCAATTAGGTTTCGATTTAGTAATCATAGGTGTAATTATCTCTTTTATCCCAGAAGATTAAGGTGTTATTACGTAATACTACTCCTAGTCTTTATTGTTTGGTTGAATAATAGCCATAAACTACAAAGTTTCCGTCTATCATATTACGGGGCTACAACATCTTTTTAAATTAAAACTCATGTAGCATACAAACACTTTCGCAAAATTAGAGAATCAAGAACAAGTCGTTATCTCCTTTGATTCCATTAATGATTTGATTATTTATATGAATAATTTCAATTTTGAGTTGCGTTTACAATCTTCTAAGCATGCTAGGATTCAATCCTAAGATTTCAGGAGGTGAAATTTCTATATCAGTCAAATTACGGCGAGTAAGTTAATTTTTATTATTTTATGAAGGTAGGAATTTTGCATTAAAGTATTCACTACAAATTTCTTGAGTGCTTATCAAATAATCAGTTATGTGTCTCAATTTCAGTATTTTTTCATTTTATTAAGACAATATCTCTTGATACAATTCAATGAGTTTAGAGATCAGTATCAATCCTTCAATTCCTTGTTCGTCGGTTTTATTGATGAAAAACATAACAAACTGCTAAATGTCCACTTGGGCATTATGATTCTCTTTGAAATGTTCTGACAATTCAAATATGTATTGCTAGACCAATCCCAAAGTATCAAATTCATAAACTTAATTTGATATCTATGATAACACTTCGTCCATAGTTATTAAATATATTAATAATTATCATTGTTTGTGTCTTTCTGATTCGAATATCTCCCTCAGATCTTAGAGTCCAATTTTGCCATCTTTATCCACATCCAAACATTCCAAGAGTATTTCCTGATCCCTCTTATCAATTTTGCCATAGCCCAGAACACTGAACACCTCCCCCAATCTATTAATATCTAAATTACCCTCTCCCTTGGGATCAAGCAGTGAAAAGGCCTATTCGAGAGGATCAAAATCCTGCAATTCATTCTACTTGAGCAACTCGTAGAGATCTTTGCTCTTGAGTTCTGGTTTGCCTTGAGTCAAGGCTTTGTATTCGCTCTTAGGGAAATTGGGGTTGATGGCAGGGATTTTCTTTTTTAATTCAAGTAACGAAATCTTGGTGCCTTTGTTCTTCTCATCCAGGATTTTGAATGCTTTTTCGATTTCTTCAAGGGTGATTTTGACTCCGTCAACTTATTTGCTTTTTTCATTTAGTTCGATAAGTCCTGCATCTTGGAGGGCTTGGAAATTAATCATTTCTCTCATTGGGGAGACGGATTTCAAGGGAGAGCCCTAGCGAGTCTTTTCCAATTCAAGTTGTGCTCTTTGGAAATGAATGAGGGTTTTCTGCAATTCTTTATAGTCTATGTTGGAGGCTGGATTGAGTTTGGTTGGTTTAAGTGGTTACATAAAAGGAACTTGAAATTTATATTTATAAATAATGAAACAACATCAGGTGCAAATATCAGGAATGGAATTTCAGCCAATTAATTCGAAATACTTTTTACATGAGAGGGAGAAGTTAAGACATGATCCTTTTGCAGATAGCTTGGAAAAATATTTCTCGTTGTTTAAAAGGAGGACAATCTGTCATTTCTTGCTGTGTATTTCGAATAAGTAAAAAGGCTTATAGCTGTGTTCTTTATTGGCCTCATGATCCCTTCTATCATATTGCAAGCAGAATATATTGAAGTTGATGTTGTTGAGGGCGTAGGTGAGTTTGAGATGAAGGATACATGGGATCCGCCGATCAGTATATATATGTTTTCGAAATCTGATGATTTGCTCATAGATGTGCAATTGTATTTGGATGGAAAACCAATAGAAGAATTCACCATTCAAGAACAATTGTTAATTGATACTCAATACAGTATTAGGAGCGAAAAACCTTAGAGTTTCAGTAAGCTTATTTTTAACATAAGGACAGCAGTTAGATTGATGGCACAGTTCGATTTCGTTCCTGCATCTTACTTAATAATCATTGTTGTGATGCTTGCTATATCACTACTGTACTCAATCCTAACCTATGCTCGCTACAGATAACTCTGAATTTTTATTGTATTTAGTTTCTACTTTGTTTCAATATAATCCACTCCTTATTCTTCACCCTCTTCTGATGTCCCTTTAATGGCAAAGAATAAAAACTGCTCCAAATCTCCCTTGTCTATGATATAATTAACAACTCTGATGGCGTCTCCTTCTAAATCAGAGCTTTTATGACTTTTGCAGAATGTTCAATACATGTGCAACCCTAGAAATAAACAAATTATAATTCTAATCTTTTTAGGAATACTAAATAAAATAAATTTATTTTCAGAATTTGGAATGACCAATTTAAAATATTTCCAAATTAGAATAATAAAGGCATAGAACACATTTATATAATTTATTTCGATTAATATTTCCTAAATGTAACTATTGAAAATGTCTTGGAAATTATATCTCATCCATATTAATAATTCAATTTATCGTAAAAACTATATCTCAATAAAGTTAGACATACTATTATGGATTTATTCGTTATGTTATTTTTACATATCATAAAGAATATCTATCTCATATGTTTGTTTAAAATCAATAATTTGTTGCAATCTTAGAATCATGAAACTGCTCAAGTGAATTTTGATAAAAATAGTTCCAGGCACCACAAGGATAGCTGTTATCATCCCTAAAATTTATTGTAATCCATCTTCCATTTTAATTAACCATATTTTTATATAGATATAATAGTTATAAGATGATCTATCTATGAAAATTGTGTGTAAAATGAGTTCATCTTTTTATTCATAAAATAGTAATAAAGAAATGAAACTGGACTACCATCATTGTAAGAAATACTCCAAGAATTAATTTTTCTTGGTCCTCGGCTTGTTATATTTCAATAATTTGATAGATATAAAACAAGTTGCAAGTATGAAAATAAAGATTTCCATTTCAATATTGATTTCGATAAAACATTAATTTAAAGTCAACAATATTTTAATTCATAATATAAATAACAATGATATCAAACCAACAAACAATTGATAACCGTGTTATTCAACGCAGGCAAAGCATTCGTTTTTATCAAATCCACAAGTGTTGCCATTGCATAAATATCCAAATCTAATGCTTTAGCAATTTTTAAATTAGCATCTTTCATTATTCCATTAGCATTCATCAAGAAAAGAGCAAGAAACATCGTCCTATTATTGACAATGAAAATACTTTAATTTCTGTGCATACTTATGGGGAGCAGACAGAATTTTCATATTTGCAATTAGGGAATTGACTTAAACACATAAATTCAGAAGTTAGAGATTTGCAATCAGTCATTTCTTAACATTTGTTCTTGAAAGGATCTACTACACAGGAATTACCATTTGTTAGCTTTCCATTGCATTGATCAATCTGAAGAGAAGAACAATCCTTAGTAACAACACATTTTAGATTTGTGTAATCATAATAACAACCCTCAAATTAGGTGCATAGTTAAGGTAACAATGCAGAGCAAGTTTATTCGGCTGCTTTGAATGTGGTGCATTTGCCATCATTCCATAAACAGCGAGGTGATTTACACTTCCCTTCATATGGAATGGCTTCGCATTAAGCTTCTTCGCAAATCCCATTTTGAAATAGGCAATAACCATAAGCATAGCAGTTTGTCTCATTTGTAAATTTGCTACAGCTGCATTATCCATTGATTGTAATGAACAGGGTGAATAAAGTTATTGTTTTCCACATTTATTTATTATTTATTATTAATTTTGCACTCCATAAAATTTATTAATGACCTACTCTTATCTATATTCTTTTTTGGTACCAAATTGTATTTTATGCGTATTGATGATTCATAAAAACATTTTTTAACAACTAATGATTGTACTCATTAATTTATATGTAATAATCTGTAGAAGAAATAGATTAATTTATTCTTGGCTTCGACAATCAAACAAACAACTCTTTACTTTAGTCGACCATCAATCAAGACCAACTCTTAGCACAGAATGCCCGACTATTGCAATAATTACATCAATAATAGAGGATGATTGATTTGTAAAGTCTTTTCTCTTAGAACATGCTTCAAAATCCATATCTTAAATAATAAGTCTAACAAAAAACTAAATAGATTAAGAAGGCTAAACCTACCTTGCGAACTATTCAATCTACTGTCAATCTAAGAGATTAACCACCTTAAATTTAGGAGATCAAAGGCAATGTGAAAAATGCCTATATAAAGAAATCACATCCTTATAGAGTGTAGAAGGAGACAATCTTCTTGATGAGGAAATGCAAGAGGATTTGGAACACGATAGTTCATCTGAAGGACTTTCAAATGATAAAAAGGTGGATTGCCAGGATTTTGTGGATCTGCAAATGATTTATTGAGTGAGGAATGCAAAAATAAACGATTGAGATAGAGTGCCAAGAAATCAAGATTGAGGAAGATGGTTTATTTGAAGTTATTGGAGAAAAAAGTAATAATTTGAAGTTCCTATTTTTAGGTTTCTGATTTGGATCAGAAAATACAAGAGTACAAAAAAACCACTATGCAATATTTTGAGTATCTAACCCACTTGTTGGTTTCTCATTCCGTTCTCAATAGCATGATTATTGGAAGTTCTAATTCTATTGATCAGATAATACAATGCAATCAATCTGATTAGGCTTAGTTGCTTATTGATTCTTATATGGTAATGTCGTATAGGAAATATAGTTCAGATGAGATATGGGACTTGTGGCATTAACAGGAAGAGTTACATGAAATATGCAATCAAAAATATACAGAGGAATTTTTTGAAGGGCAATTATGGATTATTTTTAATTAGTACAAATAATGAAGTTAACAATTGTAATTGAATAAATTAATTAAATTAGATGATGAGGAATTCAATAATTATATGGAGATTGTTAAGTAGTATACAAAATTGGAGGATAATAATTTGATCTATAAGATATTGCCAATCATTGATAAATTAATGAATCATCGCAAGATGTCTTAAAAGTTGTCTATTCTACAAATATTTAGGCATTTACACAATTAAACAACGATATGAGGAATTTGAAAGTGTTATAAAAAGAAGTGAATGAGACTATATGTCAATTCACACAATCATTAACATCTTCGCAATTATTGAAATTAATCAAAGGAGTAGAGAGATTGCAGAATTTTAATAGATCTCTATTATTTTGATCATATAATATATAAATAACTATGGAATTATTAAATAATGAGGAACGAGAACTGTTGGCCAAATACAATAGATACTTGACAAAGGACAAAACCTAAGAACCACTTAAATACTCAGACATCTTTTTAGGCAAACATGATTTAAAAGACATGCCTTAACAGACCAAAGAAAAATAAATTCAAAATTCAAAATTACAAATCAAATCTTCATCTGCCAATAAGCGTGATTAGTTTAAGAGTATAATTAATGAATTGAACAATGTATGCGATTTCTTTCATTGTTAGGTTCAAAATAGATAATTGGACAATATTTTTAAGAGCAGTTCTGTTTGTGAGGAAAGTCAGAGAGAGAAACAAATTAATTAATCTGAAAAGTAAATTATCAATGAAAACCCACAACAAAAAACAAATAAGAATTCAGACAGACCAGAAAAATAGACAAAATAATAGAAATCGTTGCCGAAAGAGTAAATACAAAAGAAACAAGACAAGAAACCAAAATAAAATGCCAGAGTATCGAGTTCATAGTCTACTATTGAAATTTAATAGCAATTTAATGAGTATGATAATAATCCTTAGATTTTAGGAAATTATTATAATAACTCAATAAATTGATCTAGTTGAAGAAAATAGATAACAAATTTTTTTTCAATTTAATTTCTAAGCATGTTAATGAATGCCCTTCCTTTGGCAAAAGAATAAAAGAAGAAATTAAGGAAATATTAAATTAATTATTATGATTGAATGAATGAATTATTCTGTGTGAATCCTATGAACTTATAATCTTAAAATATGACAATGCATACTATTCACGGTGACAAATTTAATTCCATTCGAAGTGTATGAAAAAATTAATAATAATTGGTGAATCAAAAAAGGAAGTAATATTATAATACACAAATGATTATTAATAAACAAATATTTCATTGGATTGACATTTATTAAAAATATTTATTTAGGTCTTCCTCTTTTATAACAGGAATTTAAGCTTAATCTTCTTCAGATTGCTCTGATTTCTTCTCCTCTTCATCTAATGTTGGTTTAAATACGTTGAATCCATTTGCAGAAGTACTCACAATCATTTCATAATAAATTGGATGATATTTCAATTCTTTGAGATCCTTCTATCCTTGATGCACAAACATTAATTAATCTGGAATATCATCAATATTGTTATTCTCATTTTCAACAGCAAAGTCCCAAATAGACAGTTTGTGATCTTCTGATGATACAGCAATGCTAGAATCGCTGTTAGGTTAAAATTAGATGGAGGTAATGGCTTTGTTGTGGAATTGAATTTCAGAAATGGCATCATTTTTAGGATATTTCAAGTCCCAAATTTTAAAGCACCCATCATCAGCTCCTGTAGCCACAAGAGTAGCTGAGACTTAATTCCATGAGATGACATTAACATCACAATTATGAGCCTTAACCAAGATCTGAGCTTGCTTGTGCTTTCCTTCTCTTGTATCAACAATACATAGAGATCCATCAGTAGAACAGGAAGCAAAGACAAAACTCTCGATTGGGGAGAATTATAAATCTTCAACACTTCCCTTATGATATTCATAAGCTTTATTTTCTCTAATCCAATCATTATTGTTTAATTGATACAAGTAAATCTTTCCATCTGATGAACCACTGATTAAATCACCCAATTTCAAACGACTCCAATCCAATGCAAATCCTTCATGTTAGTTTTTGAATACTTTGTGGTGTAATTGTGACAAATTAAATTACGATTATTAATTTGTTAAAAGCTTTTTATATAATGGATTCAAATCTAAGATGCTTACATCTCCATTTTCATTCCAATAGGCTGCAATAGCTTATCCATTCATAGTTTTAATTCTATTGACTCCACATTTCAGTCCTGTAACACTACTCAAATGTACTTATCCTTCTTCATCATTACTAAGATTGTCATCTTCACTATCATCTTCTGATAACGAGGCTTCATCATCATCGTATTTAGTTTTGTGCATTTTTGACAATTTTAATAAGTAAATTTAATTTTTGGTTGGTTATGCTGCTTGAGTTCCAGCTGCCAAATACACAGTGTATGGATACTTGTTCATCTTATGGTATTCCTTATTTCTGTATTGTTATTGTTCTTCCTCTGTTAACACAAAGTCGCAAGACAAGCAAGGCCATTCAGTTGTGACTCTATGTAACATATTATAAGCCCTATTATCAAAATCTAAATTTTCAGCTTCATCATAGAACCACACTCTCTTTTGATTCTCCTGACTCTCCTATTCCATACCCTTCTTCTTTCTTACGAGTTTTGATTATTACTGTAAGGGTTACTATTATTATTATTGTGTTTATTATGATTGTTCTTGGGATTATTCTTCCTTTTACAATATCTCTTCATCTTCACTATCAATATTGATTTCGCCCTCTTCACTCTCTAACTAAATTACTTTGATAACTTACCATATTCATCATCAAATTCATCTTCATATTGAATATGCTCATCTTCCTCCATTTCACTTACATCCTCGTAATCAGAATCTATTTCCTGAGTTACATGTGCATTGTCTTCTATTTTACTCTTTTTTTGAATGCATTATTTCAATATTCTTCTTCTTCTTTATGAACGAGATTGCATTTATAAATATTAATATCACACATTAAATTTTAATCTCTAAATTGCAAACATTTCATTATAATAAATTGATGCATTAAATTTATAAATCAGAATGATTTCCATCAAAATAATAATGACAAAGTTAGTAATCTTCCATCCCCATCTCTGCTGATGTTCTATAATATTTAACCTGCTTCAATTTTAATCTCAACCCCTTAAACATATTCTTAATAATTTATTATTCGACATTAATCTCATATACATTAAAATGAATAGATTATTAATTACAGAATTGGGGGATGCTATGAGAGCAGAATTAATTAAATAGCAAGAACTCAAACGGTAAAAGACAGTTTTAGTAACTAAAGATTCACTTCCTGAAGTGAAATAAACGGGAATATTAAACTCATTACTACAAGACATGGATGATAACCCATTATATCGTAAGAGCCTTTCAGATGTAGCTTTGTTGAATCTTACGAAAGCAGCGAATATTTCATTAAATGGATCTTAAAGTAAAGATATCTTGGAATAACATATACGAGATGATTTGCAAATTCAAAAGAAGAACGACTATCTTAATCATTTTCTTAATAAGCAAGTCGAGAAAATAGTCGATGATAAAAGTAAATGCTTATGAACTATTGAGCTCTAGATTCCATGACTAAGAGGAGGAGGTATTTGTTAGGCGAATTGAGGAGGATCGAGGTCAAAGAAAGCAATCTAAACATTAAAAATAGAATTTCAACAGATTAATCCAGATTGAGTACAATTGTTGAAGACATAGATCGAGAGAACAAATTGATGGCCATCATTAATACAGAAGGCAAGTTGCTTTAATTGTAAAGGAGATACGATAAAAAGAAGTAAGACGATGAAATCTTGAAACAGTAGGTGAAATCTAATTATTCCAAGCACAAAGACATAGAAGAAATGCATATTGAATCTCTCCCAATCTTGAATCAAGAACAATTGGATGAAGGCATTCAAAATTTGTATCACGACACTGATTTGTCTGAACTTCGCTTTTAATAGAGACTAGTGGACAAGCACAAAAAGATAATCACATAGGTCTGGAAATAACATCACTTTCCAAAAAGAAACAAGAAATGGGTAACCATCTCTAAATAGTTTTGACTTGATATCTTATTTATACTATATAAATAAGCAAAGTATTATTATTTGTTAAATAAGTTAATATACTCCTTCCCACTCATTTTTGATACAATAAAGGATTTCTATTCCTGTATAAAATGGAGATAAGTGCAGCTTGGATGGTAATGATAATTCAGAAAATTGGTAATCAGGAACTCATACATTATACTTTATATTTTTCATTTAATTATGGAAGAATATGAAACCTAATGATATCTCTTAATATGCTTTAGTAGAAATAAACCAAATTTTAGGTAAAGACCTACTTCCACTTTCCACTGGGTTTATTATGCTTAAATATGAGGATAAGACTCGTTTAAAGAAGAGATCATTCATGGAGTGAATTAGCCAATTTAGTGTAACATATAAAAATCTAATCATAAAAAAGTGGTTACTAATAAATTTTATTGGGTTCAATCAAAGAAGAAAAATTATTCCATAGATTCAACCATATAGATTAATTAGTCAAAATAATACAAGGCATGAATGTAATTAAAACTTTTAATGAAAAAATAAATTTTAAGAATAATCAATAAAGAGCCATAACAATCGTAAGATCTATAATAAATCTATAAGTAAAGTATCTCAATGTTCTAAAAAAGAGCAAACAAAAGGTCATAAGGTTAAAACTAGACCAAAGAATATAATTAATAATATGTCAATTTAAAGATTTGCTATTAAAAATGATCATCATTGAAGAAGAAGTGAAAGAAATTAAATCAAAATATAAGTAGTCAAAAGATCAGAGGGAAATTTATTTAAACATTAAAATTTCAAAAACAAAATATTAAATCAATTGAAAGATGGGTAGACTAAAATAGATAGCTTGTTCATAAAAATTAAATAGATATTGTAAAAAATTGTATAAAATCATATTGAGCGAAACATCATTTATTCTCTATATATTCTCTTAAGACTAATTAGCAATTGAGAAATCAATTTCTAAAAATAGACTTAATATATACTATAGAAGGTATAAGCAATAATTTAATAAGGATTAGATATTTATATCTATCTATATCAAGTAATATTAATACCAATTAATCTTATTGAATTAATCATTTAAGACTATATAAGAAAAAAATACATTAATCATTTAATCATTTTAATATAATCTAAAATAATAATTTAATATTAATTCTTAATAATAAAAGATTGTAATTTATTCTCCAATTTAAAGTATCTTAATTATATCCAAACATTATTGTTGTATGTTCTTTGACTGCATACCTATATAGATTAGGCTCATCCAGTTTAAGTATTCAAAATTTGTCTAAATTTGCTTCAATAAAATTTCAAATCCATTAAAAATATGAGGGTTTAAATTAGTTACTAAAGCACTCTAAAATTTCAGGAATTTCAGTGATTGGGTTTATTTCTAAACTCCTGAATTATGTACGATCTAATAAATAGTATTATAATTATTAAAAGCAAATAAATAAGTATTAAGAATGAGCAAATCTAAACTTCTACTCTAATTTGCTCGTAAGGAGGCTAGACAACAAGAGGATACGCTTCTAGAGCTGGAGGCAATGAGCAATGTGGAAAAGGAGATATAGCTTCTTGATAATAATGAGTAAATTCAAATAGATATAAATAGCGTATGGAAATCGAAGCCACTAAAGATTATTTAGAAAGTTGCCATTTTCATAACAAAAATGAAGCACTTCTCAACCCAATACAGATTTAAAATTTTGAATAAAGACATTTTCAATTTGATACGTGATCTTAGCAGTTCATTTCAATACTATTTGTATAACCGTCTTTTGAATTCAGAACCTACTAAAGTATGGTTTTAATATCAATTCATTTTAGTACGGTGAAATAAAGTATGAAGGGAAATAAAACAACGCCTTTTGGTGGAGAATATGGGCGTTTCTTAAGAGCAATTAAACAGTTCTCTTGCCAGCAGATAAATTTCTATTTGTTTGGGATGTTATTTTAATGTTTGTGACAATTGTCAACATTTTGTACGTTCCTCTTCAATTGTCTTTCGATTTGAATAAGGAACAAATAGGAAGTGCCTATTTATTGTTTAGTACTTTGCCAAGCAGCGTATTCCTGATGGAATTAATACTCAATTTCTTTAAGGGTTATTATGCGAAGGGAATCTTGCACACTTCCAAGAAGGATATATTTTGGCACTACATAAAGGGAGAATTCTTCCTTGATTTGACAGTTGTGCTACCGTTCATACTATCTTGGTTCGGATTTTAGTTTGCGAACTACTTAATGTTAATAAGAATGACCAAAGTAAGAAGGACAATGGTAGTGATAGAGGAAATTTCAAATTTCAAGGAAAAAACAGCAGTTATTTATTCTCTATTTTGTTTAATCTACTCTCTCTTATTGATATCTCATTTTTGTGCTTGTCTATTTCATTACTTTGCCATTTTGGAAGTTGATCTAGGCTACTCACATACTTGGTTACATCAGCAAGATATTTATGAAGCTGATGTATATGTGAAGTATTTTACATCTCTTTATTGGGTGACCATAACCTCGATGACGGTTGGATATGGAGACATTGTACCTGTTACTATTCCTGAGAAGGTGTTGGTTACAGGATTTACGTTTGTAGTGGTGGGTACTTTTGGTTATGCATTGGGTATGATATAGAGTATCTTTTCGAAATTGGCTGAATAATAGAATATTAATAATTCTAAACTTAGACTTGTGAGTAATCACATTAAACAAAGGGGTTTGAATACTTAGTTGCAATTTCGAGTGAGGAAATATATAGAATATTATTTATAATTCAAGTAGGAAGAAGAATTGGATTTGGATGAATTGATAGGATAATTAAATCCAAAACTAAAATAAGAAGTCTAAATTGCAATGTATTATAGTTATTTTAAACAGTCGAAACTGTTTGGATAAAATTTATCAGACGACACTCTGAAGAAGTTATGTTACTGCATACATGAGAAGACGTATGCTCCCGAGGAGTTTATTATTAAGAAGGATGATCATCCAGATAAGGTGTATATACTCTTAGCTGGAAAAGTGAAGTCAGTGTTATTGGATAGGACTATAAAAAGATATACAAGTGGGAAGTTGTTTTGCGAAAGAGAATTCTTCTTTTAAGATTATATGTAATTTGATATCGTAGCTTAAACCTTTGTCTAGGTTGCTTATATTACTTAGAGTGAGTTCTTGTCTATTTTATAGAATGACAGAAGCTAATATGAGAAATACAGACTCATTCTTGACAAGACTCAATTTGGAGATTATTCTAATCAAATAAAATGTGAAGCATGCTCGAGTCATCATTAATTTAAACATTGTCCCTTGGTTTTCTTGAGAAAGAACAAAAACAAAGTGATTTCAGTATACAACAGTAGTGTCGATCATTTCAGATAACCATATGTTAGACAGAGGAAGAGAAAGAGATATAATGTGCTTCTTGTTAGGGAGAAGGCTTTGGAGCAAATGCTTGAACATCAAAAGTCAATACCTCAAGTTGACAATAAATTGTTAATCAGATTAGGATTCCCAAAACAAGATGAGGATGATCTCGACATCCCTGAGTAGACGATTGGATTACATTCTCAATAATAATCTCTAAACCAATAGGATATTAAGAATTTATTTAGGAATAAGTTATTTCAATAGGTGAGCAATAGAAGTCTGTTAATACCGAATAACCAATATAATAATAACTAAGTTTACAATCAAAATTATGAAATCCAAGATGATCCCAATCCTTAAATCTTAAATAATGATTTGAATATCGACAAAGTATCAGAGTTTGAAAAGTACTACCCTCACTTCAATATCACTAAAGTCTCCAAGTTGATAAACAACTCCCATGTTTATAATAAAGTCTTATAGAAGATAAGAGGTCACAAAAGTAAATTTGTACACTACATAGCTCGTTAAATTATGTACAAAATAGTATGAGTGTGTTTTATAATAAATTTTAAATGTATTTGAATCCCAATCATGCTTTCATATTTGATTAGACCCTTACTAATCTGGTATTTAAATATCTTATAAATTAAAATAATAATTATATCATTTAAATTGTAAACATGGATTAAATTGCAGATGGGTTTTAGATTGTGTTAGATGGTGGATAAGTTGGGTATGCTGTCCAACCGAAAGAAGATTGTCCACATTTTTAGCAATAAGATCTTCATGAATTGTAAAATACATTATCATATAATTTAGGATGAAGTTTACTGAATAACATAGAAATACTTTATTTTCATAGCCATGTGTTTAATGTGGAGATGCTTCTGAGAATTGGACATGCATGCATTGCAGAGAGATTCATTGTTCTCGATTTGTAAATTGTAATTTATAAGTTAATAATTATAGCTCACATGGTCGAACATAATAAAAAGAGTGGACATCAAATAGTTTTGTCGTTAACAGATTTATCTTTATGGTGTTATGAGTGTTCCTCCTATATTACTAATTATTTGATTTCCAAAGCAAGCAAATTATTGTCATCAATCAAATTCAATAATCAAGAAGACAAAAAGGATGAGACTTAAGAAATTAAGCAATTAATTGAATAAATTTCTAATCTTAAAGTCACAAACGAGGATGAGTTCACATATGCAAAATTAGTTGACGGGTTGAAAAATAAGAAATTTTAAAAAGTCTGTATATTGGCTGGAGCTGGAATGAGTGTAGCTGCTGGAATTCCAGATTTCAGAACTCCTGGAACAGGGTTATATTCATAGATATAAAAGTATAACCTGCCCAGTCCAGAAAGCGTGTTTGAAATTGAATATTTTAAGAAAAATCCTGAAGCCTTCTATTGTGTAGCAAGGGAATTCTTACTTACTTTTGATGCTAAGCCAACTATAGCTCATAAATTCTTGAAATTTTTGGATTCAAGAGGACAATTGCTCAAATGTTTTACTTAGAATATTGATGGCTTAGAATTAGATGCTGGAGTCTCACAAGATAAAGTCATCTAAGCACATGGTCATATGAGAACGGCTCGATGCATTGAGTGCTAAGAGGAAGTCTCAATTAAGGATTTCATGAGCCACATTAAAAAGGGGGAGATCCATAGATGCGAGAAATGTCCAAAGAAGGGATTAGTGAAGCCTGATGTGGTATTTTTCGGAGAAGGTCTACCAGGGGAATTCTTTTATAGTTGGAATTGTTTAAAGGATGCTGACCTGTTGATTGTGATAGGAACTAGTCTTAAAGTGATGCCTTTTGCAGCCAGCGTAGCCAAAGTTGGTCCAACCACACCCATAATACTGATAAATAGGGAGAATGTTTTAAATGGTAGAAAGAATCTCTTACATCTTGATGGGGATATTGAGGAAAACTGTAAGAAAATCTTGTAGGATACAAATTGATATAAATTAATAGAAAATGATAAAATAAATAGCACAAATAATAAAAATTCTTTTATTTCTATTAAATAAACAATTATAATACAACACTAATGTCAGACGATAATATGATTAAACTAAAATCTTATGTTATAAATACAAACTATGAGATCGGCCGAGGTTAATATGGGGTAGTTTACGAATGCTAAGATCTAGATAACCCACAACTGAAATTATGCGCAAAGGTAATACAAATTAACATTACAGATCATAAATGAAAGACTTGAAGATCCAAAAACAAAAAGGGAAATGGATTTGATGAAAACGATTATGAACTCTGCAAAGGGGAACAAAAACATCGTAGGAGTTGAATATGTTCATTTAGATGATGATAGGATAATACTTATAATGGAAAAATGTGAATGCGATCTCCAATCAATAATTGATAAGAGAAAGAGACTCGAGAATAAGAATTTTCAGCCTACAGAAGCACTCAATATACTAAAACAAATTGTGAATGGCTATAAAGTGCTCCATTCCAATAACATCATACATAGAGATCTTAAGCCTGCAAATATATTAGTCTTAGATGGGGTTTATAAAGTATATAAATGACAATTGCACTTTAGATCGCTGACTTGGGATTGGCTAGAGTCTTGGAAGCAAACACAAACACAGCTGTGACAAAAGTGGGAACACCAAAATATGTTGCTCCTTAATTGTATCTGGAGAATTTCTTTACAAATTCAGCCGATATTTTCTCAGTAACATTTATTATGTATAATTAAACAGCTAGGCATCATCACCTATGAATTAATTTTTGGTGGATTGCCTTATGTTGCGAACAGTTAATTGTAAGTCAAAAAGTCTTTGAAAAATCTAGAAAAAGTCCCAGTTGTAGTTAAACAGGACCATCCAGGAGTAATAATAATAGATATTCTTAGATGACTAAAGAATTGGCTCTTTTAATCGAAGGCATGCTTAAATTTAAAGAGCCAGACAGAATCAGTTGGGTAGACCTATTTGAGCATCCCCTCATATTAGAGGGAAAAGCTGTAGTAAATTAATCAGGGTAACTAATTATACAATTAATTAAATTACAGATTTATCAAAGAGGGTCCTGAGGAGGAGGAAGAGGAAGAACCAGTATAAGAGCAATAGAAACCAGCTGAGACTCCAGCCAAAGAATAGTAATAATAAGTTCCTCCAAGAATTTTCAACCAACCTATACCCACTTTTACTGCACCTATGGCATTTCCATAAATGAATAAACCCATGAATCCAGTTACTACAATCCCTCCTCAATTCTAACAAGGGAAGTTTTCTACTCCCCAAAGTTTTGTTCCACTTGGAGTAAACCAACAGAAAGTAGCGCCATTCCCGCCCCAAAGATTTTAAACAGGGACAGCTCAAGTTTAGCCTACACCTGTTGTTGCTCCACCTTTCAATACAGCAAATGCACCTGTGAACAACACCGTTTAGCCTTTCCAATTTCAATAGGTCCAAGCTCAATCTGATTAGCTATATCAAGCAGGGGTTGTTATTGACTAAGTATTAGATTCTTTAGAGAGATATGTGTAATAATAATAGAATATTCTAGAAACATGTAGTTATCATTGAAATAAGAATGGTTTGGATTGAAATTGAACCTCCATTGCTTTTCACAATGTTTCTTTGAACATGCAAAGGTTTTGAAAGCATAAACTTAAAATTAATAAAATCCTAATTAACCACAGTTTTACACACTGGCGAATGTTGAATAGGCAATTGAGAAACAACAAAGATATCATTAAGTAATCTCCCAGGAATTGGAACGACATTAAATAAATTAAATATATCCTGTTATGGCCATAAATCCAGATTATAATAATTATCTACAAAAATTGAAATACATTTTATAGACTAAAGGTTTGTTCCAATATTAACCTGACAAAAAATATTATGTCGAATATTTATAGTAATAGTATTAATATGAACTGCTAGATTATTGTATTTCCTTGAAAGACTCAAAGAATAGAAAGAGCCTTTTGAAGATATCTATTCAACCGCATCTGACACATACAAGAATCAAAGAGTGGAATCTGTTTTAATAGATTATCTTAACAAGAGATTCACCCTATGAATTATTGAGCAATTATAAAAAGTTAATTATTTTAGTTTAAATGATAATCTAACCATTGCAATAATAAGTGATCATTAACAAGGATCAAAATAATTTTCAAGGATTGACATCACGTCAAAAAAACAATTATCGTGAGACTACTGTTGTTCATAAGAAATATTCAAAACCAAAATAATTCTCAACCCAATTCCCATAAATCAAAAAGGATGATACTCAATATCAATTCAAAATGTTTCACCACGTCTAAAATATGAAGAGTGCTCACTACCAATCCAAATATACCTTATCGATGGGAATCATCCCTAATCTTATTCTGCACACCTACTTCGATCAGATTGTATTCTATGATATGGCCAAGTTGAAATCACAATCAGCTAGGATATCCCTTGAAGCAATAGGATTGGATGTTTATGAAAACATTTGTGCTGTGGCTGGAATGAATGGAGACCTATTGATGATTAATCTCTACGATGGTACCCTGTATAAATAGAACATTAATTTAAAAAGACACTTTATAAACCATGTGCATTTCTATCATGATTATCTCCTCACTAATGATAACGGGGGTTTTATTAAGATCTTTGATTATTAAAATGGACTCAAGGAAATATTTTCATACGAAGACAAGTCCTCTGTCAATCTCACTGCTGTCAACTAGAATAAACAAATAGCCTATTGTGGAGATCGATTAGGATTGAATGTCCTAGATGCTTAGTCTGCTAAGATGATACATACCTTGGATCCACATACTGAATTTGGTTTTGCTGTTGCCTTCAATCCCTGTAAAGGTTATGAACTTGCTTCATCAAGCGAGGATGGATCGGCTGTCATCTATGATTTGCGTTCTCCCAAACATCCAATTTAATAGTTCATAGGCTCAGATTTCCCAATCTACAATGTAACATATCAACGCAATGGAACTCACTTGTTTATTGCAGAGTCTAATTCTTATTTGCATATATTGGATACGTAAACTATTTGTACTACTAATTAGCACTCTTTATGATACTGTCTAAAAGATATAAGTGTATGGAGAGGTCTCAGGAATAGTTAATGACATTTATGATGATAATAGATTCTATTTCAGCACAAGTTGTCATTATGGTGATGGGATATGCGAATTCGTTAAGTGATGTAAATATTTACATATTTTCATATTAATTTTTGTCATTTTCCCATTCAATCATCTCTATTTTATCTTACTCCAAAGCAAGAATCAGCATTGTCATTTTTATAATATAAAAAAATCAAGGAAATTTAAATTATATAGGTTTCTATTTTTAGAATATGTTTATTTATTTTTGTAAAGTGATTACATTAAATTAACAATCAAAAGTGAAATTAAGTACCATACAAGAGGTGATTTAAATGTTCTACAAGAAGAAATGAAATCGAATTGGCTAAGGGCTTTCGAACTAATCTGGGACTGAGACCTTTAGAAAATCTAAGCATATAGTAAGAATAGCGAACCCATATAGTCCTTCGTTTTGATATGTGCTTTTGAATCTTTCCATGATGGTCATCTGATCATGATAATAATTGGTCTATAGCCTTGCTCTGAGAATTTCAAAGGGGTGACTTGCGCAAGTGCCAACTAGGCCGGCGATCATTCCGGAGAGGAAGGTGACTGAAGGGGAAAAGCCTGAATCAGCTGTTAAGAACATTTCGTGCATCTTCCTGTAAACGACATAATAGATCTAATGTTCATGGTGAATTTGTACTCCTGCGAATAGACTGTCTTTAATTGAGCAAGTGAGACCCCCTTTAAAGAAGCTCATCACGCCTTCTTGTTTTGCAATGGTTTTCGCAGTCTTCCATAGGGATGTGTATTAGTACCCAGGAACTTCAGCGCGAGTTTCAATTAGGAGAATTGGATTAGTAATGAAATTGGAGAGGCTTGAATATTTGATTTGTGATGTACCCTCTGGCAAAAAAGGAAGCAAGAAAGTCTTGGGAAACATTACGGTCCACGCTTGTAACATAGGATAGCATTTGAAAATAGAGGAAGCCAGCGCTCATGTTTCTAACTAATGCAGGGCCTTATGTAATGGGGGAAAATTCTACGCAAGCCGCGATAAAATCCGTTGAGTCCTTCATTGATTAGTATGTATTCGGCTGATCCATATGTGCTTGTCAGTCTGTAGTTGGCTGGATTGGATTTAACGATCATGACCATTTTAATAACCTCCAGAGGTTAAACAGCAAGTGTAGATATGAGAGAAGCGGTGGCTCCAAGCAATCCTTAGAAATGGACTCGTTACTACTCTACCATTAATATTAAATTTAATAGTGATCATTTGAAATAATCACAATAATGTATATTATGTTTGACGGGCTATTTATAAAATAATTTCTAGAATTTGTAAGAACACGTGTTATTATATATATGTTGATGTAGTTCTTGCATAGAATCATAAATATTTTTAATGCATACTAAATAGAAGGCCTTTGGGTTGTTGTTACTCTTTATGCTATCCGGAGTTTAGGTGATGACTCAAGATTTGACTGAAGAATAAAAGAAGTTATTGGAGTAGTCCCAAGAAACACACGAATTCTAAGCAGAAACAGGTAGGTTGATGGATATCCTGATCAATTCTCTTTATACATAAAAGGAAATCTTTCTCAGAGAGTTAATTTCGAATGCTGCTGATGCACTTGATAAAATTCGATTTTTGAGTGTAAAGAATCCAGAAATCCTGGGAGATAAAACTGAATTGGCAATTAGAATTGAAATAAACACAGAAGAGAAGACAGTTTCTGTCACAGATAGTGGTATAGGTATGTCAAAGAATGATTTGATATCAAATTTGGGTACAATTGCAAAATCAGGAACCACTTAATTCATTGAAGCCATCAAGGGAGGTAATGTTAACTTGATTGGTTAATTCGGTGTTGGTTTTTATTCATGTTTCTTGGCAGGTTAAAAGGTCACAGTTGCATCAAAAAATACAGATGATGATTAATACATTTGGGAATCCCAAGCAGCTCATTCATTTGCAGTATCAAAAGATCCAAGAGGAAACACCTTGGGTCGTGGTACTCAAGTCACTATTCATTTGAAATAAGACGCTGTTGAGTTTGCAGAGGAAAGCACAATTAAAGAATTAATCAAAAAATATTCTGAATTCATCAATTTCCCTATTTATTTGAAGGTGACTAGAGAAGTCTCAAAGCAAGTAGAGGAAGAACCAGAATAATAATAGGATCAATAAGAGAATACAGATGATGATGAAGTAAAGGTTAAGGACGATGATGATGATGCAGATACAAACAAGAAAGCTACTAAGACAATTAAGGAGAAAGTGTCTGAGTGGGTTTAAATCAATGAAAATAAAGCTATTTGGTTGAGACCAAAGGAAGAGATCTCTGATGATGATTATAAGAAATTCTATAAAGTCTTATCAAAGAACTCTGGTGAAGATCCTTTCAATTGGGTGCATTTCAAAGCTGAAGGAGAAGTCGAATTTACATCTCTTATTTATGTGCCTAAAAGAGCACCAAGTGATATGTTTGACAATTATTATGGTAAATAAACTACAAATTTGAAATTGTATGTGAGAAGAGTCTTAATTAGTGAAGAATTCGAAGATATACTCCCAAGATATTTGAGTTTCGTCAAAGGTGTTATTGATTCAGATGAGTTGCCATTGAATGTCAACAGAGAAACACTTTAATAACTTAAGATGTTGAAGGTTATCAGTAGAAAGATTGTAAAGAAGATTTTAGAATTATTCTAAGATGCTGCTTCTTATGATGATGAAGATGAGGAAGATACTGAAGAAGGTGAAGAGGATGACAACATGGCAGAAACAACACCTGAAGAATAACAAAGATTGAAGGATGAAAAGAGAAAGAAGAAGATAGATGAGTATAATGAATTCTGGAAGGAGTATGGAAAGAATATCAAGTTGGGTGTCATCGAAGATTCCTCAAATAGATAGAAATTGGCCGAATTGACAAGGTACATTATTATTCTATATTGTTAGATGGTACTCAAGCAAGAATGCAACTGAATTGACATCATTCGATGATTACATTGAAAGAGCAAAACCAGGATAAGACTCAATCTATTACTTAGCTGGTGAGAATAAGGAACAATTACTTGCTTCACCAATTATCTAAGGATTATTGAAGAAGGGATACGAAGTACTTTTATTGGAAGATCCAGTTGATGAATTCACATTTTAACATTTGAATGAATACAAATAAAAGAAATTAATTAATGTTGGAAAAGGTGATTTCAAATAACCAGAAGATAATGATGAACAAAGAAAGAAATAAAAGGCTTTGAAGAAAGTATTCTAACCATTGACTGATTGGTGGAGAAAATTATTATCAGAAACTGTTGATTCAGTTATCATTTCTTAAAGATTGATTGATGATCCAATCATAGTTGTTTCTTCTGAATCAGGATACTCTGCAAATATGGAAAGAATTTCAAAGGCTCAAGCTTACTCTAGTAAAGCTGGTTCCCAATAATTCGGTAAGAAGATCGTAGAAATCAATCCAAATCACTAAGCAATTTAAGAATTGTTATAAAGAGTGAAAGATGATCCAGATTAAGAAACAGAAGAAATGGCTAAGGTATTGTATGAAGCTGCTTTAGTCAATTCAGGTAATAGATTATTCTTATTTTAGGTTACTCAATTCCAAATCCTGAGAAGTTTGCTAGTAGATTCTATAAATTATTTAATTCTGCTTTGGGTATTGATAGAGATGCACCAGTCAAAGAATTTGAAGTAGAAATCGAAGAAGAACCAGAAGCATCATCAGAACCCCCTCAAAGTGATGATGGAACTAAATGGGAAAAAGTAAATACAGATGATGCTAAATGGGAAACTGTAAGTAATGATAAAAGAGACGACTTATGATTCATTTATACATATGTATTGTATAATTTATTTCTATATCATTTACTTTTGGTTAATTCTTTGTAGACAATTGCAAAATCTTTCTTTCCAAAATGCTCATTCAATTTATTATAGATTTATTAAGCATGCTATCCTAATTATGTATCGGTTCCACTTTTCTTGGATGCATCAATAGCAATTCCAAGATCCTTGAGCATCAATTCAACCATGAAACCTCCATCGTAATCCTTGGAACTAGGAACATTAGGCATAACTCCTGGTGCTGGATTATATGTATCTACAGACCAACATCTTGAAGAACTGACTGACATTATGGAACTCAACATGGCTGGATCCATTCCCATGTTCTTCCCCAAGGCCAATGCTTCGGCAACACTTATCATTTGGATTGCCAAAGCCATGTTGTTGCACATCTTAGCAATTTGTCCTCCTCCAATCTTTCCGCAATGGAAGATATTTTTTCCCATTTCTTTGAGAATCGGAGATATTTTTTCATATAATTCCTTCTCCGCTCCAACCATGAATGTCAGTGTACCCAATTTAGCACCACCAACACCGCCAGAGACTGGAGCATCTGCATAAATGTTTTTAGTATCTTAAGCCATTTTAGCCAATTCATAGGAAGCATAGGGTGAGATTGTGGATGAATCAATCAATGTCTTCTTTTACTTCTTGAAGATCTCCTAGGCTACACTTTTGACAATCTTGTCATTTGGCAACATAGTAACGATTGTGTCTGCATTTGCAGCGACATCTGCTATCTGAGACACAGGCTTAATATTGGATGATTCAATTTTGGATTGCCATGCAGGACTGGCATCATATGCATATACGACTCGAGTCTTGGCTAGATTATGAGCCATACCAATCTATTTTGATCATATATAATAATGATACTCCCATATTGCCCAAACCAATGAATCCAATTGTGTTACTAAATCCAAATGCTGAAATAAACTTACGCATTATTTATTTAATTATTAACCGTAATAAATAAATATTTGAAATATAAATGAACTCCAACTCTGATTAGTAAGATTTCTTTTATAATTTACTTAGTCATTTCCTATTCAAAGTATTATTGATTGGAAATTCCGGTGTGGGCAAATCGTGTATGCTTATGCGTTATTCTGTACTATTTCTCATAATCTCAAGGAAAATTAATTCACAAACAATTTTTACAACACAATAGGAGTCGATTTTAAAACCAAAACTATTGCCTTGGGAGAACACAATGTTAAACTGCAAATTGTATTTAATTATTTCATTATCTAAGTGGGATACTGCAGGTCAAGATCGATTCAGAACAATCACATGTAGTTATTATAGAGGGGCTCAAGGCATCATCATCGTATACGACATCACTGATCGAGAGTCCTTTGAAAATGTGAAAACTTGGATGGCCGAAATTGATAAGTATTTCTTTAAATCACTCTTAGATATGCTTCAGAATCGGTAAATAGATTACTAGTTGGCAATAAAGCAGACATCACTGAGCGAAGAGAAGTATCTTATGAAGAAGGACTAGAATTGTGTAATGTCTCCCAATAATAAATTTAGCAAGATTATATTAAATTCCGTTTTATGAGACCAGCGCCAAGTCGTCGATCAACATTGAGGCTGCCTTCACACATATCACAAAAAACATACTAAATCGGGAACTTCACAACACAAGAGCTGTGGTGAGGAAAACCTCCAATTTAAGACTGCAAAATAGATAGTAGCAATAACAACAAGAAAAGAAGAAGCAAGACGATCTTTGCTGTTGACTTTAATTATATATTAGATCTATAGATTATTCGATATATAAAAGTATATTAAATCAACATCTAGCGTATTTCAACCCAGAACTTCCGATTCCATTCTTCTATTGATGAACCAATTTCAGATGCAAATTTTTAAGTGATTATTCTGACAAATTTTGATTGTCTGCACTCAATCTTCCTGATTGATCTGGCTTTTATCCAGATTTGTGATAGGATTTTATTTGCTATTTAAAGGTTGTGGTATTCAAAGAGCGCTCATTTATCAAATCACTCAAACCTCCTCCACTCTTTCTTGCACTCATTGGGGTTCCATTTACATACTGTCTCATTCTGTCTATCGTGGAATCTACAAATATTTTATAAATAACTTACTACTTTAAGAATTGCTCTCTAAATTGATCACCACCTTTGGAGTATCGTATTTACCTAAACCCAATTTACCCATGAAGCTTTAGAGTTCTTCCTTTCTCTTACTAGTCTTACTATGATCCTTCACTTCAACTTGGAAATTCATATTCTATGTCACCTTTGAAGTTACTGATTAATCGGGTCTGTAGTTGAATTGATTACCCAAATTTGGACTTTAGAGCAATGGCTTTTGAGCTGAAGGTTTTTTTTAGAAGAAGGAAGTTGTTCTATTTCCTGATCCATATTCAAAGATCTCATCCTATGACTTGCTTGGAGTTTTGTATTATTAGATTTGGGTTTCTGCCTTTTTATTCCTTCTTATTTCAAGATTAGAGAACAGATCTTCTGACTATTATTATTATTATTATTGAGGGGCAGCTTGTTCAACCACTTTTCTTTGTTGAACTGTGTTAAAGAAGGTTGTCAAATCATCTAAGGAGGAAGCACTTCTGAATTTTTCCAAGATATTTTAATAATTGGAATGTTATTCATTGGCAACAGGCTTTTGAGGTTGGTGAGATGATGGCAATTTCAAGCCAGGCTCAATTCTTTGATCCAAGACCCCCAAAATCATTTGTCTATGTTAGGCAATTTAAGCCTTGTGTTCTTATTCGGAAAGAATTGGATCAGGTACATGAGAATCAAATTGAATTTGGTTACTGGTGGTTGAAGCCTTTTTGGATCCCAAAATATTCCAATCCCATTCTTTGGGGGATTTGAGAATTTCAGCATCGCTTTTCCAAATGTCAGATTTTTCTGATTTTTCAATAACAGATGGTTCCATTGCCAACGGTTGTTAATCCTCAGCCAATTGTTTGAAGGCATTAAATTTACTTTTGTATTATTCGATGAGGTCTTTGGAGGATTGGCCAAATGAAGGTTTAGGTTCATGCTTGATTTCATACTTAAGATCTTTGCGAGGTTCAGGTTTAATGTCGGGGAGGCTTTCCTCAAATTTGGGGAGTTCGAGAGTATTCTCTTGAGAGGTGATATCGATTTCAGACATGCACAGGCAATTTGTTATTTTTTTTATTGTTAATTTTTATTCACTACTTTCTGTTAAAATATATATATAATAATATGTAAAGTATTTTAATCACGACCCCGTTGTTTTGATTTTGGACTCTAATGTAGCTAGCATCGCCTACAGTTCCTCAAAATTGTATCGAATATAGAGTGATATTTACGGAGCAGCACAAGCACAGATGCTTTGGTGACAAATACATCCCTTCTTTATACACCTAATGAAGTTTAGGAATTTAATACTTTCCACAAAAAATGTAACTTAAGAACATATAATTGGAGCAGATCTTGCAGACACTCCGATCATACTTTTCCAACTTATTAACAAACTCAATGGTCTTAACATTATCATACAAACTCAGTATGCATTTGCGATTGTTAATTTCTTAATCTATCATTTGTTTGAATTTCTCAAATAGCTTAGAAGTAATTTAAAAAATGTACCTTTTACCACGATTTTTTAGTAAACCTTATCTCATCAACCATCAAAGCCACTTTGCAAAGCAACCACTCCAAGGGGAAACTCACCTAAAGAAATAATCACCCCAATCAAAATACCTTCTTTAAATTCCCATCCATACGGTATTCCTGGGTTGCTCTATCGAACTCCTTGAGCCATTAGGTGGGAGCCACATTAACAGCTTCGCTGCAATTGAGCCCTAATTTTTATTTAAATAAAATACCGTGAGAAAAACCCGCATGGTAGGTAGCCCCCAATGTTAAGATTAGTTCGCCTGGTTGTTGATCAGTCCTTAGAATTGGGATTCCATTCTCAGCCAGTTCTACAGGTGAGATTTGACAAGTGATGTCGTATAATAAGCGGGGGTTCTGCTTCCTTTCGTTCTCATATGCTTTGTTGAAGTATTAAAGGAACTTATCACTGTAACTGGGCGGAATAGCATACCTAGACGATAAATTAATCAAATAGATTACCATGTCTTTGCAGCACCGGCATGCATATAATTCATTGAATTTAAATTAAGATCCTCCTTATGCCAACAAAAATTGGCATACTTCATGCCCAAGTACAACCAAGGCACTGAGATTCCACTCATTTCATTCTTATCTTGAAGAACCTAGAAAATCGAATTCCTATTTTTGTTTATTCCACTGAGATTGCCCAACTAACCCTCCTGAAATCCAGTGGCGTATTTGGTTGCCAGAAGATCTGCTGCGTATTCCACTTCAACATCGTCATATTTCGTCGGATAATCAATAATTGACCAGAACTCTATTTCATTCTATCGAATCTGATTAGAAACCTCCCTCACTCCTTGCAATTTATGACTGCACTCGAACTTATTTGCAAGGTTCATGTACTCCTGTATAGTAAATCCTGTGGAGTTTGAACCAAATATCTAGGCTAATAAATCAAAGTACCTCTCCAGCCCTTTGGGTGTTCAGCGTTTAGATACGAGTTTGCAATCTCTTACCCTTGAGTTTAGACTCCAAAAGAGAGAAGAATTTCTTGTTTGGAACCACCAAATCTGGAGGGAGAATAAGTTTGACAATTCCAAATTTTTCATAACCTTTTGCATAGAGATCGTCTATAGTTTTGAAGGGATCAGCGAAAAAGCTCTGATCAATGGTCAGTACAGGGACATCTTTCAGTTAAAAATCTTTTGTTGTGTAGGGGAAACGTTCTAGTAATAATTTTGAATGAGGCTCAGTGAAATCATCGGAGTTCTTAGACTCTTTGGTTTGTTTGGAATGCATCCTCGTGCGTATCATTCAATGATAAGATAATTTAATTTAATAATTTCAACTCACACCTAACTTGTTCTGCTTTAATCTTGATTGATTTAAAAGATACAACTGTTTTAAATCCCCAAAAATTATATAATTAAAATACCCGTGTCTAGAAACCGATAAATTCTATTCAAAAATACATAAATATATAATTCATTAAGAAGTTGTTTGTTGATCCTCCTTTTTGATTTCCAAGTAAGCCTTATAATTTGATTTCGGTGCAAATGGTCGTTCTCCCAAAACTTCAATTATTTTTTGCAAGTCGAGTGTCTCCTTCTCCAACAAAGTAGAAGCCAATCTAAAATGCTAATACAACTAAATACCTATTCACAAATTCCTTCTTCTCAGTGATCAATAACCTAGTTCTTTAGGTCTGATCCTCAATAAGCTTCCTAATTTCGTCGTCAATCTACTTATTAGTGCTATCACTGTAAGGTTTCTGGAACTGTCCCTCCTCAAATCCCACATACCCAATATTCTCATTCATGCCAAACTTAGTAACTATGCTGTGAGCAACATCATATGCTTTCTTTAAATCATCATAGGCTCCAGTGGTGACTTAACCAAAGAAAATCTCTTCAGCCACTCTCCCTCCCAATATACAACAGATTCTGTCCAACAACTCCTATTTGGTCTCTAGACTGGATTCATTAGGCAAATATTAAGCATAACCTAATGAGCCCTTGCTTCTAGGAATGATAGTTAATTTAAGCAGTGGATGACCTCCCTTTAAGAACCAACTGGCAACAGCATGCCCTGATTCATGAAATGCAACTGTCTTTCTTTCTTCTTCACTTATGATTCTTTTCTTCTCTAAACCAGCCATAACTCTTTCTGATGCCATCTCAAAATCATGAGCATCGACATAAGTCTTGTTCGCTCTAGCTGCCATTATAGCAGCTTCATTACAAAGATTGGCAATTTCAGCTCCACTGAATCCTGGAGTTAGAGTGGCCAGTCTTCTTGCATACTCTTCCATAGTCTTAGATGGATCCAACTTAATTGGAGCCAAGTGGACCATGAAGATTTATTTTCTACCTTCAATATCTGGCAATGTGATGTCGATAGATCTATCAAATCTACCAGGTCTTGTGAGTGCTGGATCTAGTAATTCTTTTCTGTTAGTTGCAGCCAAAACAATAACATTAGTATCAGTTCCAAATCCATCCATTTCAACTAATAACTAATTCAATGTATTATCTCTTTCATCATTACCACCAATTTTAGCATCTCTCTTTCTACCAACTGCATCGATTTCATCTATAAAAATAATGCTAGGAGACTTTGCTTTTGCTTATTTGAATAGATCTCTGACTCTGCTGGCACCGACTCCTACAAACATCTCTACGAAATCTGATCCACTCACAAAAAAGAATGGTACACCAGCCTCACCTGCACAAGCCTTTGCCACCATTGTTTTACCTGTTCCTGGAGGTCCTGCCAATAAAGCTCCTCTTGGTAATTTAGCACCCATTTCTTTATATTTTCTTGGTTTTTTTAGAAAGTCTACAAATTCCTTGATTTCTAATTTAGCTTCATCCAAACCAGCCACATCATTAAATTTGACTTTTACATTTTATTCAAATCCAAATTATTTTACATTTGATTTACCAAAACCAAATACATTGTTTCCACCACTTCCGCCACCTTTTCCCATACTACCTTTGAGTGATTTGAAGATATAAAAGATAAGAACAGCTGAAACTCCATAATACAACAAATTCAAAGCTCTATCAAGCATTTTTGCTTTGTCTATTTAGATCTCAAATGAGACTGGAATGAATTACTCTGGATAGACTCCTTTTTCAGTTTAATAGCGTTCTAGATTTTCTAAGAAGTGATCTACATTTCCGAGGATTAACTTTTTGGAATCTCCTCTATTTGTAATAATTGAAGCTTAATTAACTTTGCTATTATCATTATTATACACTTTAATTGAACTGACTTGATTAGTTTCTAAGTAATTCTTTAGAAACTCAGTATATGTGATTTCTTCTTCCATATTCAAGTATGTGTAAAGTGAGGCTAATCCACTGACACCTAAAAACATGTAAATATAATTGCGATTCTTTGGATTCTTTAAGTACTCTGTAAATTTGCTAAAATCGATTTCTGGGAATTAGAATTTCTTCTTCTCTTATTATTATTATTATTGTTCTTCTTCTTCTTTTTAATTTTCCTATTTTTCTTGTTTCTCCTCTTTGTCCATCTTCTCCTATTAATCTGATTGCTGCTTCTCCTTCTTCTGATTCTCGTCCTATGGGTTAAAGGATTTGGGATCATAAGTAAATGAGTACTTCTTTTTCTAAGGTTTTTCGACTATCACAATATATGCAAATAAGAGTACCTTTTGGAGGTAGATCACCTTCTGATTATTCATCCTTGATGATGTTCTCTGCTCCCTCTTGATTGGGTTTTTCTGCAACCTTCTTTTCTTCTTTTGGTTAAATGGATTCTTCTTGCTATATTTTGGATTTTCTTTGAAATTTTTGGAAACCTGAGCTTAAGAAGGAGTAGAAATACCTTTGGGGGGTTCTTTGTCTTGAGAAAAGAGCATACAAGGTTTGGAGTAGCGTAATCCAGTTCTTCTAAATAAGTTCAAACTTAATCTCAACATCACAAATAAAATAATTAATGCACTATAGGGACCTGGTTTCAGAGAAGAAGGATGAGAAACGTCTCTTGAAATGGCTTGTACTGTCTCCCCTTCTCACGGGATTCGGGTATGGGATGGGTTACTTCAGGGCTTACTTGATTGTCAACTAGAAGTTGTTCATTCGATTGAAGAGAGTGACAAAGCGAATTGAATTATAAAATAATTATATTCATGCAGTTTCCTTTAACCTTGGAATTCCCATTGATGCTTTATTCTGAGGTGTCAGAAAATCAAGGACAATGGTTAGAAACAAATCAATTGGTCATACGGATTCCCAAGAGTTGGGATTTGGATGGGAATGTCAATGATTACTAAGTTTTCGGAATGGGCATAGGAGCAGAAGAATACCGCGAAAGTGAGATCAATGATGTTCAATACATTGTGGCCGATCACGCAACCGATTTGCATTACTGTGCGACATTCGCCTATTTTACTAAAAAACCTTTCCTGCTTTAAGTTCCTCAATTCAATGTGAAGTCGTATGAATATATCTTCTTCAAAAAGAAGGATCCCCAAGATAACCTTCTACTGGACATCATAGGATTGTCCAAAAGAGAAAGTGAACTTGATCGCAAAATATCCTTTATCCTGCAGCGATTATTATATGAATCCAGGTACTCCGAAATCGGAATTAGGAAGCAGGTGGAAGATGCTCTGGAAACTATATTTTATAAGTCCCTCAAGAAAATGATTCAATTACTTGGAAGAAAACATCATATAGAATATGAATCCATGTATGAATTAACTAGAAAAGTAGTGCGTTGTAAAGATTTAAAATTGCACTCCTAGGAAATAGTTTCAATTGTATACAAAACCTTTATCAGTGCCAGTCTCTTCCCCTTCTATTGTGAAATCAACACTATGAATGACAGCTACATTAAATTAAAACTGCTGAGTTTATTCACCAATTCCGAAATCTTGCCTTGGTCTCCCAAATTTCATGCCTCCCTTGGTATTTTATCATCCCCTATCCTTTTAGCTCTCGGCAACTATCACTACAGTTTCACTCCTAACGACCTGTTCAATTTGAGAACCCTCAACACTCGTACATTCTATAAAGATTACCAATACATCAGACTGAGGATCTTGGATTTCTTCCCCCTCGATTCTTGGATTGAAGAAGTTTCCAATTTCTTTATTCAAAACCTAGAAACCATGCTCAACTATATTCAGACTAAGATGCCCTAACAACAGAGTCAATCATCCTTCAGAAAATACTCCTATGATTCCAAGTCCAATTCCAGCAGTTCCATTCTGGATCTAAAAGAACCACTAATGAGAGAAGAACAAAAAGAAACTGAACTGATTCAAGACTCCTGCAATAGCAGTCAATAAAGCTTCAATGTATTGACTAACTGTTCTGAACTCTTCAAATTGTTACTCAAAAATTCTATAAGGAAAATTGAGAATGTTCGAGAAGTCTTTGGTATTGTAATCCATACTCCCCTCATCATTTAAGTCAAAAATCGAATTGCTAATGAATTCTACGTAAACTATGCCTCTGAAATCAACAGAAATGGAATCTTGAGTTAATTCTGTTCTATCATCACTGAAACTGAACTCAGAAGCTATTCAACTTGTGCAAATAATTGCTAAACGCCCGTAGCTGCCTTTATCTATCATTTGTGTGATACTTTTAGACCTTACTAAGAAATGTTATGTGAGAAGAGTCACTTCCTGAGATCACTTTAGCAATGTGGATTCAATATCCGCAATATTAAGCACAATTAATTTGCTTCTAAGAGTAGTTTTATTGACATAGACAACAAATTGTTGGGTTAATATCTGACTACCTATTGTAAATTTGCATCTGTTAATGAGTTTTAATTGCTGGGGGAATTGTTCATTCAACCAGCTATTTTAGAGTGCAGTTTAGATTACTTTGGCTTTTACAGTGATGAACTGTCTGCATAGTTTCTAACATGCATCCAAAAGATAGACTTTAATCCTGAAGAATTTTAACAAATAGAAAGGAAGTATCGACCTTATCGCTTTTCCAATTCCTATTTATTTAACGATAGTGAAGCCAGGGAATTCGTAGAGGCATTCGATAGCTGTTCTAGAACTACAATTTATTCGCAAGAAAACTAGAAGGATGAGAATTTAGTTGAATTTTTGTAAAAATTCTAAAATGGCAATCATAAATAATATGCTAAATCTAAATTCAATCTGCATTATTTGCTGTAGTTCTTCTAGAATCAGTTGATCAAACTAAAATAGGAGGGCTTAAAGTAGGTAAAAACAAAACATAGGATTCAAAATTATTTAGATACAGTCTACTTTTTTTATTTCAATTCTATTCGCTTGTAGATCGTTTAAAAGCAGCGTCAAAATACTTTAAGTTTAATTGGATTTGTGATTGCTAAGGATCTAAATTAGCTCCATTCAACCTAGCCCTAAAATATAGAAATTTAAATATGATATTATTATTTTTATTATATAATTTGAATGGAACTACAATTCCCATTGAGATTGGAAAACCCAATGTACTTTAAACCTTCCTTCGACGATGAATTTTAATAAATAGAAAGGTTTGCATTTAAGACCCCAAAAGTCATGAGGCCCAATTATGATAATATAGTGGATTGGGAAGTTTTTTAAATCAGTAGTTCGGAGCCTGAAGAAATAGACTTGGAAGGCATTTCATCATTTTTCATTGATTTTGGCAAAGAAGTTCATCGCAAAAACGATCTAAAATATTTAATTACTGAATATGAGTTTAATTGGTCAAATCCTTTTAATATGCAAGATTACGATTACCTTTTTGTTCTGAAAAAAAGAGATTTGATAGGCATCCTTGCTTTTAAAAAGGAAGAATAGTTAAATGAAATTTTAGGTTTCATCCTGAGATAATTAGTGCTTTCTACCAGATATTAAGAAATCGGGATTCGTTTACAAATAGACCAGACTTTGGATTGGATATGCTACGTCTCCTTTAAGAAAATAATTCAGTTAATTGGGCTGATAAATAATATCGAATATTAATCAATGCTTGAACTCACTAAAAAAGTCCTTTAAATTAAATAGGTTCAGCTTAATGAATAGGACATCTAATCAATTGTTTATAAGACCATAATTTCAACAGGTTTATTTCCATATTAATGTGAACTAAATACAATGGATCGCATCATTGATCATGTTAAACCCTTTATTTATTTATCGAATTTAATAATGGGATCTGCTATTGTTCCTTGGAGTCCCAAATATCATGCATGCCTATGTATAATTTTCTAAGATCTTTAGCTATTGGCAATATTAGATACAGCTATGCTGATGCATCAATATTTATGCTTCAAACAGTAAGGTAGAGAAAATACAAAAAATCATACGATTATGTCAGTTTAAAGATGCTCGATTTCTTCCCACTTAACTCTTGGGTTGAATCACTAGGTAATTTCTTTATTTAGCATTTTATCTAAATTTTGTAGATGATAAAAGAGAGTCTCCCCTCATTATAGGTGGAATTCAACAAGGTCAACTCGATTTCATCAGGGGATGAAGAAAGCAGCTCGTTCAAAAGCCTTTAGAAACCTCTTCTCGAAGAAACTAAATTTACGTACAAAATTATTTTAAATTTAGTGAATAGCAGATGGTTGACAAAGAGTATCTCGCATTATTCAAAAATCTAATAAAAAAGTCTATTTAAGACATTTCCTATGAGAAAACAATATATGGATTCACGAAACAGTTTTCCAAGATAACTGAGATTAAGGATTAAATTTCTAAAGAATTTTATGATAATTATTAATCAGAAATGAACAGATCAAATATACTCGATCATGCTATTTCCATTCTAACAGAAACTGAAATGGAAGGTTATTCCATATTTTCTAACAACTGCTAAACACCTTTATCTGCATTTATTTATAAGGTGTGCGAAACATTTCGTCCTTATTAAGAGATATTGAAGTAATAGAAGAAATTAAAAAATGCTAACGTAATTATTAGAAATTCAGCAACGAATTTGAGAATTGAAAATGAGGACAGAAATAAAGATAGAGATAGGGATATAACTAATTTGAAATGGATAACAACTTATTGTAAGTATGCATCCATATTTGATTTGGCGATGCTATCTTAATAATTTATTTTACCTGCATAATTAACTCATAGTTTAGATTACTTTGGCTATTATAGTGACAAATTATCATAGGAGTTCTTAAATGATGTACGAAAATGGAACACGAATATCAGTGATTTTCATAAGGTTCACCATCATCATGGTAATTCATAATAAAACCATTGTAAAAGAAAGCCTATGGATTAGATCAAATCTTTTGAGAGTCTAGTAGATGAAGGAATCAAGGTTGGACTATTTCAATATTTGAATATCAAAATGAAAAATTTAGTAGAACCAATCCCAATTTTATAATTATTCTCAAATTTAGATGAGGATTAACGCGATGATTTAAAACTTGACCTACACTACTTGATGCAACATTACTAAATATAGATTGTTAATTTTAAGAAAAAAAACTCTGGAAAGAAATAAGCCCAATTAAAACACAGATTATAAATTTATTTAGACACAGTAGGTTTTCTTTACTACAATTCTATCAGAATGTAATTGAACTTAAAAGAGAGAGAAAACACCTTAAGTCAAATTGGGTTTGTGATTGTTAAGAGTGAAAATAAAGTCGAGAAAGGAGAACCAACAAATATTGATTTATAAATTATCGTATGAATTTATCAAATATTTGTTATTTAAGTTATTTAAATTCTAAATTCAGAAATGTGAGAATAATAATAATCTTTGGTTCAATTTATATTATTTAAGTTTATCATATAAATAATATGCTCTAAAATTTATAAGTCGAAGGCAAAGAAATTAACTAAGATTACTCTTATGAATGGGTAGTTGGGAATGATGATTTAATAAACATGGAAAAAGGAATTTCAATAGCCGAGTTTTCTGAGTAAATTCAGAATCGAGATTAAGAAATGGAATTCAGAGTAAAGAATAAATGATCAACTCTTAGATTTTAAGACGTCTTACAGAAACCTAATACCATAATGAAAACCTTTATGATTTTCATCCTGACATTTTGAAGCTAAATAGATATGGCAACATCCTACCTTGTATCATTAAAAGTTATCATAGTTAAACATTCAATTGTCAAGTTGAAATGCGATGAAGAGGAGAACTAAAAGGAATCATACATAAATGCTGATTACATTAATGTAAAGTAATGATTGAAGATGTTAGCTAATAAATGGAAAAGAGAAAATGATGATAGCCACTTAAGGTCCAGTGACCTAAACAATAGGACATTTTTGGAGGATGATTTCTTAAGAAAATGTATAAAGCATAGTGATGCTTTGTAATCTAAAAGAAAATGGGAAGGTAATTGAAGTGTTGAATGTATGAAAGGTGTAATGCGAGTAATACTGGCCTAGAAATATAGGAGAGAGTTTGCTTGTAGGAAATATTACTATAAATTTCGTTAGTTAAGAAGATTTGGGAAACAACATAATAAAAAGAACACTGTAAATATAAGAACAAAACGGAGAAGAAAAATTAATAATTCATTTATAGTGGTGTGGATGGCCAGATTAAGGAGTGCCCAATCATAATGATTTCAATACAATAAAGGAATTGATTAATCAAATTTTGGACAAGGTCTTGAATGATTAGAAAGTTGTATTTCACTGCAGGTAATTCTATATTCATTTCAATATTCTAGTGCAGGAGTAGGGAGAACAGGAACGCTGATATCCTTAGTAAACCTGATGATCATTCTCACAACCTACAAATCATACATAGGAACTGACAATGCGAGTACAATTACATTAATAAAACAAGAAATATTTGAGAACCCAGAGTAGTTTAGGATTTCAATTTTTGGAGTGGTGCGAAGATTGAGGGAGTAACGATGGGGAATGGTGCACACATCAGAACAATACCAATATGTATACAAATTCATTGATTAAGCTATAAAATATATGTTTTAGCAATAGTAATGATATAATAATTCATATAATCATTGAATAGGCCTGAACATGCTAGCACTTACTTTATGCACTTGTTCATACTTTTTGTCAAGTTCTTGAGTTTAAAGAGCAGCAAACTATTGCACCATGTGAGGATGAGGAACAGGATTCTCGTTGAGGTATGAATAATTGGTGGTTGTAGTAAAATTAGTATTTTTATATAAATGGTTTTATTTCTGGATGTCAAGCAATTGCAGAGTCGATTGTGATTAATAAATCTTCAGTTTACTATTTTGCATCATAATATCCCCGTAAGATTATCGTTTGGTTTCAAATGGGAATGGTCGATTGTTGAGGTGATTTGTACTGATGGTCGTCAATGTATTGGTAGGCATTAAAGGTTAAAAGTAAACTTCCTAAGGGTTTAATTAAAGTGAAGTGATAGTTTTAAAACTCTTGCTTTTAGCAATAAGTGTCATAATCTGTGAAACTGAAGAGGATATCTTCTATGCACTTATACCAGTCAGACACTGTAATTACTATGACCAGATGTTGAGTAATCCTGCCTTCTTTCTCAAATAAGCCACACAAGATAGTGCTAGAATGGTTTGATCTGTTTCGAAATACAAATGATCATCTAATTATTAACTTAAGTTGTGATACCTCTTATGATTTGTAATGCTATGTCTGTGTATTTGCTCTCGACCTCTTTCACATATTATAATATTTAAGTTTCTTAAAGATCCCTCAATTTAACGTGCTATTAATGTGAACTATCCTTGTTTTCTTTCTGTTGTTGCTGTCCCAAACTATCGTCATCATCTATAACTCCAAAAGAAAGGAGGGCCTCTATTCTATCTAATAAGGTGACTCTTTGCAATTTCCAGTCCATAGTTTGAATCAAGGATCTCTCTGCAAATTTGTACTCTTGAATTGAATATTGATTGACTTCAGGGTGATTGGTCATTGAGGCATATCTTTTCAGTTTACTAATGAAAGGTACTCGTTCATCAAGTTCTTAGGCTTTAGCTGCAAGCATTAAAGCAGTTGCTACAAATAAATAGGTTTAATTTTCATTGATTGTAACTCTGCTGAAATATTCATCAATGTAGTTAATAGCCAAAAACGATGTATTTAAAGATAGATTTAATCTTTCAGAAGCCTACAAAATGAATTCGATAATCTGTTAGCGTTGTTTAATAGGCCCTTTCGGCGTACCTTCTACTAAGATACTTTATAACACTTTGATTGGATTGAAATAAGCATGAAATTTCATTTTCAGTGTTTTATATACTCTTGTATTTGGCTATCATGGATAATGAAAATTATTTACATTATTTAAAAATATCCCACATTCCTTGCATATGACTTTATCAGAATAATTGTGTCGATTTTAATGACAGCATCCGAATACCTCCAAATATTGATTACTATAATGATGTTCAAATGGTTCCAATTGACTCATATATACGTTAAATTTATTAAATTTTTTAATAATAAATAATGTCAAATTAAACGGATTTCTTTTTCAGTTCTAAAGCATATCTATTATAGGTCATAATTTCCATTATTTCTATGTATTTCATAAGTTAATCTACTTAATAGTTATGCATGCAATCCAATTTCCTTGCTTTTAAATCATTCTAATCCTGGTAATAAGATTCTTCAAATTCTTTATGATGACTCTTTCTAAATTGCTGTCTTATGTTACATTAACTTTATGTCTTTTTCGATTTTTAAACGACTCCTAGACTCCTAAACACTTATTTATTCTTTGTCTTATATCCCTAATTGAGAAAAAATTTAAGGATATAGTTCAAGTTTGCTCTTGAATTGCAATACTTAATTTTACTTTATTTTTGAATATATTTCTATGTATTTTTAGGATGATAATAATTAATAATTACATTTGAAATATAATTAATGATTTATTTCAATCATCCTATTATCTAATTAAGGTTGTCCTTCTCAATTTCACTCTCTCTTTAAAGATTTTCTTATATTTTCGAATCACTTTCTCAGGGTTCTCTTCCTAAAAGTAGCATTCATAATTGGCCATGCGATCAATACTAAATTAGCTATCCACATCAGAATTAGCATCACCATTGGCATTGGCATTAGAATTCAATTCATTTTCAATTTTTGGAGGTTGATTGTTATTTTAGGTGCTCTAGATGTAAGTCCTATTTTAAGATTTGGCTATATTACCTCAACTCTTCTATTATCTATTAGACTTCCTTGTTCCTGGGTTAAGCAATTGACAGAAATTTCATTTTCCGTATCAACTCTTATTTTTTACTTTCGTTATTTGTTGCTCTGTCAGGAGATGGGATTTTCTCATTTTAATAATCGTTAATCTCATTCCCTTGAAATAGTTTGCTTTTCCTCCTTTGCACTTGGACATTATTAGGAAATACATAATTTTATCCTTTGGCAACCTTCTTAACTTACTCTTGAATGGGAGTCAAACTAGACATTGATGAAGTCCTCACTCTTTTGGGCAATGGCAATCTGGCAAAGCTTTGGAATTTTTTCTTTTTTTTCACTTTCTTCTATTCCTCTTCTGAATTCTTCATATTTAATGAGGACTTCCGTAAACCATCAGACAACTCGACACTCTAATTATCTCTATTTTCATCAATCTTCATTTCGTAATTATCATCAGCCAACCATTGTCCTCTCTATCTCATTTATGCTTTCTCCTTTTCCTATTCAACAATCTTTTTGATATTTTCAATCTCCTCCTCGTAATCATCTACATCTGAGCTGTATTCGTCATCCTCATCATTTGAGTCCAAATTAAAAGTGGTGATCTAGAAGTACTTCTTAATAGCCTATGCATTCACTTAAACATCTCGAATATGTGAAAGTGCTTTGAATTGTTATTTAACTATTTTTCTTTTGAAACAAGGTTGTCGATTATTCTAAACGTTGAAAGTTGAATAAATGACCTGTTCTTTGATAGGAAGATACAGACTCTTTTTACAATTAATCGCTAGATGACTTCTACTTTCACAAATGTAACATCGCAACTTTAACTTCTAGGAATCACTATTGAATAAGACATTGTGTCTAATTTCATAGAATTTTTGTCTATCAGTTTCGTATTTCTCCAATAATTTAAGAAATGCCACTCTGGAGAGTTTGTAAACAACTGAATATGTAAGACAACGAGCGGATGCAGTTCTTTTGTATCCAGTGATGAATCCGATTATTCCAAAAATACCCTTCTTCATGATATGTAATTTAATTCTTTTCTCACAGTCTAAAAAGATTTCAACCTATCCTTTATCTAAAAAGTACAAAGGGAAGTCATCCGTTTCCTCTCCTTGAAGGAATATATTTTCTTCTTAGGCATAATATTGTTATTAAATTTGTTATGACAATTCCATAAGGAAGTCTTATGAGAAACAGGAGAAGAAATTGCTTTGAGTGAGCATTTTACCCAAGGTTTAATAAATCAATTCTTCTCTTAAGGCTGGTGCCAATTTAAGGATCATGGCTTGTTCCAATTCATGGTCTCTGGCCTTTTCGGTTTGCCACAAATGAACTAGATAGGCATCAATGCGAGCCTTCAATTTCCTGTCCACATTATGTTCGACCATGAATCTTTAGATGGCATTCACATACTTTCTATAATGAAATAAATTGGTAGATACTGGAATTTTTATTTGCTTTCATTCTGAGAGTAAATCATTTCCCATATGGCATTGACTGAATAGGCAAAGACAATGCAAGAGATGAATTGAGTTATGACAGTCACAAAAACCTCCCAGAAATTCATTGGAGTAACATCACCATATCCTACTGATATCATCGTTGTTACAGCCCAATAAAATGAGTATAAGTGTAATTCAGAAATCGGCATGTCTTCATATCCTCCATTGAGAGTAACAACATCGCAACTATTCAACCATGACACATTTCCTATATTCTTTTCAAGTTGGATTCTTCCAACAAAGAAGAACAAACAAGCAAACAGATGACATAACCATATTATTGTCATCATTACAGTGAGCAATCGATACTTAGCATGCTTTGAAGGTTCCAGTTGCAAGGACTCCTTTATCATATTACTTGTTTTATTAACTTCGTATAGTTTTAAGATAAAGAGAAACTACTCAAGACCCAATTTTTTCTCATCAAAGAGTAAAAACCTATACCTTATCAAACATAATAAGGGAATCAAATCTAATAAGAAATTACTCTTTAAATAATTGATAGCAATCTATTTCCTGCCACTTATCAACTGCCCCTTCTTGTAGAAGGCGATGTTGAAGGACAATAAAATGTCCAACATAAAGATTGTGATTCCTACGTACAAGGAAAATTCCTCGTAGAATTGATAATGCGATGCTTTCCTCTCATCTATGAGTGGTTGGTAGGCAAGCATAAATGGAATTTGGAAGAAGAATTCAACCACCAAGATGCTGTTTAGTACCTACCAATACAAATAGAACCGAGAATCAGGTTCCAATACTTTTAGATTTCCCATACAGGAAGACATCCCATTAAGGAATCCGTTCTTCTGAGTTTGATAAGCATAATCCTTAAATATTTCCTTCTATCTTAGGTCTATTATTTAAGCCATTGTAACCTGATTCGAGGATTTTTTACCTTTGAAGCATCTCTTAAAAATATTGAGCTCCTTACTATTATTCTTTTCGAGGGTCCTACGATATAATATTGTCTCATTAGCCACGAACGGGATCACCTTCACCTAATTCTCCTCTTCCAAATGCGATGTAGATCCCCATTCAAAAGCACTATCATTCACAATTTATTCCATGTTCATTTCCGTGCCTGACCGATCCCCCAAAATTATGGTTTTACTCTCCTCCTCTTGTATTAAAGGTTATTAAAGGGAGTCTTTTTAGCTCATTATTAAATTTTTATAAAATTAACAATGGGCCCTACTCAGGGAAAGGAAGTAAATTAATTTTAATCTACATCTAGTTATCTCCTTAAATGAGAGATAGAGTGCTTAAGTTATTTGCAAGATTTGATGTTGATGGTTCTAAATCAATTGAAAAATCGGAAACCATTAAATATTGGTATGCTTGACAATATTAAATGTGAATAGGAAAAGCAACTTTGCAAAATTGAATACTGAAGAACTATTTAAATCTGTTGACACTGATAACAGTGGAACAATATCAGAAGAAGAATGGCTCAATTTTTGGACATCAGTATTAAGGAGTGGTCACACAGAGGAGGAGATTTCTGATGAAGTATTAATTTAAAAATTAATATACTCAGCTGGAGAGCATTGAATCAGGGTCATCTTGGGTTAAATTCGAGAATTTAGATAAAAAGAAAGGGTGAAAGTAAATATAATATATAAATATATTATGTATTCATGAATTGTGAATAAATATTAATTAATCAATTATATTTTCAATGAGATTATTTGGAGAATAATCCAGATTGAACAATAGAGTTATGTTTTAAGAGGAGATGGCTATGGTTAAATATGATTTAAGTTTAAGAATGACTTAAAATAGTTTTGTTATTATTATATGCTTTTTTTAATGCTTATCACTTTTATTTCTTATAATTCTCATTAATGATGCGTATTTTAAAGTAAATAGATGAAATTGTGTATGTGAATGTATAATAATTATAGAATCACACTGCCTTATTAAACACAATGGTTTCTCTATACTTTTCGACATGATCTAATAATTCTTCCAAATCTGCTCCACCTACTTCCATGTCCTGTGCGATGTTTTTGAGATGTACTTTAAATTTATCGAACTGCTAATTTGTTATGTTCAGACCTTTATGAACTTCAATCAAATCTCTAATCCTTAGATACGAGTATGTTACCTGCCTGTATATTGAGTGTTTTTATCACCCATCATTTAGGAAAAGAATCTCTTCTATTGATATCTTACACGACTCATGTCAGCTTTGAGAAACTTATCTCTTAATAATTTATCAAAGAGGACTTTGTAGTAGAATTGATCAATGAGTTCAGACACTTATTGATCGCCTCCAAATCTCTCAAATAAACATTTCTTATTGTCCATTTTTATTTATTAAAATCTTTTATTTTTTAATATTAATTTGCAATCAATATCCCAAAAAAAAGACTAAATTGAATTGATTTTGAGAGTTATTCACTTTTTGGTTCCATCCCTAAAACGTCAGTGTTTCCATCAAATTATTGTGAATATTAATTAAATTATATAATTAATATAAAAATTAAGTAATGTCTTTAGGAGTACCACTCAAAATTATGCATGAAGCAGTCCATCACATCGTCACAGTCGAATTAAAAACTGGTGAAATGTTTACAGGATATATGGCTGAAGCAGAAGTAATCAATTTCCCTAAATTCTAGGACACAATGAATGTAAGATTGGATGAAGTCTAAATGGTAACTAGAGATGGTAGACCCATGTCCTTAGAATAAGTATATTTGAGAGGAAGCCAGATCAGATTTGTAGTCATCCCAGACGTATTTAAATACGCTCCTATGTTCAAAAAAATTAGAGCAAATGCCAAAAGCAAAAATATGCAGTAAATCAGAGAAAAAGCTAGATAAGTAAGAGGTAATTCATATATCTATCAATTCAATAGAGGAATTAGTACCACGCATTAAATAAGGCTTAGAATAATAAAAAAAGTGATACATATTAGTTATATCATTTATGGAAATAAATAAATTTATATAATAAATTCTTAGTATTGGATATTATAAACCAATACATAGTTGCAGAACAAGATAATTGTATCTCACATCAATTCGATCGATAAAACTTATAATTTATTATAGAATAATCTACTGCAAATTGGATTAATTGCATTTACTAAACTAATCCTCTTTTTTACTATAGTTAACATGCAATATATATTCTTGGTTTCACATCTCATTTCAATAAACCTCTTGCAAAGTTAGAATCATAAGTTTTTCTTAGTTTTTTATTAAGAATAAAGTGTTACCACTAAAGATCCCTCTAATTTTTAAATGGCTTCAGCAACTTTTTCTAGAACCATCATGATATAAACTCTAAATTTTTATCAGTATTTAAAAGGTTTTAAAGCGCAAATTAAGCAAAATATTCAAATTGAATTAATATTAAAATTTAGTTTTAATTGTCCTATTCCATTAAGTAAATTTAATTAATAAATAGTGAATTATAATGAAAAAAATTTCAATTTCTATTAAGAAAATATCTAAATAATTACTTTATGCAGATTAACTTCAACCCTATTTGATTTTTTCTTAAGGAGATTAGAAATAAAAAAAGTAATAGTTTTCTTTTTAAAACAGATATGATTAGCTCTGAAGGTTGAAGGATTTATGTCCTACTACCTGGATTAAGGTATAGAAATCTGACAGATGAGAGATTTCTTCTCATTTATTTTGATTGATATATTTCTGATTGAATAATATCTTTTGATTGATCATATTTATTATAAGATAAAGAACTAAATCATTCACTTCACATTTGAATTAATACAAAGTTCTCCATTAATAAATAGAATACTATTCTACTAATATTATGAAAAAGAATCAAGTTATAAATGAATTAATCACAAATTACTTAATATGTCCGTGTGGCGTAATGGTAGCGCGACAGCCTCCTAAGCTGTAGGTTGCAGGTTCGACTCCTGCCTCGGATGATTTTTTTTATTTAATATTTATATTGAATATAATGCTTTAAACCTTACAATTTATTTCAAACCTTCTATGTTCCTAATTAGACTTGCATTCTTTCATATTTAATTTTAGTAAAACGTCAAAAATGATTATAAAAGAGAAACTTCAAATCATCAATAAATATGATATTCCTTTAGTTATTATAAAACAATTATCAAGAATATAAGATAATATGAGATTTATGTATTAATACAGCTCCCTTATAGTAGTTGTTTAGTTTTAGTAGCCAATAACGAGGATTATTATTAAAAAGGAGAATTTTTTGTCAAGGTCAATTAAAAATGGTATTGTATGAAAGTCTTTAGAAGTATCTCAAATATTTTTATTGTAACTCACTATATTTGAAGTAATTAATAATACAATTAGGAATCTCTTCAGTATGTTTAGATGATTGATATTGCAGAATTGTCATTTGGAAAAAAGAATCAAAACTTATATTCGATTGAAATGAGAAATCTTCAGTAGATCCTTCTTAACTGAAATTGGTTTCAATATCAATCATTAAGAATTAAACAAATTCTGATAAATACTTCAAATCTCTTAAAGTAAGTGAGTTTTAATTCAATCGTACTAGCCCTATATCTTTACTCATATGTAATTTTTCTCTATCTTTCCAATTTTAGTCTATTTTAGTCGATAATTGAGTATGTAAAATATTGATAGATCAATTATATTTTAATAGAAATTATTTAATAGAAATATAGTTATAAAATTAACATGAATTCAAATTCGATATAATAACTAGGAGTGAGACTTTGATAATGTTTTATATATAAAATTAAAGAATGCAAATCATCAATATTTAGAATTTAAATTTGGTTGTTTGTTGGGCTTAAAACTTTGTAGATGACTAAAATCGTAAATAGAATTATTTTCCTTCTTATTTTATTCCTGTAATTAACTGGATTATAGATTTTTGAATTATTTATTAGGAGGTTAGGTGGGGATAAATTCACTAAAGTCGAGTGTCTTTGCACTTTAGGTGGTTAATTTGGATGGCATGGGTTTGTTTTCTGTAGTAATGAAATCTAGGATGTCATCCAGATCATTGCTATCATCATCTTTGATTTATTATAAATATTATTGTTTGGGCTTAAATTAAGTTTGAATTTCCTCCTTTTAATTTTACGATTTGGCCTTGTGTTTGGACTCAAAAGGTTTTGGGTCATCCTTTGATTTGCTTTATTCTTCGAAAATCAAAGTGGGAGCTATCTTTTCAATGTTATAAAAAAAGGGATGGGTCAACATTTAGGCAGCAGTAATCCTCTTATTTGGATCCCATCTAATCATTTAAGCTAACAAATTTATGGCCTCGGTGCTTGCATTTGGTATCATCTATTATAATTGTAATGGTTGAAATTAAGCAAGAGCTAAGCCCATTTGGGATACCAATCTAGTTCCTTCTGGCCATTCTTATTGAGTAAATGTGCTGTGGATATATATATAACTATGTACCCAAGAGTCGAGAGAATTTTATTGAATTATTCTAATTCTGAATTGCCTTGGAATAAAGGTCGATTCAAAAATAGTTCAGCCATTATGCAACCCAATGCGAAAATGTCGACGGGACTATTGTAATTGGCTTGCTTCAATAGAATTTCTGGAGCCTATTAATTTGGATTCAAATTGTACTCGATACCATCTAGTGGCAATGTAATCCGTATAGGGAGGTCTAGATCTTATTTCCCTTGCACACCCGAGATCAATAATTTTAACTACTCCATCGTTGGTGAGGAGCATATTCTCTGGCTTAAGATCTCGATGAAAATATCCATGTTTATGCATGTAGCTTAGACCATTGGCAACTTGGTAGATGATAGATTTGATTTGATCCTAGGAAATAGTTTTGCCCTAAAATAGGGGGATGAATTGTACCATTTCTTTTTATTGAGTGTACATTTGATAAATACTTTTTTCTACAAATTCAAACACTAAACAAAGGGTATCGTTATCAAGGAAAACTAAATATTGATAGGTAATACTTTCTTTGAGCTTAACAATATTGGGATGGTTTTGGAGTTTTAATAAAGCTTTAACTTCTTTCAAATTGGTGCATTCATCGAAATTGTGATACTTTTATTTCATCTTTTTGATTGCAACTAAATCATGGGTTAAAGTGTCTTCAGCTTTTATTACTACACCAAATGTTCCATCACCTGTCTTTTTCAATTCCCTGAATTTTTTCATAAGTATTTTTAGGTAATTTATTTTATGTTTTTTATATATTAAAAATAATTATCAATTACTTTCATTTGTAACTTAAGTGAGTAAACATTTTTAGTACTTTGATGTTATCAGACTTTGTTATTTGATAGAGCATTCTTAATAATTTAATAGTTGGTTGAATTATTGTTAATTTGATTTTCCTTTTTTGTTATAATGCATCATTTCTACTTGAATTAAAAATTAATTGTTTGACAGACCATGTTATTTATTCAAGTTTGGTTGATTAAGGTCACTATTAATTTTAATTTAGTTTATTAATTATCAATGAGCCAAAATTCTGTTGAAGATTAAGTAATCTTTCTTAATATTAGAAAAGGGTGGTCAATTACTTGTAATGACAGTGTAAATCGATGACAAAAACACAGCAAGGATTGATGTATTTGAAGATGATGAACCAGAATTATTGGCCATGAATTTCTGCAATCTACACAAATTGAATCAACGATTGGTCCCTATACTGGCTGAGAATATCAAATAGAATATGATAGTGGCTCAGAAGGAAAAGTAGAACATGACTCAATACGTATATAAGTCTAAATGAGATTAGTTGTAAAAATTGAAAGAGCGACAAATCACTTAAGACAATCAACCTGAACAACTGCCATAACAAAATTTAGTTAAGTAAATGAGTGCTCAGTCTCCAAAGACACCTCAAGGAAAAAGAGATGGCAATGTTTTTGACAGGTTGTATCAAAGTGCTTAAATTAAAAAAATGAAAATGCAAAGACAAGACTCTGAACGACTGCAAATTTCTAACTAATTGGTCCACAATTAGGAATCGGATGTTAATTATGGCTAATTGTTATATCAGAGAGGAATGTCCAAAAAGGATGAATTCATTTTAAAAGCAGAAATGGCATTATTGGAGAAACAACAATAATAGATGGTTGAATGCACTCATAAACCATCAATCAATCCAATCTCATCCAAAATTGTTCATAGACCCCAAGAACCTACATGTGTGTATCTGAATCAACTAGCCAAAGTCTATTCTGAAAAGAAAGAGTAGGCCTAGTTTCATAAGGTTGAAGAATAACAACAACAATGCTCTTTCCATCCCCAGATCGATAAACAGTACTATATTATTTAATTAGATCTCAAGCAATTATCGAAGAGAAGAAAAAAGGCTCTTAAATCTAAATCCCTCATTATGAACAACTCTACTAAGTGAACACAATTAGACAAGTGAAGTTGAATCAGAAAGGAGAGGAATACTTCACTGAAAATCATACTTTCCATCCAAAAATTGATTAATTGTCAGAACAACTTGTTTCTGGATAATCCTTCTAAGATAGACAGCAAAAATACCTAACTTCCATTAAAGATAAACAATAACCAGTAGACGAGTGTTTTCGACCTAAGACAGGTAGACCTCCTGAATCTCGTCCAGATAATTTATTTGATTCCCTTTACAATCAGGCTAAAACTTTGGCAGATAAGAAGGCTTAACTCTTATCATCCAGCATGGATCAAGCACTCTTTTAATCCCAAGTCAAAGCTAGTCATTAATCTGATAAGATTATTCAATAAGCTATTTACAACAAACTGGCAAATATATTTGATCTCCTGGACTCTGATTAAGATGGTGAGATTGATTCTTTAAGAATTGACATCTCAAATTTAGATCCTCAAGTTCTTTAAGCTATTACTCCTTTACTCTAAGAAATGGAATCAGGAAAGCATTCTCTCATAAAGTCAGAATTTATTTAGTTAACTTCTCAGTTGATGACCTTAATGTCCAACAAAGAAAAACATGACTTGCTAAAGAAACCCTAAAAGAAGGATCAATCTTTCAATGTAACCAAAGACAGATCTCCTAAGTCCAGCATTAAAAAAAATTGAATTACCTTTTATCGATTTTTATTTATTTATACAATTTATTACAGGAATATATAATTTATCAAAACCTTGAGCCAGGAGCTGTTGTCGTACTTAAATTACTTTAGAACAGTTTCTGAGAGGCAAACCTTTACCTTGTAAATCCATCAGTATGGATTCTTTGATTAGAATAATTAGCAATATTATTTTAAATTTAAGGCTGTGGAGTTTCACTGTCCTCTAGTTAAATATATTTGATATTCTTTACATTGCAATTTTATTAAAATCTGTGCCTATTTCTGTATTTATGCTTTCAAATTGCTTATTGTGTAATCTTTCTCTTGGCATAATTAGCATTTTTTGTATTTATATTGATCATATTAATAAGAATTGAACTGTTGTATCTCTGATACTCTACTCTTTATATCGGTTATTAAATTAGTCATCACGAAGGCTTCATTTGATAGAGTATAGTGTTGAGTATTATTCTTTAAATTAAACCAGATCTTTTATTGCTCACTTAATTAACCCCATAGATCATTAAACTATCTCTTAAGAGAATTGTATTAGTTTTCTTGAGTCTATAGATTCATTATTAATTGATTGGAGAAGTTCGTCAATTTTTATATTTCTGTCATTAACTATTCAATCTTTAAGAACAATTGCTAAATTATTCCCTACTCTATTAGTTTGAATAAAAATACTTACAGTTCTATCCGTATACATAGTTGTTCATTTTTTTATTTAAACAATATAATTTTATTTATAGAATTAATAAGCCTGTTTTTGTTAAAAATAATATATTAAGCATTCCATTCGGAAACTACTTAATTACATAAACCTGTTTTCTATAAAAATCTTACCTTGTTTATTTTGATAAATACTAGGTTTTTTAAACATAAATTATTGTAATATTTTAATTATTGAATAAGATAGTTTTTTAGTATCTATCATTTAATAAAAATTAACACAAAATAAATTATGAGGCTAATTAAACTTGAATTATTATAATTCGTTACTTCTTAGAGCTTATCCAAGGATATTGCTGCTATTTTTATTTGATTCATCTTTTCTTCACTTCTTGATTGAGATATATACATGAATTTGCAAGATTTTTATATCGATTATTGCTTTCATTTATCTAACCATTAATATTAATAATTGATGAACTTTTTCAGTTTAGAGAAGAATCGATTTCATCAAAAGGCTTGTGAAAACAAGAAAAAAAGACAGAGTGTAAACAGTAGTTCATAAATCAAAAATCAACAAATAGACAATTTCATTGAATAAAAGTCTTAGTCTCTGTAAATGGATTTGGACTTATCCTACACTAAGGCTTCTGATCAAGACAGTTTTTAACTAAACCATATACCTAAATCCGTTAGAGCCAATTTAATTGGTTAACTAAACAATAAATATGGAAGAAGATCTCTTCAATGAAAATATGAATATATGCAATACTTGTATTAAATCATTATTAATCTCTGTATTTGAAAAACTTATTTTTTGAACAAAAAATTGTAGCAAAAGAGTTTTTTAAATTTCCTAATAAACAAGAATTATTTCAAATTAGATCATTACTGAGTTATTTAGTCTCAGACTCTTACGGTGAAAGATAATAAGAGATTGACCTTTATTTCTCGAAGAATAATTGTTAAGAGTGTAGCATTTACATTAATAAATTTAAGATATATAATAGAACAAAAAATGTTATTATTATTGCATTTGATTAATGTATTCTTATAATCTACTGAAAAATCTGTTTATGTATTCTGTTATAAAAGAAAACGATTTAGATCACTGAAATTGATTTTAACCCATATCTACTTATTTTTGAACACTTTAGCTTCTCAAATTAGATTATATGATATAACTATAATTTTGCCCTTTTTGAAAGTCAAAAAATTAGTAGATACGTTCAACTTGATAAATAGTTATTTGAAGCTAAACTATTATTATTAAATAAGCAATAATTCCAATTAATATATATCTAATGTTTCCTATTAAATCTATCTTTACCACATTAACATATTTATGGTTAATTTGATATAATTTCAGATGAAAGTAAATCTTCTGCTGATAACATTGTTCTTTCTCTTAAAATGAATAGTTACAAATTTGATTTTTGCTTTATCTTATATTTTATCAAATTAAATCAATTAAATATTGATTACTTTCTATATAAATTAACATCTTAGTAAAAATATTATGATATGCCTTTCTAAAAATAATTAATTGGAACATTTGGTCAAATTTATACATTTCTATAGTTAATGCATCATTAAAATAGAATATTAGTAAAAAACTAATTTAATTTTGTTTATTTGTAATTGGCGCATATGTATTAAAATTTAACATCCCAGATTCATTTCTTGTCCTAAGATATTTATGAAGAAATAATATTAAGGGGTTGACTCTCAATTGATTAGCCAGCTCAAAATTAAATTCTTCATATTCCATTTTAAGTTAGTAAAGTTATATTTTCCAAATTTTAATATTAATGTGTTTATTTCTTCTGATACAATAATACTCAACTATTAGTAAATACAAAATTAACTAAATCAGTAAACTGTCTAACAGTCTCACCATTTAATAAATAGCGATTATTCTAATTGTTTGGATACATTGATTAATTGAATATTTCATTTTTATGGTTATTAATATTTTGTTCTTATCTTAACTTATCTTCTGTTCTTTTCTTTATATAAATTGATAACTTGTTTATCGAAATGAAGAAATCAATTTGATACACTACTTCCTGAGTTTTTGACCAGCCTTTCAAAATTCCAGGTATATCTAAATTTCTTTTTTTTTCACATATAAATATAATAAAAATAATTTAAAATATCACGATTATTGCTAATTGTGACGAATTTTAGAAGGCTAATACGAAATACTATTAAAATGGAGCAATTTATCATATAGACTATCTTAAATAAACTCCTTTTCTACCCTGTCTAATCTGTCCTCTTCTTTAATAGATTAGTGCAATTAAGAATTGGATTAATAATAACTAAAATAGAAATCGAATTTACCTTTAAGTAATATCTACAGAATTTTCAATAATAGTAGACAAAGACTTCCCTCTTTATACTTAAAGATATTGATTTCTTTAATGCCTAGTTCCCATTTTGATGAACCAATGATGGTTGAGTGCCTAGACAGCTGACAGTCTTTTAATTGGTTCTTTATTTAATAATCCCTTTAACAAATCCATACCAGAATTTGAAATCTTCTTGCATATTTTTTTTCTAAATTAATGAATTAAGTTAATACTCTATTTTGAAATCTATATCACATCTTTCATTTGATCTCAGTATTTCTTCTTAATCTTTGCCTTCAAATGGTAATTTTCCGTAAATCAGAAGGTAAAATATTACTCCCAATGAAAATAAATCCACTTTGCTAGTGTAATTTTTGGATCTGAATATCTCAGGTGCAACAAACCCAGGAGTACCACACTTCTTATATTAAGGTTGATCGGTTGTTTCAGAATAGCAAAAGTTGCCCAATACAACAAATGGTAAACGTTTCTTCTCCGGGATGAATAAGTTTTCCATTTTTATATCTCTATGAAAAACTCCCTTTGAATGCATATGTTGAATGGCTTACAGAATCCCATAGATAATATCAGCAACCAATTTCTCCTCCAATCCTAAGGTAGACTATTCTGCCATCTGATATATTTGGGATTCCTTGATGTATGATCTCAAATCAATGCCCAAGTAGTATTCATACAACACGTACACATTCTATTCATCTTCAAACACTTCAACAATATAACATATTTAGGTATGACTCAATTTTCTTAAGTTGCTTAGTTCCCTATATAAGTTTTGCTTTTATGCTGCTGTAATCGCATCTTTCTCAATTACCTTCACAACATGATACTCTGCATCTTGCACTCTGACACAAGAGAATAAGCATTACCCAAATACTGGATCGCTGTGCTTTATTTTACCTAAGACTTTATATTTCCTAGCGAATTTATCCATTATGCAGAATCTTCTTAAAAACTGAAACCATTTTTTGAAGATATCTGCATTTTCGCATAATAAATGAGTTAGTTATTATCCAAATTACAGTCTAATTCCGTACCTATAATTCGGCATTGTGGGATCAAAATGAGTAAACTTTTTCAGAAAACATGCTTGTAATTAACAATAGGAGGTATAATCCTCAGATCCCACACCTTTCCTATATAGTTTCTCAGGATGTAGATTCAGTTACACTGATTCCCATTGAATATCAACCTTTAAAAGTAACCTGCCTGAATAATTTATTCTTAGATACCTTAAAATTGGCTATTCCCATCAATGGCATTTGATGATACCCACATTGAAGATTACTTTAAAGCTTCCATAAAAATAGAAGTAAAAGGGATAGTTTTTAAAAAAGTGCTTTTTTAGGATTATTGACGCATTTGATATAAAAATAATAAAATAATAGTTTATGTTCAAAGTCTCTTTATGATTTGGTATTTCATTCTTATTCATATATCTCATTTAGAATACTATCTTTCAGCACACAGATCATTTGAACACACAATATAAACTGCTGTTAATGATAGCTAAGAAGGAATTGAAAAATAAATACTCTTTTTAAATAAATCCCAATTTTATACATCTATAACAACACCAATAGGATGTTTAAATCAATAATTAAAAATCTATCAATAATCTTAATAATAGACTCCGATTAATAATATTTTCTTTCATTTTTATAAACTTTTAATCCAAATCTAAAAGATCACAAATATATGACTTTGTTAACCAAATGAAAAAGATTGCAAACTATGGTTTTTTTAATTAAGGATATTTTTAGAAGCATTAAAACATATAAATAGCTTTTCATCTTGAAAGATATTAATATATTCTAAATTTATATATCTTTAAGATAGTAAAGCAAAAACTAAAAAAATACAAGAGAACAAAGGATCAAACTAGGTTCCTAGTGAAAATTTAGAGTTCTATTGTGCTGTGTGATCTATTTTTTAATAAATTGATTTATACTCAAAAGTAGAAGAGTTTGCTTGGGATTGATTAGTGTCTGGTAATTTCGGTAGGAAGGTAGGGGTTCATTGATGCGTTTGTGGAAGAGATGGTATTTAGAAATGGACGGGAAGTGTTGTTTATAATGGAATTAAAATGAATATAAAACAAATAATTAAAAAACGGGTTTTTTTAGTCTTCTGCTTGGATGTGATAATAATTCATTAATAATTTTAATATGGCTAGAATCATTCCTGTATTGACACTTATCTTGGCAGTGGCAACTGCTAGAGTAGCAAAGAGTGAAAGTCCAAAGGAAGTGTTGGCATAAATCAACAAAGATTCATTTGGTAATTCTGTATTGTCAGTCCTCCAACTCTAATTGGCAACAGGAGGACCAGTCGGAGAAATCTAAATCCTTTTAAACAACATTGCCTCATAACTCAATGGAGATTAAAAGAAAGCTGACAAAGTTCACGAAAGTGACACAGTTGCCTTCGAGAAGGTATAGTTAATTATTACAATGTTAGATCATTGCTGACTTAGAATAAGAAATCGCTTATCACTAAACTTAAATTGTTGCTCTTTCAAACTTGAGAGACTCAACTACTGAGGCATTGGGAGAAGCTGAAGTTGAAGTCAGAGTAGTCACATCTGATATTGCCAATAACGAAAAGAGCTTCGCCGATGAATCAGCCACAAGACAATCATAACACGATACTTGGGTTAGAAAGGATGCAGAACACGTTGACTAAATTGATGCCATTGATGAAGCCTCAAAGATCGTTTAACACTTATAAGCAGGTGTTGCATTTGCTCAACTCAAGAGCAGATTCGAGAAAGTCTAAGCCAAATTAATGGAAAGCAAACACGCTCTTTTCAAAGTATTAAATAACTATATGAAATAGCCACTCATCAATGCTTTGACATAATTGGCCTCCAAGGTTGATAACAAGAGCATCATCAAGATCTTAGAACTCTTGGCTTAGATCAGATAATAATTGGTTGCCAGCAGAGCCTCACTCCTTGCCACAGAAGAGAAGTAAGCTGCCAACTGGGAAGTCCAAAGCGGTCACTTATAAGAAGAACACAAGAGATTAGTTGAGAGAAAGGCCTTCTTAGAAAACTCAATTGTTCAATTCAAAGTCACCATCCAAGAAGCTGTTGAAGACTTGGAAGATTAAACTGTATGATCGTGAATTAAATGTAGTTATTCCTTGAGGATGCTGAAGACTCATTGGCTATCCAAGAGAGATGGGCTGCTGAATAAGAAGCCTAATATGAAGCTTAAACCTTCGAAAGAGAATAATAATTGGAAGTCGTTGAAAGATTATAAGAAGTTCTTACTCAAAAGGTGAGTGCTGCCTCAGAATTCCTTTAAGTTAGAGAAGAGGTCTTTTGATTAATGAATTATCAGCAATATTAATATCAATACAATTTCTACATTTTAATTGTAAAATAAGCTGTTAAAACAATATTTAATTTAAATTAATGGAGAACATCCAGGTTGTAGTTAGAATTAGGCCATCAAATGGTTAAGAGAAAGACAACAATGACCTCGAAATTTGGTCTGTTAATAATCAAGACACCATCACAATTTCCAATGATAGATTTAATGATTTAGTCAGAATGCGTAAATTTGTGCCAGGACAAAGAGTAGAGTTTACCTTCAGTAATATAATCAATCGAATATTAATAGATTAATGTTTTGATCCTAAACACACCACCAAATTCATTTACTAGTAATAGATCCAAAGAATTACATTATCGTCATTGTAAGGTATAAATGGGACAGTGTTTATGTATGGTCAAACAGGAAGTGGTAAGACTTACACAATGATGGGGTACGATTAAGAAGAGGGCATTTTGAAGTAAGCACTCAAAGATCTTTTCGGAGAAATCGAAAAACAACAAGACAAACAGTTTTTCTTAAGATGCAGCTATGTCGAAATTTACACAGATTAAGTTTATGATTTGCTATCTACTCAAGAGAGATTGAGTGAAACTTTGTTAATAAATGAGGATTTCAATAGAGAATTTGTAATTAAAGGAGCTATTGAAGAAGCCGTGACTACAATAGATGAAATCATGGATATTCTTCAGTTTGGAGAAAGTAACAGACATTATGCATCCACTGTCATGAATCATTGCAGTAGTAGATCTCATACAATATTCAGACTGTATGTTAGATGTGTCCCTAATACAATTGGACCAAACTCAGTGATAACTGAATCTATTCTTAATTTTGTTGATTTGGCAGGTTCAGAAAAAATTAATATTCATGATTCAATGCTTAAAAAAAGAGGAACTTCTGCAGGAGGGAGTGGTACTCAATATAAGGATAGATAAAATGAATCCAAACACATCAATAAAAGTCTGTTCTTTTTAACTTAAGTAATATCTCTAAGGGCTTAAGGAAGAAAGTAAAAACTTTACAATATTTAGTGATCAACATATCCCATATAGAAATTCGCCTTTAACAAAGATATTGAGATCATCTTTAGGAGGTAACTCTAGAACAGCCATTATACTTTGCGTTAATCCTTGTTATAGTTAATTTGAATAAACAGTGTCTACTTTAAGGTTTGGGACAAATGCAAAGAAAATAGAAAACAATGTATCAAAGAATATAGTAGGCTTTGATAATGATGAAAGTTTGAATAGGGTGATAAAAGATTATGAGACAAAAATTGAAGAATTACAAAAAGCAAGAGTCGATGATAAGTAACAACAAGAAATGATGCTCAAAATAATAGAAAAACTTGAAGAACAAAGAAAAATATTCAAATCCTAATTCAATACTTCAGATCATATCTAAGCAATGATTAACAAGGATGTACCATATTAATGGACTCATTTACACTATCATGGAGTGGGAGTGTTATGGGTTCCTGAAAAAGGAGGCAGAGATATTGAAGTCAAATAGGATATAATTGATTCATTTGGAATGATCAAGAAATACTAAAATTTGGAAGAAGAATTCATCATATTGAAATCAGAAAAATAAACACTTGAATCCCAATTGAATGAAATCAAATAGAAACAACAGGAAGTCATCATCCAAACTAAAAAGAGATATGCAAATCAAAAGGCTAAAACTAGAAAGTATAAATAACTCAGCAAAGATCTCTAGGATGAAAGAAATAAACTATAAAAAATCGCATTGTGTTATCATAATATGATTGATGTTGATGAGATGATGTTGTTGAATAACGAAACCTTAGATCAAATGTTAGATAATATTTAAACAATGATGCAGAACATATACAAAGTCAAATTAAGAAAAGAAATGAAACTAAAAGGCGAAAATGTGGACACCTTAAAATTAAAATCTTCGAGACCTATCAAATACCCCAAATACTTATTTGACACTTCAGCCATTAATGTTTAGTTCTGGGATGTTAATGAGAATAAGAAGACTGAAGAGAGCAGTAAAAGTGAAATTGAATCCTTTCAAAGCTACTTCTAATCTCAATTAAATCAAAGTAGCCCAACATACACCGATATGCAAAGCAGTATTCAATAATTTAAAGAACCCTTCAAGCACATATGTTCTCATGAAAAAAATGGACCCAATAAGTCTGGGAAAGAGAATTTCGAACCTTCATTCAAAAAGAATCAAAGTATGGAAATAGCTGATGAATTAAATTTCCGTAGTTATTTTAGATGAAATAATTAATATTACAAAAATGTTTTCATTATTGCTATTAATCACCACGTCTTATGCTACAGATAAAAATTGTTTATGGCACGATTCCTATGGATACACATACGACATCTCAAAACTTCACAACATCAATAACTATCAAGTGCCTGACACTGACACAAGTAACTTATTCTAAATAAAAGTATAAAGGCATGGGAATGTTTAACATGGTTTATGAATTTAATTTTTGCACTGGAGCAGTCAGATGTTAAGGTAGAGAAGTGGCTGCATTCGAAGCACTAGAAGTAATGGGCAAAGTAACAGAAAACTGTGATGTATTTATTATTCATATATTTAAGGTTTTGGGATTGAAAGAAACACAAGAATTTGGGTATGTTAATCCAGTTTATCCTGAATTAGGAATTTCAGTCACTTACAAATAAGGTTATTTTTTAAATTAATTATAAGGCGATATGTGTTTTGATGTTAAAGATGATGGAGGATTACAAAAAATAATTGCTGATAATGAACAAATGCAAATGAGTCCAAGATCAGTTACTTTCGAAGTCACATGTGGAAAAGATGAGCCCAATTTTAGAGTTATTGATTCTAGTAAATGCAATATTAGGTTGGGTATTTAGCATTCAGCTGGTTGTCGATCTGGATCATCCCCTAGTAAATATTACACTTATCAAAGGTGGTGGCAGTCAAACATTGCTTTTATATTTCATTCTAGCAGCCGGTCTCTACTTTGGAGGTGGAATAGCTTACAATAAAAAACAATACTAGCTCAGTGGAGTAGATGCATTGCCTCACTCTCATTTTTGGAGAGACTTTCCACATTTGGTTAAGGATGGAATTAATTTCACTGTTATCAAAGTTTTTGGAATGATCAAAAAGTTTAGAGGGCTTTAAAGCGAAGGAGGATATGCTGTTATATGATGTAATTTTAGTAATATAAAATGTATTTGTTTTTTGTAAACAAATTTCATGTTTTTGCTGGTTATTAACATATTATAATATTATTTTTGACTATTTTAAGTAATTAAGTTAAGGTAGTCCAATCTCATATGGTTAATAGCTTGAACTATTTATTTGTATAAATAAATAATTCTGCTAATTCCAAAAGTATTTATAAAAATTTAAATAAGCATCTTAATATTGTTACTACTAGTAGCTAGTAGCTAGCTTACTGATTTAAAATTGTGAGTGTTGTTTTAGGAATGACTTCCATATTAAATTATAAACATACTTTTAACTTCTAAATAAGGAAATAACTAAAATATGATAAAGAATATTGCTTAAATCTAAATAATAACGTTAATCTAATAAACCAATTTTACTTTATCAAAGTCTACCTTTGAAATCTAAAAAAAAAAAGTTAATTTTATTTGTAAATCTAAATTAGAAATCAAAGTTTCATTTTATGATTATAATGAATTAAATAGATTTTAACTAATTCTTCATTGATAGCTTAAATATTTTTTGTTAAATAGCTTACTAATAAAAGTTTAATGATATTCTTAATTAGCAGCAATTCACATTCTGTTTTATAATAACATTCCTTTTTAAAAACAAGTAACTTTAAAATAACACTCAAATAAATATAATAACACTCCAACTCCATCATTCAAGCACAAAATTCACATGTTTCTGAACAAAATCTTAATTTTAGTTATTAACCTTAAACCTTAGTAGTAATATAATTGAAATTATTTATAAATTGTGATATTTATTTAAAAATACTTAAAATTATTTGATTAGATTCAAAATTAAGATATATCATAAAGTAATAATTGTTATTAAGAATTACTCGAAGATCAATTAATCTAATTTCGAAAACAAATGAAACTATCATTTTCTTATAATTTCTCTTTCTATCTTTGAGTTTATAAGTTATAATTCTGAAATTTAGTATTATTTTACTCAAATGTTAACTTATGAGAAAATCTAGTGAGTTTAAATACAACTTTAGATTAATTATAACCTAGCTGAGAAACTATTTCAATAAATAATTCGAAATTTCCAATTCAATTATAAACTATTTTATAGAATGCTTATATATTTAATTAAAGGAAGATTAAGAAAATAAGAAAGAAAGTAAGTTAAGTTTAGTAATTATTATATTTTGTTGTTGAAAGTACTAAATAGCAGATCGAACATTTATTATATTTTTTAATTTTATTTATTGATATTTCAAGGCTAGCATTTTGAAAATGTAAAATTTTCATTCTTGATTCTCAAATATTTTTAGATTTAATAAATTCGTGTAATCTTAGATAATTAAATCATATAATAATACAATCATAGACTGAATTATAATGATTAATATAATATATTGTAATTACTTAAACAATATAGAATTGAAAGCCGAGTTAATTATCAAAATGACAATACAAATTAGATGAATAATCAAATTTCAGAGGGGTATTATTCAAATTGAATAACTTGTAGTCCTCCAAATTGAGGTACACATGATTTTCTCCTCTGTTTTGGACTTTTTGGACTACAGTGTAATTATTATTAAGACTATGGATCTTATGATTACATATCAACCATGATAGGGCCTTTATCTCCTCTATAATTCGAGAAAATCCATTGATCAATAATTTCTACAGAAAGGCTACTGATAACCTAAGCAATTAAATAAAAAAATAAAGCAACTGAAAATCCTGCTAATAATGTTATTACAGCTACAACTCCAAAATTGTGAAAACCAACTAGAACCGCCAATATCGAGGCTCCAGTTATTTAGAGTAAAATCAAAAAGAATATGATTAACCAGCAAACCTTTTAGTGCTTTGGAATATCTTTAAAAATAGAAAATTAAACTTTATCCTAAATTATTAGCTTCATATTAATTTTCTAAGAGCAAACTTCGCAACTAATCTTTTCATTAAAATATAATCATGGTTACATCCTTTTTAAGAACTTTTTCAACAATATTTTTTGTTAAAATCCAACTTTTAAAGCATTCTTCGTGTACAAATTAAGATGACCCCTTACATTTACAAGGATAGATAAATCTTGAGGTTTCCTCTTCCATCATACAAATTCTACAAATTCCTTTGTTTCTTAAATTTTTTACTTCCTTTTTTAGACATTTCTAATTCAGTTGCATTCATTTTATACTCATATATGTTGCACCATACAGGTTTTTTTCTTTCGTTATCCTACAATTAGACTTTAAGGAGAATATGTTACTTTTAGATAGTGAATATTTTTAATTTATTTTTTATATTTTTCCTTTCTTGGAGAAGAATTAAAACCCTATTTGCAATTAGTTAGGCATTCCTGAGGGATTAATTATTGTGATTAATTTAGTCTATTAAATTTTTATGGAGATGACGAACCAACTATTCCAAAATCAGATTTATTCATACACCTATAATATTTTTTAAATTTTGAATAGTAACTTTTATCTTAATTATTATTGATTTGCCATCTTATTATTTTAATGGAAAGTGGAATTTTGTGCATACAAACAATTAATATTCAACAAATACTAACATTTTGTAATTTCTATTATTCTATAATGTAACAATTAACCATAATCATATTTTATATAATTTCGATATTATCCATTTCTATTAATTTATATTTTGTTGTTTTTATGAACAACCAAAAATCTCATCTTTATAAAAATTTATAGAAACAATTTCTTTTTTTCATTTTTGATAAAGAATTTATTCATTTAATGGGTATTTATGCATAAACACTCAATAAGAATTTCATGTTTATTCAAAAGTAAAGAAGTAATAGTTAATTTTTTTGATTTGTTAAGAAAAGGGGCAATTCTTGAAACTTATTAGGGAGTTTATAATTATCTTAATAAAAAGGAAGATGATGAGCTTATAAAATAACATTCTATTAAAATTAATAATTATTATGAGAATAATTTTAAATAATTGATTATTTTTAAATTAATTATTTCAATCATATTATTGTAGTGACTTCTCAAATTGGAAAGCTCCTCTTCTGTTTAATCACAGAAGAGAAGTATTTGAAAATTCCATTTGTCTTACAAAAAGGAGATATATGTAGCTCTTTGAATAAAAATAACGAAACAATTATAAATCATATAAATGAATGATATGAAATTAAATGTAGGTTTACAAATAAGCTCTTTAAGTTTGGAATTGTAACCAATCACTTGAAAAGTTGTAAAAATATACATAATTATTTGGCAATTCAATAGTAATTTTACAAATTTCTTAGTCAATTGTTAATCCATTATGTAATCAAAATGATTTCTTAATCCTTCTATTTTGGATTAATTTGGTAAGTTATTCTATAATAAATAATATAAGAATTATAATTGCAATCTTAGTTTCCTTATTTTCTATTTCAAAAAATTTACCCTACCGAACTAATTTTTTTATGGCCTTCTATTTTTTCATCTAGGTATATAAAAACAAGTTTCCAAATGCAAATAAAAATTTGATTAAAAACGAATTACATTTGATTCACCCTGAATGATGTAAAAATTCACAAATTTTCTGAGAACTATGTATGTCAAACTACATGTTCGTAAAATTAATTGAAATTTCAAATAGACATCACAGTTTAGTATTTTACTCTAATATTATTGGGACTTTTGTTACAATTATTTTCCTCTTTTCAAATGTTAATTTATAAATAATACAAATAACTGTTTCACTCTATGACTTGTTCCCTCAACTAATTTTAGAAGAAAGACTAGTTGATAAGCCATTATCAGGTAAATGGAAATTAATTTTGACTAATTCTATATACATTTTAAATCTGAGATCTCTTTAAATATATGAAACCACATAAAACTTTAATAATTGCAATCCTTTCTTTGATTATTATTAATATGCCGGACTTATCTCTTCTTCCTCAGTGCAAAAAAAGAATTTTATGGACGGACAAGGTAAGAAATATTTGTATGGTAGGAAGATAAACTCTTAAAGTAATTTGTAAGTAAATACTAAAATGAAAAGCTTGGCTGGAAAAAGATTTCACAAGCTCTTCGAAAATAAGGCTATGACAGAAATACAAAAGCTTGTAGAGAGAGATTTTTTAATTATCTTGACAATTCTTACAATAAAAGTGAGTTGTCATAATTTGAACTTGATAAGCTTTTTGATCTCATAAAAATACACGGAAATAAGTGGGTATAAATATTGAATGACTAAAGACTTGTATTGCTAAAGAACTCAATCATCGAACGGACCAAGATATCAAGAATAAATTTTATGCACATGTTAAAAAAGTGTTTAGGCGATTATTAAAAGCCTCATATAAAACAAATGAAAGTAAGCATATTTAGAGTTTTTCGAGGTTCATTAATTACAGCTAAGTTACAACCCCTATTGATTTCTAGTATATTTTGCTGTGATAATGAGAATGATAGTAAACAAATCGATATTAAAGATGATATGAAAGAGCTCTTTAAAAGTTTGATCAGGGAAAATAAGTCAATTAAGCAAGGAGAAAAGATAAATGAAGAAACCAGAGAAAAAGTGAAATAAATTTCATTATATTTGGATAAAGAAAAGTATGTTGAATAATACTAATTATAGTTAATAATATCTGTAAAATAAAATTACAAGAAAAGCGAATAAATTAAAAGCAAAAACTAAACAAACTAGCTAAAAAATCAAAAATAATTATAGTGAGTTACAACAATAGATAATTCTAGAGAAGATTCAAAACAAAGAAACCATTTTTGCCTCTACAAAAAAGATGCTTGATCCTCCTTCCTTAGATTTTGATACAAAATTTTAGAACGCCTATTACTATATACAACAATCTAAAGTCTCAGATAATGAATAACAACATTAAATTGTATCCCACACTCCTTTTTATTGCCAACAGTCCTCCATTAAAATCGATTCATTTTGTGTAAATTATACTTTAAATTTTAGTCACCTGAATTTTTTTAAGTGCAAATTCACTCTGATTCCTTTAATTATCCCACCATTTGGAACGCTTGAGAGTATAAATTTATATTTTATAATTGAAGATGCTTATAGACATTCGAAAAATATTGGTTTCTATATATTGTATTTTTTTGAAACGCAGAAATAAATTTTTTTAATTTTTATCATCATCCTTTTATTAGAAACCTGACCATCAAAGACTAAGTATTGTCTAATCTGCTAGAATAAAGACAATAAGAAGATTGAAAATGGATCATGGAATTCTAAAGTTAAACAGGACTTTGTACTCCAGAATTAATCAGTATAAATATTATTTATTAAAAAATTAATTTATGGAAAATTATAGATATAGATAAGGGTGGCTTAAACGAATCACGATATTCCTTTGTCTTTAGGTTAGCATAAAAATGAAAGAAGGAAAATAGAAATACGACTAAAAGTTTTTATCCCAATGTAAATTAGTATGTAAAGGCATTAATCAGTAATATTAGATGAGTAATCTATATTAATATCAAACGAAAATAAAGAATATATTTGTGCTAGAAAATTTATAATAGAAATTATTACCAATATTATTTCTGTCTTTATAGAAAAATTAAACATAAAATTAAATATGTTACCAAATGGATTACATTCTAATAACACATAAATTTGTTTATAAATTTTGCAAAAATAGTAAACTAATTAATAAATTAATTAATAAATTATTAATTTATGAATACTAAAACAGCATAATTTCAGATCAAATAGATAAAACTTCAATTATAATATTCTAGATATTATTCTTTTTTCTTCTTTATTCTTTATCTCCCTTATTTTTTATTGAGTAACATTATTTAGACAATTTGATGAATAGTAGAGGGTATTGCAATTTGATATAATAATTTTATATAATGATTTTCATTATAGAAAGACTTTAGTACCAATTTCTAAGTTTTTGTTAACTTCAAAAATTGTTGAAATTATTCTGCATACTTCTTATTGGAATTCTAATTAGGATACGCTCATCAATTGAGCAGATTTTATACTAAAGAAAGACGGTTTCTAATTTCATAAACATTTAGATATCATCTTAAATAGTTATATCTATTCTTTTTCAATTGTGAAGTCTCTTTCTTATATCTTTGATTATAGTTTAGATTCCTTAACTATAATTCCATTTAACAATTATTTTCTTTGACTTAAGTAATGAAGGAATTTAGAATAATGAATGTAATAATTTGTAAAACACCTTAGAAATTTAATCAATTATAAAAAAAATTGAAAGAACGTTTTTCTGTCATACCCATTGATGGACTTTTGACAGAATTGAAACTTTTTTCACTTGGAATGAAACTAGGATGAACAGTTAATTGATGAGGATTCTTTTTCTAAGATAAACCTCTGCTTGATTCAAAACTATAAGATGATTGTCTTTCTTTAGATAATGTTGGTTATCTTTCTTTGGAATGAGTGGTAGTGTGTCGTTCATTTTTTGTGAGAATTCTCTCAACTTTAAAAAACTAAGGTTCTCTCTGTTTGGTTTAAGCATTAGTGGTAGTAAAATAATTGGGTTTGGGTATGACAGCCTAAATTAGGAATATAAATACTTTAGTGTTATTTTATTTGGAATTGTTTTTAAGATGAGAGAAATCAAAATAGAATTGTTGTTTAATTTAACTAGTAGGTGTGATGTAAGACATATTTTTGGTGATTGTATTGAGATCCTCTATTAAATCATCAGGCAATTTATGTTTCTTTTTGAGTTCTTCTGGTTCCAAATTTTATTGATATTTTTTAAACCAAGGATAGTTGAGCAATTCCACAACAGTTGGTCTTTCGTCTGGATCAATTGTCAACATCCCATACAATAATGCAATAGCTTCCTTGGATATATCATGGACGATGATAAACTCACCTGATTAGATTCTAGTATACAATTCTGAATCAGTGTCTCCTTTAAATGGAAACACTCCTTAGAGCATAGTGAATAGCACTACTCCTAATGCCCAGACATCTGATTTGTCTCCTCTGTATTCTTATCTTGTAACTATTTCTGGTGCCATGTAACTGGGAGTGCCACAAAACATTTTGACCTTCTTATCAATTGGAAAAGATGTTGAAAATCCGAAATCTATCAATTTAGGAGTGAGTCCTTCTAGCAGGATATTTTCTAATTTAATGTCTCTATGAGCAATGTTCTTGGAGTGACAATATTGTATTGCATCTAGAATTTATTTGAATATTCCTTTGGCTATGTCTTCTTCCAACCTTCGTTCCTAGAGATTAGAATAAATGTATACCGGCTGTTTCCTAACCAAATGGTGTAATGAACTACCGCTAACGTATTCCAATATTATATTCACATGATTATTTGATTCCACAGTGTCTAGAATCTTCACTATATTCGGGTGATCCAGCTTCTCTAAAATCTCAATTTCCCTTCTCACTCCTTTCCTTCTCTACAAGTCTTTGATCTTGGTTTTTTCATATATTTTAATGGCCACCTTGGTGTCACTCTCTATTTGGATTGCGACTCTCACTGAAGCATATGCGCCTTAACCAATGCGACTGCCCACCTTATATTATGCCTTGAATTGCTCAGTTTTATTGGTATCATCATCAGGTTGATTGATTAGAAACTTTACTCTATCACAAATGTTCTGTTGTTTGAAATCAAATTTGAAGTATTCAACATTGTCTCGCTTCTCTACTTTACAAAATTTCGATTGTAGAATTTGACTAATAGCATCGAGATTCCTCAGTTGCTAATTCTTTAAGTTCATCAGTAATTCCTATTGCAAGGGTGCTCGGTACTTGAGAGCATATTGATTCCCTACACATTTCTCATTCTCCTTTTAATTTAAACTATTAGCGGCTGCTCTATGCTTCATTGCAATTTAAAATAATTAACAGTCTCATTATAATTAAATATTGTAAATAACTATTCTTTCATTTTGCAGTTCTACTACAATCGCATTTCATATGCAATATGTACACACTCCTATTTCCAAAACTATAATCCTTCCATCACGCTCTCCATCCCTTAAAAAGAATCTTTAATTACTATAGGATCTGCTCAGTTGAATGATGTATTACAAATATGTATCTAAAAACTTAACACCTAAATAAAAAACATTTGTAAAATAATAAATCAAGTTTAACATATCTATACTATAATGAAATAATTAAATATTATTAAATAAAAACTAGAACCATTAAATTTACCTGTTCATCATTAGTAGCAACATCAATATTCACTTTAAATAAGAAAACCCGCCTTTAGTTTATATGAGCAAACTACTTCCAGACAGAGTCACTAAAGAAAAAAGTAGAAGCAAGTAAATGTTACTTAAAATTCACCTCCCAAATATTAAGAAGAACAGACTTTGATTGATAAATACGGATTAGATGATAGATTTGAATACACTCTTAGAATGTCAGTCAGAACCAAACAAGGGATGATGATTGGAAATCCCACCAAATAAAATCAAGACTCATATATTCTACTGTCCAACATCTCCAACAAAACATACATGCATTATTTCTTAGTCTTTGATGGACATGGAGCCAATGGACATCTTGTGTCCAATTTCCTTAAGCGATAATTTCAACTCTACACTACTCAATATTCATCATTATTAGAAAATAAGTATATAGATATTTCTTATTAGTCCTTAATTTGCCATATCGACTATATTCACTCATGTGTCTCAGGCCTTGAATCTATCAGGAATCGACTTGAAGTACTCTGGATCTACAGTCATAGGACTCTTTATGTTGCACAACAAAGTATATGGTCTAAATTAACCCAGATTTATTGTTCGAATTTGGGGGATTCCAGAGCAATCATGATGAGTCGAACCAATAGATGGCTGCTCAAATATTTATCCAGAGATCACAAACCCTAATGTGCAGATGAGGCCTAAAGAATAATAAATTATGGGGGCAGGATTGATTCTTATAGAGATCCAAAAGGCTTACCATACGGTCCCCTGAGAGTTTGGAATAACGCAAATGTACCTGGACTGGCCATGACCCGATCTATGGGGGATTAAGTGGCCAAGAAAGTCGGAGTGATTGACAAGCCAGAGATTTTTAATTTTACTATGGATATTATGGATAGGGCCTTGTTGATTGGATCCGACGGTCTTTTTGAGTTTCTGACTTAGTAAGACATATTGGATGCTGTAACTCCACACTTAAGCAATATTGAGATGGCCTGCAATCATCTTTTGGAGATGGCTCATATAAGTTGGTTATAGAGAGGGTCCAAAATGATAGATGATATAACTTTTATTTTAATTTTTTTGTAATATTGATAAGAAATGTTGTTAAATTTGTCTTATTTCAGTTTGGCAAACTTGCCATAGTTGGGTCTCAACAATAATGGAATTCCAGAATTTAGATGGTATAATTAATTGATTTTGAAATTTCCAGGCATTGAGTATAATTCGGATGATATTTAAACTGATTATTAATTAAAATTATGAACAATTTGGGCATATAAAATAATCGATTTCATCAAAAGGCTGTTGAGAATAGAATGAAGTCTGAGTGCAACGAGTTCTACATGTCGAATAGTCTAGCGAGGAAACACAAGAATGAATACTACGAAGATTGGTTGAAACAAAGAGAGAAAGAATCCAACGCATCTACAGAAACATGTTTGGACATCATTACTCCTCATCTACCTTAAGCCAAGATTCCCAATGCTTTTAAAGTTAAGTTGATCAATGATATTTTAAATAATCAAAGGAACTCATTGAATTATTGATTAATAATATACCTCATAGATAAAATCATTTAATTAAATACATATTTTCACATTAATTATTGAACCTGTATCATTAAATCCTTCCTCATGAAATATTAAATAAATTATACTATATCTTATAACTATTTAAGTTCCAATATAATTACTCATATAAACTTTGAAATAATTATTTTTCAAATGATGTAAACACAAGGATTCACTTTTAAAAAACGAAAAAGTCATCCTGAATAAGAATTCAGTAACACTCGTCTCAAAACCTAAGAAAATCATGCAACCAAAAAACTCCAAAGAAAATAATCACGATCCCAAGAAGATTTGGCAGTATTTTTAGGTATTGTTCATCTTTTATGGATTATAGATGATGAATATAGTCTGGACGATGGAATAAGCTAAATTGAATGCAATTTTAATACCATGACTAGTCTGAATTATCAATAAATGCCTTCTCTGTTATCTATCTACACATCTGAAAGCAATTTGAGTATAGAAGAAGAATTTGAGATTTGGGATGACAAGTAAGATTTAAGAGTCTTGAAAATAATTCTGGAAGATCAGTTATCATCAACTCAATAATTTTTATTGTTGTACAAAGCAAGATTTGGGTATGTTTGATAATTATGAGAAGAGGATTTCCTGGACAGTAATAATGTATAAAAAATGAGGAAGTGATAAAGACTGCTGTTAATTTTGCATCTAGTAGCAAACAACAATTTAAGAAATATTTTCCATCTAAGAAGATAGTTTTTGAAGATGATATCGATTACTCTGTGCCTTATAAAATAGAAGATGATCATCATTTTCAATCTTTCAATCACTTTTTTAAGTTTTAAAAGACCAAAACATTGATTGACTTTTGAATGTTGATTTTAATATACTTATGTATTTCATACTTTATCAATTAAACTTTAAATCTATTCAGGGGTTCTCTATGTAAATCTTTTTTCAACAGTGGTAATAACAGCCAATTCTACATTTTTATTATTAATCTAAGATGAATATTATGTATGTATGTTACTTTTTCTTCCATGACATTCTTCAAACACAAAATTGCTAGTCTTTCAGCTTATTCTAAAGTTAAGTCCTTGCATACTTTTATAGTATTACTTATTTGTATTGTTCCTTCAAAATACTTTGAATGCCTTCATCAGCAGCACCTATTCCTTTGGCTTGATATTCAATCATAGTTCCAGTGGGATCTTTTGAGTCGATAAAGTACATTACCTGTCTAATAAATCTAAGGTCCTTAATCGGAAACTCCCGCAATCAATAAAGCCACTCCATATGGTCTGGACATTCTTGTCTTGTTTTTGGAATCACTTTCTCCAAAATCAAGGGCAAGATCACAAACTATCTAGGTGAGTGCTCTCACATTAATGGGTTCACCATAATTGAATTTGTGATTTTGAGATTCCACTCTTGCATGTTCAACCAATGTTCTTGCATCTGGAATGAATCCAGAGGCAGTGCATGCCAGATGAGTATCAATCTCATAGATTTTTTCTATGCTCTTTGGTTCTAGGAGTGTTGAATTTAACTTTCTCTCTCCAGCCAAAACTACACCCTCATTCACTTTAATTGCCAATGCACTTGCACCCAATTTGATTGCTTGTAAGGCATACTCCACTTAAAACAGACGACCTTCTGGAGAGAATGTGTTGACACCTCTGTCATAATCAGTTCTATTAGATATTCCAACATATAGTACTTATTTTAAAACATTAATCCCAATCTGAATTATTTATTTTAATAATAATAATCATTATTTTGGCAATACATATGTATGTCCTGTCATAAAAATTTAGTTTCCACTACTAGGATCAATCTGCACCTATTCCAATTATTAATACAGAGGTCTTGGATCATTCTGTAAATCTACAATAATATTTAAATAGATTACTTCTTCTCAGATCTACATCTGGAGTCTAGAGTCCACTGATAGATCTACCAGGAAGACGAGTCTCTGAATCTCCAAATTGATATGATGAATTATCGAATTGTTATTCTTATCTCTATTGAGCTTCCGGTTCTTCCTCCTCTTCCTATTCTACTTCAGCTTCATCCTCCACTTCTTCTATCTTTCCCCATAATGATTTATCCACAGGAGCATCAGCCTACAATCCTGTTTTTTAGGATAATTCATTTAGATCCTCTTCATCATAATATTTGAATGTGGCATACAGTCCTGGTTAGTCTGCCTTTTTGCATGAGTCCTCGATCACTTATTTAACTGAAGTATGATATGAGGAAGGTTCAGCAAAGATACTAGCCATTCCTATAAACCTCATATGAGGATAACTTGGTGGTGGTCCATATCTTTACATATTAGGTAACCAAGGAGGTGCTTAGAAATCAGTACAGCCTAATGCACTTCTCAATTCAGCACTCATCTTTCCAGGACAAAAGTTCTTTGCTCTCATTTCCTCTTCTTTACCTTCAAAATAGATTTCACCATGTTTTGTCATTTAAGGTTTTGTTTAGTACTTGAAGAAGGCATCATGTAATATTTAATAATCGATATCTAATTTGCCTTGTTTTGGATTCATTCTTTCTCTCAATTTCTATCTCACCATCTTACCTCCGTCTCTGTCTACAAATGGATCTCTTAACTTAGCAATTCCTGTCTTCTCTATATAATCTGGTAATTGAAATGGTTCTTTTAATATTCCTCTTTTGTTTTACAAATATTTTCTCTTCTATGACCAATGTCTAGGAACAGTCACTGAATTACGTACACTCTTCAATTAAATTAGAAACATCGGATCTGGAGATGTGATATCCCAAAATTCAACTAGATCTGGTCTCTTTACTTTCTACTTCAATTCAGCTACTTTCAACCATCTTAATTATTTTCTTTATTTCTTTGATAATTTGGCTTCTTTCTTTTTCCCCTATTATAAATAATTTTGAATTGTCTGATTTGGTTCATTAATTAATTATTGAATTTATTATTGTTATTATTATTACTGCTATTCTGCTGCCTACTATTCTTCCTATTCCTTTTCCTTCTCCTTCTCAGCCTCATAGACCTTCTCATAAGTCTTCATCATCAATCTTTCGGCATGTTGATTGAAATTATCAAAAACCTGTTTAAAATTGTCATAATGTTTTCCTGTTATTAGAGCGTCGATCTACACTATTCAATCTGATATATACTTCTATCTCTTGAAAGGTCTCCTCATCATAAACAACCTGCTCCTCATCGGCTTTGACTACCTCCTCTATAATTTCTTACTTTTCATTAGTGCATTTCTTTTTGCTCTTGTTGTTCTTTCTTCTCTCCGCTCTCTTGAATTTCTCATACTCCTCCTTTGATAACTTGCTCTTGGGTACTTCTGCCTTCATTAATAAATTAATTAATATATTAAATCAATGATAAGAATATAACAAAATAATAAATAATAATTCCTATCAACAATTATACACATATAATTTATTAGTCGATCCTCCAAATAGTATTTTATTATCTATCCATGTACAAGCCATTGCTTTACCTTCTCCATTCAATTAATACAATGGTACCTCTCCTCTTAGATCCCATAAGTAAGTATTTCCATCCATAGAACTCTAAAATTGATTTTATACAATACAATACCACTATGATTTATCCATTGGCATTAACAGCAATGCATGTCAATTAAGACAATGAGCTCTTATATATTTTAATTAATTGTTCACTCAAACTATCCCACAATTTAATATATCCATCCTCATGAACTGATACAATTTATTAATTGTTCTCTAAGTAGCATAATCCAATTATTGCTGAATCCTTGGCAAACAATTATTTGTTTATTGATTCTGTTCTCTTATTAAATAGGCAAATTGAGTGATCATATGATCCAGTCAGAATAGTGCTATTTCTAATCCATTGACAACAAGTTATCTGTTATTAATGCACTTTAAAGTTCTAAACCATTTCAATCCCCTACTTTTATACTGTACTAAGATCAAAGAATATGAGTTCTCCATTGGCTGTACCAACACAAAATTCATTTGTGTTCTTCTTATTGATACAACTGCATTCTCCATATGATGGTAAAGAACCTTATGCAATCAACTCCAAATTGTCTGTCAGTCTTTAAACTCTGACAGTGCAATCCCAATGGGTAGAAATTACGATATTTTCAAAAATAGTAAAACTCTTTGCCATTTTAGTTTTGTATGTCTTCAAAATTTTGCCTTTTTCAGTACAAACCACAATATCTCCATTAGATAAACATGTTAGGATATGATTATTTAATCTACTTATTGCAATGATCCAATCGTTCATATTTATTGTTTGCTTAAGTTTAGGTTCTGGGACAGCGAATAGATATTCTATTTACAATGTTTTTTCAGTTGCAATTTCATTTGATGTAATGAATTCATGTAGAGTGGATCTCAAACTGATTCCATTAATAAAGAAATCGAATAATTAATTATATTCTTAATCAGGGTTTTCAGCTGACAGTAATTATTAAATAAGGGAACTGAGATCACTTTAATTCATATCTCCTTGAACAGCTATTTCATTGTTGCTAATCTCATATTCTTAAGGCAAGCTTGTGACAAATTTTACTATATATTCACTATTGTTCATTAATAAAATATTTAATACTATTTTTTATATAAATTTCTTTTGTATTTTTCTATCAAGATTAAATGGACTACAGCTGTTTATCTAATTTGACTAAACAATTCTTCCTTTAGCTTTTGATAATAACTAAGATTACAAAAAGAATAACCTTAATCTCTATTTAATTCAATTCTGCATTAACAATTACAATAAGTGAAGTGAAGTTCATAAAATAATTTAAAAATAATTATGATTTCAATTTCAAGTCATTTGTGATCAAAATAATAATGAAAATTAGATTTGCCCTCAGATATTATTAAATCATTTAATTTTGAAATTTCAATACAATGTAAATTCAAATAAATTTAATTCCTTAAACCCAAAATTAATAGTTATGATGATGAATATATCACATATATTGGTGTGAATCTGATAGAATAACATATATATTAAATAAATTACTGATATTCATGGGATAATTAAAATATAATTAAAGATTAAGAAGATATAAATTAAACAGTAAAAATTAAAATAGTTTAAATATATTTAAATTTAATTAATAACACGTTAAAATGTAATTTGATTTATTTCTCACAATAAACTCAAATTTATGAAGGTAAACTTAAAATTTGGAACTTGTTTTACATGTTGTCTGAATGTGCTTCTAGTTGTAATTATCTGATTTATATGATTATTTACTTTTTTATTAATTAAATGATAAACTGTCAATAAAATCAACGATAAAATTTTTCATATGTTGTATGTAGATATAATAAAGAACAGAGATCAACATCAGTGAAAGTTGAAAGATTGAAATAAATAAATGTACTCAACGAAATAAAGCAAGATTATTATAAAGGACTGTAATTGGGTAGAATGCGTGAAAATGCAATGAGAATTATTCACATGAAATTAGAAAAGAATAGATTAAGAAAGAAATCACTTGAAACCAAGACAGAAGTGGAGGAGGAACACTTTCCGTAAGTTAATTAGGTTTCGAAACCTCCTTTGCCTTATAGATCGATTCTTGTCAATAAGGAAAATACAATTCAAATGCCTAGTATATTATAGAAGTAAATGGGAGTGGCAAAGTAAATCTAGACAAAAGTGAGGAGATTATCTTAAAGAATAAGAATGAAAAATAGTGAGCCTACCATAGAATTTAGTCCTTGGGAGAACTATGAAAATTAGGAATTTGATTTTATTTGATTTTCTTATGATTTTAATTAAATAAATGTAATAATAATATTCTAATAGTACATTATCGGATTTCAATATACTTAAAAAATTGGGAGAAGGACCTTATTCATCTGTTTTCAAAGTATGATTTAAGTTTGATTTCCTTAGGTTTAAAGAAAATCAGATGGGTAATACTATGCTATGAAGAGAGTCAATATACATTAACATAGTCTGAAAGAGAAAGAAAATGCTTTGAATAAAATCAGAACATTAGCTTCTCTTGATTCTCCTTATATAGTTGAATTTAAGGATGCCTTTATAGATCAAGATGGTAGAATTCTTTATATATTAATGGAGTTTGCATCGGGCGGAGACTTAAATCAGATATTAACTTAAGGTAAATAAGAGGGAGGGATTTAAGAGAGCGAAATTTGGAAAATACTAATCTAGATTATTCTCGGAGTGAAAGTATTGCATGACAATCAAATCTTGCATCAAGATCTTAAATCAGAAAACGTGTTTGTATTCAAGATTCTTAAAGAAAACCATTATAAAATAGGAGATTTCAATATTGGTAAAGTAACTAGAAAGGAAAATGCAGAGACAGGATCTCCGTGTATTGATATCATTTTATAATAATTTATGTTTCTCCTGAACAATGGAAAGGTGAACAATACTCATATCCATGTGATATTTGGTTAATTGGTTGCATAATCTATGACCTGGCAGCATTTCAACTTCCCTTTAGAGCCAATGATATATTGTCCTTATACAAAAAGATATAGGTTGGTAAGTATGATCCGATTCCATCCAAATATAGTGAGGATCTAAAACTAATTTTAAAAATGCTCTTACAAGTAGATCCAAAGAATAGACCAAATTGTGATTAAATTCTCAAAGATCCAAAGGTCCTAAAGAATAGCGGATCATTGCTAGTTGAAATTGAGTAGAATTTAGGAAAATTAAATTATAATTTACCAAAGCCCAATCATGAAAAAGCAATCAAAAAATTACACTCAAAATAAGGACTTAATGTTGAGACTGAAAATCCGATATCTTTGTAACCTCTAATTAATTTAGAATAATAATAATAGTAATAACAATTAAGAAAAAAATTGGTCATTACTTCCTCAAAAGAAGCTCGATTGAAAAATAAGCCTTCATTTGCTAAACCACAAATTGCCTAAGTTCATCAATTTAATACCATCATATTCTTAGTTTAATTTTATCTTCTTTATACTCAATTAGAATCTGATTAAATTACTTACTATGGATAAATATTACATTTAATATTAATTAGAAGTATTTCCAATCTTTCTTGTTTGATATCAGAACTATATTATCACTTAAATATTAATATTTTATTAAATATAAATCTATTTATATATGTGTCATAATCTAAACTAAATAAGGCTCATTTCAATGCATTTGTAATTGCTTAAGCTAATTTCACAAGTTCACTAACATAACTAGATATTGATTAGATCTCTTTACTTTGCTTGGAGTGAATTTCTGTTTGAATAGGATGATTCGATCTTATTTCTTAAAGATACAATTTCATTCAATTATATATTCTCAACTAATGATCTTTTTTATTAGGTTCTGTAATTTAATTCAACAGGTTAGTAAATTATTGATTGTTGTCTATAACTTTGTATGTTGTTTCTAAATCCCATTGAACTAAGAGTCATTAATTTAATACCTCATTGTTTTCTAAGGAGACTACTCGTCATATTTTTTGGTTGATGTTATTTTAGATTGAAGAGAGGAGGTTGATTAAAGTCTTGTGTATGAGAAATCCCTTATTCTAGCTTATAAGTTGTCGAATGAAGGAACAGTAGGCAAGTTTTCTTTTCTGCCATAGATTATTGTTTTACCTAAACGAATTAAATTGCTTGGATCCAGAGTTATTATTGTATTGAAAAGGTGGTACTAATTTATCTTTGACTTGATTCCGTATGGTTTTGATATCAAAATTAATATCAAGTGGTCTTTTGGGTTTTTCTAACCAAGACTTTGACATAATTTATATTAACGAAATATATTTATTTATTTAAATTACATATCAAGTCCAAAAATATTGACTTTTTGAGTATATTCCAAAAAGTGGCAAATTATCATGCCTTCAATTACTAATTAAGAGATTCATGTGATTATAATTTAATTATAAAATATATAATTATAATCTCGCGGCTTTATATTATTAATATTAGGTATATGTTAAGAATTATAATAAATATGGGTATATTTAAGAATAATTTACATAAATTTATGATTTGAATTTGATTGTGATATTCAGTTTATTAATTTTATATAATTGTTTGCATAAGCCAACTTCAATTGAAGCAATTTGCTTGTAATGTTTATTGNAATAAGGACTTAATGTTGAGACTGAAAATCCGATATCTTTGTAACCTCTAATTAATTTAGAATAATAATAATAGTAATAACAATTAAGAAAAAAATTGGTCATTACTTCCTCAAAAGAAGCTCGATTGAAAAATAAGCCTTCATTTGCTAAACCACAAATTGCCTAAGTTCATCAATTTAATACCATCATATTCTTAGTTTAATTTTATCTTCTTTATACTCAATTAGAATCTGATTAAATTACTTACTATGGATAAATATTACATTTAATATTAATTAGAAGTATTTCCAATCTTTCTTGTTTGATATCAGAACTATATTATCACTTAAATATTAATATTTTATTAAATATAAATCTATTTATATATGTGTCATAATCTAAACTAAATAAGGCTCATTTCAATGCATTTGTAATTGCTTAAGCTAATTTCACAAGTTCACTAACATAACTAGATATTGATTAGATCTCTTTACTTTGCTTGGAGTGAATTTCTGTTTGAATAGGATGATTCGATCTTATTTCTTAAAGATACAATTTCATTCAATTATATATTCTCAACTAATGATCTTTTTTATTAGGTTCTGTAATTTAATTCAACAGGTTAGTAAATTATTGATTGTTGTCTATAACTTTGTATGTTGTTTCTAAATCCCATTGAACTAAGAGTCATTAATTTAATACCTCATTGTTTTCTAAGGAGACTACTCGTCATATTTTTTGGTTGATGTTATTTTAGATTGAAGAGAGGAGGTTGATTAAAGTCTTGTGTATGAGAAATCCCTTATTCTAGCTTATAAGTTGTCGAATGAAGGAACAGTAGGCAAGTTTTCTTTTCTGCCATAGATTATTGTTTTACCTAAACGAATTAAATTGCTTGGATCCAGAGTTATTATTGTATTGAAAAGGTGGTACTAATTTATCTTTGACTTGATTCCGTATGGTTTTGATATCAAAATTAATATCAAGTGGTCTTTTGGGTTTTTCTAACCAAGACTTTGACATAATTTATATTAACGAAATATATTTATTTATTTAAATTACATATCAAGTCCAAAAATATTGACTTTTTGAGTATATTCCAAAAAGTGGCAAATTATCATGCCTTCAATTACTAATTAAGAGATTCATGTGATTATAATTTAATTATAAAATATATAATTATAATCTCGCGGCTTTATATTATTAATATTAGGTATATGTTAAGAATTATAATAAATATGGGTATATTTAAGAATAATTTACATAAATTTATGATTTGAATTTGATTGTGATATTCAGTTTATTAATTTTATATAATTGTTTGCATAAGCCAACTTCAATTGAAGCAATTTGCTTGTAATGTTTATTGATTAATAATTTAAACAATCTTTAATCTAAGTGAAGGTGAAAATCACTTATATTCACAAATTAGAATTTTTAGCATAGATACTTACTTAATTCAATTATTCCTTTAAATTTGAGATCGAAATTCTGATCAAATTTTGTAAATAGACTTTAAATGAGAAATCTTATAATTTAATAATTTTTATTACAATAGAAAAATGTCGTAAGACGATTATTATAACTATATTGATATGGAAGGGTGTGGCCAACAAATCGATTTAGAATAATTAGGGCAATTTGACAGAGAACAATAAAATTGTACTTTTAATGATTATAAAAGCTTAAAATGGGCAATAGTTTATTTAAATAGTCGATCCCAATAATATTGAAGATTCAGGATTTGTGTTTCTGTTGTAAGAAGCAAGCACCTCTCAATTAGAAGAAGCTATGTTGTAAGATGTTTCCATGTTTTTCAATCGAGAGGCCAAGCTTTATAATTACCTTGCCAATTTATTTTAATTGACAGATTTAGACATGCAAGGTATATCATCATATCCAATATTTAATAGGTGCCCCTGAGTACATTAATCAATTAACTAAGCTATTGAAGATGTTCTTCTAAATTCATGAGGTGGGATAGCATTCAGAGTTTTCATACTAATTAGCATAATAATATGGTTTAAAAGATTTTAAGGGAGGATATCCTTTTGGATTCCTAATTAATAGTGATCAATCATTGATTCTTCTCTTGTTGAAGATTATTTTAAGTGAAGAAATCTTAAATAAGGAAAATGATTTCTTCTCTTAAATTAGAATGTATTTGCCAAGATATTTAATATTTTCTATAAATCCCCCCAAACCATTTGTAAATAGAACACAATTGCAATCAATGCAAAACTGTATAGTAAATAAAGTCAATAACGAACTCTTTGAATCCAATTTTGAAAGACCCTACAAACTAGATTTGTTGGCATTGTCATATTTTTCAGATCCATAATTAAATTTTCAGTTGTTCAAAGAAACAGTCGACATACTTAGATCTATCCTTGAGAGGTAACCATATCAATCCATATCTAATAGTCTTTTGGAGCAGAAGAATTCTTAATCTCATATAATTCGAGAAATCCAAAACCTGTTGCAATTTTTCTTGGCATTTACAACCAATCAGGAAATATTGATATCCTTTTTCAAAATCAATTTGCATAAGACCCTCTACAATAATCTAAGATAATGTTAGCCAATCTTCGGATGCAACAATCCCCCTCCCTGGTCCAAAGAACCTTTGATAATTGAACAAATAGTAAGTTTGATTGTGAGAATCATGAGTTCTGATCTAGTTGATCAACAATTCATTGACAGTATCCATGAGGATTTCATGGTTTATTTGAAACACTAGAAATTGGATCTCATATACAAAGTTCTCTTGCCCATATTGAATAGTGAATAAGTCAAATTGGTAGCTGTTTGTTTTCATCCCAAATTGAGTGTGGCTGAGAGTAAGGCTGAGACTGAGAAGTTCCTCTCAAATCAAACCAAAACTATGGCAGGATCCACAACATTAGTTACTGAATTGCTTACTAGAAATCAATGCGATAAAATAACTTAATTAGTGTAAGACAGTCTCAATAAAAATATCCAGAAGTAATAGAATCCAAATAAAATCCAAAATGAATAAGTATAGATGGAATTAGAGTTTAATGAGGAAGCAATGTAAGATCTATTTTAAGAGGATGTGTAATGGGAGAAACTTTAATTTGAACCACTTAATTTAGGTTTGTAAAAATAGCCGATTCCACTTCAATAAAATATTATCGTCAATGAAAATCAGAGACAAATCGGAGGTTCTTGGATTCATTTACATTCGTTTAGTGCATTCAATCCTCATTTTGACTCTTAAATTCTAACTAAAGTATTGGACAACAGAACAAATGTGTTATTCATTTTTGAAATGATGGTAGGTTAAGAGAATGTTAAACTTGCATGCTTTGTCAATCATTTAATTTAAGATGGAAGGAGATAAAACTATGTATAGGCAAGATCAAATGATTCATCCTTTTATGTAATGATGGTGTAAGATGAACATTTCTGGTATGTGAATGCATTGGATGGGAAGCCTCATGTCTTGTTAGATATTTAACAACACATGGTTCAGATCAGTCATCATAATGAACCCATAGCTTGCATAAACTTCTCAGATTTTCAGTAGAGTAAGTTTGGATTTCCATTTAAAAAGTTGTAAGAGAAGACACTCTTGATGGATCAAATCAATGCTGCTTTGTAGGGCTTAGAGTGTTATTTGTTATAGATAGCAATACACACTTTTGATGTGAATAAAGATAGTCTATTTGAAGAAGATGTTCAATCATTAAAAAAGAAGTACGAGAAACATATGAATTATTACTATTCTTAATTGAGAATGCAAAACATTCAATTCATTCCGAACACAGTAAGTGGGTAGGAATTGAGTTAGTTTTTGAATGAGAATCTAGAAATCCAGTAATTGACCGAGTATTCAATCAATGATATCGATGTGATCAAACCAGTTACTTAGCAAATATAGATTAAATGTAAATAATAGAAGCCATTGTTGACTTATTTTGAATAAAAGATAGGTGGCATATTCATGATATTGGATTATGTTAAGAAATATTTAGATTAAGTGTAAGCAGAGAAGTAATACAAGGATTTGGTATCTGAATTGAGCATTTTGTGTTAGATTGAGGGATTTCAAGAGTAGATTGTTTAAAGTGAAGGGTTCTTGCAACAATTATTGGCATTGGCTTATTTGAATAAGAAGCAAGAGTGTAAGGAGATCTACCAGAAGATCAATTCATTGGTTTATTCACAATTGATTCAGTTGTTGTAGGAGAAACCATACCTTAAGATAGTTGTGTTATTGGAGCATAAACTCTTGGAGAAGATAGTTGGTAAGACAGAATAACAATTGAATTTGATGAGTCAAAATGCTCAACCCTAAGCATAAGTGAAGTTTGAATAGCCCAAGATGTTGTTAATGAAGAAACAGGTTGCTAATCAAGGAAAACCTAAGGGTATTGGATATGGAGATATTGAATACAAGGGATTCAAATATATTAATGAGCAATAGCAATTCAATTTATAGCAATAAAAATAGAAATAAGAACCAATTGCGAATTAATTGGAGTAAAAATATAATGATCAAGACATAAATTTGGAGAATCTCTTAAATTGTATAATCCAATTATTGGATCTTTAGTTTATCAATGTAGGACTCCTTGATTCTATTCAATAATCTAAAATAATCGACTTATTGATTAAATATTTGTAGAATGTCAACATAACAACATTGGAGG